GCCGCAAAATCCAAAATGTGGACGAACCACCAAAAGTGCTGCGTACCCAAGGCGCACGTCGCGTATTCAAACTTCCAACTCCAGGTCTCCTCGTCAAACCAAGCGCTGAGGAGTCCCGCATTACCGCCGAAGTCGCCCATCATGCTCCTGACCGTGATCTCTCTCAGTCCCGGAGCACCAGGGGCCTCGACAGCTCCCCGGCCCTTGGCGGTCGGCCAGCGCTCAACCTCCCACCTTCTGTCGCTGAGCTCGCCTTGCGTCTGATTGATGTAGTGGTACGTGTCACAACCCTCGTGATCGTGGCCGTTAAGGATTACACCCCGGCGACCTCTCCCGTTACCGGGGGCATCAGGGTTGCCGCTCATGCCAAGTAGTCCCTCCAAAAAGCCCTTGCTAGCGTCGTAGGAAAGTAGGTTCTGCTCCTTGACACCCCCACCGTCATGCTCGCCGTGGAAATCGAAGAAGGGCGAGTCAACGCAGACGCCTTCGGGCTTGTACAGCGGGATGTGAGTCAGGATCACGGTGAAGTGGCCGTTGTACTCGACAGCCGCCGAGGTCTCAATGATGGAGTTGATGAAGGCGTAGGTTTGATCCTGCAGAGAGGTGTCCTTCGCAGGAGTGTCCAAGTTCATGTCGTTCAAGACGATCACGCGGATCTCGGGAGGTAGCCGGTCAGAGTCGGGGTTTTTCTCGTCGTCCACCACAGTAGCATTGAGGTTCGGGTCTTCTATAGGAAGCTCGAAGCGCAGTTCGTAGTTTGCCTTGCCAAACAGGCGTTCGAAGCGTCCGAAGCGGTCCTGGTTGATGTCGCCAGCATAGCCAATGTCGTGGTTGCCAGCGACGTTGATGACACGTCGCGACCATACCGAAGACGGCTCGCCAGACGGAGAGAGGTAGTCGGCGAGCTCATACTCCATAGACGGGTACGCAGCTACATCGTCCGGGACACGCTCGGTGCCTCGCATAACGCGGTCCCAGTACCTGCGGCCACGGCTCCGGAATTCTTCAATGCCAATCCATTGGCTACCCAGGAGGTCGCCAAGCACAGTGACATGGGTAGGGCGAGTCCACCATTGTACGGTTCGGTAGATGTGGGCAAGGTAGAAGTCGTTGCCGAATATGTCTATCCGCTTGCGGAGGGACTCGAGCTCGTTGAAGACGTCCTCGAGGAAGATGTCGATTACATCGTGTAGCGACTGGCGGACGCGTTGCCGCAGCGAGTTTGGTGCCTTGAATGTCACTTGGGACCACCAGCTCCTCGCGTGAGGGAAGGCAGGACCGGGAATCCTTCGGATGGCGGTGTCACCCTCGAGTTGGGGGTCACCCAGCGCAAGGAGTCTGAAAGGAGCGGGTCGGGAGTCTGTCGATCGGAGGGGGATCGGCAAAGGGAGGTGGTGTCGCGCAGCTTCCATGAAGGCGGCCTTGCTGTCGAGCTCGACGTCGTTGCTGCTGCTGCTGGTGGTACTCGGGGCGACTGGGAACGCGCAGCCGAGGAAGACGGGATAGAGATAGAGGTAGAGGGTCGAGACTACCGCCAGCGGGATGATCAGGCGGAGGCCATGGCGGAGGATGGCCACGAGGGACATGTGGCTGGCAGCATCAGCAGAGGTCGGCGGCGACTCTGCAGCTGTGGTTGTGACGGTCCCCCTATTTCGTGGGTTCTGGTGTCGTGTTGTTTTCTGGAAGAGGAAGAGAGAGGAAAAAAAGTTGAAACCCAGAGCTCCTTCGACATTCGACACTGGATGTCTGGAAAAGGGGTCCAAATGGGTACAGTGACGCCTGCCCAATGATCTCACTGTGTCTGGGGCTATTCAGTGGGGCCGTGCAGGCCCCTGTCCGCTGTATTTTTCTACCGATCGCGGTCCAGACCACCGACGTCATCTGTCTCGACACTGTGCTGAGCTGCTTGCATTTAGACTCGAGGTTTGTCTTAGTCCACTTGACCAGTTTCACGTGAGGTTATGAAAACAGCTCTCAGGCTGCGAAACTTCTGCTGCAATGGCTGAGACTCTCAAACAGGCTCTTTGCGCATTTGAAGCCTGGTCAGCAAGACCGCGATACTCATGCGATCAGTCACTGTTCATTCTTCCGTAGAAACGGTAGGCCATGTACCTCATTTGCCAGACAAGCTATTTGCGCTGGTATCCATGACAAGAATTCAATATTCTCAGACCGGACATAGGAAAACGATTGCGGCGGGTAGGCCAGTCATGTAACCATGTTCACTGCATAGATTGAGAGCCACTGAGAAAATGCTGGCGCATGTGAACGCGGCTCATAAGGGACAATATCTTCTACTATTGGCGGCTTCAGATCGCCATAATTAGTAGTTGCGGCTATGTCCATGACCACTGCAAGCGCAAAGGCAGTGAGGAAAGGCTCCAGGGGTCGGGGCGTTTGCTGACCACCTCATCGTCGAGAGCTGGAGTCAAATTCCCAACGCCATTCCCCAAATGACTGCATCGTGTTGGTGTCATCATCCAGATTACTGGCTGTAATATCCTACAAAGACGCCGTCATGTCGCCGGACTGGCTTGCGCAATGCTATGAACGACCGGACGAATTGCAGCCGAATTCAGATATAGGCGGAATCGGAGTGCGTGTCAAGACGGTTTTTGCTTGCATAACGATGTGATTGAACCAAACTGATGTTTCGTCGCTTTTTAAAGGTCTTAATCGGCTTTATGGGAACCTCGGGACTGGTAATTCTGTTTGTTATTGTCCACTACGTCGTTGCTTTCAATCCGTTTAAAGACCCTTTTACGGGAGAAGAGACCACCTCAGCCTTGGAGCACCATGAAAGAAAATGGACATCCAACAGCATTGATGAGACTATTAACGATGACTTTACTTTCCAGACTGCGCGATTGGCTCGAGTCTAGAACCAAACAAAGGCTGAGGGATGTTCTAACGAAGGTGAGCATCTATCACAAGGTAACATTTCAATACGTCGGATGACTCGTATGACACTACAGGCTATTTTGACGCTGTGTGATGTGCAACTCTCGACTGGCCTCGGCATACTACTCAGCGGGTACATCAATCTTTTTCATAATGCGATACTCGCATACCACTGGAAACTTCTTGTGTACCTGGTTTGGTTCTCAAACCTCACGCACGTCTGCTGTCTGACGATTCTCCGCGGTTATCTCAGCCAACATCGATGGGAGCGTATCTGGAGGGTGGTACTTATGTTCGTCCTCTGGAGCGGCCTCCTATCCGCCTTCGTGCCGACTTTATTTCTCGACTGGAAGAAGAACGACCCGCTTAGACTTTGGGCCACAAGCGCTCGCTGCTTTTTCAATCCGTATGTGGCCGAGGAAATAATACGTTGGAGAATGTGCAGACTCCATGAAAACGGCCCCGAATCCAACATGACTGCGAAACAATGCGTCAAATACGAATCAGCCTATGGTGAAAGTCCAGCTCACGAGATGGAGGTGTCAGTATCAGTTTCGTCTAGCATGGTTTTGGTGTTCTTTACCTTTTTTACGCGTCTGGTAAAGATTGTCCTTCCGTGCTCAGTTCGCGTCAAGACGACACTTCGAACAAAGCCAAGCAAGTGGCTTATGAGGAGAATTTCGAAGAACTTGAACCAAAATGACAGGACTCATGGGACTATTCCACGCGGTAATCTCATTCTTCTTTTTCAAATGACACTCTACTTTGCGCTCAAGATCCATCTCGACTCTGTCTTGTCAGACTTTGTTGACGTAAGTCCCTAGCAATTCCAGCCCTCCTTGGTAAATAGTTAGGTGACAACTGCGATGTTCCGTAGATCCTCATTTTGATTGTCTCTGCCACATGGGGAACCGTTCGGCTCCTGAATCATCGATCATCCATAAAGGTTGACGAAGATGGGTGGGGGTTCGGTCAGATTCTGGCCGTTTTTCTACTTATCGGGCCCGTCATTGCCATGATCACGCCTCTTCTGGAGATCGTCAGACCAAATAAAGTAGAGAGAATGGCAGACAACCAACCCTGGATGCCCTTAAACACATGGAAGACGCAGGCTACGAAGCATGTTCCGGCCTTGTCAATCGGTCGGATCAATGAATCAGTAACAGAGCCGTCCGCTTCAGTTGCCAGACCCGAGACTTCGACCGGGATTGGTATGACGGAGATTGGGTTTGATATCGAATCAATTCCACGAGGAGAGAGCTCTTCTGATGCCCTGGAAGTTGAGCTCTCTCATTGGAGCACTCCCGCGACATCGGTGCAATATGAAGCGTCTGTGTGACAGACAAATCTTATCTTCCCAAGTTGAAATCACGAAAGATGATGCTACTTATCCACTACAGCACTTCATCTTGAGTCATCTGGCAGACCAGGGTTATATCGGGCCTCGTCAACTAAAGCGTCAACTGAATATCGACTTCGCGAACTCAAGGTGGATTCGTCAAGTAATCTTACTGACTTGCTTTCAATTTCTATTGTTCACGGCGGACTGGATATACTTTATCGTCAGAACTGACACTATTTTCGGGCTAACAGTTCTTGGTCTACCACTTATGGGCATTGGGCCTTCACTAACCTGTTTTTACTTCGTGGCTATTGGTTTACAAATCAGGGGAGACCACCTCCTTAGAAGGGAGATTCTATCCTTCCCCGTTGTTTTCTGGATCATCCCTGTACTCCAGGCATTTCGTATTGCCTTTCTACCGCCTGTATATGCGTCGGCACCACAGGCTGGTGTCATCTGCTTTTTGTCATTGTATCTTTTTATTTGCTTCTTGTGTCGGAAGATGTGCGGGCCAGCTTGAGCCCTGGAATGAACGGCTTGATCAAGTTCGATAGCATTGGCGTGGGACATGCCGCGAAAGATTTAGCCAAATGCAAAGTTCGTGATGAATCTTCGCTGGGAAAAGAAGCCGCGTCTGCTCTGCTTCGTAAGGAAGCCAGAACCGAGTTTTCCGTTTGTTTGCAACGATATTTTGAGAACACATGTGCCTCGCGTAGTCGATATTTCAAAAGTACTTATATTTGTGTAAAAGGAGAAATCAGAGTCTCGCGATGGGACCATGCTTTCTCACGACGCCTAGCGATGCAGGCGTAATGTCGGCAATCGAGTTACAACCGCAGAGCTGCATACACCTCTTGAACTCGTCGTACATAATGTTCAAGACCTTGCTCACACCTGCCTCTCCGTCGTACTGTTTTCGAGTTAACTGTCGAAAGGTTCCAATTCAACCTTTGGATTTGACTTACCCCCAGCCCCCAAATGACCGGTCTTCCGATCCAAACGCAGTCGGCACCCAGAGCCACCGCCTTGAAAACATCTGTCCCGCTACGGATGCCGCCATCGATGTGAATCGGAATCCTTCCCTTCGACGCCTTGACACAATGAGGAAGCACGTCGATCGTGGCCGGGGTTTCGTCAAGTTGTCGACCGCCATGGTTGCTCACAATAACGCCGTCACACTTGTACTGGATAGCCAGCTCCACGTCCTCAGGTGTCAGAACGCCCTTGATCCAAATTTGCAACTTCGTCACGCTCCTCAGCCAGGGGATCTCCTTGGCCCATGAATGGGAGTTGGAGTTGATGACGTCAAACCCGGCCTCATGTGTAGTAGCCCGGATCATCTCAGAAGTCCTCTCGAGCATGGGCAGGGAAAGGCCCTCGGGCACGCGGAATTGATTGCGCGGTTCGTTGTACCGGACTCCCAGTACCGGGCTGTCTGCCGTCAAGAAGATGGCTACACACCCAGCCTTCTCAGCGCGCCTGATGATGCGGAGTTGCGCTTCACGGTCCCTCATGCTGTAGAGCTGCATGACGTGCTTCAGAGGACCGACTCCAAGCCCAGCCTCACGAATTTCCTCAACGGAATAGTTGGCGAACGAGGAGACGCCCATGTGGACTTTGCGTTTGGCGCATGCTCTGCTGGTTGCGAGCTCGCCGTCGGGATGGGCCATTGCCTGGATGCCCGCGGGCGAAACGGAAAGCGGGAAATCGATCTTTTGGCCAAAGACCGTGGTACTGGTGTCGACTTCGGAAACATCGACGAGAACGCGGGGGAGCACTCGGTACTTGGAGTATGCCGTGGTGTTCTCCTTCACCGTAATTTGACCCGTTGAGCCGGCATCGTAGAATTCTAGTGATGTGAGTGTTAGTTACTGCACGTGTTGGGGTCGGATGCAGACCCCTCACCTCGGGCGGATGAGGAGAGCTTCTTAGAAGCAGCTTTCCTGACGTCGTCAACGTTGAGAACTAACTCTCCAGTTTGATCAGTCATATTGACTTTGTTGAATGTCGGTTGATACTATTCAAAGTGCAATATGGATCGAGGCTTCGGTGATGAAGGGGGTTTTAAGTGTACAAGTCATATTCCCCATTCCCCAACTTCTTATCAATGCAGGTTGCCATTTGCCTATCGTTGACCGCATCAAGCCCGATGTCGCTGGCACGAATCATTGTTAGTCAGTTCGCCCCATTAGATTATATTATCATTATCGACATGCATTGTTGTTATCGTACGGACTGGGCCATCTGCAAGCCAAGTAAGCTTGATTGTCCGTTATGGTGTCGTAGGGCGCGATTGACGCACGGCGACAGACATGAATGGCGGGCAGAATTTCTGAACAGCGGAACACTCCTACTGCAGCATGGTTGACAGCGCCCTTTCGTGTATGCTGCTGTCAGATTCAACGACGCAGCATTTTCTTCGTCGAACTGGCAACCCCTCAATTTCGAACCTCAAGACTTTCATTGCTGGAAGGTTGCCGAGAGTGAACTGTAAGTCATAGATGTGCTGACGCCGAGGCCAAAATTGCCATGAATGAATCATCAATCGTCTTCCATTAGCTGCTTGGCCTCAATGAGGTCAGCATGTAGTATGTGTATGCCGTATGCGGTACCCCAACGCCGTGCAACAATGCAGAAAACCAGTCCCAATCATGCATCAGAGCCCATGCCCTCTTCCTCCTCAATATCCTCGTCCAGACTGGGCACGTCGACAACAAATTCAGGCTCGTCGACATCAAAGGAGAAGGCGACGGTGCAGTTATCGCGCAGACCCTTGGCAACCGGGATGTCGTTGTCCTTGACCTTGATGTTCTTCCATCCTTGTGTCAGATCGTTCGCATTCACGGGAAGGGCGTAGGCAAGCTCGACGTCGCCATCTGGCAGGGGCGTCGTCTCGGGAGAGGTGTGGTTGATGGTGAGGCCGTCGGGGAATCGGTCGCGCAGGATCTCAAGCAGTGTTGTTGTGATTTCGGAGAAGCTCTGCTGGCTGTCGACGAACAGCAAGATGGTGTGGGTGCCGTACTTGAAGCGCACCGAGTAGAAGGTATCGTCGACTTTCTGTACCTACAAAGAAGAGTTAGTTGCGAATGGAAGGTGGGGTGCGTTTCGTCACTGTGTCTTTCATACCATTTTGACAAGTTGCAGCTGGCCTCGAGAGAGATTTCTCGGTGATTGGGTTGTGGGAAGCTTGGCCTGGCAGCAATTGAATGTCGCAGACGTGATGGATTTCTCCTTGGTTGAAGGTGGCGGGCGAGAATTTCAGGCGGCGACTGCTGCAGCCAAGGTACAGCAGGCAGGCGCGATCCTCGGCGGGAGCTACGGGCCACAAAGCCTAGCGCGGGGCACCTTTTTGATGCGCGACCACGTGACGCCAGCTGATGAGTCCCGCGTCAAGCCGTCCGCCAGGTCATCCCGCCCGGGGGACCCTTCCCCGAGAAATCAGTTCCTGGTGGTCCAAGCTCCTTCCGGGTCTGACGCCGATTTGTTTTGCGCCCGAGCAGCCGGAGCTTTCTTCTGATCGTTACAACTACAACCACAACGACCAGGGCACTCTGACCTCACCCATCCCGACCGACAACTTCCCCAATTACCACCCACAATGGCCGCACGTCGCCAGACCATGGCTGAGTACTTCAGCCTGGAGCCCGCCGAGTCCCGCCTCTCCATCCCGACACCAGCACGCATACCCCTCACCGGCATGGTCGGTTTCGGTATTGGGACAGCCTTGGGTATTGCGCAAGGAGGACAGACCGCCTCGCTGCGCTTCCGAGCCGAGCACGCACACAAGATGCCCACCACTACCACCGGATGGTACCTTTACCACAAGAGCAAGAACTATCATACCATCCACGGCGGCTTTCGCGAGGGCCTACGCATGGGCGCAAGGCTCAGCTTCTGGACCATTATGGCATTCGGCCTCGAGAGCACCGTCGACAGATACCGCGGCAGTACAGACCTCATCAGCACCGTTCTTGCGAGTCTGACGGTAGCTGGAGGCTTCAGTCTCGTCAGTATGTCACGCCAGTACCATGTCCCAACCCAAGATGCCATGTTTGCTGATGCTATAATCTTCTAGATCGCTTCTCTCTGCCCACTGCAGCTCGTACGGCACGTTACGGACTACTCTTTGGAGTGCTGTACGGCGGCATGCAGGATATTGTCGGCTTCGCTCGCGGCCGTCCTATCGGATACGTCGAGTTCCTCCGCAAGCGCTTTGGGTCCACGAAAGCAGCTAAAGTAGAGGAACCTCAGCATCCCTAAACTACAGCCGTCGACTGGCAAACGATGAGACCCTGCACGCCTCGGCATTCAATGGAAGTAGCTGCACGCTCACTCCAAAAGTCTATGCCCACTACCTGGCCATAGGACTTCTGATGTCGCACGCATCGGATGTGGCGCTTTAGCTGGTCATTACCCCGCCTACATTCTACTTAATTAACTCCACTCTGAAGCGCGCAAGCTGCGCATTGCTGGAGGTAAACCTCAAATGATGACTCGCTATGTATGGCCAGCATCTATGGGGAAGACATATGATGAGGAATCTGAGCAGATGCTTCAAAGGGAAGCGAGAAGGCGAGCCAGTGTGACGAGCAAGAAACAGATTCCGCCGGGAAGGATACGCTTATTAAGGCGTCGAGCGACGGCGGAGAAGGGCGCCGTCTCTGCTGAACATGGCTTCGTTTCTCAGCCCCTACGGAGTAATCAAGCGGATCGATGGAGCGAAGATGATAACCACATTCGAGATGTCCCCCACAGGAGATGCAGTGGAAGGATACAAATACAACACGACAACAACGGACCGATACTGCCCAACAGATGACGGCTTTGGCGGACTGGAAACTGGGTTGCGCAAGAACAACAAGTATGCGTGAGGACTTCTTCTCGCTCTTGCCTTGGACGAGGGCAAATGGCTACGCGTCGGCGCATAGCGATGCGTTGTTTAAGATGGCGGCGGCATCAGGTACTTTGGCAACTTAGAGACTCACGAGGTTTTGGTCGTGTAGCCATCAGCGCGAAACGTACAGAACGCGGAATAGTTAGCGTATGGGGAACCGGAGCCGAACCCTTCAGGACACTCGCGGAACATGAGACACGAATATTCGAGAATAACGCATCTTCATCCGTCTCACAGCCTCACACAGCCACAACTCTCGTCACTCTCCAAGATTCCACCAACTCAACATCTGATGTGTCCACGTGAACCACGTGAACCACGAACCACCAATCCCTCCGATCTCATCGTTTCCCGCCCCTCGTTCGCCGATGCGCCGACGCGCCGCTGATCAAGGGTCCATCCCGACCCGATCTTCCGGAAGCGGCTACCACCGGGCAGATACCGACCCCAATGACACAACATAGCCCACGTGATAAAGTGCCAATCTCTACCCCCGAGATAAGCAGTGCCGCACACGGGCTGGGCGGGAACCTGCTAGCCCCATCTCGCGCGCAGGACACACATCATTGTCCGCTTCCTTCGTAGATAACGCTGCGGCTCGGTCCTGGAGGAAGGGAAGGAGCGAGTTTAAGGGTGGCTCGCGTCCGTGGGTTGCGACACGACCGCATCGGCCGGGAGATAAAGGATCAATAGACTTGGAATCTTTGTATAATACCCTCCCCACCCCTCTGCTTAATTGGTGATATCGTGTGTTGTCTCTGTTTTGAGAATCCCTCAGGTTTGAACGTTTAGTTCTAAGTCGTCATCATTATTCAGCCCGTCGCCTTACTCATCCGCCGCGGCGCGTGTTAGCATCCTGTCTTACATCCTCGGCGGGCGTCCCTAAACACCGCGATGGCCCGGCCATTGCACAGCTTGTGCCTCTGCAGCGCAAGGACATCGATTTCCTGCGCGTCCATAAGCCGAGACCGCGTCGTTTCTGGGAGAACCATCACTCGCGTGCTGCCATTACTCACGACGCCAACCAGATATCGACAACGTATCATGTATTCAACGTCTACCACAATGGCGAGGAGGAACATCCACTCGTCCACAAAGAGGTCGTCGTCGACGGAGCAGATGCTACTTACACCCATCGAGTCGGCACCACAAACGGCGCTGGCCCCCTTGTCGGTGCTGCCCCTTTACATGATCATCCGCTCACTCCTGACCACGACAATCTCGTCGTCGCCCATCCTGCTGCCGCCGTCGTTGTGGATCGTGTCGGTGCTCGCCAACACGACGAACCCGATACTCAACCCGGATAAGAACCCGCTGCTGCGGTTCTTCCTTAAGCACACGTTCTATGCCCAATTCTGCGCGGGAGAGAACCCGGTGGAGGTGAAGCAGACCATCGACAAGCTCAAGGACATTGGATTCACAGGGGTCATCCTGGGCTACGCCAGAGAAGTCGTCCTCGACGATGCACAGACCAAGGATTTGGCGTCATGTGGCGAGGGCGAGATGGCAGAGGAATGCATTCGCAATGAGATCATCCCTTGGGCTGAGGGGACCCTGGAGACGGTCAGGCTGGCCCAGCGGGGTGATTTCGTTGCTCTCAAGTAAAGTCATATCTTCATTGCCGGGCTGTCTCGCAGTTGCTAATGCCACCACAGGTTCACAGGTGCAGGCCGGCAAGCGCTGTACTCCCTCGCAGAACGTCTCCCCCCCTCGGCCGCCCTGGCCGACTCAATCGACTCCATCTGCTCTCTCGCTTCAGAGCGCGGCGTCCGTCTCTTGTTTGATGCCGAGCAAACGGCGCTGCAGCCCGGTATCGACATCTGGACCGTTGAGTATATGCGCAAGTACAACGCTTCTCCCGGCAATGCCGTCATCTACGGCACTTACCAGGCATACCTCAAGTCCACGTCTCAGACGCTCCGGCGCCATCTAATGATCGCCCGTGGTGGGGGTTTTACGTTGGGGGTGAAGCTGGTGCGTGGCGCCTACATCAATTCTGACCCTAGGCACCTTATCCACGACACCAAAGCGGACACCGATGCCGCATACGATGGCATTGCCGAGTGTCTCTTGAAGAGGCAGTGGGGCGAGATCTTGAGGGGAGACTCGCAAATGCCTCCCGTCTGCTTGGTTCTCGCCTCGCACAACGCCGAGTCAGTAAGGAAAGCGCGAGCCATATGCGATGCTGGCGAGGCCAGGATTCAGATGGCATTCGCACAACTCCAGGGCATGGCAGACGAGGTGAGCTGCGAGCTTGTGTCGAAGAAGCCGGGGCACCAGGATGCGAAGGCGCGGGGTGTAGACGCATACAAGTATCTCATCTGGGGATCGACCAGAGAATGCATGAAATACCTGCTGCGGCGGGCACACGAGAACCGCGATGCCGTGGAAAGGACACGCGATGGGCGAGACGCAATGTGGAGCGAGCTTTTGAGGAGGTTCAAGGGCGTGATTGGGGTCTCGGTATGAAGAGTAGGAGCCCCTGTTGACGGGAGGAGTTGGCGCTTGGGGGCATGATTAGCTTGCAGTATTGTATAACAGCAAATGATGATGACTTACGAACACGACATCAGCAAACAGCTGAGGTATCTCGCGAAAGCATGCGATGGACCGCTGCGGTCACTTTACGCAGTGCGCAGGGCCATGGCGCCCAGAACAAGGGTCTCTAGTTCCTCCTTGCGCTCCGCCTCGTCTTTGATGGCGTCGAGCCAGGGGAGGCCGTTCAGCTTGTAGTACTTGCGCACCTTTGCCCAGTCTGTGGACGTAGCAATGTTCTCGTCGGTGAAGGGAACAGGCGTGCCCTGGAAGTGTTCCTTCATGTGCTTCTCGACATCCTCGGCGGACTGGGACTTGGACTCGGCAGAAGTGGGGGAGACGATTTTGACAGCAATGACGTCTTTGGACGTGGGGCTGATGCCGTAGCGGCGGTATGCTTCGGCAATCTGGGAAGAGTCAGTTGGTGTAAAAGATGTGCTAGGGGATGGTCTTGCGCGTACGTTGTTTGCAGAGCTAAGAGAGGCGACAAGCTCGGAGTGAACGTTGGGGGTCTTGAGGCTGCCGTCGACCTTTGCAGTGACGGCCTTGAAGGCTGCGGCGAGGATGTGGGTTCGGGAGACGGCCTGTAGGATCACGATGTCGGTGTCAGTGGCGGGCTGTCAGGTTTCTGTCTGGATCGAGACAAGAATGTGACATACCACCGAGGCGTCGACTAGGGCGTACTCGAAGTCGGCATTGCGTGCCAGCAGCTGCGAGTGCAGGAAGGCGGCGTTCTCGACATCCTTGAAGAAGGCAACGTGCAGGGCATGATCGGCGGGCACGTGATCGATGGGGACGGTCTCGATGATGGACATGATGGCGGGCTATCTGTGTACTGAGTGCGAGACGTCGGGTATTCGGAGGTCAGGAAGCTGAAGGAGGTAAGCGAGGGTGGTTGTCTGTCTGTCGTGGCGAGCGAGAGGGGGATTGAGTTGTGGAAGTTGACCGACGATGAAACTATCGCGGGGTCGAAAAAAAAAAATAGAATTGAATTTTTTTGGCACGCAGCAAGGAAGGAGCGTCCAATGTTTCCCGCCTTCCCCTAGACAGTTACGGATAGGTAGGTAGGTATTACGTACCTATCGGCGAATAAACTTGGGCGGAGCTGTCAGCGTCCTGTGCTTCCGTTTCTTGGAGGGGCATGGCGGGGTCACGACACGACACTGCACCTGGTGGGAGCACCACCTCACTCACACACACTCTGCACTGCAACAGTCACCACGCGTACCTAATGTTGGACGTGAACAGGTCGCTGAGGGAGTGGGCACGGCACGGCGGACAGGCCCGCTTTTCCCGCCAGCTGGTTAAAGTTGCCGCCAGCGGTTGCAACTGAAGCTTCCATCATCTGCCGCAAGTCATGATGTTGATGTTGCACACCCAAGGTACTCTACCCACCCAGCACTCCAAGTAAACTCAAGGTAAGGTAGGGTAGGGTAGGGTGGGTAGCTGCTCGTGTCTCGGCCGAGGTTGAGAGAAACCCGGATGAAGCTTCACAAGCCTCGTCTTGACACCCGTACGCCGGGTAAAAGATGACAAAGTCTGTAAAAAGATCCGACTCTTTGGGGCAGCATCCTTGCACATCGTAGGTTTACGATAATCTTCACTTGCGCCCAAACCTACGCGGGAAACCCACCCAGACCAGCTTCCGCAATTACCTTACCTGTGCTAGGCACGCAGCTCCCAGGTGGCACGGCGCGTCATCTTGGGTCTCGATTCAGCCCTGTTTGGGAATCGATCGTCCTCAGAGTTTATCTGACGGGACGAGATCGTGGGGTGCCTATCCGTAACGGGAACCTGGGGTTGCCATTTTGACCCTTTGCCGACATGCAATCACTGCGAATGGAACCTCGCACTCGTTAATCATTAGTCTCCCTTCCAGAAAGCCTTCCAGGAAGCCTTCCATGGTGCATCTGCATGTGCATTGCATCCATCTCATCACACCAGTGAGATTGGCTCCCGGAATCCTTCTGGCTGCTGGAGCATCCCCCGAGTGCGAGCATGCTGCGTATTATTTCAGGCTTTTTTTATGTTTTTTTGTCTTTGGTGTCTGCCATCTCCATGTTTGGACCCCCAACTCGGACACAGAAGCTCAAGGACAGGCAGGGAAACAGCAGCAGCAGCAGCAGCAACGGGCGAGGGTTCAGACGGTCCAACCTCTCACGAAGTTTACGAGGCGTGCGACAGCCTTGAAATGACGCGGCAACTCGTGGATAGCCAGAAGCCGCGTTTCTAATATTGAATAAGCTGCCCGTCCCCGCGATTCAGCCTCCAATCGTTGGGATAAACGTCGTCGTGTACCTGTCTCTTGGCAGAACCTGACAACCCAAGTCGGCGAACCTACACACAGACGCCCTCGACAAAGCCAATACCAGAATAGAATCCCGGCAGCTGATCTTGTCTTGTCTGGTCCGGTCTGGTCTGGTCAGACTAGACTTGCCAGGCCAGGCAGGCTGATGAGTGGCCAGCTCGGTAAATGCATGTGGGATATGCGAGTCCTCTGTTGCGAGGTCTACCAACATGAATGCGAATAAGAATCCAAGACAGCGGGAATGCGTCGTCCATGTTGAACAAGTCCCTGACGGCCTAGCCTTGCCTTGTACTTGTTTCGATGTTTTAATAACTCAATCCGGCAAGATGGACCAGGGCTTGAAAATATGCGGTCACGAGTCGCTAACCCGATGGAATTGCCGTGGGCTTTGATGGCCGGTACAGGGCATTGCCGGAACGTTCGCGGCGTGGGGGATGAGGCACTAACAAAGGAGCTTCGAAGGGCTCGACCACGCAGTCTATCCGGCTTAGACGCAGTGCCCCTCCCGCTGGAGAGACATTTCGCTTGCAACCAGAGACACTCTAACCTTGAGCTAGAACATTGGAACCCTTGGGGGAGTAGAAGGAGGAGGAGGAGGCGTGTGAGGGTGTTCTTTCTTTGCTGCCACGGGGTTCTTTGAGAGAGGGTGACGCCCCCCAACGCCTCCGATAGCTGGCGGCGTTGGTTTTGGAAATGACATGGCGTCGATTTCTTGAGTTTCGGGCAACAACAAGCGCAACACCAACTGTGGCCAATCTGGCTCCCGTCGGTTGCGAGATGGATGGATGGCCGGTGCCAGATGTGAAGGATGATATCGATCTCAGCCTGTCTCTTAGTGGATGGTAAGGAAGGTAGTTAGTTAGTTGCAGTTGGTCAAGGTTTAGTGCTGGCCATCCGTGACCAAGAATTACTCGCTTCCTTCACACCCTCACCGTTGTTGATGGACCAGCAGACTCGACCTAGAAGCGTCAGCTTCTACGGCCCAGCCCTGCTCGAGCCCGGGAACAGGAAGGATCGAGTCTCTCGTGTTTCTCGTTTCTTGCAGGTTGTTTGTAAAGGTGCCCGAAGGGGGTTCGTCGAGGCAAATGACAGGTTTCCGTCGTGTGTGAGGAGCTGAAGTGGCTGGGCCTGTATTAACCCCAATAGCAGCAGCAACAGTAGCAACGATGTCTGCCATTCTTTAACCTGACAACTTCGTCCTTCATCGAGATCCGTCTGGGCGTGAAGGGCATTCTTCTAGTCAATCAGAGACAAAGTACAGGACCCCCAGCTGACCTAGGCCTTCTAGACCCGGGCTTCGACTCAGCTGCATTCCACCAAGCAGCCCCCAGTGCGTAAAGAAGGCGGTAGGTTAGCACCCGCACGCCCGCATCCCGACAGGCTGGGACTCGGTTGGCGTGTTCCCGCAGCCGCCGCGTGTTGCGTCCGTCTAGTGTGTGTTGCGTGCTGCGGTGTTGTCTACCTTGACTGACCAGGTGTTGGTTGAGTGTGTGAGTTGTAGATGGGAGGAGTGGACGGACTGGAGTGATTGCCTGCCCGCAGCCAGAGACAATCAGAAGAGAGAGAGAGACAGCCCAGTGGATGCACCCACCACCCCTGGCGCGTGCCCACTAAACCAGCGCAGGGCAGCAGCCCGTCAGCCCTCTCTCCCGTCTCCCCCCGGACGATTTGCAGCTCGGACCCCCTGCCATCGGAGCGCCTTACCTGGCGTGCCTGGGCCCATACCTAAGGTAGCGTCCCCCCACCCCCCTTGACAGGCACCTGCACTGGACCTCCCGTCACACATGCACCGCAGCAGCACCAACAGCAGCAGCTCCCCTAAAAACGCGGCAACCTCCATCTCTCTGCGGAAAACCCCGTCGCGATACCACCGAGCGACCACCTAGAGTCTGCATTGTCGTCGTCTTGTCTCTGCGCCTGCGATTGTTCTTTTTGTTTGTATGCGGCCTCCTTTCGCCAGACCTCGCGACTCTCCTCTCGAAACGAGACCATGCCCGGTCGCCCGCCCAAGCGACCGGCGGAAGCTGGCGATCCTGCCACCACCGACGCCGACACTGCTGCTGCCGCCGCCGCCGCTGTTGCTGCTGGTCATGGCAAGGTGAAGCTGCCGCGTCTCGACAAGGGCGGCCAGGAGGACTTCTCCTCCGTCGTCAAGAACCGTCTGTCGTCTTACACGAGGACCGGCCAGGCCTGCGACAGATGCAAGGTGAGTCCACATGTTCTGTCCTGCCCTTTGCCAGACAAGCGTCCAGCCGTCAAACCGTCCCGTACTGACGACCTAAACCACAGGTCAGAAAGATCCGCTGCGATGCCCTCCCCGAAGGATGCTCCCACTGCGTCAACCAGAATCTCGACTGCTTCGTCACCGATCGCGTCACCGGCCGAACCGAACGTCGAGGGTACCTGCAGGAACTCGAGCGGGAAAAGACCGACATGATGAACCACATACGCGACCTCGAGAAGCTCCTCGAGAACAACGGCATCGAAGTCAAGCCCTGGACCTGGGCCCCCTACGGCATGGCCTACCCTCCACCAGGCGTCACCTACGATCATATGGGCAATGCCGTCGAGGACCCGGCCGAGAAGGATGCCTGGACAAAGGTCGGGTCCGTCTGGGTCAAGAATTACAACTTCAAGCCGCCCGCGAGTCGCTCCTTTCCCCGGTCATCACTCGAGTCGCGTCCTGTTCACAACCACATTGGCGTAGGTGGCGACAGCGCCCTTCTCAGCTCCATCAAGGGCACACGCCTGTCCATCCTCGGCACTACGATAGACGTCACCTCCTTCGACGCCCCTGACATGGACGAGCCCGTACCCGATGCCAAGATCTCCCAGCCGCTCTACAACAAGTCCCTCCAGTCCTTCCTGCAGTCATGTATGAACATCAACCCGCCCGTCAATATCGAACTCCCCTCGCGAAGCGACGCATTTACATACTCGGAGTGGTATTTCCTCATGATCTGGCCATTCCTGCCCGTCCTTCACAAGCCGACTTTCATGAATATAGTGGGTCGAACACTTCCTCTGCCTACCTGTGCTTGCTGCTGACCATCCCTTCAAGCTGACTCGCATGTACGACGAACCCGACTTTGAGCCAGAGGTTCCCGATCTGGTCATGGTGCACATGGTCTTTGCCACAATCTACTTCCAGTACGGCGTGAGGAACTGGGAGCAGCAGGAGAGCCGTTCCCAGCTGAATGAGCTGTCTAACAAACACTACCACTTTGCTCTGAGCAAAATGTACGACTTGGCCTCGGCGCAGTCTGTCGCTGCCGTGCAAGCCATGGCCATGATTTCTGCTCACAGCCGCGCCTTCCCAAAGCCTGGATGCGGCTCTATGGTCACCAACTTTGCCTTCCACTGTGCCATTGACCTCAACCTGCACCGCGCTGCCAAGGCGCCGGGTGAGACGACAAATCTGGAAAACGAGATCCGCAAGCGCACTTGGTGGACTATTCTGACCGTGTACGTCACCCTGAACGGGCGCCTCGGACGGCCTATGCCCATCAATGTGGAGGAGTATGATGTCGACTTCCCCGAGCCCATTGCGGACGAGGCGCTGACACCAGAGGGCGTCGACACTTCCGTGACAACGCCCTGCAATTACCACGTCGGTTTGGCTGGATTCAAGATCGTCCCTCTCTTCATGGAGATGTACTCCAACATCTACAGCGTAAAGCGTGATCCGAAGAACTACGCCGACGTCGTAAATGCGTTGGAGGAGCAGCTTCAACTGTGGAAGGACAGCCTACCAGAAAACCTCCAACTCAACCTTGCCGGCCAGACAGAACACGAAGGCAAAATGTATGCACTATACATACAGATGTATGCGCTCGAGTTCCGTCTTTGTTTGCGTCATCCATCTGTGGCCATGACAAGCGACCGCAAGATGCTCCTGGAGAATGCCCGAATCTGCGAGGAGACAGCGGCGCACATGCTCAAGGCCACCAAATGCATTCTGAAGCTGAAATCCTTGGATACGACGTGGTATCAAATCGCGGTCTATGGCGCCGCAATCTTCACAACTTTGGTCGCCCACTGGGAAAGGAGGTTCGAGACGACCCCTAACCAGATCGCCAACATTCGCTCTGACATGAGAGACTGGATGGAAATTATCAACGCCACAGTATCACTAATCGGTGAGTAGTGTCACTGCCCATTAGGAAAATCGTGACTAACTCAACTCTAGGAACGGGATCTGGCATCAGCAACGAAATCAATCTCATCATTGAGAGAACAATCAGTTGGATCGAGCACGACTCCAAGCAAAAGGAAGGATCGCTGCCTCAAACGATTAAGCCCGACCCGGCAGACTCGACACCTTTCCAGCTTTCGGCACAGCCGCAGTCTACACAGGCCTTGGCCGCGAGTGCTGCCGAGACAGCTGCGAAGGCGTTCTACGCAGAATCGGCCAACCAGAACGGAAACACGCCGTACCCGTCCCTGGCATACGCCGAGCAGCCCGGAAACAATAGTCTGGCTGCCAATGCTGCTTTTGAGGCGAACAACGCCTACTCTTACACGCCTGCAGTGCAGGCGACCGGGGCGGCAGACGAGACCTCGGCCGAGACCAACCCCTTGATTGCGTTTGCTTCACAGGCAACTCAACATGTGGCTGACCCAACTGGCTCCGCTGCCGCTGCCGAGCTTCTGTGGCGACAATCCGCATCTCAGGGCAATACCTGGCACGACTGGACCGCTGCGATGGCCGACAGCCAAGACAGGTACAGCGCTAACGCCCTCTTGACGCTGGGCGGCGGCCCTAGGGATCCGAACGCAGTATCAGAAGCGGCTACTGTGGCCGAAATGGCCGCTGTCACAGCCGCGCCGGTAGGCCAGTGGCCACTTCTCCTCTTCGATGGCCCGGGAGGTGGTGGTGGCCAATGAGTTTTCAATTTCTAGTGTCATGATTCAAGCAGCGTGTTCTTTTCATGTCATAGAGCAATGCTAGGCGTTCATCGGGGCTGTCTTTTAGGGATGGGTTGCTGTGGTTCAGCAACGGGAAAAGGCACCAGGCATGGAAGGGAACACAGGCCGAACGGTTCGGTTGTTCAATCGGGACGAAAGAGCCCGCTGCAATTTGCAATGATCAAGGCTGGCGTTTTTGGGCCGGGCCAGCCTCAAGGCATGGCGTCGCTTTAGCAATATACCTGCCACGTTGTGGGCTTTTGAAGCTTTCAACTGCCTGTTTCTTGTGACTTGGATGTTGTCTCTACTTCCCATTACACGGTCTGCGCGTCGAAAGTTTCTTCTGATCATGCAAAATCTCTATCCCAGGGGGGTTTGTGAGTTGAAGGCGGAGGCGGAAATTCCAAAGAGTGACCTTCAAGTCACACAACCAAGCCATATTTTCTATCTTCTCACCACAGATATCCCGGGGAAAAGCCCTTCCCCTAGAAACCAGCAGGAAGCTGCACCCCAAAAGCCGGCGCAAAGACATCACCGCAAGTATACCCCTCCGTCGGCATCTGCCCGAGCACGAAGAACGTGTAAAACAGCCCAAACAAGCAATTACTCGCCGCCGCGAAGCTCGTATGTCCCGGCGCCAGGTTTCTCACAAGCACGCTCGGCGAAAACCTCGCTGCGACGCTCTTGGCGCCCTCGACGCTGCTCGCGGGGTCCCCCACCCCGTTCAGCACGACGATCTTGCCCTGCGTCCTGACGGGCTCGCTGGAGACGTCTGGGAACCTGTTGGCCGGGTCGATTTTCCACTTGGAGCAGACGAGGCGCCAGTCCGCGAAGATGGGCGCCACGCTGGGCGCGGCGGCGACCATGCTTTTGAGGTAGGCCTTGAAGTCGTTGGTGTTCTTGATGTGCTGGGACTCGTCAATGCAGACGCCGGAGAGGATGCCCTCGAAGGGTGCTTCTTCCGTTAAGAGGGGGAGCCGGGCAGGCGGGACGGTCAGGGAGGATGATACTGCGCCGACGATGGCTGGCCCTGCTGTCCCGTTTTCGACTTCTGCGAAGACGCCCGCGAGGACAGGGAACCAGCCGGGGGCGTGGAGGGCGGTGGTCGTGAAGGTGTGGAGGGCGGACCAGTCGAACTTGTTATCGGAGCCTGGGATGCTCAGGGGCTTGGATTTGAGCTTTGCCTCGAGGGCGGTGTAGCGCGCGCGGAGGGCGGTTGTGGTTTTGGAGGTGTTTGCAAAGGCGCATGTTCCTGGGGCGGAGTTGAGGCATGTGTAGAAGAATGCTTCGAGGCCGCGTTCCGCATCTTGTATTTGGGAGGTTTGGGTTTGGGTTACGGTGTACGCGAGCGATGAGGGTGTTGGACCTTGTGTGCGTGCTTCAGTACATCATGTTCATGACGTCGGCAGGGGGGACTTACTGTCAAAAAGGAACTTGTCCACGGCCTCCGGGTATAGCTGGGCGATCGTCTGTCCGAGGTGGGCGCCGGACGAGACGCCCCAGAAGCCCAGCTTGGTGCGGTTCTCCGCCTTCATGACGGTGTAGTGATCGACGGCGTTGGCGTACGTCCCCATGAACCGGCCGATGTCCTCGCCGTTCTTTTTGCACTTCTTCCCAAACTCCTCGGCGCGCTTCTCGCGGAGAGAGAATGCGGCATCGTCAGCTCCGAGGAGAGGAGGCTCGGAGAGGGCGAATTGTTTGCGGTCGTCTTCGGTGGCAAAGCAGCGGAAGGAGGGTGTAGTCCAGCCCCAGCCGCGGTAGTCTTGGGTTTCTGTCAGTTTGTGGTTTGTGAGACTGCCAGGGTATGGCGGGCTTACCGATGGCGAGAAGATCATATCCTGCGAATAAAGGGGCGTAGTCTTCTCCGAACCGGACGAGGAAGTTGGTCGACGAGGAACTCCAGCCTCCCAGGGCGACGTGAACTGCGCCTTGGTGAGGGGTGCCCCCTGGAGCAGCAACGTAGGGGAGTTTGACGATGGCAAGGTCGACAGTCGGCTGGCCGCACTTCCCCTTGACCTTCTTTGGTTTGCGAGGGTCATCAATCTTTTCGTGAACCTGTTTGATGTGAGTCGAGAGGGTAATACAAGAGAGGGAAGGAAAGGGGCTCACTGTGAACCGCGCACACTTGAAGACAGAGTAACAGTCATGCCATTCAAGTTCGGTATTCGGTTTGATACCGGCGAAAAGGGTGGGATCGATGGCATGGTGCGGGTTCTGGGCCTGAACAACAAGAGTCATGAAAGAGCCCAAGAGGCCGATAGCAGCAAGGAAAGGTCCCATGTTGATGAGGCTAGAAAGAACGCAGTGGTTGCGAAATTACATCAAGACGTGCACTGGTCGAGGTTTCCGTCACTTATACCGTTGGATCTCGGGAGACAGCAACATACGCTTATACATATTCTCTCAATCTCCGCATGAAAGCCATGCAATGCCAAGAGAACCAAGCATCTTGGGGTTGATGATGGTGATAATTAGCAGGACTTGGCAAGCAAATTAGACTGGGGATAACGGTGGACCGGCTTTTATCACGAGTTTTACACGTGGATGGTGGTCTTTACAATCACCAAGGGAGCATTCATGGCTTGAAAAGCAACTCATAGGTCAACGTGAGCCGTCGGTGTTTGATTGAAAGAAGCTTAGCCTCACTTCCGTCCATGCCTTTTTATTCGCACGTCAACTTGGAGCTGAATCATTGTAGTATTCAACGTGCGGCTGAAGAAGCGCCACACCACCTCGCTTTCTCGTCTACGCCTCTCCAGACCAAAGACGATCCCACGCATTCTCGATGACCTCCGTCTGAAGCTTTTTCAAGAAACTACCGAATGGCACTGGCTCTTCGCCATCCAATCTCAACAGTCCATTCTTGACACCCCGCCAGCCCTCGACGGGAAGCTTGACATGGTCGTGCCCGATGCCGTGGAAGTATCGTACTTTGCCTGTTCTTTCGCCGCGCTTCATAGCTTCGTATTCTGTTTGGCACTCTTCACAAATCATACCCGTCTCAAAAGTGATGTACAAGTACGCCGAGCCATCTCCCCACCGCCGAAAGGGTCGGGCTGGGGAACAAAAGCCTCCGCATGTGTACCCTGGGTCACTCAGCAAGTCTCCCTCGTCTTTAGGGGAGTTGCCTTCCGACCCATGTTCATCTCCCTCCGGTATATGGCTTGCTCTTTGCTTGCCACCCGCTGACTTATCGTCCTCTTGGGACTTGGTACGTCGTGACAATAGAGCAGAACCAACGATACGAGCGTAGCGGCGGAGCGTGTCGTCATTTCCCAACGCTCGACTTAGAAGCGCCAGCGCCTGTGCAAGTGTCCACAGATACGTACCATCGTTCCATTTGATGGAATCACTCAGAGCTTCGAAGCTTTCTTTGAATAATTTTCGCAGCGTTTCTTCGAATGTCGCCTTGGGCCCCATGACCCAGTACATGTAGGACAAGCCGATCCTGTGCGATATAGTAGCCATTGGGGATATGTGTGGGATATTTAGTGACAATGGGCGTTCCATGAGGCTGGCGAGAGACTGGAGGCGTTCTGCTTTGTAGACCGGATCCCTCGACTGCCGAAAGAGTTCTACCTGAACGTTTGTCATCAGAGTCAATGCCATACGAAACACCCACCCTGGAGTGACAGATGTGATGGGGTAAACGAAGATCGTGTCATGGCTATCGAATATCTCGTTCAAGGTATTGAGAGCCTTCCCGGCATCTTTGCAGGCTTCGAAGTACACGACAGCAATATCTAGGCGAAGAGGTGTGCCGGCGTCAAGGTTGTCTAAGAAGGCAACCACTTGTTCGTAAAACTCAACAACGAATTGCTTTTCACCGGTTTGAACGGCAATGTCACAAAGTAGAGCAACTCGATCTTCTCCTTCTGTCGCGTAATCGGACGCCAACCAGGTGATCCTCTCCAGAATGGTCCAGCTCTTCAAAGCCTCGATGTAGCCGGCTTGATCCGCCTTTTGGTAGAAGACACTCAACTCTGCAACAAGATCGGATGCTGGAGTGATGCCATCGGGATCGGAATTCTTGGCCTCGGTGTAGTACTGAAGCGCTGAGTCGAAATTCCGCAATTCTGTTTGAACTCTGGCGTACGTAGTACACACAGCGCGCTTTAGATGCCCAGGAATCTCTACTCTATAGAGCTGAGAGACTGCAGCACCAGCCAACTGGTAAGCATATTCATTTTTCTTTGCTTGTAACAATATGTCACACATAACAGAAGAAGCTCTGTACCACTCAGGATCATTTAGTTCGCAAAGTAGAGCGGTTCTGCAAGTCTTCTCGGCCGGCTTCAAGTAGCCAGTCTTGAGCAGAACTTCAGCTGTCGCACGATGACCACCTTCATCCGGAGTCACATCTTCTACGAAGAGACCCAAGATACCCAGGGTGGCCTTAGACGCATCAAAGACCGTTTCTGTCCCATCGCAATTTTTGACATCTTCGAATTGGTCAGGAAAGTTGAGACGGCCTTGCTCCATTAGAAGGTTGCCTTTCCCGATCTGTTCAGTGTATATTAGCACGACCATCTCTTTTTCTTCCAGTTCAAAGTGTCAATTTGAGATTTTTGAGAGCAGAGTTGGACTTACCAATAGCATGATGCTCTGAAGGCATTCCCATGCCTTCATAGCATCTTCTACATTCAGTGACTGATACAGTTCCCGAAGATAACCTTTGGCCAGGCCCAGACGAAAGGTGGCGGGATCTTGTTCAACGCGACACCACCATTCCGCGGAAAAATCACTGAGACTATCCTTGACTTCTGGAATTTTCACAAGCTTTGCCCAGTCTTGGATTCTGAGATCAGTGACGGTGGTTGATGCGTAGCGATACGTCATTCCAACCTTGCCCATCATCTTAGAAAACCCAGTCTTATTGCTAAGTGCCTCGGCAAAAGCCTCAAGGACCTCAACCTGTTCCTGATGGGTATGTTGAGCGACCTGGATATTACTCCAGTGATGTAGTAGAAATACAGCGCAATATTTCTGGAGGTTCTTGTCAACATCCATCCGAGAAGGTTGAAACAGCTTCGTGCTGCTCAAAAAGATCTGACGGTGGGCTTCGGAGGGACCCCAACGCAATGTTGAGGGTGCGTGCGGGCCATCTGTGAAGTAACATCTCATGGATCGTTTTTGAAACTTCACAGGAAGAGGTCCATCGTCGTATATATCGTCATTGTCATCGCCATGCTGCTTCAAGTCTTGAACCATAGTGGCTTTGCTTGCTTGCGCCCTTGCTTGCAATTCGGCATTGTAGCCTGTGTCTGCTACTTTGAGGAATTTTGACGTGAACTCAGGTATGTCTTCAAAGGTGAAGTCTGCTTCCTGTGATATATGCCTCAGAAGAGACTGAACTTCATTTAGTTTCAGTCTTCGTTTGGCAAAAGCTATCCAATGAAGTATCGAGGCAGCAATCTGTTGGCGACTGATCGGCGTGCGGCGGCGACACTCTGATAACAAGCCTTCGTAGATGTCATTCAGGTCAACAGGCCTTTTCTGATTAAGTGCTTTCAACACTGCGCCCTCGCGGCCAAGACTGTCCAGTCGGGTGAGCATATGTTCCGCATATAGCATGTCTACCGCGAAACGTCAGCATGTTCGAATCAAAAAGCCAAGTGACCACTTACTTGGTGACGTTTCCTCCACCGCAACGGCAACCCGCTGCTTAACGTATCGGGAGAATTTCTTCAAGCAACCAAGGGAATTGATACGATGCCATATCAACACCTTAAAGTCTTGTCGCTGCTTGTCTTTGGTGGCTTCAATTTGAAGCAGTCTGATGTCCTTCGGAAAGTCTTCCAAGCGTTCAGGTCTAGAGGTAACCACTAGCGACATTCTCAGCCTTTTCTCTGTGACGAACATGGACAGAAACTCCTTGAAGGCATTCAAATCGCGCATCTCATCCAATCCGTCGAGCACGATAAAGAGATTGAACTTGGAGTTTTGCTCGAAGAGAGGCTTGAGCAAAAATATTGCAAGGTGTTGCCAAAGGCGGTTGTTGATGTTGATGTCGTCTCTCGCAAGCTGTGCTTTCAGCTTTTCACAGGCAGCATTGCTAGTCTCTGCAATCTGGATGACAATTGATACCATGCAGCTGAGAAAAGAACAAAACACATCGTCTTCCTCACGAAAGTAGAAGTGAACGACACAGGTGTGTCCCGTTTCATCCTCTCTGGCCCTTTCTTCGAGCTTGTCGTAAAGGGCCACTGCCAGATGACTCTTTCCAATACCAGGCTGGCCAGTAATTGCAAGAACGGGGCGTTCTCCTTCCTTCATTGCCAACCAATCATTCCAGCTTGGTTCTGAAAATACCCAGTTGCAAAAGTCTGGCAGAAGTGTTTCCCTCAGGGCTTCAGATTCCTCCTCGATGTTTCTTCCTAGCCCTGGTATAAAATATCGAATGGCCCTGGCAGATAGTGTTTTGTCTCCTGATTCTTTAGCGTCCTGGACGCCCTTCACAGACGATGCGCTGCCTACCATGTCATTATTCGCCTGGCTTTCTTCCGTTTGTCCTCCAAATAACTTGAGTAATTTGGCGACATCGTTCTTAATGTTCTCGGTGTTCTCGTTGATGCTGTCCATGGTGTTTTCGAATCTCTCTAGCATCTGGGTATGAGATCGTTGGTTTTCATCCAATTGTGTGGTCATCTTGAGAGTTTCCTCGGAGTTTCCGAGAATAGCAAATTCCGTGGCTTGTTGGAGATGACCCAATCTCTTGTTCATGAGGGCTCTTGCTCCCCCAAGCTCACTATCTTCTCCCTGAAAGAGGTTGGTGATCCATTTTTTGAAACGACCAAGCTCAATGTACTTGTGCGCGAAGCCGCACATGTTGAGAAGCGAGGTAAATACCTCCATCAAGCAATTTTGATAGGCCCTTTTCTGGGGAAGTCGTGACTCGAGAATGCTGATACGTTGAAGAAAGCTGTTCATGTCTTCGAAGAAAACAATGACAATGTCGTAGTCCGCTGAGACTGAACGACAGGCCTGTAGTATGTAGGTCAAGGCCGTCCCAATAGCCGCGGCCGGGGGAAACGCTGGAGAAGCTGCCTCGATGATCTGGTTGGCGCCCTTTTCCACGTAGTCCAGATTAGAGGCAAGGAGGGTTCTCAGGCGGTCAACTTTGCCCTTGTCGTGCCTGAACTTGTGGAACTTGTTCATTTGTTCCGTTCCGAAGTCGAGCATGCTCTGAACGTTGTCGAATTTGCGTTCCAGGCTGAACCCGACAATGCCCTGATAGCCTTTCAAGGCTTCCTGCCAGAGGTCTTTGACATCGCGGTCGTCAGTTGACAGCTGTTTCTCGACATCAGATAACGGTTTCTTTTCGGCACTTGACATGGTCATCGTCGCACGAGTCTCGTTCAGTGGGATGGATGGTGTAGTTTCGAGGGGGCTTCCCGGCTGCGTGCTGGCATATCAGTTGTGGCCGTCAGACCAGATCAATGTAAGTTTAGAGATCCGCCGCTGAGAAATATGGACAGATATTTGCTCCATTTGTTGATGCTGACACTTGGCGTGATGCTGAGCGCTAATTACCAGCTCGTGCCGGACAAAAGATCTTTGGGGGGTCCATTTCGTGGGACGACAACCAACCCCCGATTGTCAGCCCATGCAGGGTTTGACTCCACTGCACAGGAATGATCTGGTCTGCGTCATATTCCACATCTAGACAGAAGTAGGGGCACAAGGAGCAGACGGAGCATCTCGCCAACGTCAAATTTCCTGTAAGGGGCACGAGTCTATTCAAAATTCCATTGAATTGTCATCAAAGGCCAGTGCCGTAGCAGGCTGGATAGGTATCAGAAGCCAACTACATGCGATCATCCTCACTCACTCAAGCTCAGTCTTCTGAACTCAAGCTTCTAAATGCAAATTCGCTTCGCTTACACACCTCTGTTCATCCGTATCACACATCTTTTCCAAACCATTAAGCCACCTAAGCAGACTCCTTGCGGACGTGGTTGTACGGGTCGTTGGTGTTGGTCGTCTCGATCTGGACCTGGGCGGGCACCTTGGTGTCGCTGGCGTTGTCGTGGACGAGGTTCTTGTCTGTGTCGTAGTCGGTGACACCAAAGAGCTTGTCCATGTGCTCGAGGGAGACACCCTTGGTCTCGGGGACGAAGAACCAGACGAAGAAGAACATGGAGAAACAGAAGCTGCCGAAGATAAGGTAGGTTCTGGATGACGTTAGTATCTGGCCTCGTAGATCTCAATGGAATCATGACTTACCCGTAACCGTGAGAGCCCGCGGTGGCCAACATGTTGGGGACAGTGCGGGAGACGATCAGGTTGAACAGCCACTGGGTGGCAGCAGCGAGGGCGACGTTGAGGGAACGAAGACGAGCAGTGGGGATTTCAGAGGCGTAAATCCAGCAGGCAGGACCCCAACCAAATTGGAAGAATGCAGCGAAGAGGAAGATAGCCACCAGTGCCATGTATCCGGCACCCGGGACCGGTTCTCCCTCGATAGGCGGGGAGATGCGGACGTAGAGACCAATGTAGAACATACAGAGACCTTGGGCAATGGACGTCCAGAGCAGTGAGCGACGACGACCCAAAGAGTCGGCCATGAAGAGGAGGAAGCAGATGCAAGCCAAGACCTTGACAATACCGTAGACACCAGTGGACAGAAGAGGAGTGGAGCGGCCAGAGATGCCGAGGCCCTTGAAGATAGTCGGGGCGTAAGTGTTGATGGCGTTGGTACCGGTCATTTGCTGGCAGATCATCAAGAAGATGGAAATGAGAGCGCGGTTTCGGTTGCCCTTGATGGTCCACATCTCCTTCTGCATGTTCATGAAGGTAGCCTCGCCGATGAGCTCTCTCTCGTGCTGCAGCTGGTCGACGATCTCTTGGAATTCTTGCTCGAGGTAAGGGTGTGTCTCGGGCAGGTTACGGAGCACCGACAGGATCTTCTTGGACTCCTCCCACCTATCCTTGCGGGCAAGCCATCTAGGAGACTCATTGCAGAAGAGCATGCAGACGAGCAGCAAAAGACTTGGCAGGCCTTGGATGGCTAGGGGGAAAACGTATTGACTCTTGCCGCTGAGGTTGACCTCGGCACCGTACTGATTGATAAAGGGGTCAGCATGCTGTATGACCTGATCGCAATGTTTGAGCGGTACTCACGTTGATCCAGAAAGCAATCATTCCACCAGTGACGATGAAGAGTTGGTACATTCCGGTCAAAAGACCACGGATTGCACGAGGGGCGTTTTCAGAGACGTAAAGCGGGTTGATACTGGAGGCAGCGCCGACACCGAGACCGGAGATGAAGCGACCGACGAAGATGGGAGCGAGTTTACCGAGAGAAGCAGCTTGCATGGCAACACCGACGAGGATGACGGCGGCAACAGAGACGAGACACCACTTGCGACCGAACTTATCGGTGAGCTGGGCGGCGGCGAGGGCACCCACCAAGCAACCGGCTTGGAGGGTAGAGACGATGTTGCCCGTCAGGTTGGCGGTGTCGACCTTGGATGCGTTCTCCAAACCGTAGTCACTGTAGATGAATGTTAGCCACTTGTATGAAAAGACTCCCAGCCGGATGTGTCCGCTTACTTCATGAATGGCTTCATGACAACGACACCACCAATGACGGAACTGTCCCAACCGAAGGACATGGCACCGAAACAGGCGGATGCGGCGAGCGCGAACACTCTCCAGCCGTAGATCTCGGCGGGGTCGTTCTGCATCGCCTCGTTCTTGACGATCTTCTTGAGAAGACCCTGCATAGTCGACATTTCGGCGGTTGTTTTCTCTGCAACAAGCCAGGCTCTGGCGGATCGGTGTTGCTACTGAGGAGAAAAGGTCGATCGAATACACGACACCTGTTCGTGATTGAGCCTCTGCAAGCCGAGAAGGTCGAGGGGCGCGGTGAGATGGTGGTGAAGGGACGGAGCGGCGAAGAGAGAGGGGACAGCGGATGTGAGGAGCGCGAGATGGCCGCCTTGATATATCGAGAAGCCAGGCCGGTGTTTTCCTTGCTGATCCAAAGTCTCCTCCTCCCCCAGTGTAACCGGGGACCCCTCACAGCTCTAAGCTACCTAGTCAGCAATTTGCCATCCCACCTCACGTTGGATGCGACAGAGGTTCTCCAACGGTACATTGTGTGCGTGAGGAGTACATCTCCGTCCGGAGCAATGGTCACAATCGTTCCTGTGCGTCTCCTCGCCGAGACCCTTGCTCCGTGCCTCTGGTTGGTCTTGTCCGCTCTCCAGCCATCCTTCAATGGAAGCTAGCTGTGCCTCTGGAAACCCCAGAAAATCGAGCCTCACTGAGTACCAAGACGGACGGTGAATTGTCCATGGGATTTTCCACCATTCACAAGAGGTGGGAGGACAGCCCGAGGACGCTGGGCCGATGGGGGCGGCAGAGTAACGTCTTGGCTTGGGAAGTCGGTTTTGCGATCAGCCGACCAGGTGGTATAATTGGAGGCTTCGGGGAAGGCGTGGGACATGGCAAGCGGTTTCTGGGGGTGTGCGGTGTAGTGGTGGTCTCCTGTTCTGTCTTGGGCGGTCGTGGCGGCCGGATGGGATGCATCGACAAGCATGGCCGCGGCCAGGCTAGTCTCAGAGGCTGGGCTGGGCAAGCTAAGGTAGCCGGATGGCACTTTAGTCAGATGCAGACACAAGATGGCAGGCCATGTGGAAGGAGCCAAGGGATCAACATGGGCACGAATAACGCATCCCAGTCTGAGCAACAAGCAAACGGCGATCCGTATGTATGTAGACCTTGACGGCGCATACCAAGACCCTGTCTGGCGGTTCGTCGTATCCGTGGTACCTGGTTTAAAGTTACCGGCAAAAGACGTTCGTGAGGAAATTGGAGATTGAAGTGAGGGGCCGGCTGTATGTGGGATAGCTGTCAAGCATCTAGATGATGGATCGGTGATGGCAGGCGGCAAGTTGGCTGCAGAACGGTCTCCATGTACAAACTAGCAGTCAAGCTTAACAGCAATAGGCGTGGCTATCTGGGGCAGCTCTGGGGACTCTATGGGGCCCCGGGTGCCCCAGATTACGAGGGGCGCACGGCGGGGGAGAGAAATGAGAGTTGACTCTTGAGAGGGCGCAGGTGAGCTGACGGGAGACACCAAGACGAGTGACTGAGTGACTGAGGAATGAATGGGTCTTCTTCCCCAGGATCACTGATGGATGTGGCCATTCTTCTTGCGGCATGGACCGCCGAGTATGAGCCGTTCCCTGCGATGAAGACGGCGCGTGATTTGCTGGGGTTTGCGGCCGGGTGTGTGGTTTCAATCACGAATTTAGGCTGCTGGTGGGGGTGGAGAAGGAGACGCAGAGGAGGAGACGAGGCAAAATGGCAAAGAGCAGGGGTTTGCAGGGTTGAACAGGTTGGTGAATGGATGAAGGCAGGGGAGAACAGGTTAGTGTGCTGAACTGAGTTTAGGCCCTATGTATCGTCATGGATGGAACATGTATGCGCCGACAGTCAAACAGGGGACTTTTTGGGAATGGGACGATGACAATGGAACGATGAGTGCTGGTCGAATTGAAAGCTCCAAGCTGAGACTCCGGAAAGAATCATAACAGTGAGTCTCTTTAGGACACCAACGACAACAAACATCAAATCACGGCTTTCCGCCTGGAAGACTAGTCCACATATCGACCGATCCCGTCCGGTGGATTGTGCGGAGAACGGGCGTAGGTGAGAGGATTGAGTACCTACATGTGGGATGGAGAGGATGGAGAATTGTTGGAGATCGCGGGGGTGCAAATGAGGGGATGGGGACGGGACAAGGGGGTTGTATGCACCACCGTGCCAACTGGGGACGAACACCAGCTGTTCATTCGTACATGTAAAGACCTAGAAGCGAGAGACAGGCACGAAGACGCTACATCTTTGGTCTCAATCTGTCAATGTCGATGAGCGCTTGACTGAATGTATCGACGGCGTCAAACACTTTAGTCCGTTCTAGTCTTGTGCGGCCCTTCTCCTAACACGAGTGTCGACCTCGGGCGCGACTCAAAACTCGCCGTTCAGGGCTTTTTGGATGACAGGTCAGCCACGCAAAACTGACAGTCCCTGAATCGAGAATCCCCAGACGCCAAAGACGGTGTGCCAACATCCCTAACCCCAAGCCATCCAACCGTGTTCCAACCACCACCACCCCGACTTCGTGGCGATGAACCAAAAGTCTTGGCCTTGCTCTCGATTTGACGGAAAAATTCATTTGCGCCGCTGACCTGAAGAACTGGATCTCCCCTAGTCTTGTTTGGCATTCACGAACCGAACACATTCCCAAAGCTTCATTCGTATCTCGGCGCCTTCGAAATCAAATTGTCCAGATTGATCTTGTCCCTTTATTCGTCGAGCTTGTCCACGTATACCCAAGCACGAATGAGGCATACAGGGCGCTAGCGAGACATGCGCCCAACTCGGCCAACATCATGCGATGCCACATACCACACTGCTCTGCTTCCGGACCCGAGTCCTCGGGCCCTGTCAACAACCATGTTTGCCTGCCAGCCATCTTGCACCGCCTGTGTTGGCGCGCTCCCGACCTGCTGATGGCGTACCGGGGAAACAGTCCGCACTAGTCGACGTGTGTGCCGCATAGCTGGTGACCGACTGTTTGGGCGCGAATGCGCGTTTGTCGCGTCGCTCTCAGCTTGCGCAGACAGACACCTTAAGATCACGAGACGCAGAATCAAAGAAATCCTTCCCAGGCACGCTCTGTTCCTCCAAGCCATCGCCTAAGTCTTGTGTGTTGATAGGACGGAAGAATTACTGTTTTTCAAGGCTTGACGTTGAAAAGCCATGCAAGCCACCAGAGCCTCTACGCGCCAACCCGCCACGCCTCTTGTCTCTGGAGCTTCGCTGTGCCAACTGTCTTGGTCGATCGAAAGGTTGCATTCTTGGGGTCAAGGCCGCACCCTCCTTCATCAAGTGTTGGGGCCTGGAAGCCTTCTAGCTTGGCGGTGTTGTCTCTCTTCTACTCTCCCCCAACCCGGCGTCCTGATGAGCCAGGGTTCTGTCAAACCAGCTGCATGGTCTGCAAGGCCCCGAGAATTGTCAAGAAGGGTAAGCGAAACTCGCAGAGTTCCTGTCAGATGTCAAGGCTGTAGCCGTACAGAAAGTTCTCTTTCGCAACATCTTGGTTCAATTGACTCTGCGTCTGCGATGTGGAACCCAGACAAGCCAGCAACCTCTTCATGAAATTCGTTCTTAGTTTTGTCATAAACCGGTCTCTGGATCTCATGGAATGACAAGCAGAATATCTCCTTACCATGGAATCAGTTCAAATGTACGTATTTCGGGGAGAAACCTTAGAACCGGGCGGCTTAGTCTGCCAAAGTCTCCCACTTTTCTTCAGCAATGCTCATCACCAACATCTCCCAAAGTGCTAACGTTTTCAGGGATTCCGATGAATCCTGTCGTCTATATACTCCATGTTATTGTGAGACAGGCGAAATACTCTTCTCGCGAACCTCTCGATGCGCTTCACGGCGATGGCGTATCCCTCTTCGAGCTTTCGACTGCACATATCAACGGTGGTGACCATCGAAAGCATCCGCGTTTAGGCTAACGCGACATGTAATATACATGCCACGGGTCTTTCGAATCACCCAAACCGATATCACAACGATCGATCCCAGTCGAGAGAGAAGGACAGTAGGAATCTGATGACAGAAATCTGATGACAGCAATCAATATTGGATGCAACCGCAGTCGGTAGGCCCGATGTTTCGCATTGTCTGCTACGCTCAACAGCTTCAAGATAGCCACCAGCCCTCTGGTCGAGATTCGAGGAAGGGTTGTGCAATTATCTTCGAATACTTTGCTTTAAAGACCATTACGTGGGCCAGCATCTCACGTCCTCACCTGTCTGGCGGAGGGTCGGTGGAAGATCTCAGGGCACATCAACACAATCTTGAGCCTCCCGGGCGACCCCTATACTCAGTACCGGCTCTCAAATTCTCTTTCTCAATACCTCATCTTCTATTTTCAAACCCAAAGGTCATGAAATTGATCGAATCGACTATTGATTGTAGAGTTGTATGTAAGGTATATCATGCCGCTGCACAGGCGAGTTGACCCCGACACGGCCGTCTCACGTGCAATATCCCCACGTCGAATAGCTGGGGGATCTTATGTTCAATATTTGAGTTGAGGGTCCTGGTGATTGGCTGCTCTCAATCCCACCAACGCAGATGACCATCCTTTGCCTCTTAAATCCGAGATGGGTCTCCTCTCCAGAACATCGATGACGGGGAGAAGAAGCCGATCACTGAGTCCAGTGACCATCTACACCATCCTCCATAGCCCAAGTTGCAGTGGCCGACGTCCAATGCCGCGTGAGATTGTTATCTTGGCCTGACTAGACCGCCGTTCTGCCGAGTCTGGCTCCATCCGCAGTGCCGAAGTCCCATCGCGCGTTTCGACGAGATGATGAACCGATAAGATAGCTCATCCACCAAACCGGACCCCATCCCGATGCAAAATCGTGCCAAGAGACAAGTGAAAAAACTCACACCGTCACGCTCGGCAAACATCCATCGCATTGGCGGACTCGGCCGTCGATGAAGCGCAACGATTCCATGCCGCACATCTCCTCCAAAACTTCAAGCCAAGAACACGGTATCAGATTTTCCCGTCGCGCAAACTCCAGACGCGCCCCGAAGGACCCATGAAGTCTTGGCATAACATCCCCAGAAAACGATCAGAAGCGCTGGCGACCCCCAAAGTCCGATCAGCCATCGCCTGCAGCTCGGTATCCGCAGCCCGACAGCACACCTCTCCCACATTCCTTGGCTGCCACCACCGCAACCCGCGCCGCGCAGCCTAGTGAGCGGGGAGAGATTTCTCCTGTTGCCAAGCCTCCTCAACATCCATCCCGAATGCCAAGAACGCCAATATAAAACAACGTGGTTAGAATTCGGCGCGGCGGGAACAGGTATGAGCGAATGCAACTTGAGTCTGGAGTCTTGGCAATTCGGAAAAGACTTGAATGATAGTGCCGCACGGAAAAAAGTCACCACGGAAAATGCACATTAAACTTCTTCAACGTGATTTTTATATTCTGAGTCATTATATCTCAAAGACCTATCTTGACCTCATTATCTCTCATAATCCACCAAAATATACTAAGATATATGAAATATGTGTAAGAAGCAGTGATTGGTGAGACTCGATCGTCTCATCACATGGATTGTCCATAAACAGGGGAGTTGCCCATCAGATGCGCCCTCAATCTTCCGTCCTCAAGGTCCTCATTCCGGAATCCCTCAGGCCATCTCTCTAATGGGCAAATCCCTCTCTAAGTTCTTTCTCTCTCTGTGTCTCTATAAGAGTGTTTAAGAGAGGGTCTTGGCGGCCCAGCCAAGGCGGTTGGAGGCACCATCGAAGACAACGAAGGCAGCCTTGAGGGCGACATCACCGAAGATGTTGATGCCAATGCCGGAGGAGCTCTGCAGGCCACCGAAGCAAGTGCTGGTGCTGACGGGAGCGTAGTTCATGTAGCTGGCGGGGATGGTGACGCGGGCGGAGCCGACGCCGAAGGTGAAGGAGGGGACGGTGGCGGAGCAGGGGAAGGTGTAGCCTCCCTGGGAAGAGTCGTACTTGGCGCCGGAGATCTTGGCGTAGTAGGCAGTGACGACAGACTGGGGGAGGAGGAGGAGGGTGGTTCCGGTGTCAGCGATGCCGTTGAGGGAGGTGGAGGTGAAGCTGGCGGAGCCGACAGAGTAGCCGGAGGAGGTGAACTGCCACCAGCCGTCGGAGTTGTCGATGCTGACGTAGGTGATGGCGCCGGTGTAGGCAGAGGAGTCGATGTAGCCGAAGTTGTACTTGCCGGCTGTTGTGGATGTCAGTATATGTTTACTGTCTCACTCGCGAGTGTGATATGAGACGGGAAGTGAAATACTTACGGGTGTTGTGTTTCAAGTCAGCAGTGAAGAGGTAAGCATCCAACTTGGACTTGGCAGTCTCGAAGAAGGTCTTCTGCTGGGTGGGGGAGACGGTGTTGATGGAGCTGAAGCCGAGACCCAGGAGACCGTCCAGGTCGCTCTCCTCGGAGAAGGAAGAGGAAACCTTGGAGGCGGCCTCGACAGCCTGGCCGGTGACGGACAGGCCGCCGACGGAGACGGTGTCCTTGTAGACGATACCGCTGGAGCTGGAGCCGTCGCCGTAGGAGATGGACCAGGTGGCGCCGGTGAGGCGGGAGGCGGTGCTGGACTTGCTGGGGTCGTAGACGGTCTGGCCGTTGCGCTGGCTGGACGGGGTGGAGGTGGAGAAGACCCAGAGATCGGAAGATCCGGTGTCGAAGTCGAGGGTGAGGGTCTGGGCCGGGGTGCCGATCTGGACGGGGCTCAGGTACTCGACATCGTAGTCCTGGGGGGTGGCGGCGACGCTGCCGGTAGCGCGCTTGGTGGCACCGGTGGAGGTGATGTTGGCGACGACGCGGGAGAGGTCCTCGGGGAGAGCCTTGCCGTACTTGCGGTAGGCCTTGGCGAGGGCCAGGGGACCGTTGCGGATGTAGCGAGGGTTCTTGATCTGGTCGACGGTGAAGCGCTTCTCGTTGGCGTTGTTGGTGGGCGCTCCAATGACGGAGGAGGCCAGAGCCAGACCGGCGGTGAGGGCGGTGATGAGAGTCATCTTGACAGACAAGAGGCGGAGCGAGAGACCTGAGGAGGAAGAGGACGGGGAGAGGCAGGAGATGAGAAGATGAGGATGAGGATCGAGGACGGGAGTGAGCCGATGAGGATGAAGAGGAAAAAAGACCAGATGAACGGGGTGATCAACAGAGCCTTATATCCTCATGTTCGACTCCACGACAGAGATCGCCGCCGTGTGTGTTGTTGTGGGAGGAACCCACTCCGGTCGATAGGTAAATCGCAATATCACTCGGAGTCGACCAGCGTTCACGAGGCTCGATAACGCCAAGAGGTGCCAACAAGGGATCGTCAAGTCAAGCTTTCAAGGTGACCGGCACAAGATAGCCGGGAGTTGAATACCACCTTCCAAGAGGGAGCATCGTGCCCATAGTGTCATATCCAGGCTGCCTGTCGCAACTCCATGGACTGTCACCGAAAGGGGGCCACTAGATATGCATCGTGATTCGAGAAGAGGATATGGGCCAGCTTAGATGAGTAGAGAGGTAGTTCAAACAGGAAGGAAAATAAGGACAGCTGCGGCGACCATTAAACGAGCCAAGTCGGACTGACTAGCCATGGTCCATCGGGGGACGCAAAACCAGGGACCTTGACGTAGCTCCATTCCTCCCGAAGAGCCAATTGCAACAACAGCCAGCCTACTCCCGGCTTCTCTGAAGGGGTGGGATGGGAGGAGGAGGACTCAAGGAGGAGGAGGGTTGGAGGGGTGGAATGGATCATGGGTGAGTGATGTGGTGCAAGGGTGGGCAGAGCGGAACAACAAGATGGTGGTGGTGGTGGGCGCAACCTTGGGCCTTAGCTTTTTCACAAGTTCCCAGCAGCGGGAAACTAGATGAAAAAGAGGCAGGTCGAATTCCCCAGCCAGACCAAACCGCGGCTCTCCGTTCGTCCAAGGCGGGAGATGAGATGAAAAAAAGCACAGCGCACGACTGGAGCAGCTGATGATGGGGCCGAGGGCGGGGGAGACGAATGGATTCACTCAGCCATGCATCTCGCAACCAGCCAATGCCAACGCCGGACGGGACCCCTTTTCCTCTCTTCGACAGATAGATCCTTGATCGTCTCTGCCATGTTCCCAGCGCATCTCGCGACAGCCCCGGACCGGTGCTCGAGTCGAACAGACAAGTCTGAGTGCTCGCTCACACGTACTCATACGGATACGCAAGAAGAAGGAAAATAAAAGCACCTACCTACTCGGGACATGGCTCCGGGAGTGGCCAGCCCAAAACCGCACATGGGGCTCCGAGCTGGAACCAGGCCCAACCATGTTTCCCATTGTTAATCGCCAATAACTGGACACAACAGCTGCAGACTGGCATGGCAGATCCCCCGTTCACTTCGCTTTGCCAATTCGCCTCGGCACATGGAAACAAGCTTTACCGCCAAGTCCCCACCCACAGTCCCGTATGCGAGCAAAGACTTGGAATTGCAACTCCAACCCTCCGCCAGCCCTCCGCCAAGTCTGGGGCCGCCCAGGCACGAGATCGAGGCCAAGACGGGAAGGAAGGCAAGGCGGACTGGGGTGCTTCTGCTGATGGTGGTGGTGCAGGTGATGGAAGACGGCGAGATGCGTGCGATGTGGGAGAAGGGATGGATTGCATGCGAGAGACATAGTCACAGACAGACACAGACAGAGCCCGCCCTCGTGCATGCGATGCGCTGCGCTGATGAGATGTCTGGGGGCCTGGACCCAAGTCTCCGTCGTCTCTTCTCTGCGTCAAACACCGGATCCCAAAGAAGCGGAATTGTTCGGCTGTCGTTGCCATCTTGGCGATACGTCTGGCCATGAGCTGCCCTGCTCTCATGACGTGCTGGCGGTTGCACCGGCCTGGACCCTGCCCTCCGTCGCATTCAACTCAATACAAGGACCTTCTTCGCGCGTATTATTTGGGGCTGGATGGAGGAGGGATTCATCATTCGGGAAGCTGGGCTGGGTTGCCTTTGCAAAAGTTCGTCCATGTCGTGCCATCGCTCGCACGAGCTGATATTCTGCCCGCGACTCCATGACGGAACATTTCACACAAACCTTCGTGACCTTCTCTCTTTCCCGATTGATCTCTTCGCTCCGTCGGTGCGCTGACTTTGCGGATGAGGGGTGAATCGTGATTTGTTTGAGCTTCCTCAATCGTGCTGGGCGTTTCTTCGAGAAGACTGCCGAGTCAGCCGGTCTCCATGTATTCTTAAGATAAGGCTCAAGAAGGTACTAGTCGTGTGCTCATCAGTTGAACAAGCGCCAGCCACACAGACTGGTGCAGACCAACAAGTACAGTCCAGTCCAGTCAGGCCAGTCCCATTGGATGTCGCAATATAGACAGTGGCGAGAAACTCTCTCGTCGGGTCCTCAGTCAGAGTCAGTCAGTCTCCTCTCTGCCGACCGCGCGATAAGGGCCGTTGGGCGCGGAAAACCCCCGAATAAGCATGATTGAATTAAGATTGCACCGTCGGAGCTCTCTCAGCTCCCCCGACACGGGTCTCCCCTGATCCAATGCTTCCTCACGGCGCAGTAAGGTGCCTGACCCTTGGGGTTCAAATTCAATTACGTACCGTAGACGCCGTTAGGTAATTGCCTGGTCGATTGATTATCGCGGCCCACTACCGCTGAGCAGACCATTGGGGATGTTTGCCCATCGCGGCAAAGCGGAGTGGGCCTTCCTTGGGTCGTTGCCCGTGCCTGTTTGGTGGTGTTGTTTGTTGACTTTCCATCTTTGGGTTATTGATGTTCTTCATCATTGTAGTGGTTGCGGCTGTCATCTGAACTCGACGAGACTCTGCGCTTCTTCCCCAAATCCCGACCGCCGTACCCGAGGTCTGAGGTCATTGCTCTTGAATCAGGGCCCCAGCTCTGAATGTTCGGGGTACTTGTATCCGAAGAGTCATGAAGTCAGTCCGACCACGTTCGTCTTTCCTCTTCACTGATCCCATCGTCGGTCAGGCACACACAGTATCACACACAACACCATACACAGCACGGCTTCTTTCGTCACTGGTGTTTCGTTTGTTGTATTGCATATCCCGCGAATTCCATCATCCGCCGATGCCGATTGTTTCCACTCTGTCCGGACACTGATGATGGTGCGTTCCTCCCAACCAAACCACCATCAGAATCCCGCACTGCCGTGCCCGCCCGCTGGAAAAGTCGGCGATGCGAAACTCTGCGCTTTGTGGTGGTGGTTTGGAATTGCGAGCGTCCGCGAGCATCGCGAAGCATGACGTCCCCCGCAGATGCAAGCGAGGCCGAAGTGAAAAACACCAACGGCCGGCTAAGTCGGTAACCACTCAGCTGCGTCAGCTGCAATTCAATGACTAGGTAGCGTGTTTGAAGGAGCGGAGGCTGCCAAAAATATTACCAGTTTGCGAAGGAAACTTCGCCAAACTATGAGGCTTCCCGAGATTTAGCAGCTGATGGAAACTCAAAACATGACCTCACCACATGCCGCAGTCCCGCGCGTAAGGTACTGCGTGCTTAGTAGATGGCCATTTTGTGCCCGTTTTGCCGATGCGAACATATGGCTGCAGACGGAGAGCTTCAGATGTACAAAGTGACAGACAGCCACCATCAGATCCCAGCCACACAAACCACATGGCCACTCGGCCGAACTTTATGTCTGCTTTTCCGCTTTTCTGCTTTTCGGAGATTACACCACGAGGACAGATTCCCACTCCTTTCCAAAGAGTTCATGCATTGTCATTATATGAATTGTGAATATGACCAAGCCCGGACCTATTGATACAACAGACAAACAACTTCTTCGACCAGACCCGCCAGACGATGTGTGCAGCCAAAAGAAGCCTTGATGATCTGAACGAACAGTTGCCCAAACGCCGTCATGGGGAAGAGAGAAACAACAAAACACCACCAATACTCCCCCCTTCGCCTCGAGGCGAGTGCAAAATGGGTATGATGAAACAAAAATCAACGCCAGCCAGCCACGCTGGGCCTGGATGCTTTCTCTATTTTTCCGTTGTTGGCCGCAACGTTGGCGGCGAGACTGCCGATGGTGATGCGCCTGTTCCCGAACCCGGCCCCGGCAACTCTGTGTTGCTGCGGGCTTCCTCCTTCTACTCTCAAGCTGCCTCCCAGGTGCATGCGTCTGGCCTGTCCTGCGGTGAATGCCCGATCACCCCGCATGTCGGGTGGCGAGCAGGTCATGGGCGGCGATAGCCTTCGCTCAGCACTGGCACGGCGGTGTCTCGAGATGCCGTTTGTGCTACTTGCGACAGGACCCGAGAAGCTGAGCGATTGTCGATGGCCCGAAGAGGTCGAGCTGACGGAAGAGACACGCCTCGCATTGGAAGCCGCAGTGCCCGACATGGATGAGATGCGACGGTGTTCGCCGCGAACCTTCTTCATGTTCTGCAGCGCCGACCGGATCTTCCGGGGGTCAATGCTCGGAGATTCAGAGTCGGAACCGGAGGCCGTCTGAGACGCCGGCGGGTTGTTCTCATCTACGGAGAGACCGGAGCCGGACAGCGACGTCCTTGGAGGCGGGCTAGCCCTCGCGATTCTAGAGCGGAAGGCTGGCGGCGAGAGGTTTGAAGAACGATGAACGTCGAGGGCGCGTAGAGGAGCCGAGCGACCACTGTCTGAAAGTGGTGAAGAGCCCAAGTTTGCTGTCATTATCGGGAGGGAGGTAGGTGACCCCGAGCCAACGGATGATACACGGGTGGCCCCCTTGGACAGGAATCCAGCCTGGAACCTGTTAGGCTTGGCCATTGGGATGGACCCAGTCTCCGGGAGCTCCAACGTCGGGCTCGATTCCGAGCTGAACGAAGTTGTGGTGTTGTCTTCCTCCTGGAGGTAGGATGGAAGCGCAGGCATCCTCAGGGGAGGGCCAAACTTGTCGGGCGAATTGTTCTGCTCCGGCGTGGAGTCGTACTTCTTAGGTGTCTTCTCGAAATCCGCAAGCCCCGACTCCGTCTCGTCGTCTCTCCAGCGAACGGCACGCTTGAACTCCATTTTCTTCTTGACAGGCGTGAAAGAGACTCCCTTACGAGGACTTCGCGGAGCGCCTGCTTTCTTACGACGGGGTGACGACTTCATAGGGGATGCGTGAGTCTTCTGGGGAGAGGGCTCGGGAGCCGGGACGAAAGCGGGTTGGGGCATGGGTGCGACATTGTTCACAACCGCCTTCTTGCGCTTTGGCGTTCCCTTCTTGGTGGGTGAGAATTTCTCGAGCGGGATCTTGACACCATCGGGCTTGACAATATTGGTCGCAGCCGAGAAGCCTACCTCCAGCAGCCGGTTGATGATCTGCTTGGCGTGCTCAACGGCCTCATCCTCGTTCATGGCGAGCGTATCAGCGAGCGATGCAAGCATGTCGAATTGCGCCGTCAGAAGAACCTGGACCATGGCGGCGTCGCCTGCCTTGTCCATCTCCAATACCTCGCGGTTGGCATCCCTGCCAAAGTTGGCCTTGAGAAGCTCGGCCTCGCGAGTCAGACTGTCGACCTCAGGGCCGTCAGCATCGCCGCCAGGCAACTGCTTCAGACTGTGGTGGAGGGCAGTATCAATTGCACGCTCCCAGTTGGTGCTCTCCAACTTTTGGTGGATGTGCTGGCGACTGTGCTCCAACTCCACCATGATTCCCTGCGCCGTCTTGCGAATGGCGACAAGGGGCGGGGGCATCGATTCCTCGTCTCCTCTGGTATCGCAAACGGTGTCAAACGATGCAATCCACGCAGAGAGCAGACCAATTCTCCTCTCAAAGGCCCGTAGCTTCTTCATGTTGTTGATCTTGTCTTTCCGCTCGGAGGCAGAATTTTCGTACGCCACACGCAAGCGCTGAATTCCCTCGCGGCCAACCGAGTTCTGCTTCTCCATCTGCTTGCGGAACTTGGCGTAGAAAAGCTTCTCCGCGTCCTTCTGCTGCGCCTTGAGCTCGTTGATCAAGGCCATCTGCTCGTCGATCTTGACCAAGAAATCCTTGACGTGTCTGTTTACGTTGAAAACGTTACGGGTAACCTTGGTCTGGATGTTCTTTGCCCGGTTGGCGTATCGGAGGGTGTTTTGCGTCTCGTCGAAGTGGACGCTGGAGGGACTGACACAGACAATCATGACAGTCTTGCAATTTCCACCGAGGGAAAACTTGAGGAGTCGAGTAAGCTTGCTGTTGCGATATGGTACGTGGTTGCGCTTGTGAGGGTCGCACAAGGCGTTGATACAGCTTCCCAGAGCCAAGAGGGATTTGTTGATGTTTGCACCTTCGAGGAGGCGCTCGCCGCGGTTCTTCGTGGCGCTGGCACGCTCGCTACCGGCAAGATCGATGATGCTGAGCGTGGCCATTGTGTGTGGTTCGTTGACGGACGCAGTGCGGTCCTTCTGGGCGACGTTGATCTGGAGGACGGCGTGAGATCGCGAGGACGTGGCGTTGGCCGCAGTCGGGGAGACAGTGCGCCACTCATTACCCTGCACAATCATGTCCATGACCTCCTGGACGTCCTTGGGCTGATGGCTGGTAAGACCTGCAACGGAGACGGCCTGGTTCGAGTCCTCGCGGAGCATCAATCCCTGTTTGCTGCCTCCGGGGACCAGCAAGTCGCGGATGGTCTCGTTGTAGATTTCGAGGTACGAGAGAGTGACCTCGGTGGTCTTGTCCTGGCTTCGCTCATTGATCTTCTCGAACAGTTCCTGCATGGTGAGGAAGATGATACCAGGGTGCTGTGATGTGCCGGTAATGGTGTGCGTCTTGCCGCAGCCGGTTGCGCCGTAGGCGAAGACGGTGGCATTGTAGCCGTCGAGGACGCTGTCGATCAGCTGTTTGGTTGTGCCCTCGTAGACATCGTTCTGGGTTGCGTTGTCGTCGAAGATTCTGTCGAACATGAAGGTCTGATCCTTGACCTTCTTACCTTGGGGGACGACGGATCGGCCGAACTTGTGGACGGGGTTGTCCTCTGGGGGGTCGAAGACACTGTGGAGCCTATATCAGATGATGTTGCGGCGCATAGGGAGGTGGGGGAGTGTACTCACAGGCACCTGTCGTCGATGACCTTGATCACGGGTCGGATGCCGCCTCTTTGGAGCTTGGGGGGCGCGGCGGCGAGAGAGCCGTCGCCCAAAAAGACGGTGCCCTCATCGTTTCGTGTTCTACATCCAGTCAGCACCGAGTCGCGGTGGTTCCCCTCTCCCATGTGTTGACGTACAATTGTGCAGCTTCGCGGATTGTGAATGGTCGCACTCGAACTGTATGTCACCGACGTCAGTATTCACGGCCACCGGCGTAGAGCTTGTGTCGGCGCAACGAACCTGCGACCGTGATGGACGATGCTCCAGGGTCAACGACCATGTTGGCTGATGTGGTGATTCTCTGTCGTCTGGTGTCTCGTGTGGGTGTTTGTACTCGGAGTCGTCCCGTCTATTTGAATCCAAGACTGTAAACAAAAAAGTCAAGGTTCGACAGGTGCAGGAGGCGGGTGCAATCAAGAAATAAACAAAGCCGCTCTGCAGCGCGAGCCGAGCATCAGGAGAGACGAGAAGAGGAGGGGAAAGGCGACAAGAAAAAAAAGAAGATTAACGAGATAGCGAAGCAGCTGTTGGGTTAGTGAATGAGGATGCTGCTCTGGTGGGAGTCGGCGGTCGAGGGGAGGAAGAGAGAGGAGAGAGAGAGTGGATGAAGATGCAGATGGATAAGAGATTAGGAATGAGCGTGCGTGAATGTCTCGAAGGGGTCTCGCACTTTCTCCAGCTGCCGTTATGTTAGTTACGAACAAGTCCAGGGCCTGTGACTTGCCCGACTGACGTTTGTTGTTTTCAGAGGGCCCTCACCCCCCGAGTGCCGCGTTGCCCTTGACGACCGGGAGCCTTTTTAGCGAGGCAGGAGTGGGGCCGCCATGCCGTTCTGGGAGGTTTGACGGGTCCACTTCAGGGCGCCTCTCCGAATACGGAAAGGCGTCGCCTCATCAGCCACGCAACGTTGGGGAGATGTGGCTGGTGACATATCTCAGCCACAAAAAACGCTCCGAGAAAGCAGCTTCAAGTGGACAAAGAAGTTGCCAAACTCCAAACAAAACACCACGACCCAGCTTTCCAATAAGGTCTGGTGTGAGAAAAGGTGGGTAGCCTAGTGCTTCAGAATGGGAATAATACGATCGCTGTTGAATTTTTCATTTACACTGGAGAACCATGTGACGACTAATTTTTGTCTTTGTTTAAACACCATCTCTTTTCTGCTCATTCACTCATCGACCTCCAACATTAGAACACGCTCAAGACAACACCCAAAACCACAGCAAACACACATGTCACAGCGCTATTGGCCCACGTCCTCGTGCTTATGCTCTTCTTGTCTGTCTTCTGCGCCAGTCGCGTCGCGTCACTTCCCACGACGCCAGGACTGCTGCTGAACGTTGTCTGGTTGTACTTGCCCTGCTCGTCCCGGCCCACGAGGAAGCTCTCCGGGGGCCCGAGGTACGACTTCCGCACGCCGCCGAGGTCAACCACGACCTTCTGCACGATGATGTTCGGCATGAGAGCCCATACCCGCAGCGTGTACGCGCCCTCCTGGGTGACGTTGAATGATGTCGTCGTGTAGTTGCCAGTCAGACCCCAGACGGCATCGCCCACGGCATAGCCCCATCCGTCGGGCATGTTCGCGCCTTCCGTCTTGCCAACCGGCTGGACCCTCTTGGGCTCAGGCTCGCTGCCGCCGGTGGGGTACAGCGAGATTCCGTACTCGAGCGGGTTGCCATCTCCGAGGTAGTTGGCAGACGGCGAGAGGTACAGCGTGACGTTGGCCTTGCTGGTGTTGGTGAAGAGGTACATGTTGTACTCCAGGCCGGGGCCCTCCCCAAGCTTGACCTTCTCCGCGTTGGCAGGGTACAAGCCGACGCCGCCGAGAGTGCGGCCGTAATTCTCAAAGGTGTGGTACTTGAGGCTGCTGTTGCTCGCGTTATTGCTCGCGGGCACGATGCTCTGGTAATGAGGACCCTCGATGGACACATGCCCGTCAGACTCGACAAAGCCTTTGGTGAAGTTTGACGGAACGGCGCGGTTGGCAACGGGAACGATGACTCTCTGCCCTTGGCCAGCGTATCTCTCCATCCCGCGACACGGGGTCGCCACGTTGATGTACACCTGCGTGGTGTTGGGGGCCTTGGGTGCGTTCTCCCAATCGATGGACACAAAGACACGGGCGTCAGTGCCGTTGTCGCCGCCGACGGCGCCGCTGTACTGCGAAAGCTTGACCCACGGCTGCCACGGGCTTGCCTTCCACTCGCAAGCCTGATTGCCGCGGGTGAAGATCTCAAAGTAACGAGTGGCGGCACCGTACGGGTCAAGAGGAGGAGTGGAGAGGTCGTTGGCGGAGTTGGTGTGCCATTTGTCGTCTCCCTGCACGCTGGCGTTGGATCCTTCGACGCCGACGCCGATCTGGCCACCCAGAGATGGAAACGCGGTCTGGACGAAACGCATATCGGGGAGTGTGTTTCGCATGGGTTGCTGCCAGTATCCATCGTATCCCAGATGGGTTTCTACAACTCGTCAGTGCCATCCCAGCCTCAGATTCCAAAGCTAACTTACGGTCAAGCATGTGCTGCCACTTCCCATCGAGGAGGTCATTCCATCTCATGGTCAGGTTGGCATCAGCCGCCAGCAGAGCCCTCGACTGGTCAATCACATCGTTGGCCAGGTTTCGCTTCTGCCCGGCATAGAGCTGGTTCTTGGCCCCGTTAATCTGGATCTTGTGAAGAATCTCTCCCGCCATGATGGGATGCAGAATCATCTCAAAGAACGCGGGCTGGTACTCCTTGTCGAGGGAATCATACACAGACAGGGCCTGCTCGTGCAGGATAGCCCACTGCTCCAAGACAGCATCCGCCTCGTTGTAGTTGATGATCGAGTACGTCTGAGGCTCCACCAGCTCGTACTTCCTGCGAGCAGCGTACATTCCATACCGGGTCATGATGTCTGTGATGTTCGCCGCGTGGTCGGCCCCAAATTCGCGGTCGGCCCAGGATTTCAGCCATCCTTGCGTGTTGCCAGGGCCCCATTTCTCGGTATCGTATGCAAGGTCGAAGAAGTGGCTGATGGGGATCTCGAGAGGCTTCAGATCGCCCACGTTGACGATCCAGATACGATCGGCCTTTCGCGCGTAGGCAAGGTACATCTACTTCAGTCAGTCGAGTTCAAACAAGACAACAGCGGGGAGAGTCTCACCTGTTCCGCCGTCTTTTCCAACTGGATCGTGTTAATCCACTTATAGTCGCGCGGATCACCGACATAGTCAAAGTGGTAGTAGACACCGGCACCACCGCTGCGATCAGTCTCATTGGTCAGAGGCAGTCGTCTGACATTGCCCCAGTTGTCGTCGGCCCAGAGAAGAGTGATATCCTCGGGTACATGAAGACCCTTCTCCTGGTATGACTGCACCTCCTTGTATAGGCACCACAGCGACGGAACAGTCGAGACATCTTGAATGCCGAGGCCATCGGCAATGATCTTGCGCTGGTTAGCAACAAGCTTTTCCAGCATTGTGATGATACCCTCGACACCCAAGTCGCCCTCGATCGCCGTGTCTCCAGTGCCGCGCATGGCCATGGTCCACAGACTATTGCGAGCATACGGCTTGGCACGCTCAACTCCATATTTGAAGTACTCGTCAATCGTCTGGTTGTTGAGGTTGTAGGCCCACTGGCCTTGGTAGAACGACTTGAACTCATTCTGAGCACGCATCAGAGGCTCCGTGTGAGAACCGCCGAGCACAACCTCGTACGCATCGAGAAGTGGCTGGTTCAGCGGGTCGTCAACGTAGACCATGCTGCCCCAGAGTGTCGGCCAGAGGTAGTTGGCGCGCAGGCGGAGCAAAAGCTCGCCCACCAGGCTGTAGAATTGGTGGTTGTACCCCGCGGCGTTGTTCCAAGTATCATTCCATTGCGTGCTGTCTCTTCGTTAGCAACCATCGGTAGACATCTGGGCCGTTTGTACTTACGACACCCAGCTGGAAAGCCCCGGCTGCTCGTCGTTGAGGAAGAAACCACGGTACTTGACCGACGGCGAACCTTGAACCTTGCGTTCGGGCAGAATGTAAATCTCCTTGGCCTTCTTCGTGGGCACATCGGCCCAGAAGTACCAAGGGCTCACGCCAATCTGTTCGCTTACATCGTAGATGCCGTAGATGGTTCCTCGGGGGTCGCTGCCGGCAACGACGAGCGCGCGGGAGCATCCCGCAACAGGCTCATCGACCAGCTGGCTCACGAAAGCCTCCCACTTTCCATCGACTTCGCTGACATTGAGCTTCTGCGCCTTCACGAGGTCGTCGATGTACTTTGAGTGTCCGATGGTGCCGGCAATGATGACGGTGCTGCCCGGGGCCGGGTCGGAGTACTTGGGGCCGTCGAAGGATTGCTTGTCTTGAACGCGGTACTTTACAAGGTCAGTCATTCCATCTTGGGCCAGAGCATCTTATCCAAGCCACTGGCGTCTTTGGACGATCTAGAGGACCTGATGAAGTTGGTGACAGAACTTACAATCGTGTTGTTGCTCACATCGACGGGAGCGTAGCTGTAGACGGCAGGTTTCGCGCCGCCCTCTCCATTGCTGAGAGTGTAATTTGTGCCGGTGACCCGACCAAAGTCTACCGCCAAATCTCCGGCAGCTCGAATGACGCCCCAGTAGTCCTCGCTGGACACAAGAATCTGGCCGGCTTTGACATTGCCTCCGGCGATCTGGAACGTGTTGTCGCCGCTTTTGAACGAGACGATGGCCTGCTGTCCCAAAGCTGACACCAGAGTTGTCAGGGTCGCAAGCGTTGCCCATGAGAAGGGCTTCATGGTGGGAGAGTTCCGACCGACCTGGTCGTGAAGGAGCTAGCGAATAGTGGCCTGTCTACTTGAGAAAAGACAGCCTCTGCCCACGGCTGGGAGGTCAAAAAGGCAGGATGAGAGACGCACGCGAGGCGCAAAGCAGGGTACGGGACAAACGGCATCACGGGAGAAATCTGGGGAACAGCTTGAGCTCTTATACGGACGCAGCTGAGTACCCAATTGACCGGCACGATACGACCCTCAGGCCAGGAACGGTTGGAGAACGAGGCCGGGATGATGCTTCCATGGGGAAAAGTAGATTGATCAGGCATGGTCTGGTAGTATCCAAATGTTCGCGCAACCAATTATGACACCACAGACGCAATAAGTCCTCTTGCCACCAATGATGGAGCGGCATTCGCACGCAGGGACATTTGGAGACCTCTTCTTACATGGGATGATCGTGCCTGACCGACGGTTAAAGAGGGCCACAGAGAAGCCAAGCAGCGTCGATGACGGGCCGGAGAGGGGGCGGGTTAGCTTCTTGGCCCCTGTAGGAAGAAAAGCCGTCTTTCCACGAGGACTGGGAAAACCCCAACCTCCAAGATGCTTGAGTCGAGCTTCCCCGCAGGACGGCGCACCGGCTCGAAACGAGACAGGTTACCGGCAATGGATGTTTACCCACGCGTTGGCCAAAGCAGCCACAGGTGTTCGCCGGTCAAAGTCGTTTGTTCTGTGGCATCGGCCATAAGACTCGGATGGGCTGATCTTGGCTACTTGGATCATTCATCCAGCTTAAAAGCCAAGATTCCAATACCTACAGAACTCAAGAAATAACAAACATAAGAACGAACGACGACGAGCAGACTACCCCAAAAGCCATCAATTTGGAGAACGGCGTGGCCCGGACGGCAAAAGCGACTGCGGGGAAAATGCAGTCCCGTGGCACCCAAAGTGGAGAGGTTGCATTTAGCCGTAAAGCGAGCCATCTCCACGAATTTGCCTGATGGCGTATACGGATACAAGCACGGCGTTCCGAGTACCGACCGCTAATTACCCGGCTCTGGGACATGGCGCCCTGGCCTTGGGAAGATGAGGCAATGCGTACGAGCCGTCCAGACATTTGAACTTCGAAACATTGTCGAACGAACCTTTGAGCTTCTCTGACCTACTGACCTTCCCTCATAATGACTCGCGATATGATGTTGGCAGGGGAATGCTGTCTGAGCTCTGGCCTGGCCACGTGAAGCCCTCACATCCATGTTGCGGCTCTTATCTGCTGTTACTAACCTGCTGGCAAGAAGCTGTGAGCCGTGCGCAAGGGCGTACGAGCCTCAGCCGAGAGAAAGTGATCTCTTTCAGACGTCCATGACATCGAAACCAAAGTGCTGCGTATGAGTCTCTCCTAAGGTTGGAGATCATCGTCAGGAGTGCCGCGCACACAGCTATCTGACTGACGTCCCTGTTGATGATGGAGAGAATCGCAAGGCCAACCTATGCTCATGCTTCCAATGATGATAGCCGAGAAAGATTGACTAGAGAGCTCTCCTTCAATTTGTGGCTGTCAAGCCCTGACTGATGCACACCGGAGGCGCGTTCACGAACAAAATATCATCTAAAGCGCCAAATCTGCAATCATGTTCAGCGCCATGGTTTGGGACGAGTACAATGACGGAATTTTCAGTGCATCCCTTACATTTTACGTACAACCTAAATCCAGCTACGCCGTTGAAACTCCGCTCCGATGGGATACCGTCCTTGCCCCGAGTATAGAAATTCGCAATCTCGCATGGAAACATCGTTGGGCCGCAGGTCCAGGCCGGACGTTTTGAGACCGCCGTGTCTTCGGCCCACGTCCAGCTCGAAAAGGGCCATCGATCACGAGGCAACCGGCGTCCAGGCGTATTTGGGTAATTGCGCCATCCGCTCCTCCGGACTGACTTCGGTATCGGCGTAAACCATCCTGACATTCTTTTCCTTGTCCTTCTTCGACTTCTTTTCTCCAGCGGCTTCCTCGTCCTCCGGCTTCGGGGCCTTGATGCCAGACTCGGCCCGGCGAATGAGCTCGTCGATTTCGTCGCCGTGCTGTGCCGCACCCGATACCAGCTCATCGACAGTCGATGCGCCAGGGTATTGAGGCGGAGCACCGGTACCATTCCAGAACTGGCCGCCGTACTGAGGCGGTCGTTGCGGAAGACCGGCAGCCGCCTCCGGGCCGCTTGATGGCCTCGCCGGCAGCGAAGAGCCGTTGTAATTACCGGACTGGTATCCCTGTTGGGGATATTGGGGAGCGCCAGGTGCAGCTCCAGGCGGGTAGGTCTGGTCGGGAGGAGCGCCGTACGGTGCTTGCGGCGGGGGGTAGGGAGAGTTGTTCTGCAGCGCTTGTTAGAGTACAGACTGCCATCAACAGGATAGTTCCACATACGAATGCACCGGGGCTTGCGCTTGCAGGGGCGCCGTTGGCAGGACTGCCGCTGGTTCCTCCAACTTGCCCTGCAGCCCTCTTTGCTCTATGCTCAGCGAGACGCGCCTTCAATTCCTCAGGTGTCTCAACCTTGAGCTTCTTGCGCGGCTGCTTTGCTTGTCCTGGCAAAGGGTTGCCAGTGGCAATACGGCGATCCTCCTGGGCCTGGTAGAAGTTCTGGATGATGCGGTTTCGGTGCTGGTCCAGGATGTCCTGGGGGATACCCTCCATGCCGAAGATCTCGACATCGAGTCCCTGGCGGTTGGGCAGCGCGTTCTCGACCTGGGTGAGAGTTTCTTTATGGACTTGGTTCAGATGGACGGAGAGACCTGGAGAAGAAAAACCGTTAGCTTGCGACAGTTTGCAGACGACGGCGCAAGCTCAACCAACCTCCAGCTGTGTTCAGACGACGTCCGCATCGGTCGCACTTGAAGTGCTTGGCCTTCTGGTGAGAAATGAGAAGCTTCAGATCTTCAAAATCACGCTCGCCTGGTAAGAAGTCAGCATGGGCATTCAGGCAATGGAAGCAAGCTTGAGCTGGGCGTACAGTAGTAGCACCACGGTCGAGATAGGACGTCCTCAACGTCGGGGTGGCCGCGCTTCTTGCCCATCGCGGCGATTCTGAATCGAAATTCGAATAACGGGAGCTCGAATGGGTCGTCGTTTCGTAAATGCGCGACTTGGCCACGCGAAATGGGATGCGGCTGTTGAGGTGACGTTCGCGAAGAGGTCCGTAAGGCAGGCGCCGAGAAGGGATTTGACGCGCGACAGGAGCTGCTGGCCAGCAATCAATCCGCTGAACCTTCGCAAGCACCGCCGACAGGACTTGAGAGCAATTGAGCGCTAGCCGGATATGGATTAGCCCATCAGCCACATGCTCTCGATCTTGTGGCTGGAGGGGAACTTGTGGCTAGTGAGAAAAGCCACAGATGCACAGCCGTGTCCGAAGCTGTGCCACAACCGTTTCGGAGTGTTCGGAGAGTTGATGGCGTGCGGGTACTTTCCAGCGGCAGCAGCGGTCGAGTACCCACACGGCCCTCCACGTCGCGGACTTGACCCATACGCGGGAGGTCAGGCGCGGCGCAGTATCATCCATCCTACGACGACACTTCTTCCAAATGCCCGGCTTATCTGCCCTCTTTTTTTCACATTTCTCGTCTTGCTTTCGTGTACATATTGCAGTCGCGAACGAAGACCAAACGGCCCAAGGGTAACTTTTACCGCTCAGTTGGTGCTTGATTTCCACAATCCCGACAGTGCATGTCAATCAGGGGCTCCGTTGGCGCAACTTCACAAGACGGACTTCTTTAGCAGAGGAACGACACCGTGCCAAGCCCCGCTCACTTCACATGCTGCCAGCCCCTTCTTTAAATCATTAAGTCTGGCACTTGGTCATTGCACTATTTCTCATACTTCATTTTCTCTTTTTTCTTGGCCAAATTTGGAAGTTCCCAAGCTTTGGTTGATTTCATTATTCTCGCCGTCTGACTGGACTCATCGCAACATCTATCACGGGTTATCTGAGAAACGATGAGGGCCGAAACGATGAGAAGCGCACTTCCAGATGAGCTTTGGGTCTCTGTGCTCTCCCATCTCCCGGATTTCAGCTCTCTCAAAAATGCAGCCCTCACCTCTCCAACATGGCTTCGTTGCGCCCCTTCAGCATGCCGTCAGGTCATTCTAAACGAGATCGACCGACGAGTTTTGCCCGACACAATCATGGCCCTAGAGTCTTCAAAGTTCGATGCCAAAGACCACAATCTTGTCGTTGAGTATAGCGATAAATATGTTAAAGAGCGACCGCTCATCCCTCACAAAATTAGCCTCGCCGACGGAGCCGCCTTATCAGATCTGCATAAATGCACTCTTCATCTCACAACCAAATTTCAAGACTTTGCATTGCAACGTCTCACCAAAGAACAAGTAGGCCTCGCAAGCGACCGCCGAGACTGGCCACAACCTCCCCCGGTAGCGGATCAACCCTCCGCACTGGAAACAGCCCGCTTCCAACGGGCACTCTACCGCTTCGAGGTTTATTGCAACCTGTTCAAGGATCCAGAAGTCGTGCGGTTCAATCTTGACGTCGTCAACTTCCAAAGAGCACACTTCTTTGACTACCTCTCGCCTTGGGAGATGGAGCAGCTCGTCGCCGTGAGGGATTATCTCGCAGCTGCAGTCATTGGACCCCGTAAGCAACATCTCCCCGTCGAATCCCCACTATGTCTGACTTGCGCCTCCAGCAATACATGCTCTCGTGGAGTTGAGAAAGCTGGAAGCGTTATCAAAGCACCACTGCGGCCCCATGAACGGAGCACAAGTGGTCTACTGGACCGGCCCCATCCTCCCGCCCAACTTGGAGCGGGGCGAATGCCACATCAAGCAAAACCAAGCCAGACTCCTGTGCTTCGGTATCAAGTTCCTTTATAAAGTCTCCATGACGCCTGCTACCAAGTTCTATCAGCTCCTTGCCTCTCTTCCGCAGCAACCACGCTATGCCAGCTACAACCGAGTCGGCGACATCTACGTATGGTTCTCCGATGCCGTCGACAAATGCAATGAGCTAAACACTCTCGACCTGCCCATTGAGAAAGCCGTGACGGCATGGACGCCTGAAGAGTGGAAAGAACACATGCGGCGATCCATAGTCGCCGATGACACCGACAAGGGGCCTGAAGAGGCATGGTTTTGGGCGTACCAGTGGTTCCCCGGGTTCGCCAACAATGACCTGCGCATGACCAACTGCCGGCTCTTTGGGCTCTTTTTCTGGGACTCGGAGCGCCTCAAGAAGCTCAACTTCTTTACGAGAGTGGACTTTTGGTGGTGGAGGTGGGAGGGGGGACGTCAGCCTGACTTTGACTGGGACGTCGGCGCCAGTAGCTTTCACAGCATTTGAAGTGGTGCTGTCTTAACGGAGGAAACTATGGAGCAAGCCTGGAGTAGGCTCGGGGATCACGATGGTATAGTGGAGTGGGCAGACAAGATCAAGCACGATGACAAGGTAACATTGGCAGAGATGAAGGGGCTGCTGAGAGACCTGATAGACTTCTGATGACTGGATGGTGGGATATAGGTTCGGGGAGCAGGGCATAGTCTTATCGATAGCGATGGATGAGAAGGGTTGGAAGGGAGGGAAGTGGATTAGGTGAGCAGGAGGGATGATGATTATGAAGGATGAACAGAAGAGGCGAGTATGAGAGGCAAGTGGGGGGATGAAAGCTGGGGAGGCAACGGAGCTTTGGCGGGAGGGTGCACGGGGCAGGTAATGAGGAAGAGTGCAGTGTGAGGGTCACATGACAAGAGAACTTCCGTATCTACTTCGTACGGCGCATCGCAGAGCTCATCCGGGACCACCATCAAATGCAAGAATTGACGAGCATTGCCATCCATTTGATTCCATCACTCGAATCTCTCTCATATGACCCTTCAAGGAAAGACAAGAGTTTTGGAATGCTCGCAATGAACCTGCCGGACTTGCAGCTCTTCGAGGACCCCAAGAAGACGCCACACGACCCAGACGAGTGAAAGAAGAAGTGACAGCATGATTCATCTCCCCAGAACACATAAAGGTACTAGGGATGGTATCAAAGACGAGCTTGACAACGGAAAAGAATAAGAGGCCATCAACACCGCTGGCCTCGACATACTTACTCCAAGGCTCGCCAACAGCTTCCAGCATCATCCAACGACGTCTCCTGAACCCTGCGAGCAAGTGCATTGATTTGGTGAACTCCAAAAGACCGAATTGGTGATGATATCCAACTTGGATGCTATCAGAAGGAAGAGGAGGGTAGTGCGGGCCAAGCTGTGTCGGGTCGGGTCGAGGTGCTCAACGGGGGTGAGTGGAATCCTGCTCTCTCATTGGCCCATGCCGAGGAGAGTGCGCAGCAGGGACACTCACCACATAAAACCCGCTGGCATCCCACCACCCTCCTTTCCTCAACCTCTCCCTCTTCCTCTGGCTTCTTCACTTTTATCAGAGAACTTTCTCCTGGCACCCAAAACCAACTTTGGCCATCACTTTGCACCTTGCCTAGACCACCCAACACCATCAATCCCCTTCAGCTACCACTTGGAGCTGCCCCTCCTCCTCCACCGGGCTTCCTTCCCACCTCACTGGAGGCCCTCACCACCTCATCTCGACCACTCCTCCTCATACTCCCACATATACCACCAGGTAATCACCATCCATCATGACAATCAACACTCTCCTCTCTCTACTACACAATGCTCATCAGTAGACAGGACTCACCCAACAATGGCACTCGCACCCGTCACCCTCTCATCCCGCTCAGAGGCCACGAAATCACCGCATCTCAGGTCACCAAATCGCCATTCGCTTCAAATGGACTACAACATGGCGTCATCGCAGGGCAACACTTCCCCTCACCGTTTCACCACCTCGCCTGCCCTCCTCAGCCCTCGCGGTCAGCTCACACCAACATCACTCAACCAACCCTCGCCACGCGGATTCCACTCAGAACCTTACTTGCCCGGCCTTCTCCCGGGTCACATGACCGAGGAGTACTCCCACGGCACCCAGAGACCTCGTAAGAAGCCCCGGACACCCCAGAGGACCAGCAAATCGCACAAACGCGACCGGAGTCAGAGCAGCCTCCTCGCAATCGGGTCATGGAGTGACCAAAGCAGCTACCACGACGCCCATCTCTCTCGGGCTCATCGCTTCCACGACGCTCGCCGCTTCGATGATGGACCCGACTCCAAGGACCTCTCGGCTGCACCCGAAGACGACTTCATCCTCTTCCCCGACGACACCCCGGAGCCCACTCTGGTGCCCTACGAAGCAGCGCCCCCACCACGGGCACCCCGCATCCCCCGTCTTCGCACACCAGACCTCGCTCCCCTCTCAACAGACGTCCAATTCTTCCCCTGTCTGGGCGACGAGAGGGAAGAGGACAGGGTCAACGAGACGTGGTACCTCGCTGGCCGAGAGAGGGTCGATTCACAACGTAAGCACTACCCCACACCTCACGATCTCACCTGTTGGTGTTCATCAGTGGATCTGCGACTAACCATTACTCTAGTGAACGATGCCTTGGCTTATATGGCTGGGGTGAAGGCAGGAGGAAGACGTTGAGGGATTGAGTGGTGGTTTGGAGTTGGTGACGATGTCGTTTAGCGGATATTCCTGCTGTTTCCTACTTGTATTGATGAAAATGGCCCAGCCAATGCAAACATGCTGAGCCAATGGCGGTTTGGGCTAATGTGACGATGGTATCGATTTGGCGCTGGGCGTTGGAGATGATGAACCTTGACCAACTCCTTTGAAAGGAACTGTCTGGAAATCGCAAAGTTAACGAATTGAGTATGTTCATACCAAAAGCCTTGAGAGTGATGCCTTGAAGATTATCGTGAGTGAAGTCGTCACTGTCGTCGTTGCTCGCAGTGTCCGCACGCATGCAGAGCCACCAATACAGTATCACGACCTTGCTTGTAAGTCAAGGGAGGAATAAACCATTTGGCCCAGAAATGAAATGAATTGAAATGCAAGCGCGTCTACTAGATCGATTATCTGCGCATGCTTGATGTTGAGAGAAGGTATCATGAAGCCCTGCTAGGACTCCAGCAGAGTCCTGTGCCGGGGTCCAGACGAAGAAGAAGAAGAGGGAAGGACGAGGTGACGTTGGAAGCGGGAAGAGCTGGGGGATGCGGGTGGGGAGGTAGACCCTGAACAGCTTGGATGGTCCGTGCACAGAGACATTCTGCCTGACCGAAGGCAGACTTTCTCACCGAGTCTTACCGAGATCCACCGGCGCTCACCGACACTCACCTCATGCTATCCTGGTTCTCTGACCGACACTTACCTCTGATGTCTAAGTCTCCTGCTGGGCCCCCTTCCCTTACACGCTTGTTTGACCTTAACATCATTGGACGATAGTTAAAACTATGTGCTTGTAGTTTCTGATTAAACTGGCCCTAGTCGGTGGGGTTGGCGATGGTAAAGCCAACTTTCAGCCTGGCTGCCCGGCCTGGAATAGGCAAATGCGAATTCTTGAGTATTGATTTTTTTTGTTTCGCAGTCGAACAGGCGAGCTCGCTCGCTGATCAGTGTATTATCTGTCCATGTAGATTCTCTTACATCGATCTTCGAATCTCTTAGGAGGGGAAAAGAGTTATCATAGAAAGACGGGGGAGAATAGACCGCATCAATCAAAACATCTCTTGCATCACGACTCGATGAGCACTGGGGCTGGCTCTTTTCAAAGCAGCAATTTAATTCAGCTCATGAGAATCAAACACGCGATAGTCCACATGCAAGAACGGACCGCTGTTCCGAATTTGGCGTGAGAAGCGAGCAATAGCAGAACCATGATCCGCGGCCACCACCACAGATACCAAATTGGGAATCAGCTGTACGATGCAAGACAATTAAGCTTATTTTGACGCCCATGTGCAGGGTGTTGTTGGCTTATTGCGTCAGTAATGTCGGCTATCCAGCTTGCTGACATCCATTGCGGCTGCGGTACTTCGCTGCCTTTCCACTCAAAGAAAAGGCAGGCTTCCGATCAGAGAGGTGCCTGTTTCCTTTCCAGAGGGGTGTCTTGATCCAATTGAAACTGCTGATCTTTTATTCAAGGAAGAAATTGCGGTGCGGAGATGCGTGAGGAAGGACCAAAGCGCAGGATGCCACTGCCCCATTGAGGCCTCAATCAACCCGCAAGGTGGATGAGGCCAAACGACCTCCACTGTCAGCAGCCGCCATTCGACTCACAGGCCGACAAAACAAACCTTCGACAAGCGGCCTCAATGTTTTTGTCCCTTATTTAACGTCCACTTCTCTTCGAGCGTCCATTATCCGTCTTCCATCTTCCCCTCAGCAGGCTGTACCCTCCATACATCAACGATCATCGCCAAAGACATCCCGACCACACTTCCCATAAGAGTTGACGTTCCCTATATACTCGCTTTTATTGCCTTTGTCGTCGTTGTCATTGCCTTAGTTGTCATCGTCTATCGTCGTCGTCCGTCGTCGCTGTCCACTATCTTCGTCTGCTGTCGTCGTTTGCTGTCGTCATGGCGTCCCAGACCCATCTCCGACAACGCCTTCTGCAGGATATCGCTGAGCTTCAGCGCGAACCCTATCCTCGGATTTCTCTTCGCACGAGAGATGAGGATCTTAAAACAGCTTGCCTGGTTGTTCAGGCCGAGGGTTGGATGCCGATCCACATGACCATCGAGTTTGGAGACCGATACCCTCTTGTCGCCCCTAGAATCAAGATGGACACGAAGATGAATCATCCCAACGTCTTCAGCTCGTACATTTGCGCGTCCATTCTCAACACATCCGAGGGGTATACGCCCGCGTACACCCTCAAGGGCATCGCTATCCAGATGCTCAGCTTCTTCAACAGCGAGAACGTCGAGCAGATATATACTGGTGCAAAGTACGGTCTCAAACACTTTCGGCAAGAGAGCTTGGCCATGAAGCAGACTTTCGTCTGTTCCCGCTGCGATTTCGACGGCACGCAGACCAAGGCGGATATTAGGAGACTTCGCCGGTATGCCACGAAAGCGCAGCCCCCAACCGAAGACGTCCAGACGGAGCAAGAAAGACACCAGCAACTTCAGTGCACCCTCTCCAAGCTGCCGGACGAGTTGATCTTGGACACCCTCGAGAACCTGGACTTTGAGGAGCTGATTGCGTTCTCCCACGCCTGGCCAAGGATCGCCAAAATTATCGCATATTTTGACTTGATTCGCCTGCGAGAGCTGCAGTGCTTCTTTTCCAAAAGGAACTTCCAGAACGCGAAGCTCGGTGTGGGAGTCGAAGTATCAGGCCAGGGGAAGCGTTCAATTGAATCCGAATTTGACCTGATCTCTCAAGCAGCCTTCCGCGATCTTGGCATTCGCCTATCCGTCCACAACCTCCGCTTTCAATATTGGCTTCCGCTTCCCATTTCACGCCGGCACTGGAGATCCGTCCAGGAGGACGTCCCTCCCGTCTTGGATGCCATTGCAGGCAAGACGAGTCTGCCAAGTCGGTCCTCTGTCGACGTTCTTGCAGCCTTCATGAACGACATTGTGGTACGACTCAACCAAGTTGAGGCAAAATCGGCGCTGAGAAGGCGGTCACACGATTATGATAATGGCAAGGTGAGCCGGAAAAGCACCCTTCGCCATGCGTCAGAGAAAGCGATAGAGTCCTATTTCCATCTGTACCACCTCCTTCTCTGCCTCGCCACGAGCGACGAATCGCTCGTGAGAGCCGCGAACGCCAAGATCAAGAACTTCATGAAGGGCCAGACCTCCAAGGAAGCCTGCCCCAATCTCGGCCATCTTCTCGTCTATCTACTCATCAGCGACGTAGCAATCACGGAGAAGATGCGCAAAGCCATTATTACAGAAGCCATCACGAGGAACGTTGTCTGGATGCTCGACAAGAGGGGTGCGAACAGGGTGGAACTCAGTTACCTGGAACCGGACAAGGTCTCGACATTCCGCCTGCGCAAGACCTTCGAGGCAAGCCGGACGTCATATCGCCTGTTGATGTTCTCCGAGCTTTTCCGGCGCATCGCCAGGCCATCCAATGAGAAGAGCCTGGTTGAGGTTCGGGATGAGCTATTCGATCGCCATGGTGCGCCACCCCAAGGGGCTGCCCTCCAGCTGTCGACCGATGTCCGTCGCCTCCATGACATCGACAACTTTCACGACTTCTTTGGCGAGATGGGTATCGAGAACAAACCGAGCGCAGAGTGGTTCACCTCTCATTTGCGAGAGTGTGTGAGGAGCAGCATGGCAAGGGGGTACTCTGTGTGGGGTCTGCCGGCGACTACTGCGCTGGCTCTTAGACGTCAACTTGAGCCAAGCGTCGGGCTTTATGGAGATCAGTATGTGAAAGCGCCGCCAACGGCTTCGAAACTTCAAGGCATCACCTTCTTCCCCAAGAAGAAAGGTCAGCAGCGACAGGTAGTTCGAAGATAGGAAGGGGAGCCAGGAGGTGGAGGCGCAAGGAGTTGGATGTGATACCCAGGAGATGATCTTTCTTTCGTACTATGTAGTTTGTCAAAAGCTTCGCTAGCCGGAGAGTGTCCATCACACACGCGTGTAAATCGTATATCCTAATAAGACCCCCTGCTTTTCTTATAGGTGCGAAAGCGACTGCGTTTCCCGTGCACTCGCTTTTATCATCTCTATCGTCATCGTTGTTATCATCGTCGTCCGTCATCGCCGTTCATCATAGTCCTTTGTCATCGTCCTCTACCATCATCCTTCCTCCTCGTCATCTTTTTCTCTGCTGCTATCGTCTTTATCGAAGTATCAAATATGCCAAGGTTGAAAATCATCGGAGATAATTCCCTGGTGGCTAACTCAAACTTCCCGGCAAGCAAAACTCTTTGTCAATACAGTAAAAATCATCGTCAGTTAGTTCGTCGTCACTAACAGAAGTATTACAATTAAAGATAAAAAGATACAAGCAGGGAACTCATTCATTGATGATAAATGTCTGAATATAACTTGACGCGACTGCATCAACTTCGATTTCGCCTCTCCCGCCTTAGCGCCATGCGTCGGAAGGGGGCTCAGCCACCAAATTAGCCAAGAAACGCCCACGACAGACCGTCGACTTGCTGAATCCCTGCATCAACGTGAAGTCTGATCTTTAATTAACTTGAAGGATCATTCGGAAGTCGCACCAGACCCAACTAGAGCGTTATCGTGGTGTCATTCCCACCAGCCTTAAGCTGGTGCGGGGTGAACATCCATCGATTAAATCTGCCGCTGAATCCTCTTTCACATCTGTCACGTTCCGAGATTCCAGAACTTCTTTTCATTTGGTTCCTTATCCTTCCATTGGCACCAGAAAAACAGCTTCCATAATGTTGACAAGCGGCACTCTCGTCGTTGTGGCAGCACTGCACCTGGCCACGGCCCAGCTCCTCTGCTACTTTCCCAACGGCAGACAAAGCACCGATGTGCCATGTAACGTCTCCGCCCCAGTGAGCATGTGCTGCGGCTCATCGAAAGCGTGCCTATCCAACGGCCTCTGCCTCCTCGACGACACGACATCGAGCAGCGGCAACAGCTATGCCCGCGGGACGTGTACCGACCCTCAATGGACCAGCGACCTGTGCCCGAAGCAGTGCCTCCTGAGTAAGAAGCCCTACGCCTTCGCCATCAAGACCTGACGAAGCTGATAGGCACATAGACCAAGATTCGCCAGACAACTCCTCGGCCTACGATTTCCGCAGCAGCGGCGTCCAAGTGTGGGAGTGTGACCGGCAGGGGTACGGCGCGGAGGCGGAGTACTGCTGCGAATCGGACCGGGAAAAGACACGGTGCTGCAGCACTTCGACGGCTGTCTTCAAGCTCCCTGCCGCGACGGTTGGCAACGCCGTGGGCCAGGTTTTGACGACGACGACGACGACGGCGGCGGCGGCAACAGCTACAACGACAATAAGCTCCGCGAGCCAGGGCGCGACCAGCACGAGTGAAGGATTCGCGACTGCGGCTGCAACCGCGCCGGCATAGACATCAACAGACAAACCCGATGAACCTTCTTCAGGCCTCAGTGTCGGCGCGATTGCGGGCATCGGGGTTGGAGTTGGTGTATTTGTCGCTGGTTTGGCCCTTTTGGCGGCGGTTTGGTTTTATCGGCGCCACGCGAAGAAAACCAAGGCAGAGGTGCACGGCGAAGTTACTTCGGAAAAGTACACAGGCGTGAAAGAGCTGGAAGGGCGACATCTGTATGAAATGGATGGGGCGGGGGTGGTCGAGGTACCAGGAGAAGACCACAGACATGAAATGCCACCAGCAGTCAGAGACGCACGGTAGAAGCCAAGAAAACTAGGCGTGAGCAAATTTATGAGGAAGGAATTGTGAGAGGACTTTTGAACCCCTGAAACCGTCCCGCCTCACGCAATCTATGGTATCTCTGATAATGATTAGAAGAACGCTTACTCCATCATTGTATGGAATGCAGGTTCGCAGCCCCGGAAAGGTCTGGCAGACCTCCCCATCCCCATGCGGATAATCGCTGGTGTTTTCATGCCACCAAACCGATGCCGACGACACCCCAAGATAATAAAATGCTCACCGCTAACCCAACGCCGCCAGTATGCAAAAAAGATGCCTTTGTATAGTCTGCTCAGCCCCGAGCAGGGGCTTGTTGCTTCATTTGTATTCTTCTGAGTATCATGTAGGTCGATCTGGGTTCGAACTTTTCCGTCTTGGGATTCCAGTGGCCCCAAACGTCAATAACGACGAAGCCTCTGGGCAGCTCGATCTCGACAAAGCCGGACACCAGGATGCAGCCTCGCGGAGGGTAAGATCGGGTAGGCTTCCATGACTGTGCCAGTTTCTTTCTGAACTCGCGGGCAGGGCCATCTGTGATCTGCTTCATGCCTTCGATGTGAGACATGGCTGTGTCCCTGACGAAGTTGGTCCTGCCGCCGCTCTCGGGTTCTCCCGATTGTCGTGAGTCAGAAGTCTTGCTGACATCGTGGGAGGCGTTCTCTGCAGGAGTTCCGTCCGGGGTCTGTCTGTTAGCTGAGGGGAGCGGCCCTTCAGACTTGGTCTGCTGTACATTGCCGCCTGGTAATGACGGGAACGGCGACATCGGCTTGCTAGGCTCGAAGCCGAGCGCGCGAGATATGCCCTCGAAGTGCTGCTTCACCAGGGCCGACGTGAAGGCCCATGTCGAGAGTGTCATGGCTTCTGGCCAGAGAATCTTGCGCAGCCTGTTGACTGTTAAAGAGTCGACCGGTTGAGTTGACCAATAAAGTCCGTCGTCCTGCATCAGCAAACTGCGCCATGTTAGTACGGAGCATGTCGGTATGTCTAGGGTACAAGCCATAGCACAACGTACCCAGAAGAGTAGTATACTGGCGGCGGACGGTATGGAAAATCTATGTCCAGCCAGTATCTCCGCAGGTTCACCACATTGCCACACCTCGCCGTCAAGGTAGGGTGCCTCTCGACAGCGCTTCGCACCCAGTGGGCCAGGTCAGCTGTACACCAGAGTCAGCATCTATCGCGATTCTAGTCGGACTATTATCCATACCCCGTATGTGGTTTTGGAGCTCCTTGTCCTTGCTAATCCTCACGTATTGTCGCCACTCCGGGTCGGTGCCCTTGTACGGCGGCTGGCTGACTTGTTTCGTCGTAAACGGGAAGGGAATAAACCAAGGCTCGGTCTCCTCATCCATCTCCTCATCTAGCGCCTTCTTCTCGGCGGCCGAAAGACTCTCGTATTCGCGGTCGACATGTCGGAAGAATGGGTTAAGGACGGTCGACCAGTACATTTGCCAACAGGCGAGCGAGATGCCTGCGCCGAGGAAGAACGACCTAGCAGTAAGTCAGCTGTAGTCCGATGGAGCAACGGAAGTGATGGGTGCGCACCTGGCCCTGAATCGAGACTTTGTGACCTTGACCCTCTGGACGACGATGGTCTGTTGGCCTTGGACCTTCGGAGCGAGCGCCCGAGCAGCGAGAGTGCTGGCGCGTGGCCTGAAGAAACGCCACATCGTATATTCAGAGGGGCACGCCGAGCGACGGCGGCCGTAATAGGTTCGATAGCAAAAGGATGTCCCTCTCGTGCAGCGGTGGACCGGTGGGGATATCGGAGTCGGGGGAGACGGACGAAGGTTGGTAGGCTGCGATGACTGATGCGAATCGACGTGGGTTGCCCGGCGGAGGTGGGATGGGATGGAAGTGACGGGACGGCAGGCAGATGACCGTGTAGTTATGCGAACAAGAGGATGAAAGAAGTGACACAGACGGCGCGGCACTTCTAGCAAGGCTGACGTGGTTTGCCGCGACTCGAATGCAGCGTTTTGCTGTTGTTTGTTCCAGAGGCAACGGCAGCCCGAGGCGACTCCAACATCAAACTGAACAACAGCTGCGGCTGCGCTGCGCGGCTCTCTGTGTCTTGCTGCCACCAAGTTGCCGACCCAGTGCAGTGCCTCCGCTCAGGTTCTCGGCCGGAGTTCTAGATGCATGTCGGCGCACAGTGTTTGTTGGTTCCCGCCCCTTACCCCGCCAGTGTATCGGTCCCCCTGAGGGATGCCTGCCGATAGCGCAGCATACAGTGTGGATGCTCAGCATGCACGGGGCACCCTCATCGATGGGCAGCACGACCCCTGCTCCACTTCCCTGGACCCCAGGTAAGGGGCCAAGCCACAATCGGATAAACGGTTTAACCGGCTGCACTAGCCACCTTGATCCCGCCACGGGGTCGCCAATGGATCCAGACAGGCACCTGGGACGTGCTGCGACAGCTCCCGTCGACTTACGTGCCGACTCGACGCAGCTTTGGCCTTGGAGATAGCAGCCACCTGCAGCATCAAGCTCGCCCACCCGTCAACAACCCCATCGTCGAATCCATCCCCGAATTCCATCCACCGCGTTCGACATCATGAAGGTCTCCGTTGGGCTTGCGACAGCCCTGGCTGGCGTCGCGACCGCGCTGTCCTCCGACCAGCCCGCTGACGTATATCTCCTGCAATCGAAGCAGACCTCAACCTCCAGTTCCGACATCCCATCATTACCACGACAGATTGCCCGCCTCATCCTCCTCCAGCGTCTGTCCCCCGAGGGCCAGCATGGCACCTGGGATCTCCCCGAGACCATGTCCAGCGAGAAGGCAGTCAACTACCTGAACGACTTCGGCCTGTCGCCCCAGGGTCTCTTCAGCAACGCCGCCTCCACCAACCCGTCCCAGCTTGTTGTCATGCTCGAGGGCATCACTGGCGATGATGCCAAGGCGCTTCAAAAGTCCATTGGTGCTGGACCCAGCTTCAGGGTCGGCGACGCACCCTCCGCCGCTGCCAACACCCTGCTGCTGGCCAACGACTTCCAGAACGTCGGCGTCACCCCGAAGGGCTGCAAGTTCGACAAGGCCATCAACCCCTTTGCCGAGGAGTGCTGGAGTGGCAAGTCGTCCGTCGTCAGATACGACGTGAAGAAGGTAATTTAACTATTCAACCGCTATGATGGATGCCCAAATGCTAATGCCAATGGATTCGCAGGACTCCTCCATCATCAACTCCATCTCCGAGAACGCTTCCCTCCTCCGCCAGCTGGCCCAGAACGGCGAGATGGAGACTATCCTCGTTGCCATGCCCGAGTCCTCCCGCAACTCTCAGATTCGTCACTGGTCTTCCAAGCCTGAGGAGCTTCGCCGCCGCCAGGTCGAGTCCGTCATGAAGACCGAGTCCGACAAGCAGGACAAGCCCGCGCCCACGAGCCCCGCCGAGAGCGCCACCCCCTTCCCCGGCGAGATCAAGCGCGGCAGCATCCCCTCCTGCTTCTCGTCGGCCGACGCCTGTGTCAAGGACACCAGGAACTGCTCGGGCCACGGCGAGTGCGTCAACAAGTACCAGAAGGCCGACGGTCAGTCTACCGGCACTTGCTTTGCCTGTGCCTGCTTGTCCACCAAGTCCAGCAAGACTGGCAGCGTCACCCACTGGGGCGGACCTGCTTGCAGCAAGGTTGATGTCAGCGTTCCCTTTTGGCTCTTCACTGGTTTCGGTATCGCTTTGATTGGCACCCTCTACTTCGCCATCTCTCTCCTCTTCAACGTCGGCGAGGAGCCGCTTCCTGGCGTCATTGGTGCTGGTGTCTCCAGATCGAAGTAAAGCCATCGACGATAAGGCTTTGCGAGTTCAATGTGGATTGGAATGAGTGTAGTGACTGTGCTTATAATTGGCAAGTGGTAGTCTGTACCATAGGTGTATTCTCATGCGGCGTTGGCATTGGCAGGACATTTCTCTCTGTTTATGGAGAGGTTATTTCTTAGACAATCAAAGAATTGAAGCAATGGTTCCATGAAAGCAGTCTATGTTGGGTATCATTAATTTGCTAGGTGCACGTACGTAACCCAACTAACCCAGGTCATCTGGATCCGGGCGCTCACTTGGTGTCGTTCCAAGGCTCTCCAGCCCCCTCTCCACCCTTAATTCACTGGCGCCAGTGTTCGTGATCTGTCTTGCCGGAGACTGTGCAGCAGATTCTGCGGCTGATGATGTGCCGACCGCGCTGGTATACTTCTGTCCAGCCTCGTTGAGAAGCTCCTGCACCTCATCCTTTCTGGTCAGGATGCTTTCCTTCTCCTGTTTCAGTCCCTCCACCCGCTTCGTCTTGTCCGCCAACTCCAGCTCCATGGCCCGCATCGTCATCTGTAACCTCGACAGGCACTCTGACAGGTCCGGCAACGGCGTGATTTTAGGTGGTACCTGGAGAAGGTGCTCGGCCGGGTTGGTCTGAGGCTTCTCCAAACCATCCATACCGGAGCGCGTCTGCGCTGCTTCGAACGCCGCACGCCGCTCCGCCTCCGAAGCGTCCGATTCATCACCAGAATCGCCCTCGGCCATCTTGATCTGCTCTGCCATCTCGCGCCGCCGGCGGAGCTTCTCTTCCCTCTCGGCCTTTCTACCTAGTGAGAGCCCACCGTCCTCGACAAAGTCGTCGAACCCTTCACCAAGATCCTCATCCTCAGGCACAAGCCGAGTGTCAGCCTTCTTCTTGCGCAGCGAGGCACCGCCCTCATCATCGTCGAAAGAAATGAAGTCGTCGCCAGACTGCTCCTGTGCTAATCGTGCTCTGCGCTCTTTGCGCTCTTGAATCTCCGCGTCGGTAAGGATGTTCGTCTGCTGAGGCCGCGAGCCAAGTTCGTCCGAGTTGACAATCAGTGCCCCTTCGAGTTCGGATGCATCCAGGTCCATCTCGTCCTCGTCGTGCACGCGCTGCGATGCAAGGTTCTGCGGCGTGTTGGGCGTCGAGTTTTGTAGCTCGTCCAGGTATTCCTTACTGTACCTCGGCCGGTCTTCTTCCTCGTCGCGGAAGGTGCGCATCGGCAGACGGTTCTTGATCGCGCTGTTCTCCAAAGCTGTGTATCCCAGGGTGGCCTTCTTGGGCGTGGTGTACTCGGTCTTTTCCCCATCGTCACCGCCGCCCTGGGCACCACCAAACGACAGTCTCGACGAAGACTGGCGCTTCTTCTGCTTCAAAGACCCGGAACGGCTGACCGTTGGACGGATCACCACGGGACCGTCATCTTCGTCGTCGTCCTGTTGCGTGGAGCCCTTGGACTTGCCCGAGTCGCTGATCGCAGCACCGCCATTGGAGTCCTCGACCTCGCTGACGTTGATGCTCTTTCGTAGGCCGCTCTGTCGGAATGGCTTTCGCGTGAATTTTACTGCTATCGGCGCACCGTCTGCCACCCCATTAGCCTTGCGAACGGCATCAGCGCATCGTCTCTGGACGGGGACTGCAGACTCACCATCCTTCACCGGCTCCGGCGAGCTTTTTGACGCATCATCATCCTCTTCGTCGTGGACTTTGATCACACGAGCTTTCCTCTTTGGCGTGAACGAGCTCATCCTGACAGATGATGTATTTTCGGTAGAATTTCGAAGGTGTTGAAGCTCCGATAATTCGAGGCCGCTCAGTTGCGTTGCCTGGGAACCTCACCTTGAGAACGCGCAGATAAGCTTTCTTATCGCCACGTGACCCACCCAAATTTCGACACCGCCCAAGCCAGGCTGCCCTCGGCAGGCTACAGACAGAGCATCGATAGCTTCGTCGCGTCGCAAAGCCCATTTCGCGCCTCGATTGACATCACCCATATCCAAACCATACACACCCCACAGACAGACAGCACAAGATGGCGCCCGCACAGCCCGAGCTGAAGAAGGTACGGAGGCCCATTTTCCTCACGGACATTCCCGAGTCTCCGGACTTGTACGATGTACAACCAGATTAATGGAGAGTGCCTACTTTGGCACCTCCTCTATCGGCTCATCCCCTTCTGTCCTGGATCATGATCGCTAACGTTTATCGCAGTACCTCGACAAGAGACTGTTCGTTCAATTGAACGGCAGCCGCAAGGTTATCGGTGTTCTCCGAGGCTACGATGTGCGACGCTCTTGGTTCTGTCGTTTGGAGTTCCGAGCTAACAAGCTCCATAGGTCTTCCTGAATATTGTTCTGGACGAGGCGGTCGAGGAGAAGGAGGGCGGCGAGAAGGTCAGGCTAGGCATGGTTGTACGTATACCGTATTCTCCGCCAGATTTACCATTTCAATGCTAACCTCACCCAGGTCATCCGCGGCAACTCAGTCGTCATGCTGGAGGCGCTGGAGAGAATTGGTGGCGACGACCGCCAGCAGAGAGGCTAGATTCCCTAACGACTCTATGGTCGACTTCCACGAGATTCTTTTGCGGGGCTTTTACACTTCGGCGTTATGACGGCACAAAAAGATGCATTTGGTTCCAAGACAAAGGGGCGGGGATGAAAGATCGCTAGATACCAGCAAATGTCACATTCAATGCGAACCACCACGACCGCCGCAGCTGCCATTTGACGAACCTCAGATCTCGGGCGTCCATGCGGCAAAACTCACTTGGCAACATCCCAGGCTTTCTCGTCATACCAATCCATCATGCGGCAGCCGTACTTGCGTACCCAGCCCTTGATGCCGCCCTTGAGGATGACGGCCTGCACAGCGGTCTCGCCAACGTCATCAAAGTAATCCTGCAGCCAGTTCGCAGAGCGTGGGCCGCGTCCGTTGCTGCTACCTGTGCAACGGCCTCAGCAGGGGGGAGGGGTCTTTTCGAGTGTGTGGTGTGTGTTGTGGACAGAGAAGATTAGAGCGGATTGCTACTCACCGCAATAAAATATAACACGCTTGACACCAGCCTGCTTACACAACTCATGGATGACGGGCCTTGTCTGGTACAGCGTCTGGGCGGGGAAGTTGATCGACGTTGATATCGTCCCGCCCTCCCAATCGTTCCTGCGTACGTCCACAAGCAGAAAGTCGCGGGCCCTATCTTGCCCATCTGCAGCTCTAGCCTCAAGCAACGCCATCACCTCGTCAGCCTCGACTTCCAAAGACTTGGCTTTGGGGGCAGGAAACGCTGCCCACCAAGGCGGGGTCTCCGTCGCAGTTGCACCCGCAGCTTCAGCCATGATTCACTCAGGCGATCCGCCTCGTCGGGTCAGGTCTTGGCTCAGCTGGACAGACAGAGAGAAAGAGATCTCTCCTGCAGCAGTTCCTGCGCCTGCTGTGACGCCCGAGATGCTCACTGGGGGTTGCTTTAAGGGCGCGATCTTGCGGGCGCAGAGTTGCGGGCGTAAGTTACCCCAGAATCTGCGAAGGCAAGTCTGAAAGGGGGTTTGGCGGATGATGTGATTTGAGTTGCAGAGCCGCAAAGCCGTGCTGCAGCAGCTTCTCCTCAGCTCAATCTCCAAATCTCTCGGCACTCTACAGCTGTGGAGAATGCCGCACGGAGACATTTGTCATTCCGGGCCTTCAATTGGCTGCTCATGATGCCATTGAGCCCCAAGACACCTCAGTAACTTTTGACCCTTGCGCCGTCACAACCCTGATGCACTTTAAACACACATTGGCCCCCGAAACTCTGGAAACACCAGACGTAAATGTCATGTTGTTTGTGGTGATGCCTCAACTTCACAACCTCTTCAAGTGAATCGGTCTTTTTTCTTGTCTGCTTGCTTCTTCTTCTTGGACCTTCCAACCAGCTGCCGCCCTGCCCACATGCCGAGACTAATTGACGCATCTCTTATCTCCACCCGTGGGATTCGGGACTGGCTATCTCGACCAATTACATGTTCTTGTGGAGTCCGGCACTCACTCCAGCCTGTTGCCAGTGGCTCCCGTCTCTCTCTTTGCCTGCCGTCCAGCAAGTGCGGCATTTGTGCTTATCTCCCGTCGCCAAAAGCTTCCTTTAGAGGCATTCTTTCTTGTTTCTGGGTCGCGGCTACGTTGTATTTTTGATTAAATATTGACGACCGGGCCGGCTCAGTTGCAGATGGAGCAGATGGGCATATCCATTGACCTCTAGGATCAGCCGTTACCGGAGAGAATCTGCATCCCGCGGTCAATTGCTCGGAGATGTCACAAGTGTCATCTCGGCGTCCTAGCTGGTTTTTGAACACCGAACGGGACACATGGGATCCCGTCTGACGGGCTTCTCGCATTTGCGACAGCAGGATGATGCCAAGAGCATTCTCAGGCTTGTAATGGGTGCTTCGTTCGATGATGTGCGCGCCCTATCTAACAAATGGCATCCTTCATGTCTATCAAATCTCACAGGGCGCACACACGCGGGACAATTTGTGAATAGCTGACCGTCATCATCATGTAACACTTCTTCTCCAGGTCTCTTTGCAGAACCTCGACGAACTGCTGGTCGCCGCTCATCGGCCTTCTTGCTGACATATACCAACATGTTTGTTTGTCTTATCGCAACGTCTCGGAGAGAGCCGGTGAACCAAGACTCCGACCCCAGTTTCTCTCCATCGCACGCCGCTGCGTTCCCACAATGAGCGCCGAAAGGGCGAAAGGGCGCAGACGACAACCCGATACCGATGCCCAAGAAACAACTTTTCCATCCCATGTCCACCTTGTTTCCCCCACTGCGGCACCCGGAGGCCAAGAGGACGGGGACAGATGGGATATCGCCCCGCCACCGGGGTAAAGAAGGGTAAGGAACCGTTCCTATCTTCCCGCCCTGCGCCGCCTCCACAGATAAGACACCGCACCCAATGACTCGGGACCCTCGCGCCCGACGACTGCTTTGTGCAACGTCAAACTACATGGCCACCACATGGTGAGCCGTGGAGCTCCCTGGGAGAATCGACATGGCATTTCCTTCGCACCTGCTTCTTCAGGTAAAGCTGAACGACCGGGAAACTCTCCGATGGGATGGGTTCTTCGTCTGTCCTCAGCGACCCTTGATGATATTTGCTGTAAGCCTGCGAAGCTGCGCAAGCCGACACCGCCTCACGTAACTGTTCGATGACCAATATTGTGATGTTCATGGATCAGGTCACTTCCAAGGCTGTTGGCCGTGGTGGTTCGGCGAGTCTTGCGCGTCGGACAGAGACATCCATAGACCGGTCCCGGCCCGGGCATCTGGATTGACCACATAGCAACCGCAGGTCTATAAAGACCAGCGGGCGTATCACCAACATGAAGGTATCCAGAGACTCTCTCCTCACGCCAATCTCACCTGGACAGCCTCAACTCGGTCCTCTGATCTCGCAATGTCTCGGTGGCTCCTTTCTTTCGTCGCCGGAAGCGCCCTCGCGGCTGCTTCTGGTCTCCCCCTGAAGCTCGAGACTCGTCACGCCGTCACTTCTCGTGTTTCCAACATTCATCTGACAATCGAAGAGCCCGTTGATGGATCCGTCACCTTCACTTACGGATCTTGCCGCGGCGTCTCGCTCGACGATGCTCATCACACCATCGTCAAGTCCGAGGTCCGCGACTCCCAGCGCCTCGTCTGGGTCCTCCCTGAGGATGCTCACTCCGACGGCTGTATCTCCGCTTGGAGCGTTTCTGGCTCCTTGGTTGGCCGAAGTGAGCCTCAGACTCTTCACCACAGCTGGAAGCGTCGTGCTGCCAAGAGATGTAAGTCATAGCCACGACCCTCGATCCCGCTCAAACGCTGACACCAGCCCAGCCATTCACATGAGCAACGAGACTGGCTTCGACACCCTCGGCGCCTGGTTCGAGGGTGTCAACCTGCTCAAGGACAAGGAGCCTGCCGCCGTAGACGTTGACGCCGCCAAGTCTAAGCAGATTGCCATCGTAGGCGCAGGCATGGCGGGACTCATGTCCTACCTCGTCCTGTCTCAAGCTGGCATGACCAACATCAGCATCATCGAGGCCGGTCAGCGCCTCGGCGGTCGTGTGCACACCGAGTACCTCTCCGGCGGGCCCTTCGACTACTCCTACCAGGAGATGGGTCCCATGCGCTTCCCCGAGACCTACGTCGACCCCAAGACCAACGCCACTTACAACATCTCTGACCACCAGCTCGTCTTCCAGCTCGCCGCCGAGATGAACGAGCTTAACAACCACGACAAGAACCTCAGCGTCGACTTCATCCCCTGGATCCAGTCCAACGTCAACGGCTTGTCTTACAAGAACGGCATCAAGCTCGCCAACGGCCTGCCACCTACCCTCGCCCAGATCTCCGCCAACTCCTCGCTCGCCGTCGCGACCGTCTACGACGATGCCACCAACGCCCTCTCCGCGGAGGAGGAGAAGTACATGCCCGGCAGCGACTTCTCCGTCGCCATGGCGAAGAACATGTACAAGGCCCACGGCGAGTGGGTTCGCAACGGCTTGAATGGCCTGGGCGGCGACACCTGGTCTGAATACGCCTTCATGGTGAACTATCTCAAGGGCTCCCTCAACTCCACCGACGCCCTCGGCATGTACTCCGCTACCTCTTTCTGGGACACCCTCTACGAGGGCATGTACTTCGAGGCCGCGACCTACAGGACCATTGATGGTGGTCTCAGCCGTCTGCCCCTGTCCTTCCACCCCCTCGTTGACGACGTCACCACCATGGACCGCAAGATCGAGCGCGTGCAGTTCACTGAGGACTCCAAGGTCAACCTCCAGTGGCGCAACAACTTCACCGAGAAGACCTTCCAGAACGCCTCCTACGACTACGCGCTGATGGCTGTCCCCTTCTCCATCATCCGCAAGTGGCGCCTCCCCTCCCTGCCCCTGACCATCTCCAACGCCATCAAGGAGCTCCCCTACACCAGCGCCTGCAAGGTTGCCCTCGAGTTCTCCGAGCGCTTCTGGGAGCACTATGAAAACCCCATCGTCGGCGGCTGCAGCACCACCTCCGACATCCCGGGCATCGGCTCCACCTGCTACCCCTCGTACAACATCAACGGCACCGGCAAGGCGACGATGCTCGCCAGCTACATCTCCGGCGACTGGGGCCACCGCTGGGCGTCCGTCTCCGAGGCGGAGCACGTGCAGTACGTCCTCGACGCCATGGTCGAGATCCACGGCGAGAACACCCGCGAGCTGTACACTGGCAACTACAACCGTCGCTGCTGGGTGCTCGACCCCCTCGAGAGCGGCTCCTGGGTCAGCCCCGTTGCTGGCCAGCACCAGCTGTACATTCCCGAGTACTTCAAGACGTACGACAACGTGAGTGACCCGTCCCTTTCTGCAACTCCTTTTGTGGCCGTTGAGACTAACAGTGATGTAGATGATCTTCATCGGCGAGCACACCTCCTACACGCACGCCTGGATTTCCTCGGCTCTTGAGTCCGGCATCCGTGGCTCTGTGCAGCTGCTCCTTGAACTCGGTCTCGTTGACGAGGCCAAGGCCGCTGTCAACAAGTGGATGGCCAGATGGATCGACATTGTAAGTTGACCAGCCCCTACTCAAACATCGGTGCCGTAGCTAACATCGCCCTTAGTAATTCGATATAATGGTAATCAGTGGTGGCTATCACATTGGATAGACCAAAACAGCACGAGTAATGAGGGGCGTACATACGAGACGTCAGAAACTCGCCGAGGGATGGCGAGAGTTAATCACATAGTGTGACGAATTTATGAATGAAAAGTACATGAACCATCTCATACCCGAAAGATCATGGAATGGTTCTAGAACCAACATGAGTGACATGCACGCTCGCCTTGGCATGAACACTCCAAAGAGTAAATGGTCCAGATGCGACGACCCAGTAAGCAAAAGACGACAGTCCACAAGCGCCCTGCACGGGAGATCCTTCTCGTTCCACCCACTCCCGGCCCCGCGAGGCCGTTTTCAGACAGATGCCGTTGGAGCTGTCGCCCAGCTTGATGGTGGCACCCGAATCCTACAATCTCAGCCTTGCAGGCGTAGCTCATGGTCCGATCGATCCACCGAGGGGAACAGGGGTTCGGCCGGACCCGGAAGAGGATGGTTCGGCATCTGCTGATGCGCCGCGTTCATGCAGCGCCTGACCGATCCTTTAAAGAGTTTGTCATTAGCAGCCGCGACTTTGTCATCTGCCCCCCCTGGCAGCCACGCAGGTTCATCTCTTCTCCACAACATGGTAATGTCCGGAATCTGCAAGAGTCGGAAGATCTTCTTGCGACAGGGACCAGATCTGGTAGTCAATTCATGCTGAGAATGTGACTATGCAAGAAGTTCGTTTTCGTCTCGCTGGAGTCTGGCTTCGCTCGTCTCAAACAGCCGCGGGACTCCGGACTGGGAGAAGGGCACGCCGTCTCGGACGATCTTTGCCAGCCCTTTGGCCGTTAGGAGAATAAAGGCCATCCCGTGGCCGTTGAACCCTGCGGCGATGTACTGCCCGGGTTTGGATGGGACTGCACCAACGTGGGGCAGCTGGTCATTTGTGTACTGTATCTGGTCAGTTCTCGGTCGAATTGCGACGTGATTGAGAAGCGCTTACCCCCATGATTCCCGTCCAGATTTTGTCAACCTTGGCTCCGCTGTTTTCCCAGCCGTGGAAGTTTCTCTGCATGTAACCATCAAAGTACGTAGCAGCAGGCTCGATCAAAGTTGAGTCATCCCAGATATTGTACCATTGATCGAGGCGCTTCGGATAAAACTCCGTCCTGCCGCCGCCAACGATGATGCTCCCGTCCGGTCGAGTGACCTGGTAGTCGTACAGGCCGGGACCGTGACGAAGGGAGTAGGTCGAAGGAAGATGTGGAGGATGCGTGCCTTCTGGGACGACCACATGGCTGCAGATCCCCCGAGCTGGGATGATGCGGTCCTTGTACTGGGGAAGCAGCGAGGAGGTGTACGCGTTGGATGCAAAGAGGACGGTTCTGGCTCTAATGGCACCTCTGGGGGTGGTCACCGTCCAGAACCCGTTGTCTTGGGTGTCGGACACTTGAGTGACGGGAGTATGCGTGTGAAGCTGAGCTCCCTTGCTGACGGCTTGTGACAGGAGGGACATGACAAACTTGTAGGGCCTGCAAGGGTCAATGTGGTTCTCTCTTGGAGACGTCTCTGACAGGACCATACCAAATAGAGCCGGCCTCGAAAGCGAACGCTGTGGTGGCGTCTTTGACTCCGGAAAATGTTTCAGCTGCCTTGCCCTCGACAGTGTGAACGAGCTTGGCTGTTGGTGATCCTAGCTGAAGGAGCTCATCGATACCTTTCTTGAACGGCAGGGCGTGCTCATCCTTTCTGAGAACAGCCATGGAGGTGGTCACTCTGAAGTCGCAGTCTATTTTGTTCTCCCTGACGAGATCTCTGACAGCATGGAGGTTGGAAAGCTCAAACGAGGCCATCTCGTCAGCTGCCTCTTGCCCGTACTTCCTAATCAGACCAGGAAGGCCTTGATAGAGGTCGGGTCTTACGTGACCGCCTGGTTGGTGTTAGTGCGGGGCTGCTGCACTGGAGAACGTAACTTACCATTGCGAGCCGTCGCTCCCGAGCAAGCTTGTCTGGCTTCGAGGATGGTAATGGAAGGCCGGGAGGAGTCATCGAGGCCGTCGAGGAGGTAATGGGCTAGAGCTGTCCCTGTGTACCCAGCGCCGATGATGACGATATCCTGCTCTGCTGGCAATGTCTCGGAGCTCTGAAAGCTATCAAGCTCGTGGAGTTGCGATCGCCAGTAAGGCACCGTGGCGTTGGGGACCGGGAACGGAGTCGTTGACATGGTGGAGCTGGATGATGTGATGAGAGATGAGAGGAGTGCGTTAGTGGGAAAGGTTCCGGCTGAACGGAAGCCAATCACGAAGTCTTTTAACGGTCTCGAAGAAGTTGCGATTGGCCAAGAAAAAGATGCAAAGTGGCCAGTATCAAACATAAACACTGATGGAGAAGTAGAGGTCCGCAAATGGCTCGAAATGGCAACTTGCAGCTCCGAAAACGCGGGGCGGGTGGCTGTTACCTCCGCAGCGCCTCGGAGCCGACCGCCGGCCACCGGGGCCACTATCCGTGCTATGTACCTAAGCGAGTGCCGGCAGGGAGGAAGGAGCGCCCCCCAGAACTCGACGCATGGCGACTTCCATCCGGTAAAGTAAGTGCTTTAGTGCACCTGTCAAGTTTCACCATCTCAACTTCAACTCCAACTTCAACCATCCATCTACACTCTTTTCCAACGTCGACCATGATTCTTCTGTTCAATCTCCACTCAAGTCGGACCCTTGCTTTGCGAGTGCCTGACTCGCGGCATCGTCAGATTCGCTCTCTTCTGCCACGCTAACATCGTTCGCTTATTGCGGAGAGATGGCCTTCAATCACGCTACCGCCCAAACACCATCGCCGGCCCCTGTCCTTGCACCTGTCACTGTGTCGTACCCATTCCTTTGGGTTCATGATGCATGAACGTTAGACACGTGAAGCTGTCAAACTGTTATCTCCGGTGGCAAACTGCCCGCCACGAGGCTCTGGGGTGCTTCGGCGTGGGGTTATCGCGACACGTGCTACGGCTTGCAAGGGAATTAACAGGACGCCTGGTGTCAAGTGAACCTTCTTCACCGCCTTGGTTTGTCGGTGAACGTTTCCTTGGAATTATGGTAGGAGGAACGTTCCCATTTCCTTCGGAGATCCAGTCCGACTCCGACGATCCTCGGCCACCATGCCTTCTGATACCCATCGCACGCCCTGGGAGTCTAGGACCGCACCGCGTTTACGCTTCTTCTTGTTCAAGAGGGACCGGTCTCCGCTCATCGAACCATCCAGCTGGAACACAATTGTGCTGTCCTCTCGCCACCGACATTTTATTCGATCCGATAACGAGTACTCCCTTGGAAGCGAGTCATGATCGAAGGGCAGAATTTCGACGCACATTACTATTCGAATGGGAGAGATTCTCGCGATCGGGTTCGGCATTCTGAGCTGCTACAAAGTACATCCAGCAATTGCCGGCGTTTCTGACTGAGATGATTCGACATCGAATAGTGACCTTTCCGATAGCCGCCGAGACAAGCCTTTGGTAATTATGTTGCCAGCTCTCCAACGGCAGCTTCTCCAACATACTGCCACTCAGACCAAATCTCCTTGAGACTCTGTCGCTTTGAGATACGATGTTGCTTATGGTCCTTCCGAGTAGCAGCAACCGATGTCAGTCACGGTGTTTCCTAAAACGGGCCAGTAGTACAAGCTTTTTCCCGTTTTGGGACGGCACACGTCAAGGATGCAAGGAACACCGGCCACTGCCGACATTGACAACCCAGAGAAACCCCACGTTTATTGCATGAATGGTCGGTTAGCTGCCGAAAGTCGCCTCCCGCATTTAGGGTATTGGAAGTGGGACAGGCCTTCAATAACTTCATTGTCACTCAGTGCAGCCATCGTCCCCTTCCAACGACCGCTGTTCAACTTCATCTCATCACACGAGACGCGTCCGTACTGCCAACAACGCTTATACAGAGTTATTTGGTGTGATAACGCGCTCGCGGCCCCTGGTTTCCCCATCCAGGCCGCTCCGATTTCCCCCGAGGTTACTTGCTGCCAGACAACATTTCTCGTCAGCAACACCAAGGGATCAACCACAGTGGGCGCGCTCCAGAGCAGGCTCGGACCAAATCGAAAGGCCGGTGGCAGATCATAAGCGACAAATAGATGCGGCGGAGCCATCTGCAAGGCACGGATGCCAGCATGACGTGCTTTCGATTGTTCGTATTGTTCGTGCACGAGTGCCTCAGCCCTGGGCACGTTGAATCCACTTCAATGATCAACAAGTGTGCACGGGCACGCTGCCCCGGGCTTTCAGTTGGAAAATTTCAGGCATGATTCACATTTCTGCTGAAGACAAGTGCTTGAATGATGGATCTTGACCTTGGGCTGACAGCGGGTACGAGCTCAGGATTCCGCATGCGGCCCCGTGGGCCGACGTTGCAATATCTATTGGAATCGACGGACGCAAGATATATCTGGTTGATTGATCACATTTCTTTTTGAGAGTGTCCCATGCGAAAAGTACGGAGGCCGGACGTCCCGTGGGTCGTTCGCCCAGTTCTTCAGATTCGTTCAGCCAGGTTCGTGGAACGGTGGAGCGGGTCGGCATCGTCGGGCCCGGAGAAATCGGCCGAACGGAGGCGCTGAACCGATAGCCGGAGGTTTGACGGCATGCGATTCATTCTGTATCTGTGTGAGGTACAACACTCCTTCTTTACGACCGTACGGTCGGGCGTCACGAGCAAATCTGAGCGAAGCACTAAGCTCTTGCAGGCATGGGATAAGACGTCACGAGAACGAAGACGCGCGGATGTCCTTCCAGGATCCAAGACACAAGACAGGCTTATTTGCAGTCCAAATCATGCGGAATGTTTTGGCGATGGTCTGGCTATCGTCATCGACTCAAGAAAATTGGCAGACTGGATATGAAGTTGGCATGGCCATCGCTTTGGAATCAAGACTACGGAATTCGGTCTCGTATACAGTTCCGAGAGATGTGGGCTCTCAAGCTGTGCAGACAACGCGGCTATCTTGTCGCGCGGCTCAAAGATTAGCCCGAAGGGCTAGAAAAGCTCCATGCAAGCTTCGAATGTTAGCTTGGTGGCGAGTATGAGCTGTGTGCCTTGCCATCCGCTTCAGGCTCGCGAACTGGATGGATACTTTTGCCTCTTGTTGGCGGTGGCCGCCGAAGATCTCTCCGCGAGAAGCGAAATGTGGGCTTTGGAGGACCATGCCAATGTCAGTACACACCTCAGGACGTCGAGGAAAATCTCAGCCGAGGCAATATCACCTATGATCTAGGGTCGAAGAGGCAGGTATCTGCATGCTCCTAAAGTCAGCATTAGCGGGAGTCGCTGTTGCAGTCTTCCAGTGGCCTCCTCCACAGTCGGCCCCACGACATCAACGGTCCCGTCCATGCAGATGCCGGTGCTGGCTCGACAGTATCCGTACTTCCCTGGAGTTGGGACTTCATGATGGGTCCGGTCTGCCGACGAATCATCAAGTCGTTGGCGACATGTTGATGCCTGGCATGTGGAGGTCGTGCAGGATACGGTCCGATACGTGAGCAGCCCTCGTCTCGCTTGACGATTGACTGAGCAAACATGTTTCATGAGCGACGGATCCTGACGAAGTTGGCAGAGATTTTCAATGGTGTCGGCTCGTCAAATGCTTGCCTGCTCGGCATTGACAGGAAAATGGCGACCAGGTCCAGTCAAGGCTACATACATACCGTTGGTGGCTTTGCCGGGGAGAAATCCGTGGTGCCTTCACATTGCTTTTTCTAAGCGTAACATCGTGGGAGCCATGTGGCTTTAGGACCTGGTTTGATGTTGGGAGTCCAAGCGGCTCCAGACCGTAACCGAAAAGTTTGCCTGTCAAATATCAAATGGCGAACGGGCTTCCCTTTCTTCTTTCCAAGCAGAAGGTGTGTGGCAGAGTCGACGAAACAGGCATGGTTGTCAGCGAGAGACCATGTTTGCTTGTCATCGCAGGTCGCCGCTGCCGCCCATGTGCAACACGACGCACAGCGTAGCTCGGCTGGTATCCCAGCAATGCACTGCGACCCGGCAAAATGGAATAATTGGCATGGACCCGAAATTGATCAAAACCTTGGTCACACTTGCATTGCATCAAGTCTCATCTTCGAGGGCTGCAAAAAGCAATCTAACGGCCGCCACAACGCTGAAGAGCGCCTCGCGTTGATGGGCTGGTGGCGTTGACGCATATGCAACGAGCAAACATTTTCTTCTTTGCTTGAGCTAGCAAAGGGGAAAGCACCTCGGAAACGACATGTCATTTTGGACATTTTGAAGAGAAGCCTTTACGAGTTAGTGCGCCTCGGTTGATTGAGAGCGGTGGTTGGACTTGGGCGCCCGCTAAACCATTCGGAACCTCGCCTACGAGGCGCTACTCCTGAGATGGTCGGTCATCCACCGACCACCGAGAATCCTCGGCTTCGAAGACGATGCGCCATGTTTGCATACGACGCGTGGAGAGAAGCGTCTTATTGCAATGTTTGCGTATCATTTGACACCTGTCACAAATGATGAAAGAGAGGGGGCCGTTCGAGTCTTGCATATCAAGGCCCCCACCCAAAAATCTCGTCTGTTGGTTGGTCCATCGAGATCTTCTCAAGATCTCCATCATTGGAGCTGAAGAGTGGACTTGGCCGGTGGAGGTCACATTGACAATCTGACAATCGCGTGTAGAGAGGACTTTGATCCGCTGAGGGCTGCCAGTTCAAGCCCGGGCAACCAGGCCACCGTCAGGGGGATCATGCGGGGTGATTCGGGGGCGGTCGATGAGCTTTACAATGCAAACCCCGGGGAATCCCGACTTGGGCGCCGGCGACAGGTGATGGCGCTGAACTCTCGTCACCATGGTGTACCGAAGATGAAAGCGACGGAGATGAGGCTGGAAGATCGTGGCGTGACGAAACACTGCAAAAAGTGTCTCGACTTACGGGCTCTGTCCAGAGACCCGGTGTTGGAAACCACTGTGGCCAATGCAGGACCCAACAAACTCTTTCCATCGACCAGTGCTGCATTTCTCTAGCAGAACCAAGCGAACATACAGCATGGATGTCTCTTCGCACATCGCTCGTGCATCAAGTACTTTGTACGAGCAAGTCGGTAATGGATGGAACATTAAGACCACTCCACCCGATCCTTCGGGCTCAAGTTGAAACTCAGGGAAGAAAGGGTGTGTTATTGCAACTCCACCACGTTGTTGGTGAAAGAGTCAGCAAAAGTCTGTTTCTGATGGGCTGTTTGCCGAAGTCGCAATTGAGCGGCAATCTCTGAGATGGGATTCGAGTCGAGCATCATCGCATCCAATACCCGTTTCCAAGATCTGAACGGATACTCATCCCCAATTCAGTGGGCAGAAAATGAACCAGAAAAACACGGCTCGCAGACTTTTACCCGGTCGGAATTGGGGTCTGAACATCCGCCGAACTTCCAACTGAAGGAAAGTCACAGTGTCTGTGGCTCTTTTACCTCCGACTCCCGGCTGAGTCTCACTCGTCGTTTTCTCTCTGCGTCTTCCCCCAGCAGCTGCAGTACAGAGCCGATGCGTGCTGCAAGCTGCACAGCGTTTTCATGGATTGATATTGAGATAATTGGGCGCGCCGTGGGCCCCAAATTAGGCAATCCGGAAGCCGCAAATCTCATCATACGAGTTTGCAATTGCAACTCGGCAATTCCCTGCTGTGGCGTGTTGTTTTCTCCACTGGACATCGCGTGTCACTGACGTCTGTTAGGGACAAGGGACTAACAAGGGGACCACACAAACCTCTTCCAGCCGCCTCCATCACCGCCCGGGGTTTCCTGTCCGATGGCTCAAAATTTTCTCTGCTCCAACCTCCGGCCAGCGCGCAGGATTGACGCGATGCGAATGGACCAGTGAGAACTGACAGATGGACTGAGCAATACCCACGCCCAGCTATGGCCTCCACGAGCCCAATTCTTTTCACCCTTCGTGTTCGATCGCGGCTCCATTGATGTTGCTGCAAGTCACAGCAGACTCCATCCGCAATCATCCCCTTCCTCTCGACCGCCGACGATGAGCTTGACCAAAGACCGTTGCAAGCGTGCCTACTGGATATCCACCGTTAACCCGCCTCTTAGCGCACTTCTAGAAGGGGTGCTCCCGACCAACGCCGCCTCGGTATGCTCGGCAGCTCACGGGCGGTGTCCCACTGGAGAGGCTTCGGGGTCATGCTCAGGGTCCAGTCGGCATCCTTGCTGGCGTCTCTTAGCCCTCCTGCGGACCCCTGGTCTCCTGGGACGCTCCTGGGACCCCGGGGCCTTGTACCACCGACGCAGACAGGGCTGACTCTCAACCGCTCTTCGGTTCATCGCAAACCACCGTTTGCCATTGGCGCTGTTCATGGGCAACTGTCAACGGTACGTATGTACAAGCTGCCTTCTCCATGGGCCTCTCACCCTTGGATCCATGCATGGGGGGCCCCTTGAGCTGTCTTCTAATGAGGAGCCCAGCTTTCTTTTTACACTACGGCATACAAATCATACGATGTATATCCATCGAGACGGCGGTGCCTGATTCGAAGCCTGCAAGCCGCGAGGACTTGAACACACGCGGGCCTGCGAGTGCGAGACGAAGGGGACGAGGGGGAGGGGTGAGCCCGGGCGACCTTCCATGAGGTCGGAGCGGTTCTACGGAAACCCAATTGAGACCGCATCTGAGAGAGAGGTTATATATCTTTCGTGGGCGTCCCGAGTCCAGCGCTCTCAAGAGAGTGGCTGCGTGCTTGTTGTTCCAAACCCTTGGATCCGGCTCTTCTTCTATTTGGGATTTCTACCATTGTCTGTGCCATTTTTTGATACCCCCTTCCCATCCGCACCCCTGTTCACGTCGGCGGCCCCAGAGATCCATACTCCATCCTATCTCATCCCGTCCTCCTAGATTTACAAGCAAGCAGCCGCAAGGCTTCCCTTTCTTTGTTCGAGGAACACCGACGATCAGCTGAGGATTCGAACTTCATCTTCAGCGAACTGGGAATCCCGACACCACAAGCTTTTCCTTTCGCCTGATATTCCGTCACACAGTCACAGTCATGGCCTTGACATACAAGCAGTCACAACTGGTCAGGGGGACCATCCCCGCCCTCCGTGAGCACGGAGAGACCATCACATCCATCTTCTATGCCAACATGCTGCGCGCTCACCCGGAGCTTCACGACCACTTCAACAAAGTCAATCAGGCCAACGGTCGTCAACCACGCGCCTTGACGGGCGTTATCCTCGCTTTTGCTTCCAACCTCAACCACATCAGCGAGCTCATTCCCAAGCTCGAGCGCATGTGCAACAAGCACTGCTCGCTCGGAATCCAACCCGAACATTATGACATTGTCGGCAAGTACCTCATTCAGGCCTTCGGTCAAGTCCTCGGCCCAGCCATGACGCCTGAGATTCGTGAGGCTTGGACAAAGGCCTACTGGATTCTTGCCAAGATGCTCATCGGCCGTGAGGCCCAAATGTACCGCGAGTTTGACGACGACAAGTGGAAGGGATGGCGCAAGTTCCGCATCGAGCGGAAGGTTGCCGAGACGGACGACATCTTCTCCTTCTACATGGTCCCATTAGACGGCAAGCGTCTCCCAGACTTCTATCCTGGCCAGTACACCTCCCTCCGCTCGACGATCCCGGGCCTCGGACACCTGCAGTCCCGCCAGTACTCTCTCAGCGACTCTCCTCGCCCCGACTACTACCGCATCACCGTTAAGCGTGATCAAGGTGTCAAGGTCGGCAAGGGCCAGGCCGTCTTCAACCTCAACCCGGGCGTCTTCTCGAACTTTCTCATCGACGAGAAGAAGCCTGGCGACATTGTGGAGTTGACACATCCCACAGGCGACTTCTTCTTCGACACGCACGCTGCCGGAACTCTTCCCGTTGTCCTTATCTCTGCCGGTGTTGGTGTCACGCCGCTGATGTCTATCTGCAACACCATCATTGAGCGTCAGGCCGTCCGCCCCATCTCATGGATTCACTGCTCGGCGCGCAACGCCCCCTTTGAGGAGCACATCCGCAAGATTGCCTACAGCCGCGCCAACTTCATCACCAAGTTCTTCCGCTCCCAGATTGCCGATGTCGAGGACGACGATTCACTGTCTTCGTCAAGCGACTTTGGCCTTCGCATGGACCTTGCTCGGATAGATCCTGCAGAGCTCTACCTCGGCCACGGTGGTGCCGAGTACTATATTTGCGGTCCCGAGATATTCATGGTTGAGATGTCTCAATACCTGCTTGATCGGGGAGTTGATCCCGCTAGAGTCAAGTTCGAGAGGTTCACTACCGGCGACTTGGAGATGAAGCACTAAAGGCGTAAAAGCGTTGGCTACACAGTTGCACCTTCGCTCACTGTGCATTTGATTTAACGGGAGAACGGAACAGGACACTGAGGGATTTGGGTTCAATGAACGTGGCGGAGTTTCAAGAGTTGAGAAACGGTCTATCTGGGAAACGGTTCAATGTTTAAGCGGCCACATTAATGTCTGGTCAGTTAAGGGAAGACACGGAGGATGGGTGGTATCCATTGATTTTGAAGTATCTGGAACGGAAGGGTCAATCAAGCGTGCTCGTTTGCGCTGTAGAGAAAAAGAATCTTCTTGCCCTCCACTGCCGCTACTCACCTACGATTGACTCCAAACGCTGCGAAAGCGGACTTGTCAAACGCCGTCATGGCTGTTGCCTATTCGCCGCACAGCAGTGTGCAAAGATGTGATCGAAAGCGAGTGCTTTGGTGCCGATTCAACACCAACAATCGTTCTCTATCTAGCAAATATTCGACATCATACGAGAAAAACTGGATTGGGCGCCGCATAATGCAACCGCCTGACTCGTCCACTATTTATTGACGCCTCTGACCCCCCCCCAGAGTTCTCTACGGTGTACCTAAACTGGGGGCTTTTGGGGCGGAGAAGAGCTGGGGTTTTGTCCTCCGGTGGGCTTCGGAATTCCCATTGCAACCTGGGTCTTACACACACATATCGCACTCGATTTTTATATCCACGCAACTCATCACGAACGTCTTCCGTTGGTTGGGGGGTTGGTTTTCGTCCACAACATCCCATGATTGCGTCCGACGTCGCTCCGCAAGCGAGAAGGCTTGATGGAGTCTGGCCGATGCGCAGCAAAATGCGATCTCACGCTTCCCCTTGCCTTTCCCATCGGGATCGGGATTTCGATCAAATGCGCCGAACACGTACGGATACACACGCACACAACGCAGCGGCATAAAAGGAGCAAAAACGCTTTGCCGGGTAACCTCCGTGATGACGAGTGAGCATTGCTACCTAGCGTGAGGCACAGCCTACCACAAGCGAAAGTCTCCCCTTACTATTGATGTCTGTCCCCTGCGAGATCGTGGGTCAAGTTACTATCGGACTTCACAGAGAAAAGTCGGATTCCCTTCTCTCGACTGTCCCGTTCTGCGGCAGCCTCTGCGGCGCGGGCTTGACTCGCTAGGAAGAACCCGCCCATCGAGACTGATCATCGACGATGACGCCAGCTTTTCATGTGTCCTCTGCAGGCTCCCCTCGCTCCCGATGCTGCTCATTTTGTTGCCCTGCAGCGGGACCTAGAGCTAGTGCAGTGCTGGGAATCCGCAATCCGCTCCGTCGGCAAAGACCAACGGCTATGCCGCCGTTTGAATCTTCAACGGCGTCCGTGCCAACCATACTAGATCCCGCTCGCCCGCTGGAAAGGAGCCCGCAACAGATTATCTCCTCATATTAAATCCTCCTCAAAATTCTGCTCTCATCTGCCGGTACTTGGGAGAGTTTTCTCACAGCCAGGGGGGAAACAACAAAGGAGAACAAATACCAAGGAAAAATCCCTCTCGCTTGATTAGACTTTGGGAGTGCACATGGCGGTCAAGAGGAGAAGAATTCCCCGGTGATGTCGCAGTAAATGAAGAAAACGTCAACTGCCAAGCAAACCTTCCAAAGTGAAGGAAGGGGGTGTTGTGTTAGACCGCAGGGGGAGAGGAAACAAGTACCAGCAAACTCAACTCAGGAGCCAGTTCCGGACACCGCCTGCCTGCTCTAGGGTCTTCGTCCACCCATGCGTGTTATCCGAGACCTCATATGGGGAAACATTCGCCGCGGGACGGCGGGTTCGTCGGAAGACAGGTTGCTCAACAAGGTGTTGTTTCCGGTAGCATTGCGGCCTAGGGGGGCTGCTGTCGCTGTCGCAAAACAGAACACGCGCGCGCTGAGCTGAGCCTCCGTATTGGGGGTGTGTCGTCGGTGACTGACCCTGAAAAAACCAACCCCCGGCCGCATCAGATGCTCGTCAGGCGCCGACACGACGCTGCAGGGGCTCTTGGAAAAGGGCACTGCAAGGAGCATTTTTTGTTTCTTCTTTTGGTTCGTGCACTGTTATGCGAGTCGGAATAATGGCATGTTTATCGACAGTGCGTTTCCTTATTTGTGATTTGCGATCAAAGTTTCTTTTTTGTGTTGTCAGAGGTTGAGGTCGAGAGAGCCCAAGTCGCTGGCGTTTCGGTCGGCAGTTGGGAGGCTCGGTGTAACCCTTCGGCTGGATTAGTGAACTGCGCAACGTGGCGTCGCTGCAACGTGAAGTCGGAGCTGTCACTTTGACAAGCACACCTCACCGCTCATGATGAAAGTGTATTTCGTCATGAGAAAAAGAAAATCACGGGACCAGGGAGTCGAGCATTCCGAGCGTCTCGGGTTATTGATGCTTGGCATGCTGCTGGGCTTGGGGGCCTTGCTGGATGATGTATTTGATACAGCCAAAAAGACTGAAGCCAACAAACCAGGCAGAAATTCACTAACGACTTGTATGTTACCTCTAACTTGTCATATTTGAGCCAGTGCGAAATTGACGTCTTCTAATAAGTACTTCGATCTAACACTCTACGGGTCCACATGTCTCCTACAAAGGCAGGATGCCGACTACCTGAGACGCCAAAGCATGATGACTCCTGTTGACCATGTCCCTTCAATTTGAGCGTCAGAGCTCTGTTTATTCTACATCATCTTGCCGATACAGACGGAAGATCATATGGTGGCACGGCATTGGTTCGCCGCACTAATGTCCATCGGGTGTCTGTTAGGAATTTTAGATCTCCATAGCCAAGTGTGGTTAGAAAAGGGATATAGACCTGCAAACATATCTAACTCGTAGGAAAAACTAAAACTAAACATTGTCGTATGACCTTTGTCACCAATGTATTCTGTTCAGGTCCATGTTCTTTTGCCTTGACTCAAGTAACACAATCCAAAAAGCCATATCCTACTTTTATACCTTACCCGTTGGCGAAAGCTATCGTCTCTCAGCCAAATACCAAGCCCTATCAGCTCCAAGCAGTGACCTTTGGGCAACATTTCTTTATGACTGATACAATTGGCCAAAATAAGTTTTGGATATTGAAAGACACTTACTAGATCATTACTAGAGTCAAAATTTGTCGGACTTGAGTCCTTGACCTTTGTGTGAAAATAACAGAACCTCAGAGTCAGAAACCAGCCATTCTCGTTGTGGTATTGCGTGTAAAAATGAAAGATATTGGAATGAACGGGTTTCTGTCATGGCAACTGAGGGCAATGTGCGACAAAGCGAAAGAAATTATCGGTGCTGAAGAACAACCCCAAGAGCCGAGATGGTAGGATTTGGGGACTCATAGCCGTAGTAAGTACTGACATAAGACGGCTTTAGCGCGTGTGGAAGCACGACACGAGCTACTCAAATCAGAGCATCAAGGGCTGGTCAGCAATAATCCTCCTCCATCCTGTTCAAAGTTGAGGTTCGGCCGTGCAAAGATCATTGGCTGACTGCTTCTTATATCTAAACTGACTGTCAACAGATCCAATTGGTCAGATTTTCCGGTAGTTCACCGGTGCTACTATGAGGCACAGTTGCGGCCTAGAAAGGAATACGATGAAGGATTCGTATGAAGGCCTACGCCGTAATGGCTTTCCCACTGCCAAGCAATTGGGGCTTACTGCACACCGCCGGGGAAGAATACGAATGGTAGGTAAGAAATAAAGTCTGACTAGCAAAAAGACACTACTTTTGGAAGTAGAGCTGCATGTCTTTGTTTTGCAGGACGGAACGATCGGCCCACACGGGTATGCCTTCTGAGTTGACCATGTTGCACCACACAAGCTCTGTGAAACGCAAACACATGGACTGCTACGATGACATGGCGTTTAGTCCGTCATTGACGCCAGTGTAAGGCGCTCTCTGATCCTAAAGCTGAAAATACGAATGTAACGTCGCGCTGGTGCGTAAGAGCAGGATTGCGGTCATCATGACCATTCATAAAAGCCTCTCTCCCTAGCTCTACATTGTCTGTGTTGTTATTCAAATCCAGAGTTCCGACTTAGCTCTCGACTTACCTTCGATCGAATCCCAATCATCCATCTCAAATCTGATACCCAATGATGTTTTCCACCAAGCACCTTCTCTCCCTCATCGCTGTCGGCCTTCATGCTGGAATCGCTGCTTGCGAAGAATACGGCTCCTGGCATGTCCAGATCAACCTCTCTGGCGGGGCTCAAGGTCACAGACTGGGAGAGCTTCATGCTGTTCACTCAAGCACACCGAACGAGGAAAGCTACGCAAGATGGCTCTACGACCCCGCGGTGGGATACACTGTCTACACGGCCGAGGACCCTACCTTGAACAACACTTGGGTCGACAGCGTTGGTGTCCATAGTAGGTATACCCTAAGCCAGACAAACTTCACGAAGCTTACAGTATTGCAGCATTTGAGATCCAGCAGGAGGTTCTCGGCGTTCCCTTGAAGGGTTCTGGGCCGATCGAAATCTTTTTCAACACCAACGGGAACGGTAGAAGCGCCTTTGGAAATGCTACCATCCCCTCCCAATTGGACAACTGAGATCTTGATGTGTTGACAGTTCCGAATTCAAAAATGAGTAAAACACGGTCTCGCAGAGTGGCAGGTGATTAAGAAATTACGAAAATATTCAAGGAGCATGGAAGAGTATTCGAAACACGTAATTTTATGCGTAGTAGTAATAGGTCTCGAAATAGAAAAGAATTGGCCTAAGAGATTTCACAAGCAATATCGTCAGTACATTTGGAGACTCATAGGGTCAGATTATTAAATATTTTGTCATGCGAAAGTCGTTAGTATCGCGACATCTGGCAGACCGCAGAGAAGCACTCATAGCGGGTTTATTCGCCCATTTACCTGGAGTCTTGCTGGTCTCCATTGCGTTAACACCTCAACACACAAAGGATGTGGGCCGATTGGCCCACGGCCGTCTCCCAGATCTATCCCTCTGGCGTATGTCAGAGGCGTTTGCCCAGAAAGATCTTTGTGCCGTGTAGACGGCTCCGCACCGTTTTCCAACAGAGTCCTTGTGATCTCATGATACCCGTTTATAACCGCAAGGTGGAGTGGGGTTTGGCCACGATCGTCTCGGATGTTAACATCAAGCTTTTTGGAGACATGTCCTTGAACAATGTCTTTTCGCCCATACTCAGCCGCAAAATGCAGCAGTGTCTTTCTCTGGGCTCCATAGTAGCGCTCCCAGTGTGAATCGGGTATGTGGCGACCTTGGTCCACCAGAATCCAAGCAATATGCAGATATCCACACCACAGCGCCGCTTCTAGAACGTCCGTGTTAGACTTCTCGAAGTAGAAGTTGATGTCTGCCCCTTTCTCTATGAGAATCTTGACAATGGTTCCAAATCCAACGCAGGTACTCTGATGCAGACATTCATTGTAGTCCTGCCGTACCCAACGAGCGTCGACCCCATGAACAAACAGCATTTTGACGATCGCCTCAAATCTCTCAACGACATCTTGTTCAAGATCTTGTCCGTATTTGTTACGCATCTCAAAACGGTCCATATCATAGCTGACAATGACAGCCCGGGTTAAATACTGGTACTTTCCCCCCGGCGAAGTGGCATCCGCACCACTTTGTAGGAGCAATTGGGTGATTTCCAGATGCCCAGCCTGCGATGCTGCGTGAAGCGCACTGCTATACATCCACCTCTGCCCTTCCGACGTAATATCGTACTGTTGGTTAGGGTTGGCACCAAGCTCAAGCAGGAAGTTTACCACATCGATGTCCCCTTTTGCGGAAGCATTTACGAGTGCTTCATTGAAATCAAGCTTCTCAGCAGTCAGGCTTGCTCCTCGATCCTGTAAGGTTTGCACAAGGTCTCGTTTCCCAGTAGCGGCGGCAGCCTGAAGTGGACCTATGCCGGTTTCCTCGGTCAAAGTCCCCATTGTGTCGAGAATCATCCCAATGAGGCAATCGTCATAGGTTTTTATGGCATCCTTGAGGTTATTGCTGTCGAGTGAAACACGATTCTGACAAATCTCAAGTATGGTTTGAACGGCATGTGTGTGTCCTCCACGAATTGCCGTAGATAAGCTCTCGTCCAAATCTTCATTGGCTCCATTGTTGATCAGGATACGAACGATATCCTCGCGGCCTCTACGACAAGCGCTGAGAAGAGCATTCCCATGAATACCGCCGGGGGAGTTGGCACTTGCTCCGCTTTCCAGGAGTAGCTGTACTATGCTAGCTTTGCCGCAGTAAGAAGTGGCTGCCAGCGCACTGCCGTAACAGCCACCTGGTCCGTTTACGTCTGCGCCGCGGTTGATGAGTAGCCTTGCCGTGTCCTCATGGCCTTCGTGACAGGCTGCTTGAAGTGCGTTTCCGTAAATAGCGGGAATGTTGCCATTCTCGTCGGCGGGAGACCATAGCTTTGCAAAGTTTTGGGGCATCCCTGACTCCTTTGGATCTTCATGACTTCCGATGTTACTGTTTAGGTTGGCGCCCTCATCAAGCAAAGCATTGATGACCTTCTCATGGCCCCTGCTCGATGCTGCTATGAGGGCACTGCCGTAGATCGGAGATGATGCATCGACTGGGGCTCCTCTTTCGATGAGGAGGCGTACAACTTCAACATGCCCTCCGTATGAAGCAGCTCCTAAAGGGTCTCCGTACCTGGTGTTGTGTATGCTGATATCGCTGCCGCCGTCAAGCATTACCTCTACAAGGGCTACGTACCCTTGGTAACAAGCTACCGGTAGGCCAAGACTGACGTCTACACCTCGATGAAGCAGCATCTTGACCGCGTGCATGTCATTGTCCAGACAAACAATCTCCAAGAAGCTATGATTCTTGCAAGATTCTCCCGCGACGGTGTCGAGACTCGCTCCATAGTCGAGAAGCATCTGCACTGACTCCCAGTCGCGCATCTTATAAGCTCGAAGCAGGGGGTCGTCGAATCTATGACCGATTGGATAATGGCGCTTAGCCACTCTCCCCGTATCGGCGCCCCGTTCAAGCAACAGCCGTGCAATATTTCTGTGTCCCTCGTAGACAGCCACCTGTAGAGCCGTGTCATTTGATCTTACAGAATTGGCGTCTGCGCCAGTGTCGAGTAGTAGGCGCGCAAGACTCTCTTCCCCATGCCGACAAGCACTGAAAAGAGGGCCGCTCCCAGTGTTTCCAGGCCGTGCTTCATGTGAATTGACGTTGGCCCCTCTATCGATCAGGAGACGTACGATATCATCGCGACCGGCTCGAACCGCACCTTCCAGCGCCGACTCGTCTGCGCTCTCAGAGTCGTTGACATCAAATCCGTGATCGAGCAGCAACTTTATGATCTCTACTTCTTGCTGACCATGGGGGTTGTAGAAACGCTGGAGAATGCCATTATTTTTGGCCCAAGCATTATTCGGTCCCACGCCTGCATCCAAAAGCATCCTGACGGCGCCGACATGGCGGTTCTTGGCTGCTACCCAAAGAGCCAACATTGCATGCCCATCTTGCTCCTCGTCAGCTAATGAGGCACAATCATCTCGCTCTGTGCTTCTGCCAACAGAAATACCGGCGTCGAGAAGGATCCGCATGATACGTTCGTCGCCATAGGCCGCAGCAGATTCCAGGGCATCCCCAATCTGATTTGGCAGCAGCGTCAGACTTGCTCCGTGCTGCAGTAGAAGAGAGACAATCCTCACATCACCATACGCGGCAGCAGACTCGAGTGGTGATTCAGAGTGTTCACCCAGTCCGTTTACGTCAGCGCCCTTGTTGAGAAGAAGGCGAACAATCTCCACGTGGCCGTATGAGCAAGCCAGCTGGAGCACGTTGACTGACATTCCACCTGGAGGTTTCATGACTGCTCCCCAATCGAGCAACAGCCGAACGACCTTCAGATGTCCATTGCTGCAGGCCCATCCGAGGCTGGTCTCGTACTCAGCAGTCATTGCGTTAACTTCCGCATTGGCGTCCAACAAAAGCTGAACAATCTCGACGTAGCCTCCGCTGGCGGCCACGTGTAGAGCTGTCAGATCGAAAGGGTCCTTCAGGTTTACATCTGCTCCATTTGCGATCAGAAGATCCACGATCTTGATGTGTCCTTTGTCTGAGGCCACCACGATTGGGTAACCTTGTCGTCCGCCCTGTTCATTGACGGCAACATGTTGCGAAAGCAGGCTTTTGACTTCCGAGACGAGGCCATACAAGCAGGCGTAGTACAGACCCGAAGCGGGTTTCGTGATCTTGAATGAGGCCTCTGGATCAAACATGACGAACCAATTCTCATAGGCCACGTTGTCAGATGACAAAAAATCGAGAATCAGGCCACCATTTTCAGCCCCATGGCCTAGAGACCGAGATGCAGCTGCGTGGTCCAGCCATGATTGTGCGCTGTAGCTAGCAAATGGAAATGCTTCTTCGATCTGGTGTTTTGTCATTGCATCCTTGATTTCTGATAGATATGCCACGCAGATGTCAGCAAGGGACGCCCGGGAAATGGACGGCTCAATGAGTGGCCGCAGCTCTGCATGGAGCCGATCCGAGGTCAGATATTCCTTCACTGAGAAGTGGGCGAGTCGCACTTCTAGCACTTCTTTATATCCATCGAGCTGATCCCTTGCGCGCTTACGCGTCCGCGCCAAAAGCAGCATACTTGGGCAATAGAGACAGATCTCAGTAGGTCTGGGCATCCTGAAGGCCGGGTCAAACTTGGGAGACTCGCTCAAGTTCACCGCGAGAGCGTCAGCAAGCTCTTCGACTGTAAATGGCCTGTTAGAGAAAGCAAGGAAGCGGAGAACGGTGGTGGCATTGGATTTGTTCTCCTCTGGTATGTCTCGGATCATTCGATGATAGGTTTCATCGAGATCCCTGGGTAGAGATGACAGTTCCTTGAGAAGAGTATGATGATCAATGCACCTAGCTAACGAACTGAGTTGGCAGGCTGCCCACCGGAACCTACATCAAATCAGCGCTGCTGTTTCGTGCGGCTGCTGGTCGACTTACATTCCATCAACTTTAGCCATCAGTGTCGACTCGATCTGTTGCAATCTTGGGGTCCCTTGCCACCTGTCGAACCTTCCACCTGGTCGAAGCTCATGGCGAATATAGGCCTGGATATCATCTTGAATAAGACTGTGCTGAAGTGAAATGAAACACTCTTTCTGGGCCCATTCGGTAAAAGACCTTTCGATATCTTCCACTGATCGGCTTGTAACGAGAATATGAGTAGATCCTATGGTATCCTGCTTCAGTTGTTTGATGAAAGAGAGAATACCGTCTACATACGATCCGTCTCTGGTCGTACATTCATCAAGGGCGTCAATGATAACCCAAGTCTCGTCTGACTGATTCAAGATTTTAACGAGACAGTCATAAAGCTGCTGGGTTGTCGGCTGCTCATCTCTTCGCGCAGGACGTGACTTCCATAGGTCATGTATACAGGCCTTTGATGCCTCGTTCTTCTGAGAACACTGTTGGATCAGAGAACGGAGCAAGCTGTTGAGAGTCTGTTTCGAACTGTCGTTGAAATCAAAGTAGAAATAAGCAAGGCAAGCCGATGAATAAGTAGACCGAACGTCTTCAATCAAAGTCGAGCTCAGAACTGTTTTTCCGCAGCCCGGGATTCCAGATACCCAGAGAAATGCACTCCGAGTTGCTTTCCAGTCCCGATATATCGGATCCTCTAGAAGCCAGGACCCGGTTCCCTCGTGGTGACTTTGCATGGCTAATTTGTGGTTGCTTGACTGGTCCGGCGCTCTCAGCCACGACATCACCTCGTCGTCTTCCCGATTACTAAATATTGTCTCTTGGAAATCATGCATTTCTTGCTTTACTAGATTTAACTCAGCGAGACTTCACCTGCCGGGTCTCGACGTTCCACTAACCTGACTCAACGGCGTCGGCTAACTTCTTCTCTGCTTCAACCTTACTCGGCAAGATCTTTCCTAAAAGGTCCTTGGCATAGGCAGCCGCTGTCATTGCGGCGTATCCATGCCAGTTATCGTTCTTGTGGGTGTCCGAGTAGTCGCAGATACCCCTGACTACCAAACACGGGAAGTGGTTCATAAGGCCTGCGGCTTCCATCTCGAAGCAAAGCACGCCCTTCTCTGCTGCGAGACGGTCCCGGACTGTGGCATCTTTCATGAGCTGATTCGCAGACGCGATAAGACCGTAATGAACAGCGGGGTCATCATCGCCCTCATCTTCGTCTCTCTCCGCGCGGAGGATGATGTTATCCGAATCTGTACCGCAACCCGCCGTGCAGTCCCCAGTACCGCTAGTGTGAAGGTAGTTCGACTGATAGAGAACATCGGTGCTGGGGTCTGGCCGTCTATACTTCCGGAGTCTCTTGTTCTTCCCCGTGATATCTGTGACTGCCTCTTGAATATTGTGGCCTTTGCGTTCGTACTGCGCCTGCAGATTGGTGACCGCAGTTCGGACAACGTTGGGAGGCTGGTCCAGATGTCTCGTGTGCTGAAAGGCTTGCTCTTGAATCGTCTTGCCGAAGTCATACTCAAATACACCGCTGTTGCCGCCGCGAGGGGCGCTGACAACAATATCACCGAGGCGTACATCGTCCTTCGAGGTCGGGGCGCCGCCGCCGATGCCCACCATCAGGCCAATCCGAATATTGGGGAATGAATGAACCATATCCCTGGCAACCGTCGCTGCCGAACTGGTGCCATATTCACCATCTGGAAGCACCGCGATGACCACGTTATGCTGCCCAATCCGACCAAAGGCGTAGCTGTTATTGTCATGTACAGCAGCGCTGATTCCTTCGGCGTCGTGTTCCTCGTCTAGAAATTCCTGTGCGGCGACGAACTCGGGCTTGATGGCGCAAATCCAGCCGACTGTGTACTGTTCGGCAGACATCGTCACTGTCGGGTGAAGAGCGAGAAGGTGAAGTCAGAGTCGAGTAGAAAGCGCGCGCATCAAGATGGGCATGGCAAAGGAAATCGCGCAGTACTGCCATCGATAATTTGAAAAGGCAGGCAGCGAAGATTGAAGGAAGGACCAGGCTAAGTATGAACTCCGGCCACACTGCCCTTCAGTATGGAGACATGGGATTCTCTCCCTGCTCAACTGGGTCGGGACGTGGCCTGCAGATATGCCCCCCGGTTGCTTTGGCGAGGCGAAGCAGGGGCTCGACAGTCAAATCAGAGTCCATGGCTTGCAAGAGAAAGTGGAAGGCCAAGTGTGCACCGAATGACAACGCTTGATGTCCCCTGCGTCTCACTGCATATGCCGGGAATAATACTGTCACACCATCAGCACCACTCTCATCGTTCTGTCTACAGTGTTGTCCAATTATTAGGCAGGAGAAGTGGTCGTGACTGTCACTGCGCCGCATTTGACATACTTCAGCTGGACAAGCCCAGAGACAGCCTGATTTCAATTTCACAGCTTACGCCAGCCTGATGACCCAGCTCTTGCGTCTTGACACCACCAGGGTCGAGCAACGTTGTAATTGAATCATCAGCAATCTGTCAGGCATGTCAGAAGTTGGGTCAGATAAACCAAATGCCAATTTGGAGAGCAGAAGGGCAGATGAGGAATCTCTCAAGAGCCTCCAAGAATCCTTGGGCCACATCTCTTAATATTGGAAATGCTCAAAAATTTGGCGGAGACGGTCTCAAAGTGGTCTTATTAACCCTCTCCATTCCTGTACATAGAGGGCAGGATGCCTCAGTTAGCGATCCCTGTCTATCATTAGGCCAACTGAAGTCAACCTCCTCCATGCAAACATGGTCTAAATCCTGTAAGTGGTAGAATGAAGGTGCGAGTTAGATTAAATGGCTGATCAAGAACGCATCCACAAGGCGTAAGCAATCGCGTCGAACCTGCTCCGTTACACTTCCCATTGAGGCACCCGATCTTCTGGAACAAGAGGAAAAAGGATTATGTTCATTCATGAGGTCTCTGCGTGTCTATTCGAATAATCTGAAACTGATTAGGGATTACAATATTAGCAGAAAGCCTGGTGATTTTGATGATGAGACTGTAAGGTCGCACCCAGTCGGCGTGCGTGGCCTACTTATCTGAGGGGTCCAGCGGAACTCTGCTGCAGCTGATCGCGGATGCGATGACGTCCACAGGGTTCTAGCGCATTGTTTTTAGTGTTGGTCTCTGTGGAAGACTGAATTCAGAGCAACTGGGGTCCAGGGAAAAGCTTCACGCAGGCTTTTGTCTTAGTGCTGGCGCTTACACTGACAGGCCTGTGAGCTCATGAGCCCACCGCGACTTGCTCTTCCTCATCACAGGCATCTTTCTACCAGGTCAACTCAGCTACATGGATGCGAGCACTTGGGCGAAGCAATTACGCTTACGTATTTTACTGCCATCTGCTTCTTATGCATGACTAAGTTGGTGCTTGAGGCGTCTAATATGAACGGCGGGGGGCGGCGGGTGCGGGGAATATTTTAAAGCCCGTGACACTAAGTGCTTCGTGCCATCCAAACACTGATTCTGCGAACGCCGCGGCGTTTACAAAATTTGGCATGCAACATCTCTTTCACCATTCATGTCATGAAATCGCAATGACGAACATCCAGCCCGGGCAAGAAGCGCAACAGGGGAAACCACCCCAGCTGCGAAACTCGGGTTCAGAGAATGCCTCCACGCAAGATCGTGATATGGAGCAAATTGCCAGCAGTTACCGGTCCGGCAAATCGGTGGCGGCCGATAATACAGGCCAATACCGCACTGCGTGCTTCAGCTGTCGGGCAGCGAGACAGCGCTGTGATCGGCGGAAGCCCTGGTAGGATGCCTTGCGCATTGATGGTCTGCCTATGCCGGTGCTGACCTGCTCCGCAGTTCGCGATGTACTTCGCAGGGACAGACATGCAGTTACCCTCTTCGATCTAATAGAGGCCGTAAAGAAGGCAGTACCAAGTAAGTTCACTGCATCTCATCGATTACAAGCCATGCTCAAATCCAGCCAGTAAACCAGACAGTCTCGAGAAGCTCTTAGCTCGCATTAACGAAAGCCCTGTGAAGGACCAAGTCATCGCTGCCATAGTCAACTCTTTGAACACTGGCTCAGACAACTTGTCTCCGCCCTTGACTGATTCGCCTGGTTTCCAAAATCAAGGGCTTGAAGTGTCCGTCAACACGACTACCCGCTCGGAGAGCCCTGAGTTACCAGACACTACTCAAGTACCATGCCCGTGCTTCAAACTTGAGAGGGAGAGTCACGTAGTATCCCCCTTACAAATCATGGCAGCGGCTATTGCTGCGGACCTACCGACAACATCACTATGCCCAAATCACACATCTCGTTCCAAAGATGGAAATGGCTTGGATGAGCGTCTAGTGGAGTATCTTAGTAAGATGCTCTCAAAGCTTCTACCGTTGGATAACTTGCTGATGCTAGTCGACCTGCAGCTCCTCGATCAACTCATCAGAAAGATTGGCACGTGTTGGCATCTCAGTCCAACAATACGACGTTGAAACTGGAGTCGACAGCATGCGATCCTGTAACCGCTCGTCTTGTCGACCAAAGCGATGTCTCGCTCTATTTTGACTTGTACGTGGGTGTTTTACCAATGCTATCACAAGTACTGATTAAAACTCTAATGCAGGTTTTTCAAAATGCGCAACCCACTAGTAGGACTGCTCGATCCTGTCCTCCACACCCCTGAAAGTGTTTACAATGCATCTTTCACTCTGTTTTCTGTCATTTGTGCTCTCGGTTGCGCAATATCAACTCGGCCTCGTGACCGCATACTGTACCCAACGCTTCTCTCTTTAGCTGAGGCGAGCATGATGTGGTCCATTGCTGCATCTGTGAAATCGCTCGAAATCATTCAAGCGATTATCTGCATGAAGTACTGGGCACCATTGCACCAAAGACAGGCAGACGATCCATATTGGCTTCATCTAGGTCATGTACGTTAACCTCGTGTTCTAGTCGGAGTCTTGATCGATTTGAACTGACAGACTACCAGGCGGCACAGCTTGCGAAAGAACTGGGGATCAATCGACCTTCTGCCGTGACTGAACAAGCCAACGCGCTAGCCCCGGATGCAAGCACCGAATTCAAAGAACGAATGATGCGCAACATTGAAAGAACATGGCTGTATGTTTTCATTGCCGACAAGAGTTTTGGTATTGCGACGGGTCGCTCCCTCATTGTCGGTTGGAACGAGTTGCCTCCATGCCCCTGTCAATGGTGGAAAAAGCCCATGACGAACCCATCAGACCGCATGATCAGTGGGCTCATTGAAATAAGAGTTCAGTTGGTAAGCTTTCACTACTTATGCATTCATCCTAGGAGTGACACTAAACATGCAATTAGCTGGAAGCCTTGAAACAGCTAGGGCGAGGCATCAAAACCCCTGAAGCTGTTCTAAGCTGGCACTCAAAAGCCTTCGAAGCCCTGGAGAGCACTCGAAATAAGGCATGCTCAACACATGACCCCCGAATCGCAACCTCTCTGCCCATTTTGGCTTTCTACATGGACCACAGTATCATGGTCCTGAATGCACAGGCAATGAGAGACCTCAAAAACATTGACGAAGAGGTCAGGTGTGCAGAATTTCTAACAGTATCCCGGCGGGCATTCGATGTGGCGCGGCGCGCGTTGGAGCTTGCGCTCTCAGACTCAACGATGCGAGAACTCAGATTAGGATGGCATAACAACCAATTTATTATGGTCGCGCATGCCATGACGGAGATCCTCCATGTAAGTTGAATTCGAAAAGGAGGAGAACGAATAACCTCCCTCCGGCTATTCGAGAACCTATGGCTGATCATGATGCTCAGGCCATCAAGCGCGGAAATCTTCCTCCGGCTGATGTCGTTGATGCTGCGACCAAAGTACGGTCGGTGCCTAGGTATCTGGAAGATATGGCGCAGGAACTACCAGATACGTCTGCTGTTCACTTTTATACCGCATTGTCGCGCGTTTTTGCTTCTCAGGTCGAGAAGTTTGTCAACGTCGAAGACCAGAACACGGATCAAGACGCTGGTATTGACACGAATCTGTTTGTGCCAGAATGGCTCAAAGAGGTGAATGGAGGCTCTTTGGATCCTGCTTTGTGGTTTGATGTAGGCTTTCTGAGCGTAGAACAACCAAGCTTTGGCAGTGCAGATCTTGGAGGAGTGGAGGACTTGGACAACTTGACTTTCAATTGATTATCTGGCAGCCCAGACGGACACTTTGAAGGACGAAATCAAAACATGAAAATGGCAACTTGATTCAAGACATGTTGAGCCGTCTGTGTAGGTATTCTTTCGAGACTGGTTGTTGAACGCTAGTGTACTCAATTTCCTTCCACTTTTGTAACACCAACCTAACATTTCTCAACCTTGTCGCAACTTTGAGTGTAACCATTACCAGACACATCGTCTTCCTTTCGACAATAACAAGAGGAGCGCACATTTACATCTGCCAAGTTGACCGCGAGCTTGAGTGGAAGCTCCAGTAGCCGGGCCTCGTCATTTCGGCCAAGACGTGTGAGACATTCGTGGTATCCATGAAGAGCCCAGACGTTGTTGGGATGTTGGTGGCCGCGAGGTAGTGAGGTAAGGAAGCCCAGATCCTCAGCGTACGCCTTAGCTGCCTCTTCGACGTGGCCTTGTTCTAGAGACAAAGCAGCGTAGGCGTGTCGAGTCGGTTGCATCCACCCCCAAGGCTCACTATACTTGAGGTTGTCATCAAGTTGAATCGACTTTCGCAGGTGCTCAAATGTCAGATCAAAGTTTCCTCGGCGATACTCCAATTCACCTGCGAGCATAGCCTCGCCAACCTTAAGTGTCTCGACACACTGGTTGGGGTAGTCGTACCGCGATGAGGGCACATTGGCATATGCCTTGGCGAAGAGTTTCTGTTCACTCTCGGCCTCTGGTACACGGCCTGTGGCTGCAAATGCCACTCCCCTCGCGTAGTGGAGCGTTGCGGTTGTGACGCAGTATAACGTCTGGTTCTCGGGGATTTTCAGGTCGAGAATCTCATCCCAAAGACCGAAACGGATCAGCACATGGGCGCGGACACCAACGAAAGCCTCAAGCCAGTCAGCCATGGGAGGCGACTCAATAGCCAGCAGCTCTTCGGGCAGGGCCTTCTCCATCAGGTCGCAGTTCTCCAGGGCCACCTTCGATTGGCCGGAGAGCATAGCGGCATAGATGAGCGAGTGGTAGTTGTGAGCGTGGTAAAACGTGTAGAGATTCATCCTCCCAATCTTTGCGAAGAACTTGTTGTCTGCAACCACAGCTGCAACGTTGGCTGAGACCGCGCTCCGGTAGTCGCCGATCAAGACATCAATGTGGGATGGCATATGGTTGAAGTGACCACCATCGGGGACCAGATGTCGAAGCTTGTCCGCAGAAGGTACCGCAAGCTCGGGTGTTCGGGACATTTCCACGAGATGAATATGAAGATGCAGCAGCCCCGGGTGCTCGTCGGCACCCTCTAGGGTAAAGGCACGCTCAAGAGCTGCCATGGCGTCGAGAGTTCGAGCATTGGCACCGGGTTTCCCGCTGTACGGATCCCACATCCCCCATGGTGTCAGGTTCATGAGAGCGTCAGTGTAGAGAACAGCCACGTCAATGTCGTTGCCAAAGCTTTCGTACACAGATTGCATGGTGCTGGCGTATGCGTCGTTCCAGGCGGAGTAGCCTTGCTCGTTTGTCGGCTGAGGCTGAGGGTATCGCTGGGCAATCGCGCGGACCAAGGACTGCTCAACGGGGCTTGCTCCGTCAATCCTCTCCAGAGCTTGGCAAGATGCCTTGTACGTTTCGTTGAGTGCAACCTTGAGCTCATTGGGGTCGAACAACCGCCATGCTTTGTTGTAATAAGGTCCCCGAGTGTACGCCAAGCCCCAATAGCCCATGGCACAATCAGGATCCGCAAGAATGACTTTCTCGAAGCATTCTGAGGCCTCGTTGTTGTTAAACCCATAGGCCCAGACAAGCCCTCGATCGAACCATCGTTGAGCCTCCAAGCTCTTAGTCGTGATAGGACGATGGTACTTTCCAAGGTTGAAGTATCCGTCGTCTTTGAGCATAGCTGCTGTCATTTTTGCAAGCGTGGTATTGCCGAGAGTAGATGAAGAAGTATGAAATTTGAAAAGAGAACAAAGTATGATGTACGACTCAATATGCACTTGGGCTTCTCAATATTGCAAGATGGATGGACTAAAGAATTCGAAAAAGATTAGAACTCTTTAAATACAGTAATGAGTTGACCAGACCACAATTTAGATTAGTCGGCCACGCTTTTGGTTTGTAAGTTGAGTGCGGCGTCTAAACAAGTTGCCGCAAAAGTTTGTGCGCATGGTCTCGTGCAGACAGAAGTCCTTAGTGAACGGGTGAATATGTTTGATTACTTATCAATCATATAGAAATTCTCATGGAGTTAACCTAGTTTCGGGGGTCATTTGACTGTACAATGTCTGCGTTTGGGAAATTGCTTCAGCTGTTCACCACGAATAACCTCAAAATCAATTCAATATCTTTGCTTTTCGTCTTTCATTGTATTGTGTCTGGGCAAACCATTGTTATTCAACAGGTGGTTTCTAGATTACACAGCCTATCCGCGATTGCATCTCGGACGGGTTATTAGTCCCGCTGCTAGATTCGGGCTCCTTATTATCAACTTCCTCACCGTCCACAGTAACAACAGCTTCGCGCAAGCTACCATTCGCGCCGGTCACGTCTGAACTAGGCAGCAAGACCGCCGTCGACCATCAAAATCTGGCCGGTGATAAAGGACGCCTTAGATGAGGCCAGGAAAGCCACTGCCTCGGCGATTTCGGCAGCCTCTCCCCAGCGCTTAAGCGGCGTCACCGCAGTGGCGCCCTCCAGCAGCGCTCGTGTCGGCGTCTCCATCATCGGCAGCACCATACCGGCGTTGATAACGCCGGGTCCCACGGCATTGGCCCGAATGCCATGATCAGCTTCCTCGGTGGCGAGCTGGCGCACCATCATGGCCACCGCAGCCTTGGGCGTGGCCGAGAGCGCATCGCACGGCACGGTGCGATTCACCGCGCTGGTGATCAGGGCGACGAATGAGCCACCCTTTCCCTCTCGCAGTACTGGCACGCCGGCCTTCGCGATGTTGTAGAAGCCGTAGACGTCGGTCTCGATGACGCCGCGGAAGGACTCCTCCTTGAACTCCGCCAGCGGGCCCGTATCGAACACTAGGCCGCCGGCGGACACTACCGTGTGCACGCGCTTGTATGCGTCCACAGCATGCTTGAAAACGGCCTCGACCGCCTTGAGGTCGGTAACGTCACAGGCTTTCGCGCTGACCTGGCGCCCGAGCTTGCGTAGCTCCTCTACCAGGGACTCGGCTTCGGCGCGGCGCGACCGGTAGGTGACGACAACGTTGGAACCGCGCTCCGCAATCAGGCCAGCGCTCGCGCGGCCGAGGCCGCCCGAGCCGCCGAAGACGACGGCACAGCCTTCGCCAAATTCGGGTTGGGTGACGCCGAAAGTCATTTTATGTTCTCCTCGATGGTTTTTCGGCGTTAGGTAGTTACGTAGATCGAGTGGTTATTGAGTGGTGTGGATAGGGTCTTGAGGGACGGAATGCTCTCGATTTCATTCAGTATAAATACTTAAACAATCAAAGAGGTGTGTCCAGACCTACACAACTCCATATGACTGACTCATGCCCCATTGATGCCATTGAAGTTATCGTTGGAACTCATGGATACCAGAATCCGCACCACCCCTGCTTTTTCCTCCGATTCGTAGAAGAAAGGGACTTTCGTCGAATATTGAGGGTCAAATGAGAGCCCGACGAGGATAAATCTGGCGATTGACAGGGCCCTTACCAATGGCCCCCCCTTATTGCGCGGATTCTGGTATTCGTAAGTTTCTACAATAGCTCGTTCTCAATCATTTAGCAACACGTGTACTACGTTACCCCATCAAGTCCCTGGATTTCGCACCGCATTTGCGGGACTGGAAATACCACGGCTGAGCTCGCTTGATACGGGAGTCCTACCCGGTGGATGCAGGGCGGTAATTGGCTAGATTATTCGACCTCACATTCAGTATTCGATTGAGACGGCTCAGACGGATGGGCTGGTTGGAGCTCAGCTGGCCGTACCTGAACTGTCACATTCTTCTTATTAGCCGGAAGCTGTAATAGGGACTGCGTGCATGAAGGAGAAGAACAAAGAAAACAACGCAAATAATATTGTGCTCAAACTTTGGTCTCTATATATCTAGTGCAAGTCAGATATCTTTCCTAAGCTATGGAGGCGATCCATCGATAGGGATTGTAACCGTCAACTGCATACACGTGGGGAATCACGTGTCTGGGATTTTGTCTTCACAAGAAAGACTGTGACATGAACGACACAGTGGCGAAAATTGCTCGTGGCACAAGCTTGACGTCGAGAGTGTCCCGGGTTTTGGGCGCCGATAGCACTGTCGACGATATTCCTCCTTGTTACAAGGCCCAGAACGCTTAGGATGGGGTACAGGGTCCAGCGTTGCGGAGAGAGGCTCCATTCGCCAGGTTACCAGCTGCCGGCCCGGCACCGCAACTGCTGTTAACCTTGACGGCGTAATTGATAACTCCTTTAGGGGCCGTGGCGTCTCTCATGGGTCGAATACCGTCGTGAGGGATGCAGACGCTGTCGACAACTTGTTGATTGATGTTCAAAAGTTCAATCTGACATCCCGTGTCCTGAGCCATTGTAACGCCGGCAAAGCACGCCGATAGGATGATAAGCTCTGCGACTCTCATTTTGCAATATGAAGAAGAGATGTTATGAAGTGTTTGAGGATAATCGATGTGTTGTTTGAAGAGGCAGTGGAAGCGATGGCAGGATTGGAAGGAATGACGGGGAAGAAGAACGTCTTGAATATATAGCAATTCTTTGGCGGCTCAGGTGTATCGGATGAGGTCCATAGTCTCTACACCATGACTCAGTGGTATTTAGAAACTGCCCCAATATCAGGAGACTTGACCCTAGAACCTGCCGGGGATGGATACGGACCTCTCCTTTCCTGAGGTGCATGGGACAAAAATGCTTGACACGCTTGTGGCTTAGATTATGTGCGTGAAGCAAACTTACTTCAGAGCTAATGAACATCATATTCATAGCTAAGATAGCCTGGAACTTCAGGAATCCAGTCAACTAATCCAGTCGACCCTCCCCATCGACTTCCATACGACGCTCGAGAAGGAAGAGGTTCACCATCGTAGTGGAGGTGTATGGTTCATTGAAAAGCAATTGCAACTGCCGAAATAGGTCATGCCGATCTTACCGTCCTAGATAACACAGATGTTTATTTCTTTTCCAGGGCCTGTTCTGTCTTCACTCTATGGGTCTTCGAAGAAGTCTAGGCTGTATCGATATTGTCTCGAAAGAGTTTGTAGGAAGCCCGAGTCAGGCAAGGTTTAGATAAAGAGAGCTGCTAAACCGGGGGAAATAGTACGTGCACTAAATACCGCCATTTCAGAGACGATTTTCAAGCCTTCGACCGGCTATATCGCAAGTTCAAAGCACGTTCAGTCAGGTTGTCCCAGGAAAATATGCCATATCAGGTAAATTATCCGGCGTTAATATAGTTCAAAACCTAAAGTCGACGAAGCCGACGACGGCTGGATTACTCCGCGAGGTAAAATCGCCATTTTCGATCCATTTTCGGGTTGCTCCAGCATTCCCGCGGGATACAAAAGCAACTTTCACTGAAATAGGGGCTTCTAGGATTAATTGGGTTTCACAACGATATTGGTCAACGCTTGTATGATGCCACCGAACACGGCGCTAGTTCAGCCGCCAGGGAGTAAAGCAGAGGCATTTTTGAACACTTCACGCGTCACACGGACTTCTCAAGCTTACTTCAGAAGGCGCGACCGTGTTGATAAGCAGCCGATGACCAAGAAACTGTAGCGCCAGTCGGAAATCCGGAGCAGAGAAGAGTTTGGTCTATGTCTTGAAGATCACTCTCGAGAGGGTAAATAGCGAGCTCAGTGCATTTGCTCGTTTCAGACATCGTGGAGCCTGACTGGCTGAATCGATGGATGACAAGGAACCAGGGTGTGAGGTTGGCTGCGCGGTATTCCCAACCGTCAGAGCAGACGATGCGGACAAGGCATGAAAGGGCGAGTGATTGTTAGAGTCGCTCAATAAGAGCGAATAGATTCTTCGTGATCTGAGTAGTGCCTAACCACAAGTAGGAGTTTGCGATACCAACATGCGTTCTTAGTGGGGAGACGGTGCATGATGCGCGATGATTCATCGCGCGCCAAGCCAGATGCGGAAGGAGATCTCACGGAAACCTCTCGCGGTTGGCTATGGTGCTGGTTGCGTGCTGGTTGCACAACTTGCGACTTCCGCCTACAAATACACATGAACAGCTCTGTATGCCTTCGAATGAAAATTAAACCACCTTGCTTTTCATTCTCTCAACAGGTCACAGACACAGCCCATACTTTGGCTCTGCTGATTCTCGGTTCTCCTGTGCCATCTCTATTTGCCAGACAAATCACGCTAGCACCGATTACATCGCCGTCAAAGTATCGAGTAATATACCTACTCTTGGGACTACTCCAAATTGTGCGACATAATGACCGTCAACAACGACACCAATCAAACTTGCGACCCGCCATATCCCATCCCCAAGGGTCTTCGCATAATCCCACTGGACCAGCTCGATCTTCGGTCAGACGCTGAAGTGGACGCGATCATCAAGTCAGCCCCGCCAGTCACATCCACAAAGAATCTCTGGTTCTTTTGGAACTCAGGCTACGACGATTTACATCCATACGCGAAGCGTAATGTTCGCAACTGGCACCGTCGGTTCTCCAGGCAGGGTTGGACAATACGAGTTATGGACCTCGAGCCTGAGTCATCTGGATATATCGGGAACTGGATCGACATAAGAAACCCGAAGAACGTGCCCATGGCGTTCACTAATGGCGTCCTGGACGGGGAGTTTGCCACCCAACACTACTCCGATCTCGTTCGCTTTCCCCTACTGCTCAAGTATGGCGGAATCTACACGGACGTAGGGTTCATGCAGATTGGCGACGTCGATAGGTTATGGGAAGAAACTATCGCCAACCCACACAGTCCGTTTGAAGTATTGTCTTACAATGCCGGTGGTCCCCGAGACTACAGCCTCCTAAACTACTTCATGGGAAGTCTTCCCGGAAACAAGTTCTGGCAAGCATGTCATGCTCTTCTCGTGAAATTGTGGGAGGGAAAAACGAATACGGAGGGTCTACACAGTCATCCACTCCTCAAAGGGCTGCCCTTAATGGGAGAATCGTTCAGCAAATCGGGAGACACGAGTTTGAGCGAAAGATTGACAGACTACATCATCCAAGGACAAGCGATTACGATGGTTATGAGTACAGTCGACGAAGAGAGAGGTTGGAACGGCCCTGCATATGTCACGGAGAAGATATTTGCGCCGGATTACATGGTTGGGAGTCAGTTGATCAACGAGTATACGAACTGGAATGGAGTACAGGCTTTCAACCTCATGAGCCTTCAGGTGCCGCGGCGTGGAGAGCCGGAGTCGGACGATCAAAAACTGGCACGGGAAATTGTGGAAGATTGTCTTACGAGAAGCTTTGGCTTCAAACTAGCACACGGCTTGATTGTTCAAGTACTCGGACCTACGTTGGGAAGCTTGTGGAGGAAACATGAAGGCAGCGATGCTGTGGAAGGAACGCACGCCCACTGGTTGAGGTATGGCATGGAGAGATGGTGCCCAGACCATTTGCCGCAAAGGGAAAATTACGAGTTACTGGAACCTGTAAAGATTGGTCCATTGTTGAGAGAGGAATAGACTATTCTAATATCTAGATAATCGCAGTGCTCGCATTGACGCTCAATATCACGGATGTGAATATGGAGGCTGATGAATGTTCTTCCCATCAAACTTAACAGACATCTGGTGAAGGAGTTCAAGGTCGATGCCTTCCAGAACTCGAGCATTGACTGGCGTCCCCCCCTTGGACTTTTCATGCCAAAACCTTGCATTGTCAGGCAAGTCATCATGCTCTTCCTTCGACAGGATGTTGTGGTTGTTTGTGAGGAACACTCCGCAAGCTTTGCAAAATGATTTCCAGAGAATGTTGTGGTTGAACTTGTATCGCCCAATATCCTTTTCGTCTCCTATCAAGTCGACGCTTTCGTCATTAGGGTATACCCAGACATAACCGTTCTTCGATCGAGTTAGCAAGCTACCAAAACAAATTCATTTGCGATGTGAAACTTACCATCTCGCAAACTCTGCAGTTGCATTCTAAAACAAGTCCTTCGTAGGTTCTATCCAGAGGGGTGCTACGCAGGCGAAGTGTCAACGCTCCGCAGTGGCAGCCTCCCGTATAAACATTTGGGCTGTCCAGAGGAGGATAAGTTTCGGCAGTTTTCAAGTTAGAGCGTTGTTGAGAAAAGCTGCGCCCAACATAATCAACCCTATGAAAAGTTATTATAAGGAAACTTTTGATTTCGACCGACTATTTTCGTACTGCTCCAGCTTCAAATCCTTGACATCAAGGGCTTGGAATGTCCGAGCCTATACAGTCAGATGTCGGAGGTTACCTCGTAGAAGGTACCACTACTTACATTGAAGGCTATCTGTGTATCAGACGAACTGGTCGTCATCACAGAAGTAGCGCAAATACCGCAGAACTGTGGGGTGAGATCGTGTTTGCCGCAGGAGATCATCGCAAACTCTTACCTTGTAAGTGGCATCTTCCGCACCGATGGCGTAGCTCGTCAGAGAGCTCTCGTCCCCTTTGACAAAGGTGACCTCACTCCGGCTGGCAGATAACCATAGGTTTGCCTTTTTGACACATAAGTCGCAACCGCACTGTGTGGCTTTCCTGGGTTCTGGAAAGTAGACGACGTACACGACCGCAGTACAGTGGCAGTTGCCACGCAATTTTCGCGTGGGTTCGTGGGGTTCGGTCATGCTGTAAATGAAGGTAAGATGAAGATAGGTAGCTGAAGAGCTTCCGCAGAAGATTTGTCACAACTTTTAAATCAGGCCCATCGGGCTTCATAATGATCTCGGACCCGGAATGGAGTTGCTCTTCCGTAGGCTTTGAAGATATTTGTTGAGCTGCGGATCCTACGGCCCGCCCACCAAATATGCTGCTCGGTTTCGGTTTCTTTAGTGTTTGTATGCCAGCTGGATTACCGCCCGCCGTTGTTGGCTCGTGCATACTAATACTGCATGGCATTGTTGGGCCATACTATGCGTGTATGGAAAGGAGAGCCCCTCAACTCTCCGGTAACAGCCATGAATTCCATGCTGATAACTTGTGACACTGACCTTCATACAATGAGATTATGCGGCCACTGAACGGCACGTTCTACAAAGCACAAATTTCAAGGCAGAAGCACCAGTATCATCCGCTGGTACACGTCCCATTTTCTGGGAGCCACTTAGATTATTCAGTGACAACGACCAAGTGCACGCTCAACTTACCGTTGAAAGTAACATGCTACTAGAGCGGCGTGACGGGGTTGTTCTACTCCGCTACAGCGGTGGAGATTGCACAACGTAGACTTCCCGCGCGCTTATGACTTAGTAAAAGCCAGTGCCTTGATAAATAGACCAAGGACGTCGACTAATTTTGTTGAACTGCCAGCGAGCCCAATCAGGCATTTTGATAGCTTAAACCATTATTAAGCCCAGCTGTTGTACATATGTCCCCGGCTAGGATCCTGATACCTTGCTTCGTTGCGTCCTAAAGCATATTGGGTAAGTACGATATGGGCTTAGAAGGGCATGCATTGTTCAATAAGAATCTATGATGTGCAGTATTAATTCGAAATGTTAGGCTGGAGAACGCAGTATGGGCTTCGTACATAGAGGAGCTGGAATGGTGAAGAGCCCAGGTTTCACAGTATTTGGCTAACCGGCCGACGTTGACTAAGTTGGGTCCTTCTTGACCCTGAGCTTTGTCCGAGCAGCCGCACGGTGGGCTCACACCTACGTCTCTTCTGTGCTGCGGACTCCTAAGCTGCGGATACTTGCTCTCCTCTCAGACTCTCTGAATCATCATCCTTTGTGTCGTGAGATCAGTGTTTGACCGATGCTATATATCTAGTCTGTTCCGCACAATAACGACACGCTCTGGGGTAGTGGAGAATGAGAGTGTAGTGTAATCAGTCTGGAGGAGACAAACAAAAGTTGGGTACGCCCGGACGATGCACCAACGGGATTGGGAATGACACTGTGAGCCTCGAGTCCCGTCCATGTTCCTGCCTAGTATCCGCCTTCCCCGACTCTCTCGTAATGGATTTCGAGCTCTCAACGAGCGGGCGAATATTAGATCAATGCAAAAGCTGCAGCAAGACCAGCAACCGCGACACCCCACATAGGCTTCATCAGGCTTGCAGAGCTTCCGATCAAATCGTTTCCTTCCACCGCGTACTTCTCGCTTGGTTCAAGAGTGGAAGCAGATGTCGAATTGGGCGCATGTCGCTTGATCAAGAAGTAGAATACTTTGTCGGATGAAAGCGTGTTCTGGTTCTTCGTGAATGATTCCACCTCCGAGGCCGGATTCCAGTTGTAGCCGTATGTTCCGTCGCCCGTAGTCGTGAAATTCTCTTCAATGGCAAATCCAAAATTTCCTCCGCCATTTGAAAATTGGCCGTACCACCAGAGATCGACTTCCGTCCATTCAGCGTTCCCCTCGTTATTGAGCGTCCATTCGATGGTGATCGGTGCGGACAGGTTGAGCTTGCGGTCGGTGTCGGGCGCTATGAATTCCAGGGCGTTGATGAGTCGCGTTACCCCGATGAGCGCTGTAAGAGTAAGCTTATGCATAGTTGTTGTGTCCGAAAAGTGAGTGTCGGGTTTGCTTGATTCGGTTGGTTGGCGATGCGCGTTCAGTGGCGTTGTGCCACGAGACGATTAGGAAAACAGCTCTTAACCGTAGTAGCTGGAGACCTGTTGGGGTAATAAATACTTCGGTTGCTTCAAGGTGAGTTGGGCGACAGACCGTGGCATACTGGGGTTAATACAGGGGCTTGTGTTGGGCCAAGCAAGTTGAGCGCGTGACTTCTCACAGTAATACATGGGTCAAGGGCGGTTTCCCTCATGTTTGCTGCTGTTGGTTCTAATGTTTGGACAATCGCTCACTGCGACAATCACGCCAAGCTTCGGGTCGTGACTAAGAGGCGCAGCAGCAGCGAGAGGACTAACCGTGTGTGGACAGGTGTTGTAGGTCATCTCAGCGCCCAATTTGGGGTAGATGTTCGTCCGGAATGCTAGTTGATCAACCTTACACCAACCGCATATTGAAGAGACGGGAGAACTTCGGTGCCTCTCATCCATCGCTTGTGTCAGCACTAGAGATATAGGACAGTTGTCTGCAGACCGACTTGGTGTTAATCCGTCATCTTGGCTCTTGCCTTCCTTCTTTCAATCTTGAGCGCCATCGCCTCACCTCGTACCAGCAAAAATGGCGGACCTAATTGAGCTTGACAGTCTCGAAATATTGGCGATCATCGACAATGAACTCGACCCTATTTCACCCTGTCCCAATCCCCTAATCGAGCAGACCGGTGGCATCAGAGACCTCACCATGCGCGCCATCCGAGAGTCTCCCGAGGAAGGGGGTCCAGTCCCAGAGCTGCGAATGAGCAATATCTGCTGCAGTGCCCACGGGCTTTCGCTGATGATAACGGGAATCAAAGACGGACAAAAGCGCACAATTCTCTTCGATACAGGGCCAGAGGAAGATATATGGGAGCGGAATGCCAAACGCCTCCGAGCTGACGCTGGTCAAATCGAACTGATCACGCTGAGCCATTGGCACAGGGATCATTCCGGCGGAATGCTCAAAGTCCTTGATATGGTATCCGAGGCTCGTCAACAGAACGGTGGTGATCTGTTACCAGTCACAGTTGACCTTCACCCTGGTCGCCCAGACTATCGGGGGGCGCAGGTTCCTGGCATGCCTGTCATTTCCTTGGAAGCTGACCCGACTCTCGAGGAAATTGAGGCACACGGTGGCACTGTGACGAAGAATGATCAATTCCATACGGTTTTGGACAACACGTTCCTGATTTCCGGAGAAATTCCACGAGTATCAGGCTACGAGGCAGGCTTTAGGTTTGGAATGAGGTTTGACAAGACCAAGGGCGAGTGGGAACAGGACGAGAAAATGCTTGATGAGAGAATTCTGATGTGCCGCCTGAAAAGTAAGTCTCGTCTCGTCTCTATCTAAGTGAACTGATTAAGAAACGACATCGCTGACGATACTATTAGACAAGGGAATCGTGATGTTCACAGGGTGCGGCCACGCAGGTGTGGTAAATTCGGCGAAGCACGCCATGGATCTTGGTAGCGGTGCGTCACTTTATGCAGTCATCGGCGGTTTTCACCTTGCCGATGCTCAACCCGACATCATCGAGCAGACTGCATCTGACCTGAAAGAATCTGGAGTCAAGGTACTTCTTGCGGGTCACTGCACTGGCTGGAGAGCTAAGGCAGAGTTGAGCAAGCAAATGCCGGGTACATACGCACCGTGTTTTGTGGGATCGAGGTTTGTGCTGTAGCTACGGCAGTCAAGAGATTGGCCTGTTGGGGGCAGATTTGTTTTTACAAGGTATGCAGAAGAGTATCAGACTGGATAAAAATAAGCTGCACGCAGAAAAGAAATTGTTTCCCTAGGCAATGGCTCTAACTCCTTGCTTTTACCTCGCCGTCCAAGTCAAGACGCGCTCTTCCGATGGCAGTTTCGGAGACTATTCTCCTTGACAAACATGTAATAATACAAGGTGTTTTTAATATCAACATGCGCTGTGAGGTCACAGGCTACAATCCAAATGGCAGGTTAACCGGGAGTCCGTTGACGAAAGGCACATTCACAGGCAATCTGCCACCGCCGTTGTTCCGACCACTAAATGGAAAACCAGAGTCACCGAAGTTGACAAGTGATGGCCCTGATCCACCAAAGCCTGTGCCTCCAAAAGGAGTTCCAATGTTGACGTTGGTGCGCTCGCGATCACGGTCATCGGTACTCCATGTCCAAGAGCGGCCACCATCACCGCCTGTGTCGATATTGATGTGCACACGTCGGTAGTTGCCGTCAGCATTCCGGCCATCTTGCCGATTTTGCTGATCTCCACGGTCTCGTCTCTCTGAGCGACCAGATCTCTCATTTTGCTGGTTCTGACGAGTGGTGTTCGCACGCCTCGGTCCCTCCTCGGGATTGGTGCGAGCCCGGTTCGGGCGTGGCCGTGCCGGCTCGGGATCGGGGCGCCGGGGCACCTCTTCGTCATACGAGTCGTCGTCTTCTTGCTGGTACTGCCGTCTTGACTGCTGATTCTGCCGTGGTGGGTCTCTCGGCGTCTTCAAGTCACCGTACATGCCATAGATGCTGTCCTCCCAAGCTCGTTCAGCCTGTTCGCGCTTGGGTTGCTGGCGCGGAGGCGATAGACGCTGTGGCGATCGAGGTGGGATGGTGTAGTCATTGTTCTCCTGGCTGTATCTGCTTTCGTCTGTTCTTCCAGTGCTGTATCTGGAGTTGTTTCTGTCGAAGTTGTTGCTGTATGAGCTCGTGTACGGTTGGCTTGACTGAGAGTTTGTGGGGGTTTGTCGGACCAGGGGACCGGAGTTGGGAAAGGGGGATTGCCCTGGACGGGGGTTGCTGGAGTTTCCTGGCCCACCGGGGCCAGACTTGTTGTTGTTATTCATTGCGAAAGTATATGAGAGATCTGAGAGTATGGCTGGTTGCAGAATGCGACTTGAAAATGGCTGGCAGAAGGAAAACAATGCGAAAACTCAATGGCGATCCAAGGTCTTTTATCTTGTGTGATCGGTCAATCACGGACCTCTCGGATGGTGCCATAAGATACCCACATGAATGTCATGCGTTTCAAGCGCGTTTATGGAGTCGAAAGGAGTGCGAGGTTCCCCGGAGTGATGAGTTGCGACCTTACGACCTTGTTGCTGGAAGCGTTTCAAGTCGAGCCCCCGATGGCCTGGAACGTACCGACATCAGACCACAAGAATCCCGACGACGTGGAAGTGTCCCCTTAGCCTGTATCGGCATCGCCCAACAACACGAATCGCCTTCGATGGACCCCAGAAATCTTGGGATGACTTTTCGGAGATTTCTCAGAGAGATCAACAAGGTGCCCTCCTTCGTCTGAGGGCGTCCGAAGTATCCTTGTCATCGTCAGCCCATCTCAGTATCACGACCCCTGCAAGCGTCGCAAGGAGCCGAACTACAGCATACCCGCAAGACCGGTCAGTGCTTCAACTGTAGATCATGGACTGTTAAAAAAGCAAGGTTTCGGCTCTTGTTGTGACTACAATCTGATAATCAGCAGATGTGTCTTGGTGACGATACTTTGCCACGGTGTTGCAGCTGGGACAACTAGTGAGGAGGTTCCCCGACTGTCTCTGGCTAAGCGCTGGGCACATGCCTAAATAACAGTTGCATAGGGGCCAGAACGAGAGTGCGTACGAAGATGACGATGTCTTTGAGACAATATAAGTCATCGCTGCAGGCGATCGAGATGGTATCCGATTGCGCGGGCCCAGTCTTTCCAAAATCGCCGAGGTCGTAGTCATAAAGCTTCCACATTTCGTGAATGGCGGATAGATAAAGGTTCCAAATTGGACAACCAAGCCATAAGGGAAAGATGTCCAGGATTCCACATTACATGATCCTGAATTTCTATTTCGGAAAATGGCTGGAGTGGGAAATCAAGATCCGAGCGCCCGTCCCATCTCGTGGGCTTGGTATCGGGAGCACGGATTGATCAATCATCCACTGCTGGACTCCCCAGATGATTGAAAGCCTGCTTACTGCATGCTAGAAGGTTATTGACTGTAGTTCTATCGAAGCGGACTTTTTTGCGGAAGCAGTTGTGCCCATACGATGGGGAAATACAAAGGGGCAGGGGGTTCTCCGGATGTTCCGTCAATTCAAGGCTTAAGCAGTCCGACGGCTTATAAATCACCGTTTGAAGCGGTAGCAGCGTGCGACTTGCGTCTTCGTCCGAGCTTGAATTCGAAATCATGTTGGTTGATGATTCGTCGAACTTTCTGGCGTAACTTTGGATATGATGGCATAATCGAGCCTCTGAGCACGACATTAGAGTTACGGGCCATCATAAAAAGCGTTGAAGTGCGCGAACGGTTGATCCGAGTAATTATTCTTCAAATCACATCCAATCCCGAACCCAGATTAGCCATACTACCAAGAGTTATCAATCCTTACTATTCACCATGCCTCATGCTGCCGCTGTTATTCCCGCTGCCACAACACCGTTGGTGGTGCAAGATGTCGAGACCCCACAGCCAGGGTCGCACGAGCTTTTGATCAAGAACGAATTCATCGCTCTCGTACCAATCGACGCGAAACTTGCCAAACTGGGAGTTTTTCCAATTCCTTATCCTGCTATTCTGGGTACATCGTATGGAGGCACAGTCATAGCAGTTGGTCCCAACGTCACCGACTTCAAGGTCGGAGACATGGTCGCATCAGCTAAGACTGCTGGTGCTGAAGGCAACAAATTCGGCGCGTTTCAGAAGCAAGTCATCGCTCGGGATGTCACTACCAGCAAGCTGCCAGCTTCAGCCGATTTCAGTGGTCCCGTTGGTCTGATTGGAAATTTCAGCACTGTCATCGGCCTGTTTAATGAGCATCTGGGACTTCACAAGCCTGATGCGCATAGCAAAGCCCCGCCGAATGGCAAGAAGATACTGGTCTACGGTGGTACTTCAAGCTTTGGAAGTCTATCTGTGCAATATCTTGCACAAGCTGGCTACGATGTTGTTACTACCACGTCACCTCGACACAAATCGCTTGTGGCTGAGCTGGGGGCTATGAAAGTCATCGACCATACACAATCTTCCGATGCGGTCATCAAAGCCTTGAATGCGGAAGGACCCTACGACTACGTCGTGGACTCTATCTCTCTTCCAGATACCATCAAGATCACCGGCGGGGTTCTTGGTGCTCAAGGCGGTGGTAAGATATATGCACTGCTACCGCCCTTCGGCCCGGACGATCTCCCGGCACGCGTGACGCGTGAGTTTGGCTCGTGGAGTGCGCCTCTGGGAGAAGAGAAGAACGCAGGTCTTCTGAAGTGGGCGTTCAACACGTACTTTCCCCAAGCAATTGCGGAAAACAAGCTCATTCCGCTTCCAACGCAGAAGATTGATGGTGGTCTCGGAGCACTCAACGAAGCCCTTGATATCCTGAATAAGGGGGTCAGCGGTTTGAAGGTGGTTGTAAACCCACAGGAGTAGTTAACTGGAGAAACGAAAGAGAACATTTTGAACAAAATACGTTTATTCCAACTCAATGCACAATTCCTTTGAAACTACCTTAGACTTCTGTGATCGTGAAGATTGCCATCTCTCACTGTGTGGGTCGGACCGCCCCACAAAGTGCACTACTGCATAGTAGGTAGGTAGCCCGTAAGGTAGACCCCCGGGCCGGTAGGTAGGGCGACTCGTCGGGTGAATGACGCTCCCGCCCCGTTCGCCAAATTAATTCAGCCCTCGACGTTCGTCAAGACTTAATACTCGCTCCTATTGCACCGACACACCCACCATCGTGATGCGATGACGACGCTTGGCGTTGGAGACTATCGCTGCGCGATATGCAGTGGACCTCTCCAGAAGCCTCCAATTGCCTTACGGTCCAAAGCCAAAGATGAGGTGAGTGGGATTGATGCAGGGGATGAAGCCTACCGCGGGCTTGATCCTGCTTACTTCGATGACTGCGACATTAGCTGGGTTGAGGAAGTCCGGTTCCTAGGTTTCAACCCCAATGCTCCATCAAGCACCGAAAAGGCCTTCTTAACTGGTCGTGGCAGGCTAGAGGAGGGGATCATAATGGCCGAGAGAGGGAATGATGTCAACGCCCCTCACTCGGAATTCGGCTTTGGGGAATACAGACTCTATTACGACTCTACCCGGCTCGATGCTGTCTTCCCACTCCACAGCGTCTGCCATTCTGAGATTTGGAGGCATCTGCTTTTACAACATGACATCCAAGATCACAACGACATGCTGTATAATGTCATGTTTGAGCTATCACATGGGCAATCGCCATTGGCCTTAGAGCTTGACTACGGTATAGACATGAGCCCGGCCTTCAAACTAGTGCCTGGGGAGATATTTATACTCATGAACCTCGGTAGCGCCTATTCTGAGTGACGGCTAATGTCTCTCGGCAATGTCGACACTTCGGAGTACAACCACATATGGACACCGAGGCAAAAGACAGAATGTGACTTTCTAAGAAATCTCCCACCGGAAGTTCTCCTAGAAGTAGCATCGTACCTCGATACCACAAGCATTTTTCGCGCGGTTGAAGTGTCTGATCGCCTGCTCTCCATTGTAACCGGCAATTGGTCTTTTTGGAAAGGACATCTTCGCGCACACATGCAGTGGTTTAATCAAGCATATGAGGACGCGAAAGAGGCAGAGTCGAAAGGCGAGAAGCCTGATATAATGCTGTGGGCTTACGTTCTCCAACCAGACAAACCTGGCTCGGCGCTCTCGTTGACAATGCATAATCGAAAACGCATCTGGTCAATCTGTGAGGAAATCTCACGGCGATATATGGCAAAGTGGAAACGGGAAGAGAGCGAGTGGTATCAAAACGGCACCGCTACCTCAATCATCAACGCTTCCCATTGCGATCAACTTGTTTCTGTTCAGGGTAATAGTGCAGCAAAGGCAAAGATCTTCGTACCGTCCCGTATATCCAATCAAGCGACGATTTTCACCGACGACGGACAATCCAGGCCTACTTTGACATCAACTCCGGTCTGGTAGGACTGTCGTACCAGCCATGTGACGAACCGCCTAGGTATTTCGGCCGTTCTGGGCTCGAAGGTCTTGAAGAAACCGCTTTTATTGCTAGTCCAACAGAGCCAAACCATGACGCTGGGATCTACAAGGAATTAGTTCGCATAGGTGACAAAGCCTCTACTCTTCGAAAGGCCGTAGGTCAAGTCAACCCGGGCCAAGGTATCATTGGATTTGTACTGCACACGACGTGTACTGAAGCCAATGCGGTTTCACTCAAATACACCGACTTTCGGTACATCACACTCCCCAACCTTTTCTCTATCTGCATCAGTGCGGTCACCGTAAGTAACCCGACTTACCCTGTAGATACGCTCTGCAGCGTTTCTGCAACTAGATAGCTGCACATCAGAATAAGGCGTCCTACGTATGCTTTCAAGCTTTGCTAATCATGCGTAGGCTATCTTTGATGACGGAGAACGCTTGGTTCTTGGCAGCATGGGTGAGGTAGGTGTCCGAAGGCGGGTCTGTCACAGAGCTCTACTTCTTCCCGACCACGCCGATTCGGAGTTTGTTGGCATTCTAGGCCAGACTATCGTATGATTCTCCGGTTAAATTGACAACGAAATGCTAATGAGGATCACAGGGCCAGATAGGGCAAGAGGAGATCTCGCGTCTAGGCCTGCTCCACGCCCTTTTCGAAAGCAAGCAAAGCCTTAAAAGTGCAGATGAAGAGGCTCCAAATCACAATATGCTTGCGAAACATCTCTGGGCAGAAACCTCGGCAGTCTTTCAGGGACGTTGGATCTGGGAGTGCGATGACTGGCTGAAGCTCGACATGCTAGAGGACAGCGGCACACCACCGTCGAACTACGATCCGTGGATATCCCTACCCTTCATCAAACACGGTCTCCTTTCGCGCGTTTCTTGTATCTCGTCGCGTCATTTGGACCGGAGTATTGGACCCCAGCGTAACAACAGTCCTTTTCGAATCTGTCAATATGGTTGGCAAGAGCCGACGAGATTACCGCTGTGCGGTCTGTGGCGCTCCATTTCGACGACCAAAGATCGCCAAAAGTTCAAAGTCTCGAGACAAAGCCGCCGGAACCCAGGCGCCGGAGGAAGAATACGAAGGCCTAGATCCAGCGTTCTTCAGCCATAGGAGCCTCGATTGGCTCTCCGAGGCGAGAGTGATAGGCACCCATTCCCACGAAGGAATCGGCCTGAACAGAGCATTCGTGTCTGAGCCTGGCACGGTATCGTCCACCCGGGGCTTTATCATGGGCGAACCGGAGTGGGGGAGGGAAGAAAATGCCGACGTAAATACGCCTCACAGCAACTTATCCGAATTTCGCTGCTACCACGATCCGGGCCAACTCGATCCGGTGTTCCCATTTCACAAGTTCTGTTACAGAATTTTGGACAGCTATGCCAGTTCCTATAACAGTGACGAAAATAGGACAGATGGCATATATGACGCATTGTACGAGTTGTCTCATAATCACGATGCGCTGGCGTTGAATCTCGACTACGACACCAAGATCGACAACACCTTTCAAAATGTCTTCGTGCCGGGTATTATCGCGGCAGATCCGAACGCTAGGCTATTCAGAATGTCTTTTTCCATAGAAGGGAAGATCGAAAAACGCTATTGGGACGATCCTTTGCTCTCAACTCTACTGGAACCCGCCGAGGCATCGCCGACGGATGTATTCCGCAGTCTACCGCCTGAGATCGTGTTTTACATCATTTCTTTCATGGACTTGCGATCAATCTTTCGCTCACTCAAGGCTTCACCAGCGGTCTATGAGCTAATTTCCAATAACTTCAATTTCTGGAAGCGCCAGTTGACGAAACATTTCCCTTGGTACAATGACTTGAACTGGTACGACGATGACCTGAGAGAGTACATAGTTTATGGGCATCCAGATCTCAAGGGCTCCGACCTAATGCGGGTCGCATTTCAACTGCAGGAGATGCCAAAACTCGACAACCTTGACATGATAAGCATGGCCAATGAAAGAAGAATCCATCAGGTCTGCAAGCATATCGCCGATAAAATTCAAGTTCGGAGCGAGTTCCGGCAACAGCGACAACAGAAGTACATGAAAGACGAAGATGAAGCAGAAGACATTGAGTTCGAAGACGATATGTACGACTGGCCATTTTGCTCAATTAAGGCCGATTCTCATTGCTTTCAGCTTTCAGTTGTCCATGGCATCACAAACCAGCGAGACAGGGACCTCCGCGGCATTTACTGGGCCAAATCAATCGAGGAATTCCAGCACACGCGAATTTTCGAGGCATATTTCGACGATACGTTGGGTCTAGTTGGACTGTCGTTTGCGCCCTTTGGGAAAACAAGGTAGTTTGGACGACACGGTATGAGCGAGCTTGCCGAAACTCCCCTCAAGACTGAAATGGTAGAAATGGGGGAGAATTCCACCATGTTCAGACGACAGACTCGTTTGGGGGATGAAAACTCTCATCTCCGACTCATTAGCGTCGAGATTGGGCCAGAGACGTCACCGGAATTGTTCTGCACATGACAGGAACAAACCCCAGCGCGTACGAAAACCCTTTCAACGAGCTTGAAATGACCTCTTCTGCGGAAGCGCCGCCTGTAGTGATCCTTGGCTTGACTGTGAGTAGTATACCTTCACCCTCGTTGACATAATTGCAGCCCCATCCACCTTCATTTTGGTTCTCGTGTATAATTGTCCCGGTTTGAAGCATGAACTTATGCGCAGCATCAGGTTTGCTTCAGAGATCACCAGTCCATCACACTGGGCGATGATTGCAAGCAAGATACGTCTGGACGGGCTTGTCATAGACCACTTTTACTTCCCTCACGGCAAGACGAGTATAAGTTGACCGGTGTTCTCGGACATACACTTGTAGGTATATTCCTTTGATACATGAAAGATCGAATGGAATATTGCGAAATCGACCTTAATTGACACGTAGTTAGGGCCAAATTGGCGAAGAAACCATCCTAAGTCTTGGGTTGCTCACGGCCCCATTCGTCAACAACGAAACTCTTGACGCAGAAGAGGCCGGATCAATAAACATCAATCCGCTCGCCGAGCTCCTTTGGAAGGATTCGTCGGCTCTTCGCTGGGATCGATGGATCTGGCAATGCAACAGTTTTCTGTGACTGAACAACTTGATCCCTGAGATCACCCGCGAAGTGGAAAGCAATATTTTCAGCAACGACATTGTCCCGAATGAGTTGATCGCCTGGATCGATGCGGTCGGGAATGTCACCCTCAAGCGATTATCAGGATGGCTTGCACCTACGGGCAGTCCGTTGCCAGCGCCTGAGAATTGCAGTATTCCCGGCAGGAGAGATCCCAGAAAATACAATCTCTGTGGCCTTCGTGCAGAGTTGAGTTCTGGCGATGTCGAAACCATCGGTGCGACTGAGATCAACGGCGCCTGTTGGCCAGCAGAGGAACTGGTCCACTTTGACGTTGACGTTGAAATGGCGAAGAGATCAATGAGATTGGTGTGGCATCGGATGCTGGGGACATGCCGGCAGTCTACCTACGCATTTATATCGCAATCCTCCTAGAGAAGGGTGATCATACTGACAGAGACTGATCAGATGCGAACAAACCGGGATCGAGAGATGCTCTTCGCAAGAGGAAGCGATCTTCCGGATCAGTGGAACGTGCGTCAGAAGATCGAAATACATAGTGACCTTATTTACGGTGTTATCATGGGCTTTGGTCAGCCGAGTGGCTGGGTCATCACACACGGACTCGGCGGGGCACAAGAGAGCGCTTCAAGGGAATCGCCAAATTCCGAGTTTCGGGCGGTAAGTTGACCCTTCCTCGTATGTTCCATGAGTGTTTGATGTAGTGCACGGTTTCCCTTTTAATGGACGCCATACTGACACATTTGATACCCGCAACAGTCTTTTGCTGGAATGTCTTACATCGGAGCCCTGTCAGGCTTCCTTGAGGATGGCGGTTCGGATGAAGACGAAGCGGGGGAACGGGGTGCTGAGAGAGATAGCAATGATAAAAACGATGGAGGTGATGGCCTGGTCGGAAATCTCGAAGAAGCAAATGAGGAGTAGACTTGAGATTTCCTACCTTGATCAAAGTTCGACAGCAGTTGTGTACATGTATGGAGTGTATATCAGGATCTCATCACAAATCCGAATAAGTTGAAATCGTTAAAATTCAGTTCAGAGCCCAGAATGAGGTCAATAGTCTTCACAACCATGTAGTATCAGAAGTAGTGCGGTATGAGGCAAGCTCAAGTTATTCTTTCATTGTCGCTAATCAATGCTCAAAACGTTCCAACAACCATCACCCAGTATATACAGCAGCTAGGAAGTCCCTGTATGCAATCTTGGACTACACTTTCTCTTAGACCCTTAGCAGTAACCCACTCTGCGCAGAGAGTAGCCGTCGGGGATTCTTTGGCTGCCAGAGAAGCTCAGGCCACAGTTATTGTTGGCATTGACAGTGTATCCTGCACGGGTGATGGAGTCGTAGATGTTGGCGTAGTAGTTCATCTGAACGCAGCCGCTGCCGACTACGGCCTGGTTGATGTTGAGAAGTTCAACTTGGCATCCGGCAGCGGCGGCGAGGCCGGTGTAAGAAGCCAGAAGACAGACGGCCACGGTAAACTTCATTTCTAACAGAATATTAGGTCCTGGAGAAACTGTTGAGTGATATCTTAAAGTGCCTTACTGCTAGTCTGAGGGGTTCTCTCTTGAAATTGGGAGTAAGTGTCGAGGTATGGTTCCGGGACAATGCTACTAGAGGGGAGTTCGGTTGTTTTTATAGATGTTCTAGACCATGCAACTGCTCTTGGTTGGGAAGCAGCCGGATCACCCGTTCAATTCGATGCTTGATCGACTCCATTATCTCCACACGATTAGCTGTTCTCAGATGACTCGAGATTGTTCGTATCCAAGAGGGTCAGGTAAGGCGGTATCCCACAGGGGCTGGCGGCCCCTGAAGTGGAACCAAGCAAACAATTGTTCAAAACACTGCTGTTTTCATTGTTTCCCCCCAAATTCAGTGTCCAACCAGCCTACCAGTTAAATCAAATGGCTTCGGAATCTGGGTAGCGTTGTTCAAGACTTCTATCATATCCATGGTGATGTCACGTACGGCCTGCTCGCCGATGTAGACAACAACCATTGATGTCGGACTGAGCCCGAAAGCACGAGTCTAGAACATCCTTGCAAACTCTAATAGAAAAGGTCATCCCCATTATCCATGTCCATCACATAAACAAAAGAATGCCTGACTCGAGCACGGATCCCGGAGGCTCGCATTCACCGTGAAATAATGAAATGGCTTATGCATAGGTAGTTGGGGTAACATAAGATTACTGGATTCTTCGTTATGTTTAGGAGTGTCTAAAAGAGCAGACTTTGAGGCGAGAGTGACAGCAGACTGAATAAATTTGCGGCTTGGCTTGTGAAGATGCCATGTTTTTATACCCTTCAATCAACAATCTCGACTATGCGAACTGTGACAACTCGGAAATGTACATGATTTGCAAGGTTATTCCTTTTCCGGTAACGCAGGATCGACAAAGGTTTGCTGTCACGCCTCTAACAAATAAGCTTACTAGTCCGAGTAAAAGTCAAATAGACTGAGAGATAGCTGGTAAGAAGTATCATTTATTTGTGATCGCATTCGCCAATCATCGTATCCCAAACAAGTACCAAACTGGCAAGAATACATCATTGAATTACTTGCCAGGTCAGTTTGCAGCGTGTTGCTGTCATATTGCTATGGTGTAATGTGAGTTCCTTTCGGGCGTCAATGAGACTACCAGAGCAACCGGTCGTACTCTCACATCCGAAAATAATGTGCCCATCCAATCGACTGCGAGTGGAAGGCAGAACAAAGAGGTCTCCGCTTTCACTACTTCTGATCAGATTCATCTTAACTATAATAATCGCTCTTGGGTAGGAAAAAATAAAAATCTTGTTTTGATTGGCTCGAACATCTCACATCTTGTGCTGTGGTCACTCCGCAGTCGCTGGAATAACACCAAAGTGCCTCATTTCCTTCTTGCGTATCACCGTATATAAAGCTTCTGTTGAATACCTAGAACTCTAGTCTATCTTTCAAGTGTTTTCGAGCGCACTGTCTCATGTGCCCGTTCTACAATCGTAATCCATGGAAAAAGTGGCTCCATCCGCCAGAACATTCAATAGTTACGGATAGGTTGTGTAGCTTCTTTAGTAGCCCAGCTTACAAAGCTGCGTGGAAGAGCTTCTCCAAACGGACACCCTCGGTGTCAGCAACCTCAGTGTATATTCTAGGGCCGAAGTGAGGGTGGTATGGGTACGGGCTACAAGACATGTTAGCGTGTTACAGAGCTTGGAACATCATAGCTAGGATCGTGACTCACCCATATTCCGGAGTGAAGGTAACTTGGAAATCATCGCCCCTTGTCTTTACGGCGTTTTGAACAATCTTGACCCACAGCTTCTCGAAGAACTCCCTCTCATCATTGTAAATGGGGTTCGAAGGATCAGGACATTGTGATGATTGAGTTGTACCAATACGAGCGTGAATATGGTGAACCTACAGATAAAAGGTTAGTCTCATGCTTCAATGCACCATGGAAAGCCAGCGAGAGTCTCTCTCTGGAGCACTTACGTGAGGGATGACGGATTCGAGAACAGCAATATCCTCCTCGGACACGTCCAAGAGTCTTTCGCCAACGACTACCCAGTGGGAGATGTCCGCGGTGATTCGAAGGCTTCAAAAGAATTAGCCCAACCCATTTTCGAAAACCAGCAGTTTCAATACGTGGCAACCTACTTGGGAACTCGATCCAAAACGTACTTCGCAACGTACGGATGGTAAAGGGAGCGGTTTCTGTGTGTCTCGTGGGTGACCTTCCCAGCGAAGCCCAGCTCCTCATCGATCTTGAAAGTCCCTCGGTAAAACTCAACCGACTGATCCGGTGTCCAGATATCGCTGTGCGACAACGTGTAAGCTACGCAAAGAACATGGTTCGCTTATCAAACTAGTACGAACCTTCCAGACTGTGCGTTAACCTTGACAGGCTTCAAAACCTTGGCGCGCTCAAGCTGCTTGCGATAGAAATCGAGGTGATCTTTAGGGGTCAGCCCCGGGGGTCTCGCTCCTTCGTATCCAGGCCATGAAGACATGATTCTGTGCAAAGGATGTCAGACCCGCTCGAGATTTAACAGTACGTCAAAGAGCGACGTTAATCGCAGGCGACATACTGTGCGATGAACTGGAGGCCGGACTCATCCAGAAGCTTTCTCAACTCGGGGAGATCCTCGGTCTTCACAGCTCTGTAGTCGATTTCAACTCCGGCTATTGGGCAATTAGGGTAAGCTTCCCTTCCGGATATCTTTACTGGAAGTCTTTACTAACTGTAGCCCTTGGCCTTGAGCTCTGGAAATAGCTGCCTCCATGTTGCGAAATTATCGCCAGGGGGAATGCCCCAGGTTGTGCGGAAACGAGTGATGTTCGGCATGGTGGGTATTGTTTCGGTGGTGTAAATCAGAGCGATGACTTGTTGAGAAAACGAGAAGGAGGAGAGCAACAGTCCACCGGTTACTGATGGAGGGGTGAACAGCCAGCTTTTTAAACCCAACCTTGAATTTCTGACGCTGGGGAAAGCTCTCTGTGTCCATAGCTCCCCCGCGATTCAATGCCCCGCGAAAGTGTCGAGCTTGAATTCCCATCTATAGCCAGCCAATAAAATGACGGCAATTGAACAAAAAAAGACCCAGGCGTGGACCCCGAACATGGACCGAGACCCGCCGAGTCAGCGGCGCGTATCTGGGGACAGCTTCGTGTCTAGAATGGATGAGTCCGGCGAAATATTACCTAGTTGGTCGGCTGAGAGCTGAGAGTCTGAGACAGATGTCCACAAAACGGCGCAAAAACACGTGGGACGTCAGAGGATATGACAATGGCATCATATTGATTCCGCGGGTTCAGAATGGACGCTCCACTTTGATTCTCAAAGAGGAAATTATCACCTCGGAATCCGGGGAACGAGGGGAAATGTGGGTACTTGAGCCTGCCTGTTCCCCGGACACAGATTACCCAAAGTGAGGATTCTAGGAAAGACACCACCATCTTTTTGATCTTGCTGGACGACAGATGTCATGTTCAAAGCATTTACAGTTGAAATATGAAAGCCCGTTCAAAGAATTAACTGACTCCAGTCATAGAACACATCAGGAAGTTCCACAGCGAGATGATGCACATGTCGGCGCGGATCCAATTACACCAATACCACAAATTTGCCGGCTGCATGTCTGCGACTGATGCCGATGGGTTGCAAATTATAGCTACGCTGGTTGATAAATTATGATATCGTGGTCTTTCGGTTGAAGACGACAATGAAAACCCCAACTCAAATGAAGCTGATTGTCGTCTGCCTACCTTACACTAGACACAAGATGCTGGTGAAGGCTTCCGCAGCGAGAACCATGCGAAAGGTCTTACTCTCCACATAAAATCGCATCTGTCCTCTGGACATTACTTTCGAAACTTTGCTGCAGATGAAGAACTCCGGAACGCTGAGGCATTCTGCAACTACGATCTCCGTGCGACATCCTGCTAGTCGATCATAAACTGAATGTGTGTCTTCGCAGTTCTCAGACTTTCAGCCTTGCGCAAATTGCCATTAAACTCCAGTTGACCCACAACCCTACAAGGTATCTGGTATGATATGCATAATGCTGACTTGAATGTGGTGGATGCGGGGTGAGATGGCAGAAAGAGCCTCAAGATCCCCGTTTGTTCTGTTGCGATTCAGAAGATGGCAACATTCAAGGAAACACACTGGTAATGACGAATGATTCATCTGATGCTCCGTACAAGTATCTTCCAGAGCTTACCCGAATGATGAGAAACGACTTGGATTGTGTTTCGATGACAGCACGCAATGAACGCTGCTCTTCATTTGCCTTACACTGGGAAGCTTCACTTCCACACTCGCACTGAATCATGGGGGTTAACCAAGTCCAGTGAGAGAGTCTTAGCATGGGTGATTAGCGCATCTCGCCGTAATTTGAGCTGCTCGGAAAGTCCCGGTCATGCTGACCGTGCGTTGACCTTCAATTTGCTTAGCAAGACTCGCCGTCTGATTTAGTGGCTTTTAGCACTGTCTCACTAGTCAACGCCTTTCCCCTCACTTTGTTGCCTCCCCCTTCTGGGGATCTTGAGATCGAAATGTAATGAGACATGCAGTGAAATGCAAATTCGAAGAAAAAACGACCCTGGTTTTTGGTTCTGACGATCAGAGTATCTCGGCTTTCAATCAATCAACATTCGGTCAACTTTCATATGTGATGATTGACGTCTTGAATCTGAAAGCTCTTCTGAACAGGGATCTGCTGGGTAATCATATTCAGCTTCTTGTATGCAAGGTCAAAATGAGTTCCTCGGGTCTCGGCTCTGCACTGCACTTGCCCTGCAAGAATTAAAGCTTTTCGGTCTGGTTAATGCTAAGCTTTAGACTTAAAGGCTCAGACCTAGGTGTCTCCTGGTGTCATTTAAGCGCGACGCCTGCCATCCCATGGACGGGTAAGCAAGACATGGGTCCGTTCGCCTAGTCGGAGCAGCACTAGGCAACATCCCAGACCTCGAAAAGGAGAACATAGTTGATGCTCCAGATCGAACGTCCTAATGTAGTGATCATTCGCTTAAAAGCCGTATAAGATGAAACAACGATTGCCAATTGCCTTATTTCTCATTTGGACAAAACGCCCCCTCAGGTCGGAGAATTTGAAGCCGGCCGTCCTTCGAAACAGCCAAAGATGCTCTTTTTAGGCTTTTGCCATCAGGAGGATGTGAAGTTAGTGACATAAGGAGACATGAGAGCTCTGTCTTCAGCCACATGAACGTGCAGCAATCAAATCCCAAATCTCGGGGGCGATCCTTCGTGCGTTCTCCTGGTCTAGAACTCGTTGATACAAACTTGGGTTGCGGGGGCTTGTATCCACCACCCGCACCACCCTTAGACGCCGCTTCGATCATCCCGTCGGCGGGGCCCCTCTTCAACGCCCAAGACCACTTTTTAGACATGAGCAACATCTACCAGACACCCAACCCCCTCACTACTGTTCTGACTTGTTCAGATCCGCAATAGTCAGACCTTCTCGCCATTGAATCGTCCACTTCGACCAGAGATTTGGGCCATAGGAGCTACCCGAGGTACCCGTCCTCATGACTCTATTTTGAGAGAGTAACCTTGTTGGACCATGATGTTTCGGCGTAATTTGTTTGATTTCTCGTCGAAGCCATCCAAGAGGTCCATGGGTTTTGACAAATTCTTGGTCAGATCATTCGGCCCGCGGTGATCATGCCCAAGAACCTCCAGATATATAAGACGAAGATCCCACCCGCCAAGATGTTCTTTTCTCTCTCATCATGCCATCACATTCCACCACATCCATTCATTCTTCATTACCCTGAAGCAAGTCTTCACTTTCGTTCTCGAAACTCAGCTCTTCATTCATTCATTCACTCACTCAAATTCCAACTACTTCCAATCTTTCAATAGACCACTCAGAGTCATCTTAACACTCTTTCAAAATGAAGGGAACTATTTTCGCTACTGCTCTCATTGCCTTCTCGGCCAGTGCCTTCGCCCACGGCGGAGACTACGACAGTCCCACTCAGACCACTCCTTCTGGCGGTCAATCCGGCGGTAGCCAGTCTGGCGGCGGCCTCCCCATCAACATCCCTGGTGTCGGTGGCAGCGGCGGCATCGGCGGCCTCCTTGGAGGCGGCGGCAAGGGTAGCAGTGGTGCCCAGGGCAGCGGTGGCGGCAAGGCTGGTGGCGGTCTCGGCGGTGGCCTCGGTGGACTGCTCGGCGGCGGCGGCAAGGGCACCAGCGGCGGCGGCATTGGAGGCATCCTCGGCGGCGGCGGCAGTGGTGGCGGCAAGGGCACCAGTGATGGTGGCATTGGCAGCATCCTTGGCGGCGGCGGCAAGGGCAACATCCTCAGCGGCGGCGGTGCTGATGGCGGCATTGGCAGCATCCTCGGCGGCGGTGGCAAGGGCGGCGGCGGCGCTGAGGGCGGCATTGGCGGACTTCTCGGTGGCGGCGGCAAGGCCGGTGGTGATGGCAAGGCCGCCGGTGGCCTTGGTGGTATCATTCCTACTGGTCTCCCTGGTGGCGGCGAGGGCGGAATCGGAGCCATCCTTGGCGGAAGTGATAAGGGCAGCGTCCTTCCCACTGCCATTCTCGGTGGTGGAGGTGCGGGAGGTATTGGTGGGCTTCTCGGTGGTGGCGGCAGCAGCGGCGGCAGCGGCAGCTACGGCGGCGGCGAAAAGGGTGGAATCAATGGCATTCTCCCCACTGGCCTCCCCGTCGGTGGTGCGGGTGGCATCGGTGGACTCCTCGGAGGTGGTGGTAACGGCGGAGGCAGCGGTGGCATCGGTGCCATCATCCCGACTGCTCTCCCGATCCCGGGCATCGGAGGCGGCAACAAGGCCGGCGGCGACGACGCTCCCTCCACCTTCGAGACCCGTGTCCGCACCACCACTAATAGCGGCGATGGCTCCAGCACTGCTGAGCCTGAGACTGCTGAGCCTACCCCGGGTAGTTACTAAGTCATCTGAGGCTTTTCCCTGTGTCACACAAGTTCTTCTAGCAAGACTGGTATATGATATTTTCAAATCAAACTAGCTACAATAGCATACCACAATAAATGGAGTGTTCTCTTTTGAACTAGACCGAATCATGCAGTTACCGAGACTCCGTCGTTGTTCTCTCCAGGTGTGTCCATGTCAGTCTCACCAATCAGACTGAAGCCATCATCATCACCCTCACCCATTGGAAGGTTTCCTTGAACAGCACCGGTTCCAACTACGCTTCTCGGCAAAGCAGCTGCGAGCTCGCTCATGCTCATAGAATCAGTGATACCGTACGCGTATAAGGCCGACGGCAGCGAAGAGTGGGTGTTGGAATCGTGGTTCCGCCCCACCGGACGCCTCTCCTCCAACGTTCTTTTGGCATCATCCTGAACCCTCTCCGTGATTTGTTGAAGTAGATGCAAAGCCTTCAAATCAGGATTGTCAAGCCCCAGAGCTTCAGGAAGCACGGGAAGACGCCAATTCGGATAGAGGTTCAGGTGCGATTTTCGCACCGTCATGCGATCAGGATGGGCACCGAAGTAGTAGGAACAAAGCCTACAGGTGGGCTTGCTGCTTCCAATGTACTTCCAGCCGTTCCAGAATTGTGAAGAGTGTTGTACTCCTTTTTCCAATAGGTATTCGTGGACAAGAATTTCCGCGTGGACCCGAGGCCTGAAAGTCCGTTTGCTGATCTGTCGTTGGATTTCGTCGTCCAGATTAAACATCTGCATCGAAGTTGCGTGCTCAAGAAAGTATTCCCGATCGTCGTCGTCATCCGTGATCATGTTTCTGATGATGGATCTAGCGGTGACAGATCTAGACCTCGCGATCGGCTTAGGTGCGGGTTGGCTGGACGAAACCTTGGTAACTGTGAAATCTTGGAATAGGGTCGGGAAGCGATCCTTTGCGCCAACGATCGCATTCGATGCTTGACGGAAAGACAGGAATCTTCCAAGGAAATGACGGAGCTCGCGCCACGAGTCTGAGCCAGCCATATGACCATCTCTAGCATAATTCGTGATAGCTTGGTCGATGGTGGTGCCTTTGATGACGGATATGCCCCTGAGGAGCTTCTCGCAATCACTGAAGACTACATTGCCTATGAGCATCTTTGTTTCCGTTCTCTGGAAGGCTCATAACAACTTACACTTGGTTTGCGCATTTCCAGAGACAATGTCTCGAGGGAATGCCGCCTTTTGCTTCAGGGTCTCGAGTTCAGGCATGAGTGCTGATATTCTGTTAGTTCGACCGTCCCAATTATGAGCGTGCTAGTGGAAGCTTACTCTCCAATGCTGCTGGGGTGCCACGCCTGACGCAATCGGCAATGCACTCGTCTAAGTATCTCACCAGTTTTCCAAGATATTCTTGAACGCGCGGGAGATTGAAATGAAGAATCTTCCACAGAACTTGTTTGGCGAGGGGCTTGGTCGCGAGTCCAGCCGGGTTGCTGCCCACCATAGTTAAGAGGCTCTCGGCGAATTCTTGGACCTCCATCAGCTCATCCTCATTCCTTTCGTTTGAGCCGAAGACGAATTCCGGACCATCAGGTCCTTTGAGAACGGAAAAGGCCGTGACCATCTTGCCTCCTTGCTCGTTGTCACACACCTGCGCCAACTTCTCAACGAAACAGTGGAAGATTTGGACATCTGTTGCGAGGGGGTCATTTTCGACGGCTTGAACCTCGTTGAAGACTTGTCTGCCACGTCTGCAGGCTTGCTGGAGGGCATACTCCAGGACGACGGATTCATAGAAGAGTCGCTGAGGGTCCACGTGCATGGGCTGAACCTCGAATGTGTGTTGTTGAGCCATTGTTGATGTAGTGCTGGACCGACTTTGAAAGTTCAAAAGAGTTATAGGTTGAGGATTGTAGCTGGAAGTTCAAGTAGTTGATGCGATAGCGGCTTTTGAGCTCAAGATTGTGATGAAGGTAAAATAGCAAGATTCATCCTCAATTGGAAGAAAACACTGAAGGTATTTAAGCAGAGCAGTCCAAGTGATGACTTACAGATCACACGGTTCTTGATTTTTGACTCAAAAGGGTAGGTCGTCCCGATATCTTGGAGATTTTCCACTTTCATCATCGCATCGCTAACGTTGGTTCTATTGCGATACTCAATGTTCGGTCAAACGCACGGTATCTTTGGAGGGAGTCGAGAATCGGCCAATTGCAGGCATACGTTGGAGGCTACCTGTCCCCTTGGCCCAAAATTTGGCCGAAATCATGCGTTGCAAAGCCGCGCCGCCTCCGGCTACATCGCCAACATGGCCGGTTAGGTCACCATGCAGCACAGCCCGCATCAGCCAACATGGCCGCATCTTGACCAGCCAACAGCGGTCCGAGCGATCTGCGTCCTTGAACTCATCGAGTCTGCGGTAGTACTGAAGGTTTAAGTCCATTGCCGTCATTCGGGGGTCTGCACTGCATGCCGGCATGTCGTCAGAACCAACCAGCGTGAGAAACGACACCGAGAAAAAGAAATGTTATACTTTGCTGCCATCCAACACAGATGCAAGCCCGTTTCCAATCGCCCACTCACACCGCGCAGAACTCCACGATGTCACCACAGCATGCTAATCAGGCTTTTGATGTGGCGTGGAGTGCTCGGGGTCTGCGTGTCAAGATGCCGAGTCGTCCGGGGATGGGCAGAAAGCGGCCCAAGAACTCAAGTTGGTTGTATCCCCGGTCCTTTTGGAGGCCCCCTTTTTCCATTTATCTCACCGTTGGTTACATAGTGTCTTTAAGATCACGCCTCTGACGTTCCATTAATACACTTCCCTCCGGCCTCCAACATTTCTAGCTGCTGTTAGAGTTCTGACTCAAGCATTACTCGCATACCCGAGAAAACGTCTGACTGCTTCTTTGCTTTGGTTATTGATCGCAATCGAAAGTAGGTGGTTATGGACGGAGGGTTCGACCGCATCTTTCGAGCTGGGGCCCAAGATCCTTTCTTGTGGTCGGGCAAAGAGGATGATGAGAGTGATCTCGGGTAAAAGCTGGTCCTGGCTTCATTCGGGGGCAGAACTGACATCTCTTAGACCCTTTATATACCCATACACCACTCTGGATGATGAGACGGTGAACCCGGTGTCGTTGCACTCCTCAGATATCACCTCAACCTCATTCCTTGGGACTGACGTGTACCCGCGTTTGTAGACGCCGGGGGACACATCCTTTTCAGGAGACAGTGGTTCGGGAGATTCTGAGGAGCCTGTGACGCCTCCTCATCGGGTAGAAAGCCAGCCTGTTCAGGAGAAGACCTATCGCACCAAACGAAGCAAAGGGCCGGTGTTTTGCATTCATTGCGGCCTCTGCTTCCCTAGGAACACAGAGCTCAAGTAATATTACCCTTCATTTACATGCTCTCCCAAAGCTGACACGCTGGTCCGTCTTCTCAGCAAGCATAACAAAAGACTTCACAACAAACCCAGAATACCTTGCCCGGTTCCAGGGTGCCATATTCAGTTCTTTTCAGACAACAAGAAAATGTATCGACATGTTCGGAGTGCTCACCCAGTGTATGCTGCTAACCCGAAGAACAACATTCCAAGCGATGGCGGGCCGTGTCCTTTCAATGGCTGTGTCAAAAAATGCACCCGTCGAGACAATCTAATGCGCCATATCAGAGAGAAGCACCAACACATGGGTAGGGGCAAGGGGGTTCTTGGAAATATGTAGCTCAATGTACACGGCCTGTCAATTTGTTCCAAGGTCTTGGATGACCACGATCAGCTACTTATGTGCTCTTAAAAAATGTTGACAATTCTGAAAGCCCCAAGAATTTGCTATTCGAGTGAACGCTGTTAGCTATCTAGGCGTGTGGTAATCATAGATAACAGACACATAATGGCAGGGACGATGACAGACATGATTCAATACGTAAAGGTAAGCTGACTCCGTCTGGTCAACTGAAGGTATCCGCCCAGATAGCAGAACTCAGACCATTAAATGACCTACCTAAGGATTAACATGAGCCCCTTGGCCCTTCCGAAAGCATTGGCTTTTTATCTGCACTGAAGGCTTTAGAAAGATCCAGGTCGCTTTCTGCCATCGTGTGGACGCCCTTGAGTTCAAGAGGTCATAGCCATAGATCTGAGGAGAAGAATGAATATACATAAAGAGATTGATTTTATATAGCCTAAACTACACGCATAATCATGCCCCGGGAAACGTCTTACACGTGACAAACAATAGTTCTTTTGGGAGGAAAATGAGCCTGATGTGCCGCACCAGCCTCAGCTGAAGTGCTGCCTATTTGCGGCGATTGAAGCTGAATTGAAGTCGATGACATAACGGTGCAATACAGCCCAATCGCTTGTCTGCACAAGATCACACGGCATGCAGGTGGCGGAAGAAGACATGGGGACCAGGCCGTGGCTGACCACCTTTTTCTCCAGAATACCTGTGCCGCATGCTAAGCATTTAAGAAGTTGCCTTCCCCATCCCTGAGAACGGACCCTTGCGGCTACATTGCTCCAAAACAAACGAAAAAACAGCACTCTGTTTGCCTATTGTGAGGAGTTTCACGATCCTTTTGATCAAGAAGCAATTCGTTTTCAGTATGCTCACTGCCTCTGAAATTTGCGCAAGGCTACCTCCCCTCCTATCGAGGATATATCAAATCCTGATGTTAGTGGGATCGGAGTACGTCACCATGGATAATGTTCGCGAGTGTGGTTAACACTGACTATGCGCAAGGTCATGATCGGGTTTGTGGGCACAGGGTGGTTGCTGATCTTCCTTCTGATCATCTATTACATCTTTGGGCACGATCCTCAGCTTGACCCTCTTCGAACAATGGATCAACGCGGCCAGGAGTACCAAAGCCGGAATCAGGTGGACATAACTCTTCACGTCATTCTTAGCTGAGGTATGTTGAGGCCTGCTCTCGATCGATTTCCCCTCTATTTGTTTGCACACTGACTTTCTTCGGCAGGTATTTTGGATTTCCGTCACAGCGACGTGGGGTCTGACCAGACTACTCGAAGTTCGCGGGAGTTCATCACTTGAGGAGAACACGTGGACTTTCGGGCAGGTGGCCGCTGTAGTTTTACTTGCCAGCCCTCTGTTCATTTTGTTAGAAAGCCTCCCCAATCTTTGTGAGTTTAGAAAAAGTCTTTCACATTTTATACAATGGCTTTCCATCTTGTCGACGCCCTTTTTTTTGGTATTAAGCAAAGCAGAGACCTAATGAGAATAAAACCATAAAGATCAATCTTTCCGCGACCTAAACCTGGGTAAACTCCAAAATATTCAATCAAAGATGACACAACGCCGTGTAGATCATCTAGATGTTCTGCTTAATCCCACATTGTCTTGGTGTCTCTCAACAACTCGAATCGTTACAATTCTTCACGCTTCCTTCACCATTATTCTGGTCGCTATGCTGTTCATTATGTCTGCCGGCGGGAAAATGACTTTGTCAGAGCAGCTCAGCCTGGTTGTTCCATTCTATGGCTTATATCAGCCGGTGTTATCAGTTGGCATATTATTACTAGGCTTTGAGATGGAGGGTTGGGGGGCATTTCCAGCCCGAGGGAAGCTTCTTTTCTTCCCCTATCTTCTACTATCAGCGGGAATAGTGGGAGTATCTACTGCATGCTTATGCCAGATGATTGCCCCCGAATTCATATATACTTGGAGCGGTTTAGGTTGGGCAAGCCTAGGGTGTCTAGTGCTGTGCTACGTTTCCTACGTCGTCACTGGTATCTTTTCGTTATGCTCTACAGAGCGCAGATGTGCAGAGCAGGATCTAGGTAGGGCTGGGAGTCCATAAACATCCCTAGGCCGGGAATAGGCATAAGCTTATCTAAGATTTCTACGTTTCTAGCAATTTTCTTGACCTTGGGTCGAGTTTCTCACATGCGTCCTTGTTTCAGAAGCACTCATTTTAGCTAAGGAGAATGACACAATGTACAGCAAATGATCGAGGCTAACAATCTTCAAATCCTAGAGTCAAGGTAGAGCCAATTCTGATCAGCAGGGGAACATCCTCTACACTTGCGGAAGAAAATGTTGAAAGACCTTCGATTGATAGACTCTCTCTGAGAAGCTTTCTATTTACTCTGTTTTGAGTAGAGATAAAAAGAAAGCCTGAAGACTATTAGCTAAGAACAGCAAAATTCAGAACCTTCGCCGAGGCGCACCAGGTCAACCGAGCCTGGAAGAGGTCCTGTGAGAGTTGTAGGCATCGACAGCCCACCAGCCCCATGTGAAATGGCATGACAGTGGCGTGCCCTGGATGCTTTAGGTAACCGCGGAGCATTTAGCAGTGGACTTTGAGGAGTCAGTTCCCCGGATCGACAGGTTCCCCTGCAGGCGTCCCAAGGCGGCTGCTTTCTTTGCGGGAGGGGGTTCCGAAAGTCAAGTGGCAGTTCGGGTAGGACAGGAACATAAATATGGCAGCGGCCCCCTTTGGATTACACTTTCAAGAGTTGGAGCATGCATGTCATCGGCATCGATAAAGCCTTCAGTTCTTGGAAAGAACCACCATCGAATCGTCCCGAACAGCGAGTTCCCGAGCACACCACCAGTCCAAACACGAATCCTACGATACGTTGAGCCGATGTCAGCCCCCCTACTTCTCCCATGTTAGCATGGTTGATTCACAAGAGATACGAACAACATGGATCGTAAGAAGAAGGAAGGCAACATGATTTGAAGCACAAAAGAGGACAGCTGGTCTGGGGCCTCAACAGAAAAATAGGGGTTATGGAGCCCGCTAAGACCAACACGAGGGAGCAGCAAAAGTTTGCTGCAACACATGACGGCTGGGCTGGTCTCAAAACAACGTGACGGTTGGAGATGAACTCGACCGAGAAAAGACAGCAGGAGGTAAGAAATGAGCGGTAAGTGGAAAAAGCGTGGGAGTATTGGCAGCATGACCCAAGGGATTTTTCATCCATGTTCCGGTGCAGGTGGTGTCCCCCACTGTCACTGTACAGGCGGTGCAGTGGAGGGCCCCGGATCTGTGAGCAACCCACGGCTCACCCCACTGGAACCCAGCTCCCGGATTCAATTGGGAGCTTCCCATTGGGGCGGGTAAAGTGCTGGATAAATAGAGGCAGGACGCTAAAGCCGGGCCAGTGCCGTTGCGCACCTATCCTGTCGGGCCCGGGGTGGCACCTTCCCACCTTCTAGGTCGGTACCCACGTACATTCCCAGCAGTGGCAGTGGTGCCCCTCCTTCCCTATGACGCGCCCCTCCAAAAAGTTCACGAGACAAGCAACAACGTGGGAGAGAGAAGGAGCTCCCTGGCAGCTTCTTTCCTTCTTTCCAGGCGCAGTTGCCAGGTGCAGTTGGCATCCGCACCTGCCTCCCCCGCCACCCCGCCGCGGCGATAGCTCCTTCCTTCCTCCAAGCCGGCGGAAAGCACGATGCGACAGGCAAGTGCAAGAGTCGAGACCGGGCGACCGCCGCTTAGCATGGCAGAATTTGGGAAAGAGGCAGGGAGGCAGGTCCGGCGCATGGATAATGTCGTCGATGCAAATTGGAGCATCCCGCTTCTTTTTTTTCCCAGACGCGCCTCAATGAGCGAACAATGAGGGGCACACAGCAGCTCGCGGCAGCTGCTGTCACTCGCTCACCTCAACACTATCAGCAGCGCAAGTCAAGCCAACACCGACACGACACCGACGCCAACGACGGGACACCACCACGCCGGCTGCCGACCGACCGACTTCCAATATTGCACCAATTTTTGTTGTTTTCACTCACTTTTCCCGCCAGATCCCATCCCATCCCGGCGACCAACCTGCTACGTCCGCCCCTCGTCTCCATCTCCAGCAGATTCCCCATTTCTATTCCAGTCCATCGTCCACTCCGCCATCCCCTCCAAGCTCCCCGTCCAATCCCAGTCAGCAGGCGTCGCGAAGCGGGCCAGGGCCGGTGTCATAGTTATTTAATCCATTGCGCGCCGGGCAACCGTCTGGACAGCTGTGCCTTGCTCATTGCTTCTCTCTTTTCATCCCTCGACATTCGTCCTCTGTGTCTCCTCTCCGTGCTTCCCTTACGATACCCCTCCCGTTCTTCGGATTGTGACCTTTGCGACCAACTGTCTAATTAGCTTCTCTCCTCGGTGAAACGACACCCGACCCCTCCAAAACCGCAAACTCAGATCCCCAACGACAACTCCTCCCCGCACAACCGTCACAATGGCCGGCACCGAAGGCAAGAGCGTGAGTTTCCCCTTGACGACAGCCTCTATCTCCAAGGCCACAGGAACTAACCTTTCCAGAACCTTTCCTTCATCCTCAACAAGCCCCACGACGTCGAGTTCGCCGAGCGCCCCGTCCCCAAGCTCTCCGACCCCCACGATGTCCTCGTCGCCGTCAACTACACCGGTATCTGCGGCTCCGACGTCCACTACTGGGAGCACGGTGCCATTGGCCACTTTGTCGTCAAGGACCCCATGGTCCTCGGCCACGAGTCCGCTGGTACCGTCGTCCAGGTCGGTGACGCCGTGAAGACCCTCAAGGCTGGCGACCGCATCGCCCTCGAGCCCGGCTACCCCTGCCGCCGCTGCGAGAACTGCCTGGCCGGCCGCTACAACCTGTGCCCCGAGATGCGCTTCGCCGCTACCCCGCCTTACCACGGCACCCTGACCGGTTTCTGGACCGCCCCCTCCGACTTCTGCTTCAAGCTCCCCGACAATGTCTCCCTGCAGGAGGGTGCTCTCATCGAGCCCCTCGCTGTCGCCGTCCACATTACCAAGCAGGCCGACATCAGCCCCGGCGCCAGCGTCGTCGTGATGGGTGCCGGCCCCGTCGGTCTGCTCTGCGCTGCCGTCGCAAAGGCATTCGGTGCCACCAAGGTCGTCAGTGTCGACATTGTCCAGTCCAAGCTGGACTTCGCCAAGGACTTCGCTTCCACCCACACCTACCTCTCCCAGCGCGTCTCCGCCGAGGAGAACGCCAAGGCTTTGATCAAGCAGTGTGATCTCGGTGCTGGCGCTGACGTCGTCATCGACGCCAGCGGTGCTGAGCCCTCCATTCAGACCTCTCTGCACGTTGTCAAGATGGGCGGCAACTACGTCCAGGGCGGTATGGGTAAGGCCGACATCACCTTCCCCATCATGGCCTTGTGCTTGAAGGAGGTTACCGCTCGTGGCAGCTTCCGCTACGGCCCTGGTGACTATAAGCTTGCCATTGACCTTGTCGCCAACGGCAGCGTCAACGTCAAGAAGCTCATCACCGGCATTGTCAGCTTCAAGCAGGCTGAGGAGGCTTTCAAGAAGGTCAAGGAGGGCGAGGTCATCAAGATCCTCATCGCCGGCCCCAACGAGAAGGTCGAGACCGAGCTCAGCACATCTGTCGATCCCAAGAAGGCCGCCGCGAGCGGTGGGCAGGGCGGATGCTGCTGAAGATGATATGGAACAAAACTAACGGCGGAGTCGGCGTGCGGAAGACGAAAAGTGGGCGTATGGGCGGTTGGCGATCTATTTCACGGCGCATGCAGCATGTTGGGTCTGACTGAGGGGCACGTAACTGGCATATATGATTCAAATGACGATTTATTCTACTATCCCACCCTGTCCACAACGGCAATGCCAACGCTCATCATGAACCAGATTGGTCACTCAACGCCTACAGCCGGGCGTGGTACGACAATCTACGCCCGGCATAGCTAGCGTCGGCTAATGAAACGCACAGCACCAAAGATTCTCGGCCGGCAAGCAGGCATGCCAGGTTGCAAGATTTCAACGAGGCTGTCGATGCCACAGCCCATGTCGACAGTAGATAACGGATACTGGCAGACCACTTGCAACGGCGAAGCGACACTGGGTACTCACTATCTCGAGCCCCATTTCCCCATACCAGCTAGTGCCCAAAAGACTCAAAAGAAACGAGAAACTGCGCAAGACTCTGCACTCCCGTTCAGCTGAAGACGCCACACCAGACTAACGGCCACAAGCATCAACTCCAGCTCCCGAACCGGCCTAGCTCGGCGCCCCGGGTCCCACTCATTCCGCCCTCTGCCCCCGGTCCCCGCGGAATATGTCTGATATTTCCCAACATGGTCGGCTCTGGCTGCCGTCTAAGACACGAACATCGCGAGTCACAGCACAACATCGCTCTCGCGGACGACTCATCGGCGGGACACCATCCAGCGCGTGCATGTGCAATGAGAAGACCTACCGGCACCGCAGCCCTGCCAAGACGAACCATGTCAAGCCACGCAGAAGCTGAACAACCCCTCCCCTGGCCGTTTCTAGCGCTTCAGCCCACAGTTGGGCATTCTCCTTGACGAGCACCACAAAACAAGCCTCTGTCTGCCTGTAGATCTGAGAGCCTCGCGCGGAGGTTAACTCTTTGCAAGCGGCTAAGGAAGGACCCTGCAGGAGCGCCATCAGGCACCCCAGAGAACACGAGCGATAACGGACAGCTTCATTGGGCGTCGACAGATGAGATGGCGTCCCCTCCCTTGACTCGTCTCAAGCCTTCATTCCTCCAAGATCCTCAGCCCATCTCAGCCCATAAGTATGCTCAAACCGCCCAGTCATGGCGTACTCGCATCTCTTGACTTCAACTCCTCCACTTTAGATCGTGATTTCGCAGGCCCTCATCGAGCCGTGTCATCAACCTTCAGACATACACCGCAGCCGCCATCGTGATGGAAAGCACCCAACAGCCTCACCCGCAGCCGCAGGCTCAAGCGGCACCGCAGCAGCATCATGTACCACAGCAGCATCACGTCTCGTCCTCTGACACAGCCATCATCACGACCCCGGTATGGCTGACCGTCATCCGCGGGTTCCAGTTCTTCTTTTCAATCATCATCCTCGGCCTCGCAGCAGCCATCATCCACTGGGTCTACATGGACGAACTCGGTCTTGCAGTAGCAATCGTACGTCCTCATCCCCCACTTACACACCCCCACTCAACTAACACAAACCCCCAAGTCTCTCTTCACGTGGATCATCGTCGTCTACTCCCTCTTCACAGAAAAGATCCCCGGCCTCCGCAAGGCGTACCAGATCTACGCCGTCCTCGCCCTGGACCTCTTCCTCTGCATCCTCTGGCTGAGCACCATGGGCGCCGCCGCCGCCCGCCGGAGCACCTTCGTCGTCCCCGTCAACGCGTCCTGCTCCTCGGACGGCTCCGCCGTCAACTCGGGCGTCTGCACCGTCGTCAAGCGCTACATCATCATGGGCAACGGCGCCCTGGCCATGCTCTCCGCCATTGCGGGTCTCTCCGCGCTTGAGCTCATCATCTTCCTGGTCACCTTCATCTGGACGCTCGTCACGTTCCTCAAGTGGCGCAAGACGAATGCTCCGGCTGCCGCGGCGGGTGCTAGCCAGGGCGAGATCCAGATGGAGACGAAGCAGCCTCTGTACTCCCAGTCGACGTACACCCAGGTCCCGCAGCAGCAACAGCAAGTCCCTCAGCAGCAGCAGCAGCAGTATTACCCTCCTCAACAACAGCAGCAATACCAGCAGCCTCCTCAGCAGTATCAACAGCCCCCTCAGCAGTACCAGCAGCAGCCGCAGCAGCCGTACCAGGAGATGCCGGCTCAGGGGTACGAGCAGCAGCAGCACCACCAGCAGCCGCAGCAGCCGCAGCAGTACCAGCAGCAACCTCCGTATAACCCCTCTCCCGTCTCGGCGCCGGGGTCCCCGCCGCCCCAGGGGCAGAACTACCCCTATCCTCCCCAGCCTCAGGAGCTGCGCTAGACTCACCATGTGCCAAAACCAAAAGAATGATGTGATGGATTATGTTGTGCAGGACGGAATGGATATTAAGACCTTTTTAATCAATGATACCTCAACTCTATCTCTCAATTAAGCATGCCCAGATACCGTGTCTCAATCTTGAACCCCTCGCCCGCGCCCGTGACCGCAATCTCAACCACCTCGCCGGGTACAATGTCCACCAGGTTATCCCCAAACACCACCGCGTCGTCCTCGCACTCCAACGCCACGCCCTTGACGGGCACCTCGGCGCTGACCTTGACCACGCCCTCGTCAACCACCGCCTTAAGCTCCTTCGGCTTCTGCAGGTGGAGGTACTTGAGCGGCTCGGGCCAGTTCACGTACCGCGCGACCTGCTTCCCGTCCTGTACGAGGTACGCCGCAACAACCGTCCTGGCCTCGTCGCCCTTCTGCCGCGCGGGAACCTTGAACGCCGCGATCTCGGTCGACCTGTTCTCCGGCAGGACGATGCCCCCCGCGACGATCTCCGAGTACGTCTCCTCGCCCGTCTCGACGTCCCACGCCTTGACCAGGCAATCCACCGTCAGATCCGCCAGCTGCAGGTTCGACCCCCAGATCTCAATCTGGTGCGTCACCTCGACGTCGACGCGCGTGTACTTGTCCCTTGCGTGGCGGTGCTCGCGGCGCGTGATGCCGACGGACAGCGGCGCCATCTCGCGCTTGACGGTGAAGTAGGCGTGCTTCGGGCGGAGGTAGTAGTCGCAGATGGCCCACGAGGTGACGGGCCAGCAGTCGTTGATCTGCCAGACGAGGGCGCCGCCGCAGTACTCGCGGCCGGGGCCCTTCCACTGGCGCTTCCACAGGCGGTACGCGGAGGCGAGGCACTCGGCCTGCATCAGCTGCGTGCAGTAGACGAAGTGCTCGAGCGGGTCCGGGGCGTAGCGGAAGTTCTCGACCAGATACAAGGCGATGCGCCGCTCGTGGCCGTCGGCCTTGTTGTGGAAGTCGATGGTGGAGGACTGCGGGTAGCGGTCGGGGTCGTCGCGGCCAAGGGGGAGGAAGGCGTCGATGGTCTTGACGGAGGGGAAGGCCTCCATGCCGAACTCGGACACGAAGCGGCCGACGAGTTTGTCGAAGTTTTGGTACTTCTCCTGGGTGCCGTGCCAGACGTTCCACTGGTGCAGGTCGCCAACCGTCGGGTCGCGCGTGTTGTCGCCGGACCAGGGGGAGCCGAAGTGGTAGTAGACGTCCGGGATGAGGTCCTTGCAGGCGTCGACGAGGATCTTCTCGTAGATGTAGCGCGCGGGGAAGTCGGTCTTGAGCCAGTTGTCGGGGTCCTTGTCGGCGAGGTCGTAGGTGAGGTTCTCGCTCTCGGCGTACTGGTAGTCCTCGTTGTTGCCGGCCCAGATGACGATGGAGGGGTGGTGGCGGAGCATCTTGACGTTCTCGCGGGCCTCGCGGTCGATGGACTGCAGGAGGGCGGGCCAGGCGGGGTAGTTGCCGCAGCCGAACATAAAGTCCTGCCAGACGAGGATGCCGAGCTCGTCGCAGGCGTCGTAGAAGGCCTGTTCCTCGTAGATGCCGCCGCCCCAGACGCGGACCATGAGCTGGTTGCCGTCGGCGAGGAGGCGGACCCAGTCGCGGTAGCGGTCTGCGGAGATGCGGGGGATGAAGTTGTCGGCGGGGATCCAGTCGCTGCCGCCGCAGAAGACGGGGACGTTGTTGACCTGGAAGAAGAAGGAGGTGCCGGGCTGCTCCTTGACGGGACGCTGGACGAGCTCGACCTTGCGGATGCCCATCTTCTTGGAGAGCGAGTCGACTTCGGCGGCGGAGGAGGAGAGGAGGGTCGCGGTGACGGTGTAGAGGGGCTGCGCGCCGTAGCGGACGGGGTACCATAGCGCCGGGTCTTGGATGTGGAAGGTGGCGGCGACGTCGGCGTCGGGCTGGGCGTCGACGGTCTCGGAGGCGACGGGCTTGTCGTTGAGGGAGACGTCGAAGCGGACCTTGGACGCCTTGCCCTCTGTCGTGGCGTGGGCGACCACTTTGGCGGACTTGAGGGACGGGTCGACGGTTGTCTCGAAATAGAGGTCGGAGAGGCGGGAGGCGTATACTTCGAGATTGATGGGCCGCCAGGGGCCGCATGTCAGGAGCGTCGGGCCCCAGTCCCAGCCCTGGGTTGGTGTTAGTGAGGATCTCATGAGCGAGAGGTAGAATGAGGCGTACCCAGTGATATTGAGCTTTGCGAACCGCCAGCCGCGAGTTGTCGCCGTTCCAGCAGCCCCATTTGTGGTCGGGATACTTCTCCACCAGCTTCCATCCGCGGAGGTAGGCGCTGTCAAAGGTGATTTCAAGCTCATTCTCACCACCGTCCTTCTTCAGCACGGACGTGACGTCGACGCGCTCCGGGGTGAACATGTTGTCCGACTCGAGGATGGTCTCGCCGTTCAGCACGACGGTGGCAAAGGTATCCAGACCGTCAAAGGCCAACACAGCCTTGGCACCCTCCGGGACGGCGTCCGGGGAGGCGAAGGTGGTCCTGTACAGCCATTGGGCCTCGCCGATCCACTGGACGTCGAGCTCGTTCTTGCCGATGAAGGGGTCGGGGATGACGCCGTGGTGGATGAGGTCGAGGTGGACGTTTGTGGGGAACTGGCTGACGGGGAGCAGTTTGGCGTCTTGCTTGTCGGCCTGCTTGAAGTGCCAGTTCTTGTCGATGGGCGTCACGCTCCGGGGGGCTGCCATTGTGCTTTGGGACGTGTTAGCTGCGCTGGAGCGGTGTGGCAGGCTCGCGCGGAGGCGCATTGTGAAAGAATTAGGAATGGTAGAATGCCAATTGAGGGTATAAGAGAGCTGCCACTCACGAGGTAGATGCTGGGCGGTGGACTGCTTAAGAGGACGGCGGATGACGAGACGATGTCGGATGGATGCGCACCGAGCGTCGTGCCCCGCGGAGGATGGCGGGGTCGCTGGGGGAAGCTGGGAACGACGACGGCCGGGGGGTGGTCTTCCAGGGGTGAGGGGCAGGTTCCGATTGCTCAATGAGATGAGAAGACAAAGTGCCACTTGAGCAAACACTCGCAACAATAATCCGAGATGTGATGGACTGAGGACGACGTTAATATCGAGTCTGCAAACTATGAGAGTAGCTCAGACACGAAGTAACCTGCTCATCTGGAGATGAAGCAGTAGCCCGGAGGAGGCGCCGTCTTCATATACTCCCGCAAACATGGTCTCTCCACCTCGTCAGTTCACTTCCAAGACCACCCGCCGGCCGAGGCGCCCAGGATGTAGGATCACCATTGCATTCAATCTCAGGGATCAGGACGTGTTTCCCAGTCTGAACGACGGGACGACACCCGCCGAGATGCATCTCCCTGGCCTTGTTCCCCCACACCGTCCCCTCCATTGCGAAGGTAGACTCGCCGAGCGGAGAATGAGGGACGCCTCTTTTCTCCAAGATTGAGGCGTGGGAGTGTTACATCCCTTGGGTTGAGGTGCGCCTGGGGGCTGCATTCACGAGCAAGCCATGAAGACCGCGGGCACAGCAACTGGTGACCTTTTGCGCAACGTACGTAACCCGACTTCGTGATGTTCAAGGCCTGCCTTTTCACAAACTATCTTGGCTCTGAAATCCAACACGAATTGAAGGAAACACGGCATCTCATCCAATTCGACAACCACCGCGCTGGATCCAACATCTCACCATCGGGAATATAAATCACCACCGAACAGTGGAGAAAGTCGTCCATTACCCCAAAAGCTCATCCCCAACTCCATCCCCAAACCCCTGCTCACCTTGGTGGGGTCCCATCACGGAGGGAGGCCTTCCGTTTTCCTGTTTGGGGCATGGGTTCCATTAAACTCTCCGACGCGATCGCATGCCTTCCAGCATCCCTGAGAATATAGCCTCATGACGACTAACACCGAGGTTTTCCTCCTGCCATCCGCTTTCTCAGAACTCAAATCATTGGAGATGCGTGCTTCCTTGGTTCGTGGTACCACTCTGCACCTCGCCGTTTCAGTTGTCTGGTTTTGTGGATATCTTCTTCCGTCACAACCACTGGCGCAAAGGCATTCCCGCCGCGAGGGATTGGCGGACATGAAGATTGGCATCACCTTCGTCATCGGTCCTGGAGGCCGAGACTCCGTCTGTTTACATGTTCGGCCTGATTACTGATGCAAAGGAAGTCGTTCACAAGACTCATACGTAAGTTGAATCACCATCTGGTTCAGTCATGCCACCGACCTCGTCTACGGGTGAATGTGTGTCATTATTGTATGTAGCTGTAAACAGGTGTATGTGTGCGGCCGGCCCCGACATGGGAACGAGGTATCTATCCCGAAACGCCAGCTCAACTCGGTTCATGAAGCGAAATCCGCCGCCATCTCCAGTCGTCGGGTATATCAGATCCCAGCAACATCTCGTCGTTCGAGCCCCGTCATCACGGCCCGGCAGAAAGTAGCAACACAATCTTCCAGAAACTCCTCGCAAACTCCAAAGCCCACCAAAGAAAAACATATCCATACGAGGTCTGCTGTTCCCCCCTCCATCAGAAAGCGCCGGGCGTGTTTGCAGTCGACCGGCATTAGCAGCACTTCCCGCCTCCGCGTCGGTTGGAAAGCGTAAAGACCTCTTCCCACTCCCGCAGCCCCCAGTTCGCGCCGCTGCGGGTGTTCCGCCTGCCTCTCCGTCTCCGCACGGTGCCGGCATCGTCGAGCGTCGCGCCGGTCATGGAACTCTTGATACTCGCCCCGTCGCTGGCGCCCGCGTTCCAGCCCCCGCCGTAGCCGTCGCCGTACTGGATGCCGCTCATCGGATCGTCCGGATCAATGTCGCCCAGCTCGATCTTGGTCAGAATCATGCGCGCCAGCCTCGCAAAGATCTCGTCCACGTTCTCGCCGTTGAATGCGCTCGCCTCCATCACCACGGGGATCCCGACCTTGCTCGCCCACTGGTTCGCATCCGAGTTGCTGACCTCGCGGCCCTCGGGGGCTTCCGACGCTTTTTGCTGCGTGCCGAGCGTCGGTAGGCTGGTGCCGGCGGAGCCGTTTGTGAAGTAGGACATGGAGCCGACGCTGCTCGGCGTTGGCGGGGGCAGGCTCGTGTCGATGAGGGGGTCGGAGGCGAGATCGAGCTTGTTGCCGACAAGCAGACACGACAGATTCGGCGACGCTAGGGCGCGGGCATCGTTGAGGAAGGGCTGCAGTCCGCGGAAGCTGGTGTGGGATGTTACGTCGTAGACGAGGATAGCGCCGGCGGCGCCTCGATAGTATGATCGCGAGACGGAGCGGAATCGTTCGGTGCCGGCAGTGTCCCAAAGCTGTCGCCGCCGTCGTTAGCTTTCCTTCTCTCGCTGTGCTGATGTCAAAATTTGCGTCGCGCGTACCTGCAGCTTTATGCGTTTCCGCCGGGATCCGGTGCCGACCTTGATGATCTTGCTCGCGAACTCGACACCGATAGTCTGGGACGATAAGACCCGCCATTCGTTCTTAACAAAGCGGTGCAGCAGGCAGGATCTGAATGCGCAACGACAACGTCAGTCATGTCTCGACTCCCGTGTGGTTTATCGCAGGTGCTCGCGTGGTGTCCTGGGCGTCACTCACTTTCCTGTCCCGCTAGGTCCCAAGAGGATGATCTTGGCGAGGTAATCGTACATGCTCCCCAGCTCCTGCACATCCCGTCAGCATATCTGGACCCTTTTTCGACATCGGATCGGAGTGTCGGAATGCCCTGACCTGCTGGCCAGCGGTGCCATCGCTTTCCTCGCTGGCGGCGCTGGAGCGACGCGGTCTCGTCATAGTGGCGGTGCGGAATGTTGTGTTGCGGTGATCGGATCGGAAAAGTCGGGCAACGGACGGCGCTGCGATAAGGACGGATCGTGGGCGTTTGTTGGTAAGCAACAGCGAAAAACGAGTAAGGAACCGCGACTGCGAAAAAAAAAGAAACGAGCAAAAAACAAAAATCGTAAGGCGGCGGCCTCTGGCTGGGCGCGACGTTGAGGTCGCAGCGAGCAGTTTGGACCTGCGTTTCGTATCGTGTCGGGCAAGGGAGACGGACTGATTGAGGTGATTGATGTACAGTGCTGGTTGATGCAGCAAAGAGGGAGAAGGTCACTGCAGCGTAAGGTAAGGTAAGGTAGGTATTCTTGGAAACAAGCCCCCCAGCAGGGGCGATGAGCAACACAATGACGGAAGACGCACCAGGCGACCAAGCAGAGCAGCGCAAAGAACAAGGACCAGGCCCCAGAACCCGGAACCCAGGACCCAGGACCCAGGACCTTGAACGGTGCTTGAACTCGTCCTGTGACATGGGATGGCCGCCAAACCACGCACTTTCCGTCCTTCACAGGCTCGGAGCAGCACCACACTGCAGCAGCAGCACCTGGACCGCCTGCTGAGTCCACTGAGTGTGGTCCACGTCGATACGCGGGAGGCTCGAGCGCCGGGCCTTTTTTTTTTTCTTCCTCTTTTGTTATTATGAAGGTGGGTGGGCAGCCACACGCGTGGCTCCGATAAGACAGCGTCCCAGGTACGTACCGTCTTATCAGTGGGATGGAAAGAACAGGCGGGTACGAATACGTACCGCAATGGGCAGTCATTCATCACACTCACTGACAGCAGCCGCCAATGGCACACCACCCAGCACCTGAGCAGGGGCAACAGCTCACCGCAGTCGCACACCGAGGCCCCGTACCGAGGCTTGACATCACCGGACTACCGAGCTTCAGGGGACCGGCTGTAAGCTCACGCCTCCCGCATCAACGACGAGCTTTCATCTACTCCTAATTTATGCGACGAAACACGTTTAACTTTCTGTAAAAACATTTAAGCATCATGAAGATTGACGGCCGTACTTTTATCATTTCAGGCGGGTAAGCAAGGCGTCCCTGTTATGCTCATTGAAACCGTGGTGTCCCTGATCACATGCCAAACACCAATGTCATCAACTCTGCTGACTTGCATCCGATAACAGAGCCTCTGGCTTAGGTCAGGCCTGTGTGGAGGAAATATGCAGAAGCGGCGGCAATGTCTCCATCTTGGACATGAATGAGGACCTGGGCAACGAGCTGGTCGCCAAGCTGGGCTCTTCCGCCAAGTTCTTTGTCTGCGATGTCCTCGACACCAAGAGCATCGAGGCCGCTGTCCAAGGCACCGCCGACTGGGTGAAGCAAACCGGCAAGCCAGTTGGCGGCGTCATCCCGGCCGCTGGCGTAGGAAACCCGGCAACGGTAAGCCAGCTGTCTTTGCTTGAGCCATGCCCCCATCGCTAACTCCGCCCAGATCCTCGACCGCGACGGCAACCCCTTCAGCCTCGACCAGTGGGACTTTGTCCTCAACATCAACCTCCGCGGGACCATCGACCTCACCCGCCAGGCTCTCGCCCTCATGGCTAAGAACGAGCCCTCCACGCCGGACGGTGAGCGGGGTGTTGTCATCATGGTCGCCTCGTCCGCCGCCTTTGACGGGCAGAAGGGCCAGGTTGCCTACGCAGCCAGCAAGGGTGCCGTCACTGCCATGACCCTCCCCATGACGAGAGATCTCGCCCGCTTCGGTATCCGTGTCGTGACAATCGCCCCGAGTCTGTTCGAGTCCCGTATGACTGCCGTTATGGGCAAGAAGGTCCGCGCCAGTCTGGAAAAGGCCATGGAGTTCCCCGTCAGAGCTGGCAAGCCCGAGGAGTTCGCGGCGCTGGCGAAGCATGCTATTGAGAATGTGATGCTCAACGGCACGGTGCTGCGGCTAGACGGAGGTATGAGGATGCCGAGTAAGATGTAAGAGGGTTAGCAGTGTAAAAGAACAGTTTTGCTATCCGGGCGGATAACTATTATATGAGGTCTGATAGTTTATTTCACATTAGCAATTTTATCGTCCCTATTGTAACTGTCATCGCTACTATCGCAGTCGTCCCTATTACTGTCCCTCTTATCGTTTACGCCTACTTCCCGCCCGGAAAGCAAAACTCTGAAGGAAAGAACTCGGGTAATATTCCACAGACCTTGAAACGTTCGAATCAACAGGCAGATTGAGGAGGAACGCAACCTGTAACTCACTGTTCCCTTGCCAAACTAGTACGCACGTTTCTCTGTTGCTATTCCCAACACCAAATGTCTCGTTCCAGGCCCCTCTCCATACTGGTATCTCTTGGCACCGTTCAAAAGCCAACATACTCGGAAATGGTGGGCCAACGCACCCAGCTCTCCTCCCGGACACTGTCGAGATTACCAGAAATGCCCTTGACGGGTGTGAAGCGGTGCGCTTGAGTGCCACTTGAGTCCAGGAAGTAAATGCTCTCAAGACTCGGACAAATTCGGAAGAGCTCATCGGAATGCTCTCCCTGGTCCTCTTTCAATGCGTGTTCGTCTTGAATGTCTTCCCAAGCCTCCAAGTAATGATTGGCATGGCATAGGCGTCTAGGCAAAATGCAGCCAGGTTCGTGGTCCTCATCGTCGTGTAAGAACTCGCAGAACCCTTGCTTAAGCGCTTGAATGTCGCTTACGAGGGACTCGGGGGGGTCGATCAAGTCCGTAAGTGCCAGAAGTGTGAGTCCTCGAAATCGCTTCAAGATTGGGAAAAACTCCTGTGGTTCTCTATATCAGCTTAAGAACGAATGAATGACTGGAACGTGGGAAAACAACCACGACAACAAAAGAAAACAAAGGAGTGGAATTGGGAAGTTTACCGAGAGCTTTAGATTATAATCAATAGTTCTGCCGAGGATCAGCTTGGTGACTTCTGGGAAGAAACTGTAGATTTCAGAAACGTCTTCGAGTACCCAGCCTTCCTTTTGGAGGCTGATGGCCCTTAGCTTAAGCGACGATGGGGCTTCGGACATGCCGAACACGGTAGACAGAGAGACTTCGTATCTCAGGTCGAGATGGAGCGAATCTAGTCCGGTGAAGACTTCTGGGAGAAACAGGATGGATGACCGGGATGAGCTGGAACGGTATTGCACTTTCTTGATAGCCGGCAGCACGACGCCCTGCTCGAGAAGCTGACGTTGCAGAGAGATGCCAAATTTATAGTCATGGGTCAGGCTGAGGCACAGGTCGCTGACATTGGGCATGTAGCTCAGGAGTTTCGCGAGGCCAGCAGACGTTTCTGGCACCCATCCACGACGGATTTCGAGGTGCCTGGATGGCGTCAGCGCTATTCCACCGGTTTGCCGTTCTCATGATGCAGAGCAAGCGCTGTGGGGGGTTTCCGAAACTTACTGAACGACATGAAGAAGTCGGTCGTTATTGATATCCAGGATTTTGGACAGCAGATTGGGGTATGAAGTGTGAAGCTGCATGGTCGTAAAGATGAGTGGGACGCACAACTCGCGTAGGGCCTTGGTGACGAGAGAAAGCTGAATGACATCGCGTTTCTTTTGGAGCGTGTGTTCTCCGGTTTTGACGCAGTGATTGATGATCTCAAGCACGAGCTCTCTCGGGAGAGTGACCAGGTAGGTCTTCGGAGGAATGGCAAGAGATCGGTCTGATTCTCCAACACAGGCGCTGCCGATGCCTATCCCGGGCGACTCTTTGTCGACGTCCATCGGGATCGCGGACGGCTCAGGCATGGAGAGAGATTTATTGCGCAAGCGATCGATTTTCCGGTGTTAGAGGGTTGGGTATGTCATGAAGGAATACTAATGGAGAACGCGAAGGAGTGATTCGGTTTGGGTAGGAAATATTATGCGAAAGGGAAAGTGAGGTAGGTTCGTTTATTCAAGGTGAGAAGAAGGTGCGAGAGCCTACGAGCTCGTGCAGTTGAAGTTTTGGAAGGAAGGCACCTGCCTTGAGATTGCCCCTTCGCTCTTTCTCGATCAGAACAACATCATTCTTCGTGTCAAAGACCGAGACCACTTCCAGAGAGGGGAAAACAAAGAAAAGCCATGGAAGAAAAAAGTTCTGCACGCGGAGCCGACTGTAGCGGCGTGATATTAATTAGGATAGCAGTAAGATATCGGACATACTACACAGTCAGCAGTTCAAAAAAGATCTCAAACGTCAAACAGAGAAGCTTCTCACGTCCATGAAAGAGCAAAAATTCAAATCTCGGAGCATGTTCGGAGCCACTGTGCTAGCAGCTGCTATTCGATTGATAAAGTATGATGCATGCTTTGCGTTGCTACACTTTGTATCCCAGGACCATCTCTGTCTTAGCAAGCATCTTCCGCTGCCAACTCTTTGGAAATCCCAGGCCAGTCTACAGCCTCCTTATACTGGAATCTGACGAGTCTGCCAGTATTGTCTCTCACAGGCCTGTACCGAGTGCCCTGAGCCCATGTGAGCTGGAAGTACAAAACTCCGAGATTCGGGCACTCTCGAAAGATGCCCCTCACGTTCTCTTTCTGGTCCTCTGCCAAAGGGTGATCTACTCGGGCCAAATCAAGAGCTTCACCATAATGCCCCCCAGTGAAGGAGCATTCCAAGCAACCACAAACACCCTCACTCTCCTCGTCCTCCGCGCAAACAAGATTCATGTCGTCGGTCAGGTAACAATTTGGACATGGGCAGGCTTCTCGAACTTCCCGCAAGGACTCTCTCAGATCATCCTCGTCAATAGAAATGAGGTCAGTCAGGGCTAAAAACCTGAGATTTCGAAACTTCTTGATCGTCGGGATCGACTCCTATTATTAACTGAGGTCAGCTAGAACATACTAGATCTTTGATACGACGAGATAAAAGGAATGGAGCGGGCAAAGCATAAATAGGGAGTGGCTGTTAATACCGAAATCATGACATCGCCAACTTCTCCTCCGATGATCAACTTTGTAATGTTTGGAAACAGCTCGTGAATCTGATCGAAAGTCTCGGAGAACCACATTTCACTGTGGAGGCTAAGGGTGTGTAGCTTCAGGCTAGGTGCGGTAGCAGACAGGCCAGGTACTTCATCCGGAGTAGCAGTCATTCCAAGATCAAAATGAAGGGCACAAAGTCCCGTGAAAACTGCCGGAATGAAGCTGATCGAAAACAATGGATCCCACATAGGACCCGGTATGTTGTATTTGAACTTCTTGACGGCCGGAATGATGATGCGCTGCTTCAGGAGTTCGTCGTGGACGGCAGTTGCCAACGATTCCGTCCTATATCGCAGGGCCAGGTTCAGGTCTTTGAGATTCGGCATGTGGCCTGAAAGTGCTGCTAGACGAGGAGGCAGGCTCGGTTCCCACGAAGGAGTAGCATTTCCTGAGGCGCCTGAAACTATGCTCAGATGTCTAATGGAAATCAGCGCTGTCCAACTGATGGTGCAAATTTTGATGGACTCGTGAAGTGCCAATAACCTACTGAACGATTTCAAGGATGCGGCTGTTCTCGAGAACTTGAATATGGCCAAGAAGTTCGACATCGGTGGTGCTCAGCTTCAAGGTCCTGAAGAGTATCGGAACGCACATCTCGCGAAGGCTCTTGTCCACAAGAGAAAGCTGTGAAATGGTGATGGTTCTGTTCACTGTGATAATGTTTCTGAGCGTCCGCGGAGGTACGCAGAGCTTGATGATTTCGAGGATGAGCTCTCGTGGGAGAGTGACGAGGTAGGTCTTGGCCGGGGTAGGAACGGCTTGAGGCAGATTTGGTCCTCTGGCCACAGCGCCACTTTCAGCAGCGCCTGCGGTGGGAGACTTCGCCTCGGCGGCCATCACGATCGTGGCCGAGCAGGGGTGCGGATGGAGGCGCTCTGTTGCGCAGCCGGTTGTCGTTTGGCAGGTGGTTGGGATGGAACGGGCAAATTCTTCTCTTGATTTTCAGGCGTATGGGAAGTGGAAGTAGGTAGGGTTTGGTCAAATTCAGGCAGACTTTGCGGCAGAGGTGAAGTGAGCTTCCATGTCAAAGGGGAAAGAACGTCGTGGGGACCCACCCTTGCAGTTGCAACAAAGCCCTCCATTTCAGAGGCAGGCGCGTCCCTCGAGCTTGCTCCTGTCTCGGCCGATCACTGGGAGAGCAACATTCATTGCAATCCTAGCTTCAACCTAAGACTCCCGGACGTGAATTATACAGAAAATCCAACAGCGTTCCTAGCATTATTCAAGAACAGGTGCGTTCGTTAGATGTGTGCGAGTTTGCTTACGGGAGCTGTCTAACTAGACTACAGTTTGGTACTTCCTTAACAGAGGCCGCCTACTGACCTTACTGTCGCCATACAATTCATTATTGGTGCAGTCGTCGTCGCCGCCGCCGCTATTATCACCGCCGTCGCTGTTACTATCGTCGCCCTCTGAATTTTGAATTTCATGCCCCTTCTTTTCCTGCCGAGTGTCGATGACCACACATAATCCACCACTGTCTTCAATAGTAGAAGTCTGTGAAGATCTGAGGCCAATCCTCATACTCGTTGATGGTGACAGTGTCAACGTTGACCTTGTCATCTTTGATAGGACGGTAGCAAGTAGAGTAGTCATCGTTGCGGAGCTGGAAGTACACCGTCTCAAGTCTAGGACACTCCACGAAGAGACTGGTTGCATTCTCCACTTGGTCCTCTTCCATAGACATGAAGAGATTATGCTGAGCCATCTCGTGAGATCTCTCGTAGTTCTCGTCATTGTAGTGGCATTCGTCACAACTACAGTTAGTGTCGATGTTACAGGGGTCGTCACCGAGACAACAGTCGCAAACGCAGTCGCCCTCTTCGTCGAGCAAGTTCGTCATCACATCTTCAATGGTGAAGTCGAAGATATCAGTGAGCCCAAGAATCTCAAGCTTCTTAAATCGCTCGAATACCGGCAATACGGTCTGAATATGCTTTGTCAGTTGCTGTGCAGTTCGAAAACGAAGCGAAGAACTTACAGAGAACTTGAACTTCTGAATCTGACCCCCAGTGATCAGCTTGGTAACACCTGGAAAGAGGTCGTAAATCTCGTCGAAGTCTTTCGCTTGCCAACCAAACTTGCAGAGGCTAAGGGTGTGCAGGTTGAGCTTGGAGGCAATGGTAGACAATCCAGGGATCGTCTTTGGAGACTTGCCCATCGTCACAGTGAGGTGGAGGGCATTCAGTCCAGTAAAGACAGTAGGAATGAAATGCGTCGTGCTCTCTGCGAAGTGATCGAACTTGGTGACGCTGGGGACGGTAATGCGTTGCTTGAGGAGCTCGTATTGAACAGCCACCACCATGAGACTTTGGTATCCATCCGCGAAGTAGAGATCCAAGTCTTGAAGGTTCGACATCTAGCCCAGGATGCTCGCAAATTGGGCAGGCGTGTCTCGATACCAAGACTCACTCGCGTTGCCTGAAGTCTCAGCGCGAGGCAGGACAGAAATAATTCTCAGATGACTGTTTCAGATTATTAGAATCACCCAAATACCAGACACTGTAAACGCTGCAGCCAGTGTCCAGCGAAACGCCCGGGGCGAAAATCCAGAGGCTGCTGCCGCTGCCGCCGCCCTTGCTCCGGGCCGGCGACTCCCTTCCTGTTGCCCGCGCCCACCCTCTATCTTCGCGATACGTCGATCAACGGTCGAAGAGGCACGGCGGGGGTATGCACGAATCCGCGCTCGGGAGTGTTTTCCCGTGGAGTCTACGGATATCGCTCCGGGCCATTCGAGACATGTTGAAGGGAGCAATAGACGAGTGGAAGGAGAGGCTTGAGACTCACTGGATGGCTCTGAGGACGTCACTGCCTTCAATGCCTCGAACAAGACGAGAGAAACGGTGGTGGTTAGTGCGCATCTGCACAATGGTGAAGAGGGTTGGAATGCACATCATCCGAAGGCTCTTGTTGACGGCAGAAAGCTGGGCGACATCTTGTTTGAGGTCAGGCCTGTAGGTTGGGATGCAGAGTTGAACGATCTCGAGAATGAGCTCTCTTGGCAGAGTAGCGAAACCTGTGAATTTCTCGATCACAGTGCCGCCTCTGTCGTCGTCTTCTGTCGTCGTCGTCCTCTATTATCGTCCTCTATCGCCGCCTCTGTCGCTGCCTCTGTCGTTGCTGCTGGCATCGTCTGCGCTGGGAGAATCCATCGTGATGACCGTCGGAGTAGTGGGGGATCCAGCCATGTTGAGGGAGAGTCGCGGCGCGATTGGTCGGTGTTTTCGATAGGTGCTCTCAAACGAGCGAATCTGGTCTAATTTTCAATCGGTCGGAAGATGGAAGAGGTGTTTAGTCAAATGAGGTGGGTGTTGTCGTGCCCCCAGCATGGTAAATTCAGCTGTTTGTCAAGGTGAAAGAAAAGCCTGAGGCTCCACTGGTGCAGTTGCAACAAAAAGCCTTTTAGAAGCAGGCACGATGGTGTTTGGTGCTTTCCATGTCTCGATCATTCTACTGGAGAAATATTTACTGCAACTCAGAACGTTCAAAGACGCTTGCTGATATGGCGAAGGTCGGAGGCTTTATCAAAGGTTATTTCCAGCGCCATGAAATAATCGCGCATAGCCGAGCTATCGTAGACTGCCTTTCTTGCGCATTTCCTTCGTTTGGAAGATCCACTCAAATGCCTCAATCGCCTATCCTTCGCAATGAGAACATTCTCATCATCCATATTACCAATCGTTTGACCGAGTTTGACTGTGTTAGCTGTGGATCTGAATCTGTTCCAATCTCGTCAAGACCTCTGGTTACTTGATGACAATGACAAATTTGCCTAGGCAGTGCATATAGCCTAGGATCAAACGAGATGGTGGCAACATCAGGGGTTCTTAAGACTCAGACACAGCTGATACAATTCTAATTGTTGAAGTGTGCGTTAATGGACGAAATTTAGACACATATGACGAGTCGAATGGAAGCCTAATGGAACCGCAGTAATCCCATTTAATGATATAAAAGATTTGAAAGATTGCTAGTGAATTAAAAAAGCGCTTACACCGCGAGGAAATCTAGGTATTCTGGGGAACAACTGTTAGTAAGGAGATTATTAGTTAGCTAGGTTTCGTATTCATTATGTGGTTTAAAAAGTTCTTTTAAGAGACTTATTAATAAGGTCTCCTAAATAGATTTTGGTATTGGATCGCTAAATTGAGATGGATATTTTAAGATCAATGTGTTTTCAACTGTGATCGCGGAGACAGAAGAGTCCTAAACACTGCTATGTTGTCAAAAATAGGTACATCATTCCCATCAGACTTGACCTGAGACGAAAGGAGAAGCATTTGACGAAACTAAGGCGCTGTTTGGGCCGGAGGAAGAAGCGACATATGCATAAGACTTGTTCAACATGATTGATGAGCTTTTTGAGAACGGGAACATTCCAATTCGTGGCAAGTGTGCTATCACCCGTTGCTAAAATGCTCTGGAAGGGCAAGGCCACATACCAAGCCCTTGGCAGAGAAAACCGTTCGGCCATGCCGTATGCAGCAAAAGTACGGTCAGATCAGTTTGGGAAGTGCGTAGTTCGCGTTAGGAAATTAAATCAGCAGTCACTGTTGAGTAGACATATGTGATCTCATTTGCCCTAGCATATTCGTTTTGAGACCCTTAACTAAAACCTGCGCCTGGCTGTAATGCTCTCCCTAACTTCGGGCGTCCAGCGGCTGGGCGGACATGCAAGGAGCAGGCGGGCCGCCCCGGCCCTGAGACCAACTCGTCAAGACACAGCTCCACATCTGTCTTTCTTGAGAGGCACCTTACCATAAACGGGGAAAGAATTGCATAGACCGTCACTGGTGACGTGGTTGTCTTTTCTGTTTCTTTGGGGATAAGCTGCCGGAAGGTCCGCCCCGTAAAATCTGATTCACAAGTTAGATTTTATATGAGATGCCAAGTTGAGACACGCGGGGCAACGACGGCGAGACTCTCAGCCTCAGGCTGACGGATGTCTGATTGTAAGATGTGTCTCTGTAGGATGATCACCCAAGACCACTCCGAGGAGGTTGATGCCTGGGATTCCAGCTCGATGGGTAGGTTTCTCAAAGTGTTCGTGGCTCGATAAGCGTATTTGTGTCCCAGTAAGCATTCCTCTACATTTAAGTCTTCGTATACATCCAAGCTGTGTTGCTTACTGCTTTCAGATATAGCGAGTATAGATCAGCGGCAAAGGAGTAATCTTACACATATAGTGCTTACAACCCTAGCCTCTTGAATATCATTCGCCATGATGTAGATTGCCTAGCTGTGACACATTTTCCGAAACTGTGAAGGATATTCTAATCAACTGAGGTACACCAAATACACGTACACCGGTTCTGTTCCCCTTCTTCAAATAGCCACATAGAAACCAGTATTAGGTACCGTGATTATGTACCATGCAGGCCACAACTACGAAGGATTCGTACACAGTTCCCCTTGATTTCATTGGCAGTTCAAAGCGCAATTCAGACGCTGATCTGCCAAAATGGTGGAACAATGTGCTCAGACGAGAAGCAGAAACTTCCTGGATATCCTTGGTCCTTGAGATGGTAGCCCTTGCTGCCGATGTAGTCGTTTGTGTAAGAGTCACCTGCTGCTTTACTGATTTCGAAGAATGCATAGCAACATCTCGAAAAGCCTGATCCCATTTGGAAGTAGAGGCATCCTATGATTGTCTGCCAAGCAGAGATCGTGGTTCTCAAATAGTGGGGAAGAAGTCAACCACCTAGAACGTGTAGATTTACGTTGGCTCCATTTGACTATAAATGCCAGCCAGTTTCCCTTCAAACCTCGAATTTGTTCTTCAGTTCATTCTACTCTTTACGCTTTTCTCATTACTCCGTCAGTTATTAACAACTACCCGCTCAACATCTCAGTTCATCACTTGCCAACATGCTCTTCTCCAACTTCGCATCCGCCGCCGTCGCAGTTTCTGCCCTTTTTGTGCCCGCAGCTTTTGCACAGAATGAGAAAGCCGCTCGTGCCGGCGATGTCACCTTGAAGTGGCACATCACGAAGACCTGCGGCGGGCCCGGTCCTGCCCGATCTTATACTCGCAACGAGTGCATCGAATTGTCCGACAGTTCCCGCGCAGTCAAGATATTGGGTCGCAACGGCCTTTGCCACCGTAAGAGCACTGCTCCTTCTGCCTATTATTACCTATCAGGACCTTATGCTGACATTTCTGTCCGCTTCGCAGTGGTCTCCTTTAGCGACCGAAGTTGCCTCAGGAACGCCAAAACTTTGGGAACGGTCAACAAATGCTACGATCTCAGCGGGAAAGGGTCTGTCAAGATTCAGTGTTAGATAATGACATTTGGATCCACATTTATTACAATCGATGGCGGATTTGAGAGGAATGGTACTGGAATAAAGCTGCGATCATGAAAGTTGATCCGCTGCCATTCGTTTTGTAAAGTTGTTTAGCTGCCCAACCCAGACACTCATTATCAACATGGGCCTGTCAATGCGCACGTGAGTGTGGCAAAATTAGCCAGCACTGCAGATTATGAATAAACAGACTCACGTAGTCCTGAGATGATATGCCCAGTCTTAGAACGGTGGCTCGTGGTTTGAAGTAGACATGTAGACAATCCGAACCCGGATTGGTCTTTGCGCTCCAGTAGTAGAATAAGACAAGGGATAACAAAAATGACACATAATAGGAGATAGACCAACTTAGTTACCAGAGTGTAGTTTGGCCCAAAGAGACTAGCTTAGCTCATAGAGCGTATCTTAGGTAGACACTGGCGTACAGCTAGCTAATCATGACCAGTAGTGAAAAGACCCGGAGCTCCAGCAATAGCAAGATTTAGTGAACAAGGTATTAAAAAACTTCCTTCTGCCAAAGCTTAGCTTCAGCTACCATGGTACCCGGAACCTTGAATAATATAAGGCACTCTGACTGCTGTATCCGTCCACACTCTTGAGGAATAAATTAACCCCAGATTCTTACCTTATCATGGGCATGCTGCTGCTGCCTTAGAATAGCCTCATAACAAAACCTAATCTGCAAGTAATTGCGCTTACAAAATGTCTGAACGCAAGGTTTCTTCACATACATTCCTCGGAATTATTACCCTCAGCAACGCACCTTTCACTATGCAATGTACAACTTGCGGAGAATTCATTGGAAAGGGCAGGAAATTCAAGTAAAAGAAGTTCTGCTGAAGTCATTCCAGGACCGACCTGAGAACAAGCAATTACGTCTGCGAAGGCGGTGCAGAGCCTAATACAGGACCATGGCGTTCAGGAAATGCGGCAGACCAGACAGTGAATGATCATCTGGACGTCTAAGAACAAGAGGAACAGGAACTGAGGCAGACTGTTGCCGATCGAACACGACGGGGGGCCTAGAGAAGAGAACGCTTTACGTTGACGCACATGCACATGGCTGCTGCTGATGCCCTAGACAAAGTCCGCTCAAAATGTTCTGATAAAATAAATATTTTTATTATATGCACCATGTGCACTTTGTCTAGCTAAGATGTTGGCAACTGGTCAAAACCAACCACCGGGGGAATCATTTGAAGCGGGAAATCATTACAACCAAATGAGGTATAAGCATGCCCCGACCCTTTCCAAGACATTTGGTCCAGAGACGTGGCGAACATGATCGGAAACACGGTTCTCTTTTTTCTTAGACCTTGTCGCTGACGACAGTCTGAGCGTGGGCGTCTTCCTGGGCAGCAGCGGTGGGCTGGTTCTGACCAAGGAACTTGGTCTTCTTGAGCTGGTTGAGGTGGTCCTCCTCGCTGTCGAGGTGCTTGAAGCAGAACCAGAAGGCGACACCACCGAGGAAGGCGATAATGGCGACGGAGGTGTAGTTCCAGACCAGGAGAGGGTCCTCGGACAGAGGGGTCCAGGCCTGGCCGATGGCGGCGGAGACGGCGCTCATGGCCAGGTTGACGGACATGACGAGAGACTTCATGTTTTCGGGGGCCTTGGAAAAGGCGTACTCGTACGAGGTGACGTTGGTGAAGATCTCGGCGAGACCGATGAAGATGTAGGGCAGGCACTGGGCCCAGACGTTGATCTGGGCGGGACCCTCCTCGCAGACGGTAGCGAGGTTGCCGCAGGGGGACATCTGGTAGATGTAGTGCTGCATGACGGCGGCGGCGACCATGGAGGCGGCGGCGAAGAAGAAACCGGTGGTCATGCGCTTGATGGGGGTGAAGTTGAAGCCCATCTTGCGGAACAAGGGGTAGACTCCATGGTCGAGGATGGGAATCATGATGATGATGGAGAGGGGGTTCAGGTTCTGGATGACGTCGTTGGGGGCGCCGCCGAGAACCATGGAGCCGGCCTGGGAGGTCAGGTTGTTGGTCATCTGGTTGTAGGCGAGGAAGAAGACGGGCAGGAAGAGGAAGACCTTGCAGGCCTTGAGACCACGTCTGCACTCGTCAACCCAGGCATCGTCGTAAGTCAACCAGCTGGGGCGCTCAGCGACGGGGATGTTGCTAGGCTTGGCCATGTCCCAGTTCATCTTGCCGAAACCGCCGGAGCGCTTGCGGGCGAAGTTGGTCATCTTCAGGAACTTCTCGAGAACAGAGCCGGTGGGGGGAGTAAGGTGGTACTTCTTCTTGTTGGACCAGAGAACAACAGGGCAGATGAGGAAGAGGATGGTGGGCAGCAAGAACGCCAGCCAGAAGCTGTGGTACTTCTCGACGAAGACCATGGAGACCTGTCCGGAGACGGCACCGACGTTGATGCAGAAGTAGAACCACAGGAAGACACGGGTGTTGGTGACGGCGGGGTCAACAATCACACGCTCGCCGTTCTGGACAACGACGCGCATGCGGCTGTCAGGGTTCTGCTCAGCGAGAAGAGGGGAAATGTTGGCCTTGAAGAGACCAGTTCCGGTGCAGAGGGTGAAGAGGCCGATGAAGAATGGGGCGAAGGCGGTCTTGCCCTTGTCGAGCACGGAGGGAGCGGCGGCAACGGTCAGAATAACGTGGGCGAGGGTAGAGACGACGATGGCGATGTGGATGACCACGTAGCGACCAAACTTGGCATCGGCCAACCAGGCGCTGAGAAAGTTAGCTATTTGTTCTCGCGTGTTTTCTGCATTACAAGCACAACTTACCCGAACAGAGGGGTGATGTAGGCCCAGAACATGTTGACCAGAGAGACACCCTGGGAGGCTCTCTGACCCATGTTCAGAGCACCGGGAACGCGGTCATCGTCGCTGTATGTGGCACCGGTCCTGGAGCCGGCGGGCATGGGGCGCATGACGAAGTTGGTGTACAGAACGGAAGATCCGTAGTAGGAGAAACGCTCGCAAAGCTCGGCGAAGGCGATGGTGTACATGCTCCACTTGATAGGTCCGGAGACACGGCGGAGGGTGTGAAGCTCCTCCTCGGTGGGCTTGTCCGGGTACTCGTCGTCGGACTTGGAGTCGTAGGCGTACTCGGTCACGGGGGCGGCGGCGGCGGTCACGTCGAAAGAGCCGCGGCCGGCCTGGATCTCCCTCTCGGTGCCCTGGACGGTGGCCGCGGGGACGTGGGCCTTGGCCAGGACATCGTCCTGGAGTCCTCCAAGGTTACTCATGATGAGTTTGCGGGAGCTGTGTTCCTGGTGGGCGATTGGGTTGAAGATCGACAACGAAGACAGGAAATCCCGATTAACGATATGCGAGAAAGACACGAGTTAACGAGTCTTTTCGACAGCAATTGACAGGTAGAGGTCCTGTTGGCCGTAGTTGAAGGGCTGCTGGTCGCAAGAAGAGAAGGGGAGAGGAAGGCTATCGTCTGGGAGGGTGTCTCAAGGGATATGTTTTATATTTCCCAGCGGCGATAATGGCAGGTCGCATCACAGCTGCATTCGGCAGCCGGTAGGTATCCGCAGATAGAGACATGGGACATGGGCGGGATGGCTAGCGTGTGGAAGGGTGGAAGCGTGGACTGGGGGTGAAGGGGAAGAGAGCCGGGGGGTGTCAAGGACATGGACTCGTCTAGCGCGGAGGGAGTTAGCAAGGATGGCATGGGATGGCAACACAACTCACGGGGGTGGTTCAACAACAACATGAACTCTGCAAGGTTCCTGTGGGATGGGAGAGATGGTCGTGCGTGGGCGTGGGCCGCCCATCTCGCGCATACCGTCGCCACGGGACGGGAGGCAAAGGGCACCCACGCCTTGCTTGAGTACATACGACACTGTAGGCAGACGATCACATCGCAAGACACACGACATCGACCTCTGTACAGACGATGAGGATGGTTACAGCGCCGGGGACCGCGAGGGGTCTCGGGTTGGACAGGGCACCATCGACCAACCACCAACAGTAACCCAGTGTCCGAGTCGTTCGCTCAGCAGTTGTCGGAGATGGGCGGGCAAGGCGCTTGCAGGATGAGGACGGAGCGATCCAACAGGTGAGAGTCCGCGGCCCAAGACCAGGCTGGACCGAGACAGAAGTCATGGAAATGTGGACAGAGGGAGGAAATGATGGGCCGTGGATGGATCATAGACATGGACCACGATGGGCTCCAGGACAAATGGCCCGATTAGGCAGGTCGAGGATCGGGGGTAATAGATAGGCGGCGGCGTTGTTGTCTGGGGGAGAGAATCAGGGCTCAGCTAAGAGACAGTAGACTCAACGGGACAACATGATTCGTGATTCGTGATTCGGGTCACACAGCCAGACTGAGCAGCTCAGCAACTCAGCTTGCTGGAGCATATCAGCATCAGCAGCAGCATCGTATCACTATCGACTGTCCTGTCGGTCTTCCTCTGTGGTGGGAGAGGGCTGAAAAAGCCTGCGAGAAAGGTTGGACCGTAAAATGCGACCGCCGAGCCTCTTGGCAGCAACGTTGATCGACCTTGGCATCGACGCCACTCGTAGCCTGGTGAGCCGTCATTGGCGCGCTCCCCGGGCTTTCTGCTGTTTTGGTGCTGGCGGGAGGCGCCCGTTGGTGGCTTCGGTTGCTTTTTTTCTCTTCTCTTCTTCTTGTCCGTCTAACTCGTAGGGGAAGTGGTGCGTCCAACGTGCCAACAAGACTCTCAGAGATGGCGCGGGAGGAAGTGCGCCCGTCAGCTGTGATTCCTGCCTTGCTGCACGACCAGCTTCTGGCGCGCCTTCGAGAAGAAGTTTGGCCTGCACGATGGGCGGGAGGCGGATCATGGAGGGTGGCTTGCTGATAGCCGAGAGAGTGAGTGCCACACCGCGTCCATGATTTGCTGGCTGGCCACAGGAAGGATTGGTCGTATATTACACCTCCGTTCTGTTCATGGACGGCACAGCAGTAGCGAAGGGCTAAGAGCGGTTGGTGGTGTTGAAGTTCCCCCATTGTCGCGCCCGTCGATGATACGGTTCTGCTTCGCCAAGATAAAGTTATGACAGAGAAAGGAAGGAGGTCGTTGTTCCATGGTAAGCCGAATGGGTGTAACCGGCCTTGGCTCAATATTCAGTTGGGCAGCTGAGTGAGGGGAAAGTGGCCGCATCCGTTTACGAAGAGAAGACGAGAGACGAAGGTTGAGGCAAGACGCATTCAGGGCCGAGGATTGCCGCTCAATGACGCTGTCATGGCTACCACCTTGCTGTCAGTCTCTCGAAGAAACGTCTCACACCAACTGATTGCTGTTCTTCACGCTTGTCCCTGATGAAGATAGCCTCTGCAAGTCGCACTCGTAGGCAGACGCGTAGGCAGCTCACAGATGCGCCTACAAAGTATCCCCAGCATCAACAACAGACAGACTCAGGACGGACTACCAGCTAGGTTTGCCTGTGTCTGCCGTGCCACTAAACCCCGGCGACCTTCCCAAACGATAAGAGCCGTTTCGGTGGCCCATGAGCTTAATGTCCCTGCGGCCCACGGTCTAATCCTGGGGGGTCTTCTGGTTGGTTCCGATTGAGGAGGCTATTCCCAGTCCAGCGAGCCCGCGGCCAGCAGCACCCCGGGGGATTTTTGTCTGCAGTTCTTGGTACTGGCCCTGGCCCCATCCAGAGGGCCTTTTGGATCCCTTCTCTTCGGAGAGATGGCCGACTCGGATTGGCTCTTCGTATCGTACATCATGTTGTGCTCCACTGAATACCGCCGAAATTTGTGCAGTAGTCCAAGGGGGGTCTTTGGGAATGTGGGAGTGCCCGGTCTCACCTTGCGTTAGCGCTTCAGTGTCAGGTATTGGTGGTCTTAACAGATATCTATCTTGCAGAAGCTCCCTTTCTGTTAGTCAAACCGTGCCAGATTCCTGGGCGGCGGGCTAGATAGACGGAAAGATATGGGGCTCAGGGACCAAAACGAAAGGTGGTAGAGGATTCATAAGGAATACGGCCTTGGCTTCATGTTCACTTTTCCAAGTCTTGAATGGCTCTTCAAAAGTGCCCCCCGTCGCGCTCGCTTTCGTCCAAAGCCAAGACGCCAGTGAGGGCATGTTCCCAGCCGGCAAGCTTCGCCTCATCGCTTATGTTGCTGTTGGCGCAGCGTTAGTGCCCGCCGAGGCATTGGCATCGAGCAAAAGTTCGAACATACCCTGGAGGCTGGGAGTACCGCGAACCCCACGCAATCAGAGCCCGTCTCAGTGTCGCGTGTCAACTGTCAATGGGCGTGCCGCGGTACACAGACCAGAGGAGAAGCCCGCCGCCGGGTGGGATGTACAAACTGAACTGACAGATTGTCAGATCCATAGTGGCGCCAGCACATGGCCACGCCACCCCAGGGACTGTTGGACGCGGGATGTTGCCGCTGAGAGCCTACATGTACGCCCGAATTCTGGCGCTCAATAATCCATCTTGATAAGTTAGGAGATGCACATGTACGGCGGTCGAGTTGGGTGGCAGCGTGAAGCGAACGAGAAAACATGATTTCTCGTATCAGACTTCTTGGCCGAAGCCTGAAAGAGACATGTGATTCGAGCAGCTTATCATTGAAGGAAGGCATAATAGTAAGCCTATTCGATCTGCAGACATGAGGAAACAAGTTGCGACGGATTCTTGAACTGATGTGATGCTTGATGCTGCAGTGATATGCGTACCAGTTCCTCTTTCAAGGCCATCACTTCTGGTCTTCTCTTCACAAATCGATAATCGTATGTAACCATCGATATAATCGACATCAAGACAACCAGCAAACAGCCAAACTTCAGAGGGTGTACGGCCACCACCGTTTATTGGGACGAACGCCTGCGAAATGATGGAGATGGCGCACTTGCGGGACGGTGGAAGGCCCCTGTGCCCCTGTCTAGTCCACCGCCTAGAACGATGCAGGTGGCGTCCGGGGAGCGCTCCAACAAGTACCTGGGTCCTCTGAAACTCTCCGCGTGCCCCCGAGCAGCTTTGCGAACACGGCCCTTTCAGTGGACATGGCAACGAGTCTATCGGGACGTCTGCCTATCTTGCCCTGTCTTGTCTTGCCTGCCCTGTCGTTTCCCGCCGTCTTGGCTGTTCTTAACTTGGTTTCGCCGAGTCTCTGCCCTAGCGGGAGACACTGATAGCCTCTCACTGCCTTCGAATGAAGAGGAGCGCTGAAAGTACGCAACCACGAGTCAAGGCGACGCCGCGGCGGGATGGACGCCTGGCGCAGCGGCCTCTAGAGATACAAGACATTTCCAAGACCACACGGCAGCGCCGAGAGCAGAGGCTCGGAAAGGGCGCCCGAAAGACCACTTGAGAAAGCTTATCATGTCAACAGCACGTTACATTTACTGTAGCCTGATCGGCGGGGGATGAGCGGAAGAACGAGACCCTGGGCTTGTAAGGCAAGCAACATTGTGTCGAGCTTCCCCAGCTTTGGCAAGGCTTCGAGGAAATCCCGATTTGCATTCGCCATGTTGAGGTGACATTCAGTGCGATTGCCCAGCTTTCTGGGTGTTTGATACGGCGAATGCCCGGTGATCGTGATGAGCCAGACCTACGTTCCAAGACATCGAACCGGCCACCCGGGCTTGGGATACTCGTAAAGGAAACTGGACAGCCGGGAACTCAGGTGAGAGGATCTAGTGCATGGATCTTTTCGAGAGGCGAGAATTCCCAACAGCCTACCAGAGAGAAATCATTTGTCATGGAACGATTATAGTGCTTGGCAGCAGCGAACCGATTTACCGACTTGGGGAGGCGGAAGTCTTGCTCTGCGCTTGGCGAGGAACTTCTGCGGGATTCCTCATATTCGGCATCTGGGCACAATCCAGCAATGAGTCCAACTGTCGGGTGGCAGTGACAACTGCGTCTCACCTGTGTGAAGTTCCCCGTTCGACATGTGAGGGCGACTTTCGCGGCCAACGATCTGAATCTGAATGAATGACTGTTTTTCACCGAATATCTGCCCATTCACACCGCAAACGCGGGCAAAGTTAATGAATTTTTACAAACATTTTCTCTTTAGCGCCTCGCCAAAGAATTGCGTCATTGAACGCTCTGCCGATTGGATGAGGAAAACTCCGTCGCGCAAGAGAGTATTCCCACAATTTGTGTCTCGACCGAGTCAACCCCAAATTTGAGCAGAAAAAACGGCCACCAGCGGTCAACGGCCGCCTCAACTAGACGGGCTAGGCGCCGTCCTTCGGTTTGCTGTTTTGTTATTCTCTGGCTGTCCGCAGCTGTCAAACTCCACACCGTTCTCCGGGCAATCTCCATCTCAACTCCATCGTCAGCATCATGGGTGTTCCCGGGCTCGTGAAGAGAGACGGCGTGTCACCAGAGCTCGTGGAGTGGCCTGGCCTGACCCTCAGAGAGGGACTGGAGATTGGGGGCCAGGGATGTGGGTGGAAGAGCGCGGGCGTACGTGTGCGCACCGCGTAACCTGTTCATCCTGGGGGAAAAGAGGGCGATTAGATAGCACACATCAGTCATCAGAATCACCAACATCAACCGTGACATCCCTGCTGTTGCAAATGATGTTGATTGGTCAATCAATTCGGCCCCAACGAAGTGCCGAGAGGAGGGGAAGCCAACCTTTGTGGACGCCATCCGGCTCGACCTGCGTCGAACCACATTGCCGCACCAGAAGGAAGTGCGCCGGCAGTGTTAAGTAGTGAGAGCCCAAGTCTGCCAGCCCGGTCGGTGTCATCGGCACCGAGTCGGTCTCTGCCGCTCTTCACATCGGAAGAGCTACCGGCGTGCGGTCAGCGACGTTGTGTCGTAAGGCCTTCACATTGACTCCGTGACTCCGATCCGGGTCGTGAGAAACACACCGGCTTAGTCTTTACCCGGCAGTCTGCTTCAACATTGACGAGATCCTCCCGCTCCGAAGTGTCATCGTTGGGGAATAGGGCTGCATGCACATCATTCTCCCGTCGCTGATTAATCGGGACTGCCATTACCGAGCACCGTGCCGACTTGAAGATGCCGAATTGAGTCATCATAGTTCTCACATACAACATCTTTTCGAAATAAACATCGCCTTTCAGTCTGTTCAAACTGATCAAGTGACAATACGCTCAGCTTCATATTCCAGTCCCATCATTCTCGCATGAGGCCCTTCCGTCTCCGATCTCGCCTCAGTTGCCTGACAACCCCGCAATCCCGGCCGTCCGTGATCACCTCACTCCAAGTACTCTCACAACCGCAGCCGCCGCGCATCACGAATCCTTCAATCAGTCATTCACACTACACGCCATTCAGAAGTCTCGCAACCATGGTTCAGGTCACACAGCTCAAGGTTGCCGTCCTCGACGACTACCAGGGCGTCTCAGAACCCTACTTCAGCAAGCTCGACAAGTCGCTCTTCGACGTCACCACGTTCAAGGACACCCTCCTGCCTTACAACCACCCAGAGACTCCCGAGTACGTCAAAGATGCTTTGGTCTCGAGACTGGAGCCGTTTGATGTAATTTGTGAGAGTTCCCTGCAACTGCTTCCCCTAGCATGAAAGAGGATGAGCATGGAAGACTAACATCTGCTAGGCACAATGAGAGAGCGAACCCCTTTCCCCAAGGACCTCATCTCGCGCCTCCCAAATCTCAAGCTACTTCTCACCACCGGCCTGCGCAACAACAGCCTTGATCTGCCCGCCTTCAAGGACCGCGGGATCCCGGTTGCCGGCTCCGCCGACAAGGCCACCGGCAAGCAAGTTGGCACCAACTCCACGACGGAGCACTGCGTCACCCTCATCCTCTCTCTGGCACGCAACATCGCCTCGTCCGACGTTGCGGTCAAGTCTGGTCTGTGGCAGACCGACCTCGCGATGGGGTTGACTGGCAAGACCTTCGGTGTCCTCGGTCTCGGCCGCCTTGGCGTCTCGACGGCGAAGATCATGCACCTCGCCTTTGGGATGAAGATCATCGCCTGGAGCACGAATCTCACACAGGAGGCTGCGGATGAGAAGGCCACGAGCGCAGGACTGCCCGTCGAGGGACCCGATGGCGAGAAGACCTTCAAGGTTGTCAGTCGAGAGGAGCTATTCAGCACCGCCGACGTTATCAGCGTGCACCTGGTGCTCTCGGAACGCTCTCGCGGGCTGGTCAACGCGGACGACTTGTCGAAGATGAAGAAGACGGCGCTGTTCATCAACACTTCCCGAGGACCACTAGTGGTTGAGAAGGACTTGCTCGAGACGTTGAAGAAGGGCGGCATCCGCGGCTGCGCGCTGGATGTTTTCAACCTCGAGCCCTTGCCCACGGATAGTGAGTGGAGGACGACGGAATGGGGTCAAGACGGACGCAGTAAGGTGCTCTTGACGCCTCACATGGGATACGTTGTTGAAGAGACGTTGAATGCCTGGTACCAGCAGCAGGTGGACAACATCAGGAGGTGGCAGGCGGGAGATGTCCTAGTCAACGTGTTAGCTTAAGTTCAGCCTTTGGCGAGTTAGTTGAGGGCAAGAAGCCAAAACATGTAGCTAAAGTTCCGTTTCCATTGCTCATCCAGTACTTAATCGTAAACCAACAAACCCTCATCCAGGACACAGAGACTTGTACATGTACTGGGAATAGTACCTCAATCCGAGGTCTTGTGACACATAATAAAGAAAACGCCCTCCCAAAAGCAAATCACGTCCCAGTACGGTAGGTTCTCAGCTCGAACGTCCAGCTGGTCTAGTCCAAAGGCCCGCGAGCCAAGAGCCTGTCCCGACGGTTGTTGATACCGAGGCCGCCATTCTCGTATTCGCCCCCCGTAAACTCCATCCGTAGTCGTTGCGATTCGTTGAGAGAAACCTCATTCAAATGGTTACTCAAGCCGTAGTAAAAGATGCCTTCCGAGACTCATCATCTTGCGAAACCGGTTTCCTCAATCAGGCGAGAGCCAGATCGTTGACAATGAGACCATGGGGGTTCCAGTAGCCGCTGCCGGAGCTACGGTTGTACCGTCCCTCAAGCTTGACGTCGACAATCTCATCGTCCTCATCAATGACGGGCACGAAGTTGCGCGCAGTGAAGTCTCGGACGAGGCACACGGACTGCAAGCTGGGGCAGGCCTTGAAGATAGCCAGGGCATTGGCGGGGAGATCCTCGTTGTACTGGTGGCTGTGAAGGAGGCTCTCGACAAAGTCCCAGTTGACCTCACCGTTATCATCCACGTCTCGCGAGATCTGCTGCTCTGCGGTAAGGGTCAAGTGCCGAAGTTGCTCCAAAGGAGAAAATCGGGAGACGAGCTCCTGCATGCAGATATGATCAGTAAACGACCAGATTGAAATGGCAATTGGCAACTGATACTCACGGAGACTCTCACGTTCCTCAGCGATCCCATGATGACAAGGGACTCCAACTTCGGAAGGCCGCCGAGCATGGCAATGAGGGATTGGAGGGTCTTGGGGGTCCAATCGATTTTGCGAATTTCCACCTCACGGAGACGGCTGGCTGTCTTGAAGCAGCGTCCAAGTGACTGAATAGGACGGTCACTCAAGCCGACGTTGAGCACTTGAAGACTCGGGAACACGCGAACCGCGTGCTCCGGGAGGTCCGAGCTGCGGGCGAAGGACGCCTTCTTGACATCGGGGAGCTGAAGCATGCTGTGCTGAATGAAGCTACGCAAGTGCGTGACCAGAGTCTCCTGGCTGGGAAGATCGAGGACAAGCTCCTGGACGTTGACCATCGAATCCAAAGCCTGGCAGAGTGCCATGGCGAGAATGGAGACGTTCGGAGCTTCGCGACCTGGGTGGATAGTGATCTTACAATAGCTGAGTAGGTTTGTTAATTGAATTTTTTCTCCCGACGACAGCCCCGTTGTTGAAAGGATTTTTGGGGATTACTCACCGAATAGCCCTCTGGATCCTGTCATTGAGCAGCATCGCCTTGAGAGGCTGAATAGCGCGGTATTCAGCGCGGTAGATTCTGACCTTTCGGAACAGGAAGGGAATACAGATTTCCCGAAGAGCGCTGCAAGTCATGGACAGCTCCAGAGTGGTGTTGCGGTGCTTGCCAGGGGCGAAGGGGTCGGATCCGTTGTCTCTGTTCTTGTGGCACATCTTGATGACCTCGAGCACAATCTCGACAGGCATGTCCATGAAGCCCGGTCCTTCATCCAAGGTATTGACCGAGAGGTTCTGGGAGGCCGTAGATGACATGATGGTGCCCGTTGCAGGGGAGATGACAGGGCGGAAGTGGATAGAGAACGGAATGATGCCGCGGCGGAACTTGAAATCGATTTTGCGCGAGGGAGCCATTGTGAAGCTTGGCAACCTAGAGAGCGAAAGGAGGAAGAGGGCGTAGTGATTGAAAATTCCGGTATCGACGAGGAGCAGGACAGAAATGAGAGTAACGACGTTCAAACAGTTTGAAACGCTTGCAGCCCTCGAGAGATTACCGGTGTGCGAGAAACGAGTGCAAAAGAGCGTCGCGAATGGACGAAGTCGGCTCTGCAATGGTGAAGAGAAGAGGAAACTCGCGATATTTTTGACTTGCGTTGGACTGAAAAAAAGACTGTGGGCAGGCCGACGCGAAGGGGGCGCGTCGAGGCCGAAACAAGCGAAGGAGGCAAAACAAAACCAGTAGGAAACAAATCAAGAAGGAAAGAGCTTCTCTGAAGACTGTACCCGCCTGTTGTGACTGGTTTCGTTCCTAGTTTGGTCCTTCACGGACGCTGAGAAGATGGGTGAAGAGGTATCGCAAGGCGACTAAGCAAGCCCATGCTTAGTCGCCAACTCCTTGAAGGTTGGCTAACATAGCGAGAACCATGGAGTGAGCAGACGGTTGTTTGGGAAAGAACTCTACCAAAGAGAAAGAACAAAGCCGACATATCACTGCTGAAAACCAATACTCAAGGAACTGGTTGGAGGAAAAGGGGGGAGTTAAACTCAGGGGTTATGATGAATACCTTGTTCATGAACTTTAAAGCAAAGTCCTCACACGACAATCTGTGTCAATGTTGAGAATGTATTTCTGTCAGGGATGATCAATGAATATCTGGATAGTGATACGGTTCTACATGCACATAAGCAAAGGTTGCATCGATTAAACTTCCATGTTGAAACATTATGAGAACGTGTCTCCAAGGGTTTGGATATCTTGCTACTAAAACAAAAGAAACCGACGCTTCCTAATGAACTCCGGCTCTTGGGTATTCGTCACACATCTACATCCTCTCTTCAAGAGACAGGGCCTCTGGTGCTTTGGGCCTTCTCGCCCATCTTGAAATCCGTCGATGAACGGGCATCGTCTCCGACGTTAGGATTTGATTCGTATGTCAAGTTGACGTTGGTTGTGCGGATGATGCCGTTGTATGTCATGATTTCCTCTTCAGACCCGGAAGGAGAGGTGCTGCGAATCTCGGTATGATGCTGCGAGCGCGTCATGCGCATGTCTTTGAGTGTGATGTTGTCGTTGTCTCGGACGGTGTTGCGGGGCCGAGAAGAGTTGCCGTAGTATTTGAGAGCGCTGGTCTTTCCGGAAGAGATACCGCCGAACAGCTTGGGCCACCACTTGCGGAACATGGGTCGAAGTGCTGGGGCGCACGCGGAGATGATTGCTAGGTTGACTTCGACGACGCTGTAGGTAACACCAATGTCGTAGAAGGGATCCTTGTTCGGGTCGGGCGGTACGTAGAATAGTCTGTATATCAGGACTAGACGGATGATGGCAATGACGGTTACACTATTTGAGTCATCGTTAGTAACTTGAAGCTTTGACATGCTTGGATGGGCACCCGGTTGAAAAGGGGTATGGTTGACTTACACAGCACCAACGAGGAAGACGCAGATAACGGCAATCTTGGCACCCATCGGCATCTTCAAGCCCAAGAAGATCCAAAACGGAAGGATCAACACCAGTACGTCCATCAACACGTTGAGGCAGGATATTGTGACGTGGAAAGCGTTGCTGACGCATTGAGCTGATGCTCTGATGGTGGGCTCCCAGTTGGCTTCGATCGGCAAGCATTGGAGTAGGGCGACGAGGAAGATGGCTACGGCCATGGAGCCATTGACGAGGTTGAGCCCGTGGATTGTCCATCTGACGCCAGGCTTCTGCCCACCGAGACGCAGAAGGAAAACCAGAACCGACGCTCTCACGAACGCTAGGACTGGGTTGTAAAACATTTGCATCATGAAGAACCACCACATCGCTGGGCGAGTGTCCAAGGTCGCGGGTACGTCAACAGCTCTGTATCCGAAGTACATGAGCTTGAGGTCTGCAAGCCGGTGGTCAGTATACGGTTTCTGTTGGACAATGCATATCAAATGGTAGATGTTTGGGACCAACTTACACATGAAGAATGGCGGCGTCATGCACACTGCACATAGCTGCGGCCACATTGTTAGCTTTATTTACTAACCAACTGTTTAAGTTCATGGTGATCTGCATACCACTGCCATGCCGCAAAGCCAATCGTCTAAAATCGCGTCAGCATGCGTGCACTTCTCACTTCTGACAGAGTCTACACAACATACCGATACCCCATTGTCGCGTCGTAAGTCTGCTGTACGTTCGTGCCGCGAAGATGAGAACCGACACAGCCGGGAAGAAGAACGTGATGAAGATGGCTGTCGCCTGATGAGGCGGTGTTGGGATCGTCAAGACGTCGACATGCTCGGGACGCCGAGCAACTAGGGTTGCGAACTCCATGTTCGAAATCGAGGTCGGATGGATCGCGAGGGAAATGCCCAGCCTTGCACGGGGCTGGCCTTGGATAAAAAAGAAGGGAGAGATCGGCCCCCAAGGCGAAGCTTTGACTGCGAGTCGTGCGTTGCTTGCGTCCAGTTCCAAGGAGCTGGGTCTGGGTCTCGATCTGAGTGGGCAAGGGCCAAGAAGTCGCACTCGAGCAGACCCAAAGTCGATCCGGAGCAGCAGAAGAGCGGTCAGACCGAAGGGTCGTAATGGGCAAGTAGGCATGCCCTTTCTTTATGTAGATCTTCTTTTCATTACCTCCCTGTGAGAGATCCACGATGTCGCCACGGTAGCCCCTCCTCTTCCCGAGGAGGCGAGCCGCTAAACGAAGGAATCGAACTATGTTCTGCTCAACATGATACACGGGAAAATAAGCTTGACAGGCTCTCGAAGATAACTGCTGGAGATATCCGCACTACTAGAGTAGAGTTTTCTGCATCTTCTGGGGTGCGGACGGCGTGATCCTGATTCCTCTCGTGTTCCAAGGGGGGACGCTGAGCGAGGCGAGGAAAGGGGGCCGTTTCCTTTCGACTAGGCCCAACGATCCTCCGCCGTCAACTGGGAATATCATTGGTTTCGAGAGCTTCCTTCAACACAAGCGGGCGAACGAGAGCTCAAACTCCAAGGCACTAGCGGAGACCTGAGGAGAAACCGGGAGCCAGGTTGGAGTTGAGTCTAGCCTGTATCCAGATCCTTGCTTCTCAGGACATTTGAAGTCCCGGAGGGAGAAATGCCAGAACGCAGATAGCCCCCACGACCCACGCTAATATAGAGTAGAGTTGACTGCCGTGAGCGGCACGGCAAGTCAGACGGGTTGACGGGCCACTCGTGTTTTGACGTCTGCACCATTTGAGGCTGTCACACCGCGGGTCGGTACGTAGTATCGACATTGAAGCTATATCTGCCCTAAATGGCAAGTTCCAAAGCACTGGATCAGATATCATGCTTTTCAATGAAAGATCAGATGCATTCTGCAAGCTCCGACATTCGGGTGTCCCAGCGCCAGGGAAGTTTTCTTCATGTCGTGCGTCGCATTCTTCCCTCAGGGGTTGCAGACTTGTTCCTTGTCTGCCAAGCCGCTTAGAGCGCCTGGTCCGGCCAAGAAGATGGCGCGCCTGGGCAACGCAAGGGACGATAGCGGATGGACTGCAACCGAAGGAGCATCCCAGAATCCGTCGAAAAAAAAAACCCCAAGTTCTTCTAGAAGGTTAATTGCAATTTTAGGCATTCCTGTCAACCAGACCAAAGCCAACGGCGGTTGTTAGTCGCCTTACCCCAAGCATCATCGTCGTTGGTTCGCGTACCGAGGCAACAAGCTTAACTTCAACTTCATCGACTCTCAACCCCAGACCCCAGACGCAATTCGCTGCCAGTACCGTTCTCTTCAGCGCTAGAAGCGGCTGGACTAGGTCTAAAATCGCTGCGTGATTGTCAAAATTGCCTGATGTCGATCCTTTCCGCGCACGGTATTACTTCCAAAGACCCTTGCTCACCACTCCGCAACCCTTGCAACCGAGAGAGACTAAAGTTTTGGGGCCCCTCTCAACGACGGGTCCGTTGCGAACCCTGATTCATTTATGCGCAATCTAGCAGTCCTTCAACTGGGTCTTTCATCGTCTTCTCTTTTGTTCGAGGCCGGACATGACTTGTCTTTTATGGAAGCCAAGGCCTAACCGTGGTGGTAGCCGGGGGTACCGAGAGTCTGTTCGTTGGGAACGAGTTTCTTCCGAGACCCGAAGTCCCAACGGCGCGTTGCCAAGAACTCGACTGACAAGGCAGCATGAGAATCCAGACCAATCGTGTTCCATGGTGATCTAGCGCCAGCTGAAGTTGAGTTTGACGGCGGTTTCTAGACATTTAAGTGTCGGTTGCCCTCGCCGATTGAGGAAAATCGCCGGCCAACCGGCCGCACAGCAAAGCTGCAGCAAGAGTTCGATTTTCATGTCAGGCAGCAATCAACCAGAAATGCATTCCGCGTCGGCGGTCCTGATGCCGAGTCTTCGACCGACCTACGCAACCGAGGAACCTCATGAGTAGCTTCCTGGCCTCCGATCCGCGCCGGGGCTCCGAGTCGTGAACCCTGCCCACATTCCGAAGTACCGGATCCGGTATGGCTCTACACGCTGCCGAAGCTGAGGCAATTTTACTTTGGAAGTGATCAGCTTCAATGGATTTGAAGATCAGTGTATGCTGGAGACTGGCGTTGACGGACTGGCGTTGACGGGTCTAATGCGAACCAGTCCTTTAGTTGAGGTGAAGACATACGTACGCTCTGAGACGCTCAGATCTCTCTCAAAGAATGGCTTTACGTCACGTCATGTTAGTCCGGAAGGCCCCCTTGATGAATTGATTGCCATGAGAGCACGGGCTGGGAACTACAGTTCTGTTGAGCGAGAAATCTAGCGGCTCATTCGCGAACATACAAAACTCGTAGGAGTACAAAAGATGGACACTGAAGTGAGGTAGGATTGTTGAATAAGATGATGACTCTCTTCACCCTTACGACTGTGTAGTAAGTTTTCGCAATGATAAATACATCATCCTAACACGTATGTATGGTGTGTTTGTCTTTGCTTACTAGAGCCTGCAGCTTGCAGCAAGAATAGAAGCCCAGTAACTTCATTTTCTCCAACAGGGCATGGATATTCAAGTTAAAAGTACGACTTGACATTGGTTAAGTCTCGGACATAGACCAACTTTCAGATGTTACTAATTCTCTGCCCTAGATGCGCAGCTTATCTCGAAGCTTGGGTGTTGGTAAGGTAGGTCATTTATATACATGTAAGTGGTTTGCAGTGCATGTTGGCTGAGTATGATGCTGCATCGCTCGATCGTGAAGATGCCTATCTACCTTACCCACGGAAACATGGGCACAAACGGGAGGAAAAGGGGACCAAAGCAGGTACTGAACGGCGCAACTCAACTTTAGGAATTGCATCACTTAACACATCATTCTATCATCAGGCCGCAGGCTTAAAGAGAGATCGCCTCCCACGGCACGGAGGTTGGAGATTCAGATGTTGCAGCTCAAATCACTGCTCCAGCTACTCGAGTTCACTGCGTTGGTTGAGCAGAGCACCAGATTCCAGCGCTAAGATGCCACAAAGTCAGATTGATTTGGGTTGGTACAGTCTTATGCGGCCAAGCTAATCCTATTTTACATCCAACTCATCCAAATGCTCAGTAAACCCCGAGCAGCTTTTGCCAACACAGCCGATGTCCATATTCCCATAACAAACGTCTTATTTACAACTTGGCCGGAAGGCGACCAGACTGCTGGCCAGTCCAGGTAGCAATGAGGTCCATCAGAGGAGGAGACAGGGTGTCGTATGTCTCAAGTCCAACAGACTTGAACTTCTGGCGGACCTCATCGATGCCCTTGGGGTGGAATCCCTGCTCGATAATGGACGAAACGAAAGCGGCAAACTGCGGCTCCTGCCAGCCCTTGGAGTCTGACAGCTCGGCGTGGACAAAGTCCAGACCCTTGAAGGGGTGGTCCTTCTCAATTCGTCCGTACAGGTGTACCCCGCACTCCTTGCATGCGTTACGCAGGATGACTGCGGAGGGGTCGACGACGTGCAGCTTGTTCTCGTTGGCTGTCACCTTGAGCTGGTCTCTGGAAATAACACCAACGACGGAAAAGAGGGCACCCTCGGGCTTCCAGCACTTGGAGCATCCGCAGGCGTGGTTGTGAGCGACATTGCCGCCGAGAGTAAGCTCGACGGGGTTGGTCTTGCAAAGGCAGCGGAGCTTGCCTCCGGCGAAGTTGGGGTCGCCCTTGGTGAGGCCATTGTCGATGAGGGGGTGGAGAGAGGGCGCCATGATGGATGGATCAGGTGTGGATGATTAATCGGAGTATTGAATGGATCGTTTACGGAATAGTGTAATGGAGGACCTTGATGAACTAGAACCTTGATGGCGTGCTGAAGATTATATAAAAAGCGAAGGCCATTCACTTCTAACATCGACTGATGCCCGGCCGGGACGGTGATATTTACCGACAGCTTGGCGGCACGGCTTCCCGAAGGATCCCCGAAAGCGCCAGCTCTGATTCGAAACTCCACGCGTTGCCTTACTTGATTCGACGACTTCCCCGCATTTCGATCTCATCACTGCACCGGGCCAAACGTTGATTCCGATCACGCAACGGGGATAAACTTGCCATTTCCGCCTAATTTACTCGACTGCACCAGTTCTGTTGCTATTGTGAGGGCGCCCAGCCCATCGGGTGGGCACCCGATTTGAGCGTGATGGCGATGATACCCCGCAAAGTTTCAGTCGAAGTAAGTTGCTTCGCCGCAACGCCAACCCCGCCCGCCCGACATATCCCCTTACCCCTCTCCGGGACCTACGGATTGGCATATCGGCGATAGGTTCTTCAACGGACTTGGAATTGCTGGCTGGAAAAGCAAATCGGCGTTTAGACTGTCGGCCGGACGTTTACGAGTTTTCCGGGACGGTGAAACTGTGAAGAACAGATAGCCTATCGCGTCATTTTAGCGCGGCGGTGTGCAAATGAGTTGACCTACGGGTCGGCGATAAGCCTGCCGGCATTGCGGTGAGAGAAGCCGACGAACAACAACGGTAAGTCTCTCCAGCTGAAAAGAAGCGATGAAGACGTCCGTGTCAGATAGACACTCCGAACAAGGTCCGAGGGCTTTGATACGTCTTCCTTGAGGCCAGTCATAAAATGCCAGCTCACCTCATCCGATGACAACAAGCCGAACATGTTGGTGTTTCCATTGGCCGATGGTTCTTGTCTAAGAGACCGTCAGCAAGAACTATGAATCACGTGTTGATCAAGCTATGATTTTTATTCCTAAAGCATGTAATTGCCATCGCACAAGTTGCTGAAGGGGATGTGAGAATCGTGTGACACTATGCAGGCAAGGCGGATCACATTCGTCTCAAATACAGAAATTGAAAATGGCTCCTCCATTGATTGTATCTGGAACTCATCTTCGTCTCAATCCTTTGAACAATGTTAAGGTGTCTTTACTGCATCAGGGAACTAAGTCAAAGCCATGATGAAAATTGGCTAAATAGGCATCCCAAGGCTAGAAACTAACCTCTAATTGAAACAGATTATCCTGTCTGTTGATTTGCTTAGGTATCTCTGTTAGAGTCTGTAAGAGTAAGGCGCAGTGCTCAGCTACATACGCATCCGTCTGAAGTGTAGGAGTAACTGTACCAATTGTCAATAGTAGAGTAGATCTGTTTTCAACCTTTGCGTTCATGAAACTACACATAGCATTCTAGACAAGGAAAAAAGACTTATATAGCCTCTGCAGTTAATGTTTTAATATAAAGAGGCTTATTGAACACCTGGCTCACTGGACTGGTTAGAACCCGGCTAACCTTGCGGCTTTCTATCCCTCTATAACTGTTGGGGATATTGCTGTGATCACTAGGCAAAAGGAAACCTAACTTACGTGCACGTAGGGTAATAGTAAAGGCCTATAGTAACTTGTCACTTGTCAATCTAAATGAAGGCTTTGCTACGCATTGTATGAGATGAGACGATAACACTGCGAGTATTGCTGCTAAACCAGCAAAGGTGACATAGGCCCTAACACTATTCTCTTAGTGAAAACGTAATTTTTCACTCTTTGAGTCTATGGAACTCTTATGAGTCAACTAAATCGAGCAAATGGGAAGCTAATGACTTGTGTGTCTCCTTGCAATTGTTCTAGAGCCGAGCAGGTGTGCGACAAGTGGCGAATTGCTGCAAAATCTAGCTGCTCAGCCCTGAACTTCAACACTGAAAATGAAGGCGACAATGATTGTGATTTTGTCAGAGATGAAAAGCAGGAGTCTTACACAGCTGAACATTGATGTGGTCTAAACTTCAGCATAGAGTGCACAGCCAAGGTTAGATGTCGAGTTGAGATGTGAACTAGAGCGACGCGTCTGCGCATGAATCATCCATGTAAACAAAATGAGGGATGACACTAGAACCATCTGCAAATGCGTCCTGAAAGTTTAGATATTGGAGACAGTCGATTTCTCCAGGAAATCACATGCTGATCCGACGGGCTCGGGGTCGCATATGCTCGATCCCGGCTCCGACGGCGCCCCGGACGGATAGCTGTGGGGTTCTGCCAACGGAAACACGTTGCCGGGCCGCTAAGAGAGTGCGACGGGCCAACTGTCAACCGAGACGTCTTCACCGATTTAGCCCGTGCATCATCACCGATACCAGAACTGGAAATACCTAACGCCTTCTACCGTCTTCCCCTTAGCCTTGGGAGCGGTAGCGATAGTCTGTGCCATTCGGTCTGCAACAACAGCAACGATGGCCACCCACGGTGCCACGTAAAGCCATGCATAACCCAATTGGTGGCCGCCACTGATCATACCGAGGTTAGAGATCTTCCATAGTTCGGGCGATGGTCTAATGCTGTGCGCGCGGCGTGGTAGATGCACAGCATTTGATAGTGCTGCCCTTCTAGAATGATCGTCGGAACTCTTAGTGGAGGGCTCGCCCAATGAGAACAGCTCCAGCAAGAGTATGAACCCTCCCGGCCGAGGCACTCTTCTTTCGCTGACGTTTACCGTTCGCACTCGCATAAGTTAGTTCCCTGATGTGTGGCTCGACTTCATGTTTCGACAGCTCACTGTCAGTCCGGCGTGACCAACCAGCCGCCGAGATGAGTGAAGAAGAAATTGTTAAGACATGCAAGCCCCTGCATGGCATCCCTACGCCAGCTGCAAGATCTACGCCCGTGGCGCGCACGTCCCACCGGAAATGCCTCGGCAGCAAGCCTCCTCAACAGAAAAAATCCTCTGATCGCATCAACGCAGGCAAGACATAAGAACTTCAAGTCAGCCGGCCTGATCACGCTGGACGCAATTCAGCAAGAAGAAGTATCCAGTCGTGAACATGGCCGAAGAACTCGACATTCTGATCTTGGGCGCTGGTATCTCCGGCGTCAACGCGGCGTATCGCGTGCGTACGGAGCTGCCAGACAGCAGCTTCGCCGTGCTGGAAGCTCGTGACGTTGTCGGTGGCACGTGGTCCTACTGGAAGTACCCTGGCTTCCGCTCCGACTCCAACATGACCAACTTTGGGTTCGGGTGGCACCCGTGGCCTCACGACAAGAAGATCATCGAAGGCGCGCCAATCGCTGCGTACATTGAGGATGCGGTCAAGACACATGGCCTCGACAACCATATCCGCTACCGCCACAAAGTCAAGTCGTCCAGCTGGGACAGTGATGAAGCGAAATGGACGGTGACCTGCGAGACCCCAGAGGGCGAGAAGCAGATCAAGGCCAAGTTCTTGTTCGTATGCTCTGGCTACTACTCGTACGAGAAGGCACTTGAGACACACATTCCTGGCATCGACAACTTCAAGGGCCAAGTCATCCACCCGCAGTGGTGGCCCGAAGACCTCGACTACAACGGCAAGAGAGTTATTATCATTGGTTCCGGCGCCACAACAATGACATTGTTCCCGAATATTGCGAAGACAGCGGGTTCTACCACGATCCTCCAGCGAAGTCCGTCTTATGTGTTCGCACTTGCGGCTGAGTCAGGCTTCGACAAGTCGCTGAAGAGGTTTTTGCCTCTCTTCCTCGCCAACTGGATGATTTTGTTGAAGGACCTCATTCTCGAGACATTCTTCATCCAGTTTGTCCTAAACTTCCCCGAAGCGGCTAAGAAGTTTCTGAGAATGGATGCGAAGCGTCGCTTACCGAAGGGCTATCCAGTCGACATCCACTTCAAGCCTCGCTACAACCCCTTCCAGCAACGTCTCAATATGTGCCCCGACGGCGATGTCTTCAAGACACTACACCAGCCAAACACCGAGATCGTAACCGACCACATCGACACCGTCACAGCCGACGGCATCCGCACCAAATCTGGTCGCCATCTCCCTGCCGACATTATCATCACCGCCACGGGTCTGCACGTACAGCTCTTTGGCGGCACCGAAGTCACCGTCGATGGTGTTCCTGTGAAGGTTGGCGAGAAGTACTGCTGGCGCGGATGCATGCTGGACGGAGTACCCAACGCGGCTGCCATTATTGGCTACGTCACCCAGACCTGGACACCCGGTGCTGACACCGTTACAAGAATCTGTATCCGTGTGATCAAGCAGATGCAAAAGACAGGTGCTGTCTCAGCCACGCCGGTACTGTCTGAGGAGGAGAAACGCGACGCCCCCCGATTGCCATGCGTGGACGCTACGTCCAATTACTTCAAGAAGGCACATGGCCGGATGCCTGTGGTGACGAACCAGGGTCCTTGGTATGGACGGAAGAATCTTATTGTGGACAAGCTTGCTCTGTGGTTTGGTAGTGTGACAGTAGGCATGGATTACCGGGTGGCGACGAAGGCTAAGGACATCTAATGTATACACCAATCATGATGAATTCGACGCGTTGTTCAGGGTGGCTACTATTAGGTTGAGCGGAATACATTCGAGGTAGCTTGACAATGAGGCTCAGTTAACCTTCTTACATCAGACCTTGCAGTGCCTCTTGTTCTAGCGTGCTTTTTGTGTCGATCGTGGGGCTACGCAATACGACTCTCAATCCTTTTGCGGCAATTCGATGTTGACCCCTGGCCTCCGGATGAGCCGTGGTCTTACCCACAGGTGGGTGCTGGCACCCAAGCCAACCCTGGAGGTTTGTTTTGTCGTCAGCACTGGTGTTACTGCAGATCAAGTAAGAATCTGGAACAACTGGGACTTTGGTTGACTTTACTGTGGATGCAGGGACTGTACTGCGGGAGATCTAACCACTTTGGATCCAACGAGGCTGGCTATCCAGGGCAGAGACAAAGTTCTGCCAAGCTTGACGGACAAACCTTCAACGGGCTCTCCAGCATGGGCAGATGGAATGGCTTTGGGACAAGAGGAACATCCCGTGCACAGTCACGTTGGCCTGGCTAATTTTGGGACAAGCCCAGACATAAAACGAAACGTAGCAGCGGGATCGCGGCAAAAACTCCCGACCAAACCAGTCTCAGAAAGTTTCCAGCACTAGCGACGGGATCGACAGTATCCCGGCGGGAATTATCCTGCAAAGAGACCCATTCAATGCAATGTTATGTAGTAAGCCTATTAATTCTCCGATGAACATCTCAACTACAACCACTGGTGAGGCACTGGTGAAGATGGTCGTCCTGCCATCTTGCCGCGTTGCCGTCCTCATCCAAACACAACTGAACACCGCCTCAACCTTTGTCCTGGACCTGGCAGTCTCGTCTATCTTAAGCCAAATCTGACTTTGGACATGTGACGGCCTCCAACCATGTTGCGTCCGAGCATGCAATGCAAGACATGAGGCTCAGGGCACGGCACTCCCAACCCCCGACAAGTATCGCCTCACCCGATCTTTCCTCCTCACATCATTCCCGTTCCGTGCGGGGGATTCCCACTTTCCGTCCGCCCTACGCGTCCAGCTTAAACCAAACGAGCCTCCTCTCCTCGTGTTTCCTGAGCCTCAAAAGCCGAGAGCTTTGCCCCTGACCCCGCCGTTCCACCCCCACGCGAAGCCGTGGTTGCGATTCGTCGCCCACATGAAACTGCAACACCAGAACACTCCCAACCAGGTAAGCCTCGAAGCGTTCGCCAGACCGTGATGTTTCGGATGAAAATGCTTGCGTTGCCAAGAGACGTCAGTCGACGCCTGCCATTCGATATCCGCTGAGTCGGCTCTCGCGGCACCAGTGCGGCAAACCCGCGTGGTAAACTTTGCCAGAACTCTCCCACCCCATCCGTCCCGATGCGTCTATCTGGCCTGCCCAGACATTGAAATACCCATGCCTCCTCAATAACCATCTTCATTCTTCGTGCGAACTCCTACTCTGCAGTGTCCAAACTCCGTGTGTGCCGGTCCACTCGATAATCTTCAAATCTTAACTTCCAGAGCTGTGCTCACATCGTTCAATCTACTATCCTTAATCCTTACAATCACTCACAACCGCCAATATGCGTTTCACCGTCGCCCTCACTACCCTGGCCGCCGCCGCCATCGCTGCGCCCCTCGACTCTCTCGTTGCCCGCCAGGACGACGTCAACGCTATCCTCAACGCCCTCGCTGCCGAGAACCCCGAGGATGCTGAGACCGCAAGGAAGGGTCTGAAGGCTCGTGAGCTCCAGCTCACCAACGATGACGAGCAGGAGGAGATCTTCAAGCGCGAGCTTCAGCTCACCCAGGACGCCGAGGAGGAAGAGATCTTCAAGCGCCAGGATGATGTCAACTCCATCCTCAACGCTCTCGCCGCTGAGAACCCTGAGGACGCCGAGACCGCCAGGAAGGGCTTGAAAGCTCGTGAGCTCCAGCTCACCAACGATGACGAGCAAGAGGAAATCTTCAAGCGTGAGCTTCAGCTCACCAACGACGATGAGCAGGAAGAAATTTTCAAGCGCGACGTTCAACTCACGAATGATGATGAGCAGGAGGAGATCTTCAAGCGTGACGTCCAACTCACGAATGATGATGAGCAGGAGGAGATCTTCAAGCGTGACGTTCAGCTTACCAACGACGACGAGCAGGAGGAGATTTTCAAGCGCGATGTTCAGCTTACGAACGATGATGAGCAGGAGGAGATCTTCAAGCGTGATGTTCAGCTCACCAACGACGTAGAGGAGGAGGAGATCTTCTAAATACTTGACTTGGCGAGAAGTCCTGCACTAGAATGTAGCTTCGCAGTGTGATAGTTTGCATACGCGGTGGAGTCTGTGCCTTTATTCGTAACTATCAGATACGTTAGGATCTGGCAACACGTACTAATTGAGGACCTCAACACTATGTAACGAAGCATGCCACGCTGTGTTATGCCATGAGGATGCGTCAAGTCGTCTAAGTCAAACTACTCCGGGAGTGTGACTGACAATGTCGGGTGGCATCGAATACAAGCTGCAGCTACTATCGCAGCCTTCAATGTTACTGAAGAGTTGGAAAAATACATTGAGATTGGGTATCAGTCCATTTACCAACCGGTGCATGTTCTTGTCACACGTAAATACAAATATGCATCATCAATCGCTACATCAAGTAGTGTTCGTCATTATAAACAGCATGTTCACCACGTCTCGGCGGAGCGACGCGTGAGCCGTACCCAAAAGTCTCGAGCGACGAAGAAGATCGCACTGAGAGTCTTGATGGGCTTCTCGGGGTTCATGACAGTGAAGTCATATCTCCGTAGCAGCTAAAGTCACGTAAGCCGCCGTTGATAAAAGCCCACGAATTGGAAACATACCTCGACGAAAACCTTGTTCAGCTCCATCATGGCAATGGACTTTCCCAAGCATGAGTACTTGCCATGGCCGAAGTGTGTATCAACGGCTGCGTTCATTTGCTTCAGCTCCTCTGCACTCGCCGAAAGCCATCGCTCAGGGCGGAAAACATCGGCGTCAGGGCCCCAAACCCACTGTGACCGACCGACGCCGAAGAAGTTCTGCCCGACTTGTGTGCCTGCGGGAACGTAGTAGCCGTTGAGCACGTCGCCGCCTTCAGGTACCTGCTTGAACCCTAGTCCTGTTACTGGGGGATAAAATCGCAGGCCCTCGCGAATGACGGCTTGGAGGTACGGAAGCTTAAGAGCTTCGGAGTTGGTGATGGGAGAGCTGATTGAGCCCGCCGCTATGGCGCCGTCGATTTCCCGCTGAAGTCTGCGGTAGGCGACGGGATTGTTTATCAAGGATAGTAAAGTCATGCGCATCGCTTGTGCGGCAGAATTGGTGCCAGCAATCCTTTCGAGATGTTAGCTAGGATGCCCTGGGTGTCTTTTTGGTTTTGCATTACATATGGATGTAAACGATCTGGATGAGCTCGTTCAGATCGAGGCCCTGATTGATGAAGGCCTGCATCATATCCTTCTGGGGCTTCGCTCCAGGCTGTAGTCTCATTTCGGCATAGTTCCTAGCGAAACTGCAGCATGTCAGTCAGCGTACATGAGCATGAAGAGTGTGCGACTCACCCCATCAAACGCCCAAACCCGATTTGATCATTCTCTGTAGGCAACATCAAACGGAATGGCCACTTGTGAACAAGTCGACCTAGCCATGGAAGCACCGAGACGACGTTCATGATGGGTAGTGACGACTCGTTGATCTCGATGTACCGAAACAGATCCCTGTCCTCTGCAAGGAACCCGAACGCGCCGCCAAAAGAAATGTCCCCAATAGCGTCTAACGCAAAGTACTGCGTCTTCTCAGCGAGATCTAGCGGTCGGAACTCGGCATCGGTAGAGACATAATGCTGGTCAATCAATTGTACGAAATTCATGAGCTGACGGTCGATGCCCGTCTCGAAGCCAAAACCCTCGTTTTCCTTTGCAGCATACTATCGATCTTGAGAGTTAGCTACTGACATAACTAGCAGTAGGGTGCAGCGCCCCCGCTTCGCTTCGCTGTAGCATGTTTGAGAGACATCGATAGAAGAGAATGACTTACGGCCGGTGCCATGCGCGCCCTCATGGCCTTATGTTCCTCTTCATCCCGCATCGAGACGACATTGTCAACGCCGGGGGTGATGCGGCCGGAATCGTAGAAATCGCCTTTGGTATACGGCGAGCGGACGGCCGACATCTTGCGCAGTGAGTCGGGGTCAGTGCATAACAGCTCGTTTGGGCCGATGCGCGCTAGGGGTCCTGTGATGGTGTTGATCAGCGTCTGTTGTCGGCATGGTCTTGTTGCTTGTGTACGTTCCAACCCATTGAATCCGAGGTCCTATCCTTCGCAAAAGATGTCCATGAAAGGGAAATCAAGACATAATGCTTACCATATTTCCTAGCAACATCATTCAAGTGCTCGTGATAAGTCCCTCCAACTGCCTTCTTCAACTGCCACAAAACCGAAACCGATGCCAGGAAAGGGCCGGGGATCTTTCTCAGCCGATACCATGATCGGAACTCCCACACCAAGAATGCGGCGAATATTGGCAGTCCAATCAACTTGATCAGTAACCCCGAGGAGTCGGGAAACCACGCGCAGCTGACAGTGGACAGGATGCCGGTCATCTTTTCTTGCTATCCTCCCGATTTCAATCTACCCGTCCTGGTCGTCTCGCCCGTAAGACTCGCTGTGCCGCTTGCTGGCGGGCTTGGCTCGCAGCCGTGGCACGTCGCACAGGGTTCAGCGACACGGGGGAGGCAAGAAGCAAGCGTTTCTGTTGGTGCTGTCAAAAACGCATGTCGCTCGTTCGATCCGCCCCCGATGTTCTCGCTTCGACTCGCCCCGTTCCGCTCCCGTTCTCAATTACCGTCCGGCTGGGTTTTGATGTCTCGAAGGCCAATGATGCCGGTCGTAAGTTTGCGTCTCTCGGTGCTGTGTCTCTTTCGATATTATCGGGCTGTTGTTTCGTCGCGGCGTTGTCCCCCGGTTCTATTTTGTCATTTTTCGTTCTTTCGCTGACCCGACAGGTTGGTAACGAAACGGGGAATGTGAGGCACAGTAGGGCAGCGGTGAAGAATGGTCCCAGTCCCAGAGCCTCGGGATCAGAAAGCAAACACAAGAAATTGGCCCGTGAGCGAGCTGAAAATGGCAGCATCAAGGGACAACCGCTCATGGAAGGCTTTGGGGACGAGCTTCATTTATGACCGCGCATGCAAGATTAACTGTACTCTTAAGACGCAGAATCGTGGCTGAGCCGGGGACAAGCCTGGTCCGGCTGGGGATGCCGCTAGGTAACGCTAGGTGAAGGACGTGGTTGTGTGGATGACAGGATGTAGTGCTGGCTAAGGGTCTTCTACCACCTCGGCCTGGTGACTGACTACTGCGTCTAACGCACGCAAGTAAGCTAACATCCTGGAGGTTTAGGTGGTGGTCGGCCGAAGGCAGCTCATGGTTAGGGGAAGGATGAGACGGGACGGCCTGGACCGGTCTGATCCAAGGATGGCTTTACAGAAGGATGTATTTGGATCAAGCACTGAAAACATGACTTCTGGCCAGTCATTCCCATCACGTTCTTTGTTCAAGATGATGACTTTCCTGCTGCCCACACCAATCATCTGGAACAGAACAGCCAAGTGAGAGAAAGCTAGCCCCAAGTAATCACACAGCCACCAGTCCTTCGTATGCACGTTGACAATGCAAGCCATCGGAAGAGCTCCCATCTACGGCGCCACTTTTCGCTCACCGGCCGTCCCATCTCGTCCCAAAATGTGAACTGGATTTCCCAAAGTGCTTCCTCGGGTCTCACCTTCGGGTCCCCCCTCTTCTAGTCACAGAATTACCATGCTTTCTGCAGACCCAAAGGTCGCAGCGACTCGACTAGTTCATCCCGACCCTAGGCTTGTTCCATGCACTGGTGCATTGACGAGTGCGCTAACGAGTGCGCCGGCGCGCGTCCCATGTCTGCCACCCTCGACTCTCCAATCACGGCGGTTCGGCCAGCGGATTCAGGTGACGGCCGGTCTTTCAGATGCCACCGTGTGTCCCGCTTTGTCACCGAATGCACGGCGTTGCGCCGTGGGTTGTGGGACCTATCTCATTGGAAATCAGGAACGCAATTATTTACAGTTTGTCCAGTACAATCTCGTGTGGGCTCGATGTTCGACAAATGCAGACTTCAGACTGGCTTCTTGATGTTCGCATTACTGATGATGCCGCACTTCCACATGGTCGATAGAGAGATTACAATTGCTAAAGACAATCTTTAGCCTGCAGGAGTTAGCCTAGACAAGGTGAGAATTACGAGAAGCACAACCCTAGTCTGAGATTTAGCATTAGCCATCTCAGGGCTAAAAATGAAGGCATCATCGTCGACCAGACGACGACATATTATCAAAAGCTTCACAGCAGCAAAAGATTGGACGAACAGGGAATCGAACCCTGGACCACTCACATGCTAAGCGAGTATTATACCACTAAACCATTCGCCCATTGGGATGATTTCGCCCGGACTTGAACCGGAGACCTTCAGTGAGCCAGGCGAGGATCCAGAGGACCTCAACCTGTTAGACTGACGTGATAACCAACTACACCACGAAACCATGTTATTTGATGACTTATCTGGAGCGGAAACAGCATTTGGAGATTGCGTGTGGTGGATGGAGGGCATCGTGAAGCGAGGGGCGGAGTGGGACGCTGGGTGGACAGTGATGGATCCGGAAACCATCCCGAAGTTGTGGGACTGGGAAATTCTAGACGGGCCCATCTATCCGTAGCAGCGGGTTGCAACCCTGAAACGACACAGAGACCAAGGAGACTAGAAGAGTTCAGAGGCATCGTGTAAATGAATTGAAAACTTTTGGCAGTAATCATCCTCCCCTATGTACTAAGCAGTCGTAACACATTGTTCATCAAATAACCGGTCTAGTTCCCACGCCATGTAGCCTCGATGATGACAAAGAAGGACAACGGGATCGCCTCCAACCGAGTAACCTCAAACCTCTCATCTGCCCTCTTGAACATACCCTTCCATGCGTCAACGTGTCTCTCCTTGGTACCAAAGAGTCCCATCATTCTCAAATCTGTGGAGGTGCCCATCTGTTGAATCGATCTAGGCATCGACGCAGCGACAGCAGCGCTCTCCTCAACGGTGCCCTGCTTGCCGACATAGTCGATGAGAAGGACCTTGGAGCCCGGGCGCAATGCCGGCGTAAGACCCTGGATGATCTTGATGGACTCGGCATCGGGCCAGTCGTGGAGGATCAGCTTGATCATGTACACGTCCGCTTGGAGGGTTTGGGGCTCGAAGAAGCTATGGGGCTGGAAGCTCACACGGCCCTTCAGCTCCTCCGGGATGTTCTTGTCGAAAGAAGACTGGCACTCTGGCAGATCCTGGACCGTAATCTTGAGGTTGGGGAAAGTCTTGGCCAGAACGAAACTGTCGTGACCTCCGGAACCGCCGAGCTAGTGCTGTGTTAGTTGATGCGGTAAGGTGAAGGTTCAGAGAGGCGGCTTACATCAACCACACTGAGGTCGCCAGCGTTACCCCAGTCGTACGCGCCCCTGACCATGCCCTCAAGCTGGAAGATCTCTTTGATGTAGTTCATCCACTTGACGAATGTCCTCATGCGGTATCCCTTCTTTTCGCCCTCGCCGTCCTCCTCCATCATCTCCCAGGAGGTCTTGTAGCCCTTGGAGAACTCGCCTCTCTGCCACATGCCAAAGGCAGTCTCGCTCATATCTTCCTTGAGCTCTTTCTTACCGCGCTGGTACTTGTCCAGCGCGTAAGGAAGGAACACCATCGGCGGGCCCGCATCGTTCATGATGTTGAAGACGAGTCCGTGGAGACCCTCATTTTGGGCAACAGCCGCGGACCGCGAAGTGTGTCTCACCCGAGTGGTGAGAGGCTTGCCTGGTTCCGTCTCCTCAAAGATTCGGAGGGTATAGGCATGCTCCAGAAGGCGGTGGACAACCTCCTCGGGCAGATCAACATGCTTGGCAATATCGGCGTATGACGCGTCGCCGTTGAGGGGGACGGCCGACCAAAAGTCGAAGTAGTTAATGGCGTTGAGTGCTGCGCCGTCGGGGCCATACTGTTAAATAATATGTTATTCATGTTGTTCCAGACTTCAGGAATTCTCTCTCAAAGGTGGTGTGACTTACGTTATGGGCAAAGTTGAAAACACTCTCACTAGGACCCTCGACCAGATACGACAAGTCCTTTAGAGTATCAATCAACCTCTGTCGAAGCAAGAAAGCCTCTGACGTCAGACCACTGTAGCTTCGCACACTATCCGCGGCAAGAGTAGGCTCGGGGATCTTGTTGTCGCCCAGGAACTTGGTGAAGTCGGCTGAGAGCTGGCCAATCTGGGCTGCGAGCTCGTTGATAGTAGGCTGTGGTGACGCCATTTTGGGAAAAAGAAGAACAGGAGGGGTATCTGGAAAAGCAGAGAAATCGAGATGGAACGGGAGATAGATCGTTAGTCCACGGCACTTGAACACAGCCGGGGGATCCGTCCCTTATTTACCCGTCTGTCATCTGTCATGATTTGGGCAAGGCGACCTGGCCAAGACGGCCTGCGCCTCTTGTCTACATAGTCTGTACCTGCCCGTAAGGGTTCGCCGCTGTCGGACTGAATCACGCCTTTACCCCTCCAGCTCGTTAGGTAATTCCTCCGAGTCTACATGCGGTGATCGAGTCTCAGGTGCCGGCACGTTGTCTTGTGTGACGGGGAATACCACGCATCCTGCAGATCAGATAAGATTATCTTATCCATCTTGAAGACATCTTCACTGAGCTACCCCTCCTCGCCAAGCCTCTAAGTCATTGAGTTGAAGAAAAAGTACCGTCTGACCTTGATGCCATACGAGACACCGAAGTCATCGTATTGGCGGGCCGGCAGGCATCCCGCCGGCTAGCTCCATTTCGGCCCCGTTGGCCCCGTACTGTCTGTATTAGACTCTATGGGGTCGGTGGCCGAGGACCGATGGTCAATGTTACGTTGGCAATGAACCAGTCGCCTGTTCCGGTTTAGCGAAGAGTAAAGGTGGTCCATAGTAACCTTCCCGTAAGACTGGCTGTTCTTGCAACCTGTTGATAGCTTGCGATAGGCTAGGGTGCGTCATTTTCTCCAACGTACTCTATGCAGGTGGCCACTAAAGGATGTAAGATGATGTAGGTATCAGGCGCCGAGTCCCTCTGGATTCGCTGAATTTCGGTAGATTCCGCGCGCTGTGCGTCTAGCTGGAGGCGGGACAGAAGCTGCCGGCTACCGCCCCAGTCCGACTTTGACGTGAGTCGTATGAATGGCACATCTCGAATTTAAACTTAATCATCAATCTTAACCAGATTGTTGGGTGTTCGTTCGGAATGTGGGAGGTCGATTACCCCAGACAGCCGAATTCCGAACTTAGCAGCCATGCGTCTTCTTTCGTGGTGTAAAGTGGTTGGCTCATTATGAAGTGAAGGAATCGGGAACCACAAAAGAAGTGAAGGGTTCTTTGTCGCATGAGAATCCCGTAAAGCAACGCCAGATCGGAATGGTGGTCAGCGCTGTCAGTCACCATGAAACAGCAAACTTCGGGTGCTCCTCAACCCAATGCTCCACAAATCTTTTCTTGGCTTATTCGTGTGGATGGGAAATCTTGATGTCGGCGGTAAAGTATCCCAGAGAGTGAAAGAGCGAGAGATATATTCGTTCGTTGGGGCCATTCCCCGCTCAACGTTGCTCCGCCCGTCGCACTCTGACAGAAATCTGTCCATCATCGTTCCAGCAATCCTTTCGACAAGAACTGGGCGGACTACGGGGGAAGACAGTTGTCCGCCAAATGCCCGAGAGAAAGCGTAACCGCAGCTGCCAACCCACCAACTTTCATCCGTCCTAATCCCCCGGCAGCTTTGTTGACGGCGGAGCTCCACCTGAAGAACTCCACGACAGGTTCTAGGCGAAAATCTATCGGCGTCACTTTCTACAAGGCAAGTTCTCATCGTGAAAACATGGGGCTGGAAACCGTGTTTGTACCAAACCCACCTCAGGCCCCATTAAAATGTAACGACACCACATGGCCTGACCCTAAATCCGGATAGCATGCGGATAGCAACGGCCAAAAGCTGGGGCTAGAGGTTTACATGCTATCTATCCTATCAGGTATTGCGGCAGCCAAGTTATTCAGACACGGTAATCCATCAGAATGGAACATGATTGCTCGCTTCAACGCTCGGAGTGCCCACCTGTCATCGAACATAGCTGGGTCCTTTTGTTATTGCGACATACAAGTTAATTAAATAATACTGTCACGCACACCCGCCAAGTACAAGCTGTCTGAACTAGGTCAGTGTACTTGCCGCCACAGCCCGCGATCACCTCATTCGGCAGCATCATGTACCTCCGTTACGACTGCGCAGTTGAACCCCTCGTTTGGTAAGAGTCAGCAACGCACAATACGAGGCTTATGCATTTCACGTAGCAACTGACTGTATTCGTATTTACGATGGAGTGGGGCATTTGTCAAGAACAAAAATGCCATGACAACGTATATGTACGCAGTCAACTTATTTGAATTTTCTTGTTCGTAATCTTCCTTCGTTGCCTTTTGCGGTCGTCAACTTACGAACGACGCCCAAGGAAGATCCTGCGCCTCGAATTGGAGGACAGGCAGCCCACGTCACATAACCGTCGCTCACATCCGGTGATGCGGCATGTCTACTCGTGCCAAGTGGGCAGACATTCCGGGTTGGCAGCCTTTGCCGCTGCCCATCAACGGCTCCGACACTGAATGTCACCGGCCAACGATGCGAGCGGATCAAGATTGCCGAGCGCTAACCGCGTGGTTAGCATCGAAGCCCACTGCGACAGCACCGCGTCGGCCCGCACCTCTTCCATGATCGCCCATTTTCGGTATCGCATTTTCGATATATCAAAAAGATGGTGTCGCCGCCATCCGTCTGGTTCTTGCTAATTCTATACTCCCAGTTTCTGTCATCTCGGACTGGAGATGGCTGCTGAGTGCCAGGTATCGCGGTATCTAGGCCATCCCAGCTTCGGTCAGACAACAATCTGGATAATTTGCCATCTCAATGTTCTGAAACACCCCACGAAACCATGCGAGCTCCAACACGCAGTCTCGCACTCTAATACGAATACCATCCCCCCAATCAGGTGCCCGTGCAGCGAAGCTTTGTGTGCCAGATCCGTCATCTGTGCTGTCGTGGTGATTTGTGTTTGCGTCGTGTCGTTCGCCTCGTATTCTTCTTGAAGGTGATTTTTAAATCTATCGCAAGTCCACCTGCGTTGTCGCGAAAACACCACCTCCGATAGGACTTATATCGCAGCACGTATATCGGCACCTCGACGGTTACATCTGGTCTGGAAACCAGACCTTCATTCATGCTAGCTACTTCTTTCGACTTCTCTCCAGCCGACGACATACTCGAAGCCTCGACATGGCGATCGGTAGCACGGGCAAGGCCCTCATCGGGATAGGAGCGCTTCTAGTAGTTCTCAACACCGTTTTCGTTGGCCTGCGACTCTACACCCGAGTAGCCATCGCAAGGACCTTCAAGCCCAACGATGGGTTGCTATTAACCGCATGGGTGTGTACTCCAATTGTCTTTGCGCAAAGCTGATCTAACCTCGAGCCCGTTCGCAGGCCGCGTTTGGAGCGCTCTACGGTCTAGCGATTATGGGAGTCTTGGGTGGCATCGGTGGATCACTTGCGGACGCTTTCAGCAATGGCACAAGTGGAATCACTCAAGCGCTCAAGGCGCTGTTCTTCCTGGAAATCATCTATGTCGTCCTCACATCCGCCATGAAGGGCAGCATTGCGATGACGTTCATCCATCTGTCGCGCTCAAAGGTTCTCAACATTCTCTTCTGGACTTCAATCGGCATGGACGTAGCCATCAGTCTTGCCTTCATCATTTACCTGCTTGTCCAATGCAAGCCGATTGACAAGGCGTGGAACTTGCTGGACCCTTCCGTAAAGGGAGAGTGCTTGCCGCTTGTCGGACAGCTGTACATGGGCTACGCATTGTCCATTGTCACAGCAATCTTGGACATCCTCCTCATGGTGTCTCCGTTCATCATGATGAGAGGACGAGGTCTGAACTCGAGACTGAAGATGTACATTTACGGCATCTTTGGTTTGGGAATCCTGTAAGTTCTCCCCAACGGTTATGCTCTTGCGCCTGCTAATACAACGTTCAGCGCGACTATCGCGAACGTCATCCGCTTGATCGCACTTATCAAATTGAAGGGCTCCGATGACCAGCTTCGTATGTGCCTTCCCCCCCACCAGTCCTCCGAATGAAACTAATGAGCATCACAGTCGACGCGGCGCCTGTATTCACCTGGTCTGCTATCGAAGTCAGCATCGGTATCATCATTGCCGGATTGATCGAGCTCGGCCCGCTTGCCGCCAAGTACGGAGTCAAGGGATTCGAATCATTTGCTCCATCAAAGCCTATCAGTGACGACTATGAAATGTCCACTGGGAAATTGTAAATGCGAAGAGACAATCCGGTCGACCGGCAGTAATTGGAGATGCAGCAACGAGTGGGCAACAAAAGGAACCGCCCCGGGTGATGTTCTCTGGAAGGACACCCTACGATGATCACAGTCGCGAAAACACAGGCGCGAGAAAGTCGATCTCCTATTGAGCATGCATTTTTAGCAATACCACATAGTTGCACCAGTTTGTAGATAGTCATTTGTTGGCTGAGTGCAAGAACGTCATTGATCATCATTGAGAATACCTACTTATACGTGTCCTCACGAATGGGCTCAAGATATCATGGGATTGTCATTAACAAGATGAACTATGTATGAAAGCAATGCGTCATCATCATTTCCGATCAAGTCCACTTAATAGCATTGTAAGAGCAAATAGTCGCGGTAGTATCGATATTCACGGTAAACATCTACGGCTGGCTTCGCCCGTTGTTTCCATCCGCCAAGTTTTCAGTGCTCCGACCTGCCTTCACCTCCTCTCTCCACGTCAACCGCTCCGTCTTGGTCACACCAGGGCCCTGGTAAACGCTGCCGTAAAGCCCAGAAGCCCAGCCAGCACCGTCCTTTGCCTTCTGACTCTCGCTGTTCTTGAACTTCCTTCTATACCACTTGCCATACGAGAGAAGGTAGTACAGTCTGAAACAAAGCAATGCGAACTTGTCATGCTCAAGGTCCTCCGGATAGTCAGCACCCATGTCCACAGCGGCAGCAATGCCAGACATGATGGCGATCTCGTGAGCATTGACCAACGTCCATGAACCTGCAAAGCGAATACGCCTCTTGGCCTGGAGGAACATGATCCAGGGCACGACGAAAGCGTAATGGGTCCATGAGTGGCAGAGCTGGTGCCACCAATCGCTGCGGATGATCTTGTCCTTGTTGATCTGGTCGTCGGTCCAGTGCTTCCGGTCGCGATTCTTGTTCAGGTAGATCGTCTGGAAAACGTGTTGCTCAAAAGGAACCTTTTCGGGGAACTGAGACTGGTAGTTGGTGGTGTCGAAACACATCTCCAGCTTGGAGAGGTCGTCGTCGTACATGCGGATGTAGTACATGGGCCTGAAGTTGTCCTTTGCGTACTCCAGGCGCGAAGATTGGTCGACCTCGCGCTTGTTTCCGAGAGCCTTGACCGCCTTGGACTCATCGTAGAAGTTTTCATAGTACTTCTTCATGTAATCGGCATCGTTGTGGGTGATGGTGATGTCGTCGGAGAACGTCGCGGCTCCCAAGACCTTGCGTTCGCGCCAGGATGACGTCTTGCCCAGGATCTTCTTCGCAGTGTCAGCAAGGACACACATTACGATGTCGTCGTAGTGCTCCTCGGACTCGGGTGCATCTGGATCGCCTCCATTCGGGTTGTGGCCATCTTTGACTGGAGTGCGAGGCTTCGTCTTAACCAGCACCCCGCGCTTGTTTCGGTGTACGATCTCGGTGAGTTCGGTTGACAGGCGAACAGTGATTCCACGGCTTTCGAGATCCTTCTTCCAGGTCTGGTAAAAGTCGCTGAAGTTCGGGAAGACAACCATGGGAGGGAGGTTCGAGGCGACGCTGTGCTTGTCGGGAGGGTACCACATGCCGTAGGTTGGCGAAGTGCAGAGTCGTTCTAACATGATGGCAGGCACCTCCGGCGTAGCATTGCCCGTTCCAAGAAACAAGGCCGTCATTGGTAGACCGATAACATTTGTGAACTCGTCGGAGAAGCGGAAGAGCTTGAAGAGGATCTTCAGCGGCATCAAGGCGAAGAAGACCTCGAACCAGCGCATAAACTTGAGCATGAAGGCGAGCCTCTGGACTTCTTTCTGGTGCTTAACCATGAACTCGGTGGGAAAAACGTTCGACCAAAACTTCTCGTCCTTGCCGAAGGAAACCTGGAGCTTCACCGGGTCCGCGTGATAGCCCTGTCGGGCGAACATGGTCAGCGTGTGGTGGAAGATGTAGCTTCCACCCTGGACTCCTTGATTGAACCAGCTCGCGCCATGTCGCTCCTTGTCGAGAGGGATCGAGAAAGCCTGTCCGCCGCAATAGTCGACCGAGTCGATCAGGGTTACGTCGAACTTGTCGGGGTGGTTCGAAAGATGGTATGCCGTCGACATGCTGCACGCTGTGAGCATTCATCCGATCTCGCTCTCGCGCTCACGGTCACCTACCCAGCTGCGCCAGCGCCAACAACAAGGACCCTCTTGCGCCCATCTTTGCCGGTGTTTCCGTTCTGCGCCATGTTTTCGGAGCTGTTCTGCTCAAGATCGCGGTCGAATGTTTGGGTTGCCATGAAAATGAGGAGAGGAAAGGCTGTGCTCCCTTGCTTTGAATAGCTCCCTCTTCTGCAGCATGGATGCCCCCCGGAATGCTGGAAGCTCAAATATGGGCTGAGACCCGTGTCACTTCGCGTGTCTATGACGCTGTGACATTGAGTTTTGATGAGGTCATCCCCCGCCCACCCTCTTTGTCCTCTAATTTAGCTGATGGCCGCCTACAGATTAGCGATTGCGCCGGGAGATCACCCCTCGATGATCGGAACTAGTGGGGGTTTTTCGTCTTAGTGGGGGAACTAACGAGCGCGTCTCTGCCACGCGACGCTCGTGACGACCACATTCTCTTTCGATGTGGCTGCTTTGCACCGATGAATGACTTCAAATGTGTTTATCAACTCAATTGGATCTTGATTGTTACTATCTATCTCCACAGCCGAACAAGGGTCAGCAGATCCGGCCCAAATTCGCTCTTCAGCATTTGTTATCGCAAGTAATGCCGATGACAAGATCACAACTTGGAAGCCTTCTCGAAGCTGACAATTTGACGATTGTCCGTCTTTATATTCCACCAAGGCCAGAATGGCATGCTCTCACGACTGACCGTATCCGTAAACGTGGGCTTCCTCTTCTCCAAAAAGCTCTTCACCCCCTCAATGTTGTCGTTCGTCCCAGCCATCTGGACGAATATTCTGGAATCCAAGATGTGCGCCTCCTCGGGTGTTGGAGGACAGTAGACCATCATATCATGCATCATCTTCGTACTAACCAAGGACGTGTTCTCCGCAATGTCCTCCGCCAACTTGAGTGCGTACTCGACTGTATGTTGAGGCGTGGAAAGCAACTTTGAGAATAGTCCATTGACGAGTGGATCGGTGACTGGATACACATCTCCAGTGGTCGTGACGTGGCTCGCCTTAGACAGTCCGATGAGCTTGGGCAGGAAGAAGGCGCTGCACGACTCGAGGACCAAGCCACGGCGAGCAAAAGGAAAGCCGACTTTGGCACCCTCCCAAGCAACCCGGATGGCGGCAGGAAGAGACATGGTGAGGCCTACACCCACGGCCGACCCATTGAAAGCCACGATCGTGGGCTTCTTGCAGTTTGAGATGGCCAGTGCGAGTCGGCCGCCCCTGATGTAAGTCATCAACGAACCGCGTTTCGTAGCTGATATCTGACAAGATGCTTACCAGTCTCTAAACTCGTTCATGGAGTCCTCGGTCTCCTTCAAAGCGACCATACCCATGAACCCTACATCAAGATCTGCTCCAGCAGAGAAGGCTTTACCTTCGCCTGTCAGGACTACCGCACGTACTCTGTCATCCTCGCTGACCATGTTGAAGAAGGACTCGAGGCTGAGAAACATGTCCAGTGTCATAGCATTGTACTTCTCGGGACGGTTGAGCGTCACCACGACCACCTTCGTTGCCGTTGGTGAGTTGGCTGGAACATGAGAGAATGATATGTTGTCATGATTGATAGAAGTGTACGAAGTAGGGGGCTGACTAGCTTTGATGTTCATGTTGATGATAATTTGCTCACAGAATACAAGTTGCAGAGGAAAAGAGAGATGCTAAGAATAAAGCAAAATATGAATGGCATTCCGACCTCGAGCTGTTTCTTGATGTTATGCCTGCTGTAGCTGACCTCGGTACCACCGGAATCGGGGTTGAATAATAATCAGTCTACGCAACCAGTGTCGTAGCATGCCGGCGGGACTGAAGACCAACTACCCCGCATCTTGGACTGCATATCAACGTTCGTTTTACGCAGAAGGACCTGCCAAACGATGAATCGTGTTTATTCCCGGGATTGTTGGTAGCATAAATTGCCGACTTCCTGTAGTCGAATTCTGTGAATAGTAAACACGCCAGCCCTCATGCCTCGGTCTTCGTCCATCTGGTTGTTAAGAAAGCTACGTATATACCTTAGGGGCGTCTTAAACCACACCCACCCTCCACACCCCCTAAGCTACAGATTAGGGCTAGGATAGTACTAGAGGCTAGTAACTAGAGAGTAATAAATCTTTTAGTAGCTAGCTTACTTAATAATTACTTCTATATAGTAAAAGCCTTTAAAACTACTTTTTTAGATTTAGTTAATTAGAAACTAAGGATTAAAATTATATAACTTTTATAATTTAGACTTTTATTGTAGTAATTAATATAACTTAATAAGGGCTCTTTTTTATAATTTTAATTGAAAAGGTTAATAAGAGAAAGAAAAACTATTAATTTAAGCTTTTTAAAAGCTTTAAAGAATTTAATTTAATAACTGAATAATATTAATATTACTATTAACTACCTTTATTATTATTAATATTTATTACTATATAACTCTATATAACTTATTTCTATATTATAGTATTATAAGATATTGATTTTCTTAGTAATTCTATTTAATATTAGTAGTTTATATATTAATAGTTTTAACTTTAACTAACTATAGGTCCTTTATTACTATTAAGTAGAATATTTACTTCTTCTTTAATCTTATATTAATCTTTAAGTAATAAGCTATTATATTATTAATAAACTTATAAACCGTTTACATTAAGTTTATAAAAATTAAAACTATAAGTTTTAAAATATTATAAACTATACTTTATAATCAAAATACTTATTAAAGCTATTAGTATAATTAATATTAATAGTAATAATAATAAAGTTTTAATTATTAGAGTAACTATAAACCTAAATTTAATAAGTTTTATAAAAATAGTAATAGTTTAAGTAGTAGCTTAAGTAATAGCTAAGCTAATAATATCTTAATACTTAATATACTTACTTACTTCTATTATAATAAGGATTTAATAAATATTATTAGCTTTATAGCTTTTTGTATAATTAGGGATATTATAAAAATAGCTTTTACTTTTTATAATATTAAGTTCTAATAGAAGTAAGTTATTAATAAAGGTCTCTATTTCTAAGTTAAAGTAATACTATGTTTATTAGTAGTAATAGATCTAAGTAATCTTAAAGAGGTTTTTACTTTATATATAGTAGTAGAGAAAGTATTAATAGAGTAATCTATAGGTTTTTTAGATTAAATAAAATAAATAAGATAAAGAGTTAGCTAGTAGAAGCTATAATAAGCTATTTAATTAGTTATTATACTGAATTATATTATTTTAAAGCTACTTTTTTATAAAATTAAGTACTTCTAATAATATAAGAGATTTAATATAGCTAGAAAGTATAGTTTTAAGTTTAGTAAAGTTAAGTAAGTAGTTAATATTTTAAGACTATTTTAAAGTAATCCTAACGTTCTAATTAGTTTAAGCTTATTTGAAATTTAAGAAGATTTTATTAAAAGTAAAATTACTTATAAATAGTTATAACTTCATAACTCTATTTTAGCTCTCTATAATAGTAGATATTACATAGCTAAAGTAAAATACCTAATTAGTTTAATAAGTAATAATATTTTAATACTATAGTTTAATTTATATATTAATAATATATATAAATAATTTACAAAGCTAGTAACTATTTTTGAATTAAGCTAACTTCTTAATATATTAAATAGTAGTTAATAAAGTATAAAGTTCTTTTTAAGTATTAATAAAAACTAAATAATAATTATTAACTTTATAGTAGTAATAATTAATTTTAATTAGCTTTGGAAAGTATAACTAGCTTAACTTTAAGTTTAATATTCTTAGTAATATACTAGTTATATATATAGAGTAAATATAAAACCTTACTAAAAGTATTAATATTAATATTTTTAATAAAAATAAGTTTATAATTAGTTATAATACTACTAAAGTATAAAAGGTCCTCTTTAATATAAGCTTTTATAAAATAAGCTAAAGTATATTTATAGTTAGAGATCTATTTAGTAAAGAAGAAAGTAATAATATTAAGAGTACTATTATAAGAAGTAATACTTATAATATTAAAGAGGGATAACTATACTAAAGTAGTTAGTTTTATATATATAGTTTATTAATAGTATATTAAAGTAAGAGCAAGATAAAGCTAAATAAGAATAAAGCTAGTTATATAAAAAAGTAAGTAATATTACTTACTAAACTTTATTTATATTAAAAGAAGAACTCTAATATATATAGTTATATAAATAGCTAGTTAATAAAGGTTTCCTACTTAAAGTAGTTATAATAAGTATAAATTAAAGCGTTATTAATATTATATTAAGTTATAATAATCTTAAAAGCATCTTCTCTTTAGTAGAAATAAGCTATAATCTAAAAAAGTAGAAAATTATTATTTTATAATAAGATAACCTTTTTAGATATACTTTATATCTAAAAATAGTAGCTAGAAGTAAAGCTAATAGTATTAATCTATAAGTAGTTATATATAGAAGTAATAAGGTTCTTATTTAAGTAAGTAGTATATAACTTATTAAGTACTTTAATAGTAGTAAATTAAAAAAGGTAGTTAGTTAACTATAAAGAGGTTTTATATTAATACTCTTTATAAGTTTTAGCTTTACTAATGAATAAATAAGTTTTATTATAAAAGACGATTACTTTAAAGTAATAATATTTAATATTATTAAGACTATAATACTACTTTGGTTTTAATATATAGCTATTACTTAATATATAAACTTAGAGAGTATTAAAGAGATTATTAAGAGTATAATAATATATTATAATTAGTAAGTAAAAGTGTTAACATATAACATTCTTTTATAATAATAATAATAATAATATAAGAATAGTAATAACGCTTAACTTACTTTAATATTCTATATAAAATAAACTAATAACATTTAAGGTATAAAATCTTAAATAAAAATACTCTATTTATTACAACTTATAACTATAATATTGATTATGTAAGACGTATAGTTACGTAAGCACCTTATGTAATTAGCAGTTTAGTAGGTTACGTTTCAGATTATCTTTGACCTCACTTTTCCCTACTAGAGGATGCAACCTGGAAACAACAACAATAAGAGTAATCACAATGCATCACTTCCTTTATTATTCTCTATACGATTAAATGCCTATAAATGCTTAGGATTATTACATTTCATCATAACATAAGCCCATCTATAACCCTATACCATATAGGCGTATATACCACGCCCCTGAATACGCTTATACCTGTGTTAACATAATCTTATCTTATTACAGAAGTATATATATATATCTAACTATCTTTTAAAACTTTTAAAATCCTTACTAAGTAAGAAAGCTTTTAATATAAAATTAAAAATATATTTAAAATAATAAATCCTTTTAGTTTAAATATTTTATTTCTTCTTTATAAAGAGGTTAAGCTAAAGAATTAAACTTACTATATAAACATTATTTAAGTTTATATTATTAGAGATAAAAGTTCTTATTTAGTCTATAATACTTTAGTTTTAAATAACTTTTTTAAAAGTATGTATAAAGTTAATACTATTATAAGTTTTAAATTACTTCTTTATAGAAATTAAATATACTTATAAACCTTTCTCTTTAGTAATAAAGTATATAGTAATACTTATAATAGCTTAGTAGCTTAGAGAAATCTATAAATCAAGAAATAAATAGATTTTAAACTTAGTTTATAGAAGTTCTTATTATATAACCTCTTTTTAATACTTCTAAATCCTTTTAAATATATAAACTATTAAAATAAGAAATTATATTAATATTTATAGCTTTATATTAATACTAAAAATTATACTTTAAAAAGTAAGATTTTTATAGATATTAAAGAGAAAGTTAATATCTATAATAAAATAAATAGTAGCTTTCTAAATACTCTTTATATAATCTTTTATTATATTAATAAAATCTAAATACTATCTCTTATATAGAACTTTGTTACGTAGTTTAAAACTTTTTAAGTTAATAGATATTACTTTAATCTCTCTAATATAATTCTTTTTGATATACTTTATAGTAGATAAAGTTATTTTAATATTAAAAATAAGATATTTACTTTTAAGATTATAGTAATAATAAGTTTAAAAACTAAGTTTTAGTTGACTTTTTAGTTAGTAAAGAATAAAAAACTAGCTATAGCTTCTTATCTAGCTTATCCTCTCTCTTTTACTTTTTCTCTAAAGTTCTAACTTTTATACATATACTTTATTATTTATTATAACTTTAAAAAGGTCTTTAAATAAAGATTAGTTAAATGGAAAGTAGGTTTTATTTTATTTAAACTATAATAAGATTAATTTATACTTTAAGAGTTAGTTAAAAGTATTTCAAAAAAAAGTTGAAATTCAATAGAAGATTATTAATATAAAAGATATTTATTATAAAATAAGTAAAATAGAAAAAAAAGTAGCTTTAGTAATATTTTTATTTTTATAATATATTTAAAAAATACTAATAGATAATAAGGATAAAGAGTAATAGTAGTAAAATAATAGATTTTATATTAATCTCTAGAAAATCTTAAAAGCTAGCTTTTAACTTCTTTAAAAGACTTAGCTATCACTCCTATTAAGCTTAGAGAATATTATAAATATTTACTAAAATAATTATATTAATTATTATATTAAAGAAGAAAAAGAGAAGTTAAGTAAATAAAAAGGGGTAATTTATACTTTACTAAGGGGGGGTCTATTAGAAATAGAAAGTAGTAGAAAGTAAATAAAGAAAAATAGGGATATTTAGTAGTAGAATATTTATTTAATCTATATTATAATCCTTATCAAAAGAGTTAAAGTAATTAAGTAAGTTTAAAAGTTATAATTAAATTAATTAACTAGCGATAGCTTTAAAATTGATTGATTGATTAATTGAACTTGATAAGTTTACTTGCCTTGAGGTGGGCGCTGATCAAACCACTTATGCCCTAAGACTGCCATCCTCGCACCTCGAGCCTTGATGATACATGGTCTGGTTAACGTCTATCGTGTCCGCTATCACTGAAAAGTAACCATTTGCCCCGCAATCAAAGAATTGAGGAGCAATCCGAATCAGACCAGGGGAGTTGATGTTATGCACTGACATCACGGGAAGGGGCAGACTAGGTTCGGAATAGGCGCCGGGGAAGATTTGGAGGACGAAAGGAATGTGATTTACTGCAGAGCACATGGTCCTATGCTACAGATCTCTCCGCTACATAGTCTATTAGAATGTCGACTCCCAGGCCCCTCTCATCCTCTCCTCTCATTCCCGTGCACCACGAGAATGTCAGCCTTACTCCCACCACGCTACGTTCGTCTCTCTGAATGTGTTGCTTCCACAATGAACCTCACCGAATGTGTGGTGATGCGACATGAAATCGTCCACAAACCCGACCTCCATGCCAGCCTTTGCATATGCCTCGCGCACGGCAACCTCGAAGATGTCTTCTCCCTCAACCAGTGGGCCCCAAGGTTTGGGACTCATGTAATAGTTATCCAACACGACGCCGTTGATAGCCGCTGGGTTGAAGCTGACCAGAAGATATTCATCCTTCATGACTGTTTCTGTGAAGGATGAAATCGAGGTCACGTTGGGAGCCTTGAACAGCGAGGGAATACGGATGACATGGTCTCTGAGGATAGGTATCTCAGCGAGAAGGATTCCAAGATTGGCGTCAATATGCCTCTGCGCGTAAGCGTTGACCTCGTGAAAGGTTTCATTTGCGAGAAGCTCGTCAATCGTCATGGTCAGCTCTTCTTCTGTGATAGAAAAAGCGCCTTCAACAGATCCGTTGAAAGAAATTGCTCGCACGCCACCATGCCCCGCTGCTGAGGTATTTCTGAGCAAGTCGAGGGCGGACGTGGTGTCAGCGATACCTATTGTGAAGCCAAGGCCTGTCTCGTTGGAAGGTAGAAACTGGACGAACTCATCAACGTGACCGATGATTAGCCAGCCGGACTCGAGGAAAAGAGGCTTTAGAAGCTCCTGGCCTTCCAAGAAGGCGATCGTTGCTTCCGCTGGCATCTTGTCGTAATGCTTCCCATGGATGATCCGGCCGGCGGGATATTTTACTCCACTCTTGGACGTGTAGGGTGGGATTGTTTCGAGGTTGCCGTATGCGTTAATTTCTCGGTCACCGTAGCCGCCACGTCCGCCCTCAGGTTGGAAACCGCCAACGCCTTTTCCGCGAAGCTGCTCAAAGACCTGTCGGCCAGCCGTGCGGACTGACTGTGCCGACCTCAGCATGATTCTGAGAGAGATTGGTTGGCCGTTGGGTCCAGGCATGCTAGCATACGCTGGTTCCACGAAGTCCTGTGCCCAAATATCGTCACTCTGATTGAACAAATACAATGGCTCCTGAATCCCTGCTGCCTTCCGCACTTCATCAAGTTGGCCGATAAAACCGAGCTGTACGGGATCGGACTCGTTTGCTGCGGTACTGACAAAGGCGCTGACACGTTGGAGATGGTGGTGTGTAAGAACTGGGGCCACCTTGAGCTCAACGGCGTCGGAAATGACAGTGCCGTTAGTGTGAACATCGAAATGCACCCTCACTTTGCCGTCCCATTTTGTCGAATCCTTCACAAACTCGCGCCCATCGATTCCGAGAGTGATGCCGGCTTGGACATGGCTTGCGTTGAAGGTAAACTCGGGATCCACAAAGCCCCAAAAGGCAGTTTCGGCGGGGTTGGCGGACGAATCGTTCATGTAAAAGAGGCGAACCCTTTCAGATGCGGCGTCAGGCGTGGCGTAGATATGGGCAATAGTGTCGTTTGAAACTTCCAATGGGATCGTCTTCAGGGGAGCAACCAGGCTTGGCTCAATGAGTAGGTGGCCAGAAGCATCGTGGCAAGACGCTAGTTCGTGATTGCTGAGAGGGTTTCCCTGAAGATCCTGATTAGGACAACGGTTAAGAGAGTCGCCGACGTTTGGTAGGAAGATTGCGCCGCGAGAAGAGGTCCAGAATGCTCTATCCGTAACGTCGCTATCATCCACAATGCCGTCGCGGTTGGTATCTGCGAGAATCATGGGCTTAAGTTGCTGGCCACGAACTGCTCCGAATTGCAGCGTGAGCAAGGCAATAGCCACAGCCTTGGCTGACAGATACATCTCGAGGAAGGTTTGCTGAAGAGATTGTACGAAGAGCTCAATCGAGAAGAAGCCGCTGGTTGTCTCATTCCATACACTATATAGTTGGGTTGCATGATCACACTTTATATCCAAAAAATAACTCTCATCATGAGCGCGATCATCGAAAAGAATACTATGGTGACTCCAGCCTTCCTCCCAAGAGTTCCCCTTATAGTTACCGGCATCCAGTATAGAGGCCATAGAGAATAGCAATCACGGTTAAGAGAGACGTTTCCACCAATCAACCGCGTCGCTACGCCACATTAGGAAACAACTGTACATGAGATCCGCTCACGATATAACAAAAGTCGGCGTTACTCTATCACGAAGTAACATTGACTAACACGTGCAACGATAGTCGGGGGCCGAGATCACCGGCTCCAGACCCAAGACCCAAGGACCACAGACCCTCCCCCTATGCCAGCGGAGCTCCGCACACGTCATGGCATCCGCCGCTGCCCCGTTGCCGGCTACACCATGCTTGTTAAATTTGCCGAAAGTTCGGCCCTATTGACAACTGCAAGTCTTACCTTGCAGATGATATGTTGCCAAGATATATCGCCCCGACTTCGGGCCTGACCTCAGGGGAGATTGGACCCTTCCCTTGCGTCACACACCAATTGCTATGGAACAGTCGGGACCTGAATTTGTATGCGAGGAAGCATCAGACGCCGAGCTTGTTCTCTTCTATTCTGCTATACATCTCACCTAGCTATTGAACAGGTATGCCAAGTCTTTGTAAAATGGTAATGATTGATGTTGTGGGAAAGGACAGGAAAACGTGGCCAATATTTGTGAAAAACAAAAGAAAAGGAGGGGTTAAAGGGATGGCTGTACAAAGCCTTAGAGCGCAATGTTTCTTGCACCCATGGACCTAAAGAAGTTTTTGCACCAGATCCTAAGCAGCACGCTTCTGAATGCCGCACTTCTTCAAGCACTCTTCCACCTTGATAGCCATTCCATTGGGAATAGCATCTCGCACCTTGTCAATGTCTTCGCCGGCGATGGTGTTTCCGAAGGAACGCTCAATGACATCGTCGCTCAGAGCAAAAGTTTGGCTCGCGATGAGACCCACGCCTGCCTCCTCCGAGGTGAACGAGACCGCAACAGAGGCGGGACTGCACTCCGGGTTAACCTGAGTGTGGAAGGCGTCCTGAGGAAAAACAGTCATTTGACAAGGGGATCTTAGTAGGATATATGGGTTACATATGGGTGCGTTGGACACTGTCAGGCTAGCAAAACTCTTCATCAAACCTCTCTTGCCCTGAGACAGTCATCTTCAAAACTCGAGCCTTAATAACACAGGATCTAATTGATATTCATCCTATTGATCGCGTCTGCTGTCCCTGACAGGTAACCCCGCAATTCAACATCTCAGGAGGAATCCGAATCAGACCAGAAGAGTCTACGTTATGCACTAACAGCACGGTAGGGGAAGACTGAACGGGGAAAGCAAATGAAGTCCTGGGCTAGTAAATTTACAGCCGCAGGCGAGACTAGGTTCCCCTTCTAACTCGCTGGGGCTTGAGCACACCTGAGCCCTGGTGACACTTCGGAAAAGCGAAGTGGCAACACGGAACACTCCCATCACATAATTGAGCGATCATCATCACCTCTCTAAGCACCAGAACTTGACATGATCAACATGACACTCAGCCTTTTCATCCGGCAAAGTCGAGCTTGGTGAGATATGCAGCTGATTAAAGGAGAGTTCAAGCCCTAGGAAGATTTTGGGGGCAGGAAAATACATATAGTGAGCAGCATTCGTTGTCTCAGGTACTTGGATTCCGATCAGCTGAGTCTTGGGGTCTCAAATGGGAACGCTGCCGTCGTCCTATTTCATTCTCTCACACCAAATTAACCTCAACAGCAGCAATCGTGACTTCCCTTATGCGGAGCACCAACAATCACAGCTTCCCTCAGGGGTTGACATTGAAAGAGAATTGGGCCTTTGGCACTGCATATTGTCAGCGAAGCAAACAAGAACGACTGTCCATAACTCACTGTTTCTTCACAACGACTTTTGCACGTCACTCGATCAGCCTCCCCGCAATTTGTTTCCCACTTTGAAGCATTAGTTACTAGTCTACTGAAGCGTTTGTAGTTCCTTACATCATTGGGGTAGGACTCATCACAATGAACATTTCTGACGCTGGCAAATGCTACTGAGATGTGTATCGCAGCGGCAATCCAAGTAAGAAGGCTGAATCTCATGATGCAAATAGTGAAGAAATTGGGAATGATTGGTGATAAGTCCTGCGAAAGGTTGCGGTTGTGAAAAACGTGCTTTCGTGGCTGCTACCCGTGGCCTTAAATAACAAAGTGGAAGCGCAGACCGTTCGGTTAGGTCGCTTTGATATGACTCGCATGAGATCATTCTTCGCTACTGAAGTTTCCTTCTGGGCAGAAATAAATTAAACGGCAGGTGTAGTCTGATTAGCTTGTGTTCGTGGTGGGCGCAGCACACTGATTGACCCGTCGTTTGGTTTCAGGCTGGGTCTGACACGCTGAAGTGGGAGGTCCCACGGGGCCGGTTTGGCTCAGCGATCGGGATCGGACAATTCGGACAGTTCAATGTTGCGAAAGATGTCCGTGGTCTCGGCGAGCTAACAACAACAGACTGGGTAGCAGTCAAGAGCAACTCAGCTGAGTTGACATGGCCTTGCACCGCGGCGTCTCTATTTCTTTTCTTTTTTTTGTCTTTTTTTTCTTTCAATTTACTGCACTCCTCATTCCTCCGGTTATCACTGAGCACGTCTTGAAATGAAAGACAGCAATGCAGGCAGATTAGGCGGGCCCTCTATACACGACATAGATGACCATTTTGTGCAGGCAACTCGTTCACCTGGCCCGTCACGTACCAGTCCTCGCTGCTCGTCCCTATTTGAGTATGAAATAACCCAGATGGATCGTACTTCTGCTTGACCTGATACCGTCTTTTGTAGTTACTGCCAAAGAATGACTGCTACTCTCAAACATCACCCTCGCTGGCGTAAGCGCCCGAATCTGGGGCTGAATCTCGCCAAGGTTGCATTCAAACTTCTGTTAGGTTCTTGCTCAGCTCGGCTCCACGTGAAAGCAAGGTATCTGCGTTCCAAGTACCCCAAGAGATCGCGAATATGGCAGCATCCCGCCGGGCAGGATTCACCGCGTTGTTAGGGCGAGGGCCGGGACTTGCGGTGATGCCGAAACTAACTAGAGTTCCGCCTTGGTCGAAAGGATCTTTCAAAGCCTCATGTTTGTTAAATTTCACGAGACTGCTGAGACTCTCCCGAGGAAAGAGGCGTGATGCCATCTTATTTCCGTGAGACTCAACAGGTTTAACCGGGAAACTGGCTGTCCATGCCGAGAGAAACGTCGAGTACTCGGACCAGTTTGGTTCAAAATTGATCCCGAGAGCCTTCCACTTTGCGAAAAGCGGCGCTGTGAGCTCGACTGCTTCTACCGTTGTCACTTTTGACCGAACCAGGGCGACATGACGAATGAGGCTTTCTTGAGCACTGCAGGCTAGATGAACTATTACTGGCAGTTTCCATGGGCGTTAAAAGTGGGTAGCATCTACCAGAAGCTCGCGCAGCCTCCAAGAATGCTTCATATGTGACCGTCGAACCGTTTAACCCGAAGCTGAAACTGGCAACGGAGATGGCGGGTAAGCTGGGGCGGGCTTTGATGACGTATACGGGACGACGTCACGACGCCAAGGTTGCCTCCGCCCCCTCCACGGAAAGCCAAAATAGGTCTGTTCTTCTTCTCACTCGCTGTGATGGATCTACCATCGGGCATCACGACGTCGATGCCGAGGACATGGTCGCAGCAAGACCGTACAATGGGCAAAGAGGGGAGTGCCCGCCACCAAATGTGGCCTCTTCCGAAGCCGACAGTCTTCCCCTCTCCTCCAGCCACAACGACACCATGCGCATCCGCAGCTTCGTAAAGTTCGTTGATAAGATCTCCATCCCCAACCTTTATCGCAGACCTTGTGTGCGTTGGGGGGTTGTAATCTTTGTAGAACTCAAGTTCTTTCAGCTTGTTCGTCCATATTGGTAGAGCACCAGGACCAAGAGATTAGCCGTTGAAGTCGTGGCCGGTATTAGTGACCATAAGGCGCAAGGTATGAGTGCGGGCGAAGTTGGCCGCAAGCTGCATCTGGGCTACCTTGGTCGCTTCAACAACGTACTCCGGAAATCCTCCCGAAGTGCAGTTGGTGGAATAGTTCTCAAAAGGGAGGCGTGCGAGCCCTTGATAGAATGAACTCATTGCCGAGGTCGAGTTAGAAATGCTGGACACGAGTATCAGCTCAGATGGTGCGCGTGATAGGCCTATGTCCCCAAAGTTGACACATTGCAACATCAAATTGTTCTATCTAGTGCTGATGATTGGACATTCAGTGGTGTCTTGATTACAGACACCATCCACGTGTGCGAATGCGAGAGAAACAATCTTGATTAACACATCGCCCAGCAGCAAATTGAAAGCTTTCCAGGAACTTTCGTTGGGCCAAAGGAGGTCTCCGGGATAAATCTTGTAGCGCTCAGTACCACGCTTTGGGAATGAACTTCGACATTTTCCAGTGGTGTTGCCGCCGAAATGAAAATATGAGATTTCAGTAAGAACTAGTCTCGCGAGATTTACAAAAGCTTGATCCGTCAGTTGAATAGACTCTTCCGGGAGAAAATCTCCAGGGACGTAGCTGACGGCCGGGGCAACGTTTTCCTTCGTTGCGTTTGAAGTGCGTAAGATGGCATCCAGCCCAGAGCTCGTCCTTCATAACTTCACAAACTGTAACCCCATCGGCAATGATGGTCCACGCTGTGGCCCGTTGGTTGATAGAAGCCACTGCAAGTAAATGTAGGACGCGTCGAGCCGCAGAATTGTTTCTACAACAGCTGGCGAGAACACTAGACGAACCGAAGAAATGTAGGTCGAGAAGTAGGAAACACAAATTAGAGCTGAGATTTCGAAAAACAATAAATCTCCATGCATCATACAGGCCATGAGATTGACTAAGAGGAAGATAGACGAGGCAAACAGAAGCCATATGGCAATCGATTGTCATGTTGAGAAAAAGCATTAGCTTTGTAGGACTTTGGGCCGTCGATAGCAGACTCACAATCTGCCAGGGTCACAGGGGATAACCAACGTCTGCATCAGTGAAGGCGCCCCCCGAGTCCTGTTCCGAATCTATGATGAATGCCAACCCCGGTCGGCATAGAAAATGGGTCTGAGTCCCGGGTAGTGGGGCCGAAGATGGCCGACTGAAGCGGTGAAAATGACTCGTTTCCTTCAAAATCCGGCACACTCGTACGCAGATCTGCCTCGGCTTGATGGGGTTTGCAATCTTAAACGGCCGCAGCCCATTTGCCTCAATGAACACGAGCACGGTAGCCGTGCTGAACTGCTGATCCCACTTGGCGGTGCCAGCCATTTTGCGCCAGGGCTGCGTAGTCCAGCCAAGCTCGGTCTCTGCCATCTGGATGTTAGATCAAGACATCTATAGCTTTACAGAACTTTGGAGCTGATAATTAACTTCGCTTCTATTTTCTTTTTTCTTTCCCCATTAAGAATGGACAAGATACGCGCAAGCAAGAAAATTGAGGCTAGACCCTACTCTCAAGCGGTCTCGTTTTCTCTTCCGAACACGTTAGGTCCGACAAAATCCCAGGCCACGTGGCTAGTAAGTCCAATTCCGTAGACCTACCGGATACATCCGGATAACAACAGCATGGGGGTATCGCAAGGTAGAAATTTCGCAACACTTTGTCATAAACCTTGTCGACATCGCTTGCGTTGGTTTCCCAGTATTGCTTGCCGCAGAAGTCACTACGAATACAAGGGGCAGTTGGACCCTGGCAGGAACAGTCCTCGTGTGATTTTAAATTTCCAGGGCCTGGAAAAATTCATCAATAGACCTAATCTTCTGATGCGTTGACTTGACTGTCCGTGTAGCCATCTGGAATGCAGTCTCTGGGTCTATTGCATCCTAACTCAAGTTGCTACGATACTGCGATTGAATGCTGCTTGACTCGGAATAAGTTCTCAACTCAATCCATTCCGTTTGGCGCTCTTGTTTTTTTGTTGTAATCCATACTGCGAGTAGATGGCGCATTTTCAATACTCTCCACATATCACATCGACGATTTCTCGCCAATGATCAGCAGTATGGCAGCACCC